ATTGGAGATATAATCATATTTTAAAAAGCTAGAAATGCACAAATATCTTATACCTACTATCAATCAAAACCAACTAAACTTCTGTATAAGCAATAATTAACATCTTGCAAAATGGATGAAATTAATAGTGGCTTTTAAAAATTCAAAAATGAAAGTTATTCATACTGTGATTATGAGCTTAACTTGTAAGTTGATTGTTGGTTGCTCAGTTTGTAAATGAATTGAACGATTCGCGATGATCGTATATCTTAATTACCGTCTGATACGAGTCGATTTCCGAGCGGCAATTTATGCAAATTGAAAACGTATTAACAGGTTTGATGAATGGTTTTATCCGCTTCTGATGCAAGCCAGTGTTTAACATTTCCATCGAACAAAATGTTAAATCTCCATCATCATTTCAATCTGTTGAGATTTCACATTTTAAAATTGACATTCGATATCTCCACCTACAAACAAGAATTATACCTGCGTATTTAGGTAGAATACTTCAAAATATAAAAAATACTTATAATAAAATTTCGACCATATATGATTGTCTTAATCGTGACAAAAAGACGTTATCAAAAGTGTCGGCGTGTCGACGGCGAGAAATGCCTGCAGGGTGGTAGTGACCGTTGAGAGGGTGGCAACACACTCGCATTAGTGAAATTTTTGTCGGCGCGCGTATTTAGTCTACGTGGGGGCGATTTTAATGGAAAGCGACGCGTATAGTATGGATGGCCGGCGGGCACGCGATCGAATTCATTAGCGTTTATTATTATTACGTGTTGTGTGCGCCGACTACCTGCCGCTAAATGTGCAGCGCACGGCTAAAACAAACATAAATAAGATGCCCACGTGGACGATGCATATACGCGCGAGCTAATTCCACCTGGAAATTTATGCAGATTTGTGCGCGCTGAGTTATTATGATTGCTTTCTGAAATCAAAATACAACTAACGAAACAAAATAGGTAAGTGCTAAGTACTACAACTGCCGGAAAATACTGTATTATATACGCGGGGTGATGAATGTTGAAGAAATTTGATAAAATTACACAAATAACTCAGGGAAAGAAAAAAATGCGCTAATTTACACTCAAAAGCAATAAAATAGGAATACAAAAATGTATTTAATATTTGTTAATATTGTAGTCAAATATCCTACATTAGTAAATATTATGTTTTTAGTGTAAATTTTAATATTTGACGTGATTTAAACACAATTTTGAACGGTTTTGCTCAATTTATTTTGTTTTTGCTTTGAAGTTTGGTAGAGAAAATATTTTAATTATATTACCGCAGAATTTTTGCGTTTTTAACTCGTTCTATGCTTATTTTATATTAATTTAGTTATATATATATTAAAGATCACAAAAACATTGAAAAAAGATAAAACGTTTAAATTATTGAAATTATTTTGCAACTTTACTATGTGATGTCATATAAAACTTCTCTATTAAATCATAAAGTATATAATTTACGCCCGACTAGTATTACCCGCATCCAGGTAAGCAATACCAAAAGATTTGGAAGACATCCCCGTGCGGCTGACATAAATCGTTCTTACGCTGCGCGTTAAAACTCGAAAGAATATAAAACACAGCTATAGCTTTCAGCTCTCCGATGCCGAAGAAAGCAGACCTAATAATTATCTCATTGTAAAGCGGCAAATCCGCCGATATGGTCACTCTGACACGCACACTGGACCAGCACCAGGGCGTACCGTAAAAGCGTAGTAAAAGTGCGTTCTTTCCGACGCGGCACGCCGCAACATTGTAATTCATAGCGGCGGCAAGAATGCGGCCCAGCCGGAGCTCATCAGCGTCTGGTCGGCCAATAAAGAACAATGCGAACAACCGGCCCGCACTTAATATAAGCCGCCGAAGAGATAGAGCACCTTCAGGTAGTCGATGGTGGTGTTAGATTCCTTTGAGGTGCGCTGTCGGCACCCGAAAGCGCCTTTCGCCTCAATGCCGACTACCGATGATAACGAGCCGTGACCACTGCACCGGTGGCCTCGAACTTGAACATTATTTCAACCACACTAAGGTGTTTAACGCATTTAACAATGTGTGGACAATATATCTACGTTTGTTTTCGTGTATTTGTTGTTTTGTGTGTGTGGTTGAATGGAGGGAAAAAGAGTAGTATCCCCAAACAAAAGCAATAAATGACAGAAATCTTCGATGATGCGCCCCACATCCATCCGACATATTCCTCCGTCAAACAACCGCATAGGAATCACTTACTTGGGCGCCTGAACGTAATGGTTTCGCCTGCGTATCACATGTCTAAGGTTCGTTAACATGTGCGCATTCGATGTACGCCGTTAACGAACAAAACGTCTCATTAGTGGCTGGGCGCACGCCGCGCGACGTCTGCGAAGGGTGCGCGCACTTTTTGCGCCCGGGCGCGTACGCCTTCGATACACGCCTGGCGATCTATAACATATCCATATATCAATATTATTACCGTTATTCAGACGCGCACGGGAAGCCGCCATACTGCCAACCAACCAACCAAACCCTCTTCCCCCCGAGTGGTGGTTTTGTTTCTCTCGTCGAGGACGCCGAGCGTTATTCGGCAGTGGGGAGATTGTCTCGTTAAATTTTCATGTACTTTAGAGAAACGAAAACAAAAACCAAAAACGAAACGAAAAAAAATATATACAACGTAAAACAAAACTGCTTCAGCCAAAGGGCTTCACTCTGGGCTGTGTATGCGTATCGCGATCGCAAGAATGGCAACACAATGAGGTGTGCTGGGGTAAGGTTAATGAGATATTGGCTCCACCAACGGTTAATTATAGCGAGGAGCCTCCCTCTTTTTCAACTTCGAAGGGTAAGCGGAGAATGTACACATGCATCCCTCGTAATCATCCGAAAAGTTTTCAAATATTTTTCACATAATAAATCATTAATCTTTAATTTTATTATAATTGATGAATATTCATGGATAATTTTAACCAAATGTTAAGTCAGTTCTATTTATTCCTTCTATATAACAAAGTCGTCTGAAAGAGAAATAAATCTACGTTAATTTCATCTGTTGAAATTGTCTAAACAGACAATAACTATTAAAATACCAGAAAATTGAAGAAAAACATCAAAGAAAAAACTTTCTTCATGTGTGGTTTGTCAAAATCACAACAGTTTGACAGTAGATTCAGGAAGTAGCCTAACAATAAAACATTTCGATTTCAATCAAACTTGAATTAAATGTATTTAACAATTAATTAATAATAGTATTTATTCAGGAGGTTGATGAAAACGATGGTTGAAACGAAATTTTGCAAATTTAATTTCTATTTGCTTATTTCGAGTAATTTCAAAATTAATTTTATCTTTAATAGTATACATATTGAAAAAATGGTTGTTAAATAAACTGTACGTTTTTTTAAACCTTGAAAATATTGTCAACACAACATTACATCTCTTAGTTATCGCAATCATTATTTAAATAGCGTCACACTTTTTAGCAGAATGTCTCAGTTTGTAATCCTTAAAATAAGGTTAGATCGACGTAGTGACAATATTGATTGACAATATTGACGTACAACGACGTTAAAGTAACATAAGAACATTATATTAAATAAATTTTAAAATTTTTAAAAACAATTTAAATTCCAGAAGGTCTTTACAAACTTTTTTCTTATAAACAATAAGTTTTTTGCTTCCAACACACAAAGACCAATGCGGAAATAAATATGTAAAACAAATAAAACAAGTTTTGCGTGATTTAAAAACGTAAACACATCCCCGCACATAAAAATCGCGTAATTACACACGAGTCAATTCTAATAAACTAATAATGACATTTGTTGCGGTATCAAATCCGCACAAACCACCAATAAACTCTTTGCGCAGTACAGGCACAAGACATGAAAAGGCGCGTTTTACGAGCAATCGAAATAGCGCCCCAACTCGGCGTGTTTTCTTTCAAAAGAACATAAATATTGAATGTTCGAATTGACAAAGCGTCGGATTACCGCGGCGCGTAACAGCGCGTGATTATGTCCGCGCGCTTATTTATAACCAGCCCACAGCAGCTACCCGAAGTCTTGCAGCAGCAGCCGAACCTTTGATCGCGAATATCACTCGCGAGCCGCCGCAACCGCGACCTCACCATCGACTATTGTTATTCATTATTGTGCGTTTGTGCAGTTCGCGGTATTGTCGATCGGTCGCCAGTGTTTTAGTTCAGGTTCGATTTAATATAAAAAATTCCTACTCATTCAATGCAAAATCCATTGTTGAACTTCGCAGCATATTTGCACATATTACGCAAATTAAAATTCCGGCTGACTGGATTACGCTACATGTGTCGATTATCACGGATGGATGCATGACTTGTCATGTCGAGAGATCATATTCCAAACAGTTTAATATGCCTCCCGGATGTATGCTAAGATGGTGGTCTTTAAACTTTCCAGAAAAAATCGAAATAATTTTGTTGAGAGATTTGAATGCTTCGTTAATTAAAAAAAGAGGAAAGATTCCGACGGAACGTCATACATGTCAGCAGACACTAATTACCCTTTTAAGAAATGCAAATAAAGCCTGAAAGGTTTATTCTCCTTTTCTTCGTGTTACACTTCGCGTCGGCGGCGGACTTTATGGCTACTAGACTTCCAATAACCCTTTAACTTCCAACTCTTCAACTTCACAAAGCACCCAGCGTGTATACAAACGCCACAAAGCGCACAACGCGTACAAAACTAGAAATAACGCGCGCTAAACACGATTATTTGTTTAGGTGAGGAGTGAAGCGTTTTTGATTTGAATTCTAACACCCGCTCGCGTTATCTAAAGTGGAATATCTTGTAAGTAAAGCGTCCCGAAATGAATTCCCATCAACCCCGCTCCCGCAGAAGGTAGAAGGCCGCGCTTGGACTTACTTCTTGTTATGTTGGTTGTGTTTCTTTTTTTTTATTAAACTAGTTTTGAGACCTTCGCGAGTTCTTCGCCGGTTCGCAGTCGCAAAATGTTGAAGAAGAAGTAGTAGAAGAGACTTACCACCAGTCCGCGGCCGCCAAGTGCGCGGCCAGCAGGAGCGACGACGTCCAGAGGGCGACGGACGCGAACGGTTGCGTTGTGGCGCCGCGACGCCTCATAGCGCCTCGGCAGTGGCTGCGGTTCCACGCGCGCCGGAGACAGGATGCACTTGCACACGCGAAGACCGACCGCGGACTAACCATGCACCACATACATATAGCCAGCCGTGCCGACGCGCTCGCCGTCCGACCGCACGATGACGGTAAGTCGAAGGCGGTGCGCGACAACTACCCCTCCAAATACGCCTACAACATTTCCGACAGGCGCACGTCAACAATTGTCCGCGCGGCCAGGACGCGCTCATTCACTCGCCGCCGCTGCCGCACGCGCACCTGTAACAAATCCGCACGGATTAATGAAAATCCTCATTTAAGATTTAATTATTTTGCAAATATTTAAAGCATTGTTGTTTAAATAACAAATATTTTGACTAGTTATATATTTATTTTGTACAATTTAATAAAAATTGATATATCCTTGAATTTGTAAAACGTTTTAGTAAAAAACTTCGTACAAAATTATTTATTGCTCAAAAATCGAATCTCTGGCTTAAAAAGCAGGTTTTAACGCAAAACGAGTGGCACTAGAAAGATATATTCTGGTATTGCATTTCCAATACAATAAACGTTTTTTTAAATCAACAAAATGGTGGAAAATGTTGCTAATGCCATGTATTTTATATAGACGTATGCATTTTATTCAAATACTATTGAAATATCCGCTCTAAAAATAGTAGAAGAACTCGTGATTGAACTGATGCATCGATAGTCCAAAATTGAAAGTTTAGCTTTTCTTTATTTCGCTTCTACCGTCGCAAACTGAAAAAATATTGTTCGTTGATGATACTTAATATGTTTGAAATTTCCCTATGCACGCCTTACAAATTAGCGGGTTATTTTGTTGTCAGTTTGTAGATGCAGTAACGCCTAAAGAACAGCGTTGATTCATTTTCTCGTTTCTGACAGGTTGTTTTGCAAACCAAAAACGTTTTCGCGAGTGTCGCTAGTAACGCTTTGAAAGGTGCAATTTTAATTATCCATAATTAGACAAAATTATATTCACCTTTGCGCCTTGAAACGGTTCTAAAAATCACATAAATTTAAAAGTCTCTTCTTCGCTTTCAGTAGGTAATGCTATCAACCAGAGCAAATCAAGCTAAAAAAATAAAAATTACATTTACGACTAAAACTGTCTTATTGCCTTGTTAACTGAAAAAAACTACCTGAAGAAAAAGTACAATCCCTGAATCTATTTCCCCAGAACCAAAAACTTTTTTAATAGTTGCGGAAATATTAAATTACCATTATTATTACAAGTTTCTGCTAATAACAGTAAAAATGCAATAAATTGTAAAACTTGAAAGTGATTCTCAATCATGCTGCGTTGTCAGTGTGCAGCCAACGAAATAGTTACCATATATATGTAGAAAGTTAAATATAGAAGAAAAAAGAAGCGCCGTTTTTACGTAAACATATATCTAGTACAAACAGATCGCGCCGAAACGAAATCAAACAATCGAAACGTTTTCCGAAACGCCAAAGAGTGCCGCAGCGCAGACGTCGCCGCGGTTGCCGCCGCGCCGCCTTCGCGCTCTCCCGATATTGAAATCAGTTGTAACTTTTTTCGGCCGTGCGCGCGGGGCAGAGTGGTGCATGGAGAGGGGCCGCCTGTTCGATGTCCGCCCATCCGTCTATCGTCTGCGCGCCTTGATAATAGAACTCTAAAGTAAATTATTTATAATCGGCGCGTTTGAACTTTTTCTCGGCGCGCATGAATGCAGACGCGAGCGAACACACGTGCAGTTTGTACAGCGGCATTCTGGGAAGACGGCGAACTTTGATTCGGATGTAAACTTTCAATCTACTTTGCATACGGCGCTCAAATACGCTGAAGTGTGAAGTGCTTCACGAAAAGTGCTTAAAAGCGCAAACTTCATGTGTGTGGTGCACACTTATCAAATTTATTCTGCCAGTGATTTTGCGTAAATATCAAAAAACGAATGAAATAATAAGTTATTCAACATTTTCGTTGATTTTAAACACCTATCGCCATCTATACTCGAGGACATGAAATAATCATATTAAACATCATTTTACGAAAAATTCTACACAATATTTTTGTTTTAAAACCCGTCAAATAAATTAAAGCAACAAATTTATACCAAAACACAAAAAACAAAATTGTTGTTGAAAATAACATGTTTTGTGTATAATAAGTTGCCTATCTATATAAAAAGACAAAAAACAGTTTCTTGTTTGAAATAATATTATTAGCTATATTTTGTGACCTCAGTCATTATCACCCGCCGTGAATACATTAATACTAGACACTAAAACTGCGCGCTTTGAATTATTTGTGAAATTGATTCAACGCGCTGTTTACAAGCCACAAGCATCTTATCTAAGAAGCGAATTGATAACAGCGTACCAGCGTCAGACGGTCACATAATGAGCGCCTTTTTTCAACACAAATAATTTTATGGACACAATAATCAAAGAATTCATTCGACACAAGTGCCCGGAACTGAATCATTAAACGCAGAGCGCTCTCCGAAGACGCGGCGCATTTAATTCATTACTCGTTCGTCTCCGCTCGCGTCTGAAACGCGCATTCATACCGAGATTCAACCGAAACGTCGAAAACAACAACAACAACAATAACAAGTTTAAATAATAAATTAATTCAGTGCGTGCGTGTGTGTGCGTGAAAATTTCCATTCAAAATGGCAGAAGAAGAAGAAGTATTGGATATGGCAAACACGGTAAACTCCACCAGTTATACAATAGATTTTGAAACACTTATTGAAGAAGATAATGCGATCTTCTTTTCAATCGCCACCGTCGGTTTACTGGTACATGCACTGATCATCTATACGACTGTAAAAAGCAAACGCCTGCGTTCACGTACGAATATAATGATTATGAACTGGATCGCCTTCGAGATGGTCTCCCACAATATATTATACCCGCTGCTGCACTATATCCGCCTCTATGAGTACAACTTCTTGTTGCACCTCATCAGTGGGAACGTCATGTTCATGACCATCACTTCAGCGCTCCTGTGTCTCAACGTGCTGATGAGCGACTCGGTGATGATGAGCAACAAAACAACTTTCAAAGAGTTCCTCGAGCGCTTCTACGCTATACAACTCACAATTTATGCAATCGTACTCTTTTGGAAGATGTACACCCAGCATGATATTTATATGGAGCTGTTGCTCATCTTAACCTACTTTATCAGCTGGATTGTGCTGGTGCTGAAGGTTTTGTACCGACAGTGCCATCGGTTTGTCAAGCGCACGACGTTGAACAACATCGAAGAGTTGCGATTGCATCTGGCGACGTTCTTCTTGGTCGGGAAGATTGTTATCACTGTGTTTGGCATCTATAGCGTGATGTACAAAAGTAAGGTGTTGTTGCATTTAACTAGGCTTTGGGGTCTCAGCGGTGTTTATGTCATTGTGTTGCTGATTGTTAAGGATATTAACTTTAAGATTAGTTTATATGAGATTTTGGGATTGAATGTTAAGAATCCGAATGATGTTGATACTATGATTAGTGAGGATAAAGATGGGGAGGATAATTTGGTGGAGACTTGCATTGAAAACTGAAATCTATATTGATATTATATGCATTCTATTTTTTTTTTAGTTATGAGATAAACTTATTTCAATACTAATCTTTACCAAAAATACTTAAACTGTAAAATTTCTTTAAAGTCATCAGAAATTTTCGGGTAATAATAAAATATTGCATATTAAGTGTCAAAATTGGAATTTTTAGTCATGTAAAGTGTCATATTGCGGACCTTGGGCATTGTTAATCAAATTTAATTCAATAAATTGGACGTAACAACTTGCTAACGCTTAATAAATGACAAAAAAAATGTTTTTCACCACTTGTGTTAAGAAATAAAAATATTGATCGTTATCTTGGAAACAATTTTGTCTCCATATTAATATTATTGATAAGATATAACATTAAATTGAAATAAACAATTGGGTTAATCCCATGCAATCCAAATGTGTTGATTCCTTTCATTGCTACCCATAATGGCCATAAATAATACAAAAAAGCATAAAACAGGAAATTTGGTATACCTACTACACAGGAAGTACATAATACCTCTGTACCTCTTTGGACATTATTTTAATATTGATATTTTGTTAAATATTGTGACTTTTTCACAAATGTACTTCAAACTAATCTGTGTATTTACCAAAAATCATGTTTTCCCGAGTTGGCTGTTTGCAAAGTCAAGATATCAAATGCAAAAGTTAAAAATTGAAATTCCCGTGCCGACCATCAAGTTCTTCATGCGGTACTTACCCGAGAGTAAAGCGAGGAAATTCCTAACATCCTGTCTGGCCGTGCACATTTGCCGTATAAATTTGGAAATTCACGCCCCCTCCTTCAACAGTCTTGCATCCCGCTGGCGTCCCTTGTTTGGCAATAAGTACTGATTGCCATTCTGGTTATTATTTATTTCTGCCACAGAAGCCGAACGCAATCATTCGATTTTCACATTCACAGCGCGACGAGGGTTCGAATCGTAACGAATTTCTAACCTTATTTAATCATGACTAACTTCAACGTTTTGTTCTTTGTGTTGTGTTGGACGTGTTTACATACTTTGACAAATGGTAAGTGTTCAGTTTTAGTCAATATAAACTAATTAATCACTTATTACAATATTAAATTATTATAAACATGACAATCAACCGAATTAATAAAATATGTTGTATTAATTTTATCACGTTGTTTTCTGTGTAGCAAACGCCTGCCGCGGGAAGACAACTTGCAGGAGTTTGCGCGATTGCGCACCGGTCATGTCTCTCATCGACACACTTCAAAAACCGCTTAAACCGTCAGTTGTGCAATTTTTACGTGCGCAGCAATGCGGCTTCCATGATGGCTATCCAATGATCTGCTGCGGAGTTTTACCAAAAACTCTCAACATCTTCAACAAAAGACAGCAAAAGACTCAACGTCAACAAAAGAAATCAACGCGCGGACAAACGCAAGAATACGTCGTCAACTTAAACAGAGCGCCACCTGCGCCGATCACCACCGAAAGTGTCCGCGGCATCGGTGGTATCAATAAACTGTCCATATACCAACCGGAAGCCGGCAACATCATGAACCCACCGCATTTTGACATCACCGTATCCACAGCGGCGCCTGGAGCATCAACAGTACCGTACTTAAGTAACTTAAAGAGAGATGCACGCCGGAAAACAAACCTGGGTGATTTTTTGAATACCGGCGAGGCATTCAAGGAAGCCATGAGTGCATACATGGATCACTACGACTTACAGAGAACGAGGAGATCCGGAGCATTAAAAATTGATGCTGAATTGGATGTGGAAGTTCGTTGATTGTTGTGGTTTATAACAAATAAGTGTAAATAGTGTTATTGGACGATAGTGAGTGAACCATTCCGAGCGAATTGTTTATGTCAAACGTTTATATTGTACATATTGTATGACGTACTTAATTATTATTAATGATGTTCTATAAATAAAATTTGAATATAATCATGAACGTTTATGAACTTCATATTATTCTCAGAAGGTAATTTTTTCAAATGGGAAATTCCGGATTATCAATGCTTAGAAGTCATTTTAGTGTATGACTAAAGCTTCAAACTATAATTTTTTTCCTTGAAATTCAGTAAAAGTTAACTTTTACTTTACTCCTCAGGAAATGTCTCTGATTTAGTAGCTACTAATTTTATAGTAACTGATATTGCATAGACTATTCTAATTCTTGCAAATTTATGGATTTTACGTGATTAGCTACTTTGCACTTGCTTCTGTGTTTTCCCCAAGCGATTATCTCACCCTTATTCTAACACTAGAAGAAGGTGTGGGTTTGCAAAGTGGTGTACGGCAAAAACCCCCACCTTGCGGTTTAATGATGGGGATGGCCACACTTTGGCACCATTTGCCATAATAAACAAATTCGCAACCCGCTCGGTCCAGTGCCTAATTGTAGCTGCAGTGTTTACAAACAAGTGTCTGCGCTAAAAAGCAAACCTACAAAATGTGCGTGTGGCGAAATGTAATTATTACATTACTTGTGCTGTCCAGTGAGATGAAGACACATGCAGCACCTCGTATAAGATTCAGTAAGTGCAAATAATTACAACTAATTACTCAAAAATATTTTGATTTCAATACCTAATTTAATTTGTTTATTACATTCTTTAGATAATGAATGTAAACCACCTAGAGGAGATATGTGCATTGAAATACGAAAGTGTCCTTACTTTTCGGAACTCCTGGACAGCACACGAATTCCCCGACCACGTCATGTCATCAAAGCAATCAGAGAGCAACAGTGCGGTTTCATCGCCAACGTGCCGAAAGTGTGCTGCTCGTTGCCGATGGCGTCCATCACCGACCAACCAACGGTTGTTTCCATGAGCAATTCTGCACACGCTGTTGAAGTGAGAACGCGCGATAATCCGCCGGATGTGACTGGTCATAAAAATGTGCATTTGCTACCAAACAAAGACAATTGCGGGATAATCGGCAACGATTTCAGAATAACCGGTGGCTCACAGACCACCCCTGGGGAATTCCCTTGGATGGCACTCATTGCCTATATGACAAGTAAGACAATAAACCATCAACTACCGGCGTATTATACTCATAAAGAGTTTTTAAAAACAAAATATTTGTAATTTCAGAAGATGGACTTGATTTTCGATGCGGGGGTTCATTGATCAACGATCGATATGTGCTTACAGCTGCACATTGCGTTCTAAATATGACTATGTAAGTATAACTAAGATTAACTATAAAATAATGTCATTTCTCATTTGTTTTCGTTTTTGAATACATAATTCATGTTAACAATGTTATAATACTTAATTTTTATGTGTTTGTGAATTACAATTTTCTTTTGCATTAACATGCTTTACCTCGAAGGCATCGTCACTCTGACGTTTCTGTCAAACAGGTATACTCAAATGAAAATTGCAATTCATAATCACGTAAAAATAAAGTACAGTAAAGTTATAACACACTGCGACAGTGTTAGACTTATGTCCGCAATACCGCAAAGCATGGCATGAACATAATATGCATAACATGAAAAATTAATAGGCTAATTAATACTTATTTTGTTTTTTGTTTAGGGTTGGAGTAAGATTAGGCGAACATAATATTAATCAACGACGAGATTGTAATGATTCTTCCGGAAAATGTGCCCCTCCCGTGCAGGACTTTTACATAGAAGACTTGATCGTCCATTCTGATTATATTCCAAGCACGTTCACAAATGATATAGCATTGATTCGACTCGCAACGCCTGCAAATGTTTCATATTGTAAGTTATTACACCTAATTAAACATTTTAACATATTTATATTAACAATTGTAAAATACTTATAGCGAACGTTCAACCTGTCTGTTTACCACTCGGTGACCTTGCTACATACAATTTGGACAGGAAATATGCCACCGTTTCTGGTTGGGGTGTCACTGAAACAGGTAATTATTTTATGTAAATTTTTCCCAAAAAGATTATTTTGTGATTGTTGTTGATGCCAACCGTCGAATAACAAGTATAAAGCCATTTTTTAAATAACAAAATTTAAAATATTATTGAATACAATAATAAATAATATGATATTATTCTTTGCTTTAGGGTTCAAAAGTGCTGAATTATTAAAAATCTCAGTACCTGTAATATCATCCAGCGATTGTCGAAAAATCTACAAAAAATACACTCCAATCACCGAAAAACAGATCTGCGCCGGCGGATTGCATGGCCGCGATTCATGCGGAGGCGACAGTGGCGGTCCTTTGATCCATGTCAATTTGTTAGACGGAAGTCCCAGGTATATCCAACACGGCATCGTCTCCTACGGTCCCAGACATTGTGGCACCGAAGGCCAGCCCGGTGTCTACACGAGGGTAGCTCACTACATGGACTGGATTCTAGACAATATGAAATTGTGAAGTACATATACTCACTCTCACGGGAAACTAATGTAGATAAACGATTTGTAGAATATGATTAGTATACAAAGCGTAGTTCGTAACGTTCGTATGAACTGGATGACTCACGAATTAATATGGCGATGAGGAGCAGGCATCGCAATGTTCATACATTGATTTGTGAACCGATGACGCCAAATTTTAATGTTATGAAGATTGTAATTGATCGCAATGTACAGCTATTTATTTTATTCGTTGTTCGTAAATACATAGAGTAGGCAAATCGGAAATTGTATGTATTATATTGTATGTGAAATGACTTGAAACCATGGCAACATGCGGAAGATAAATAATGACAAAAAACAAAATTTTCAGAAGCTTATATAAAAACATATCAACTCAAAGTCGGGACATATTAACGAGCTCAGTTAACTTGTTTCTTCATTTAAAGATTATAATATCTGGTTAAATGTAGGCTGTCAATCATTCTCCCGCCTTCATCACTTGATAATGCACATATTAAACTTGAAATACAATTAATATTTCTGTATGCATTAGCTATTAACATAAGTAATCTATGTAATTGTAGGAAACCCCATAATCATTGTTGGACTTCCCGCAATGTGTCGAATTAAGTGTCATTAAGTCACAAATATACCGATAGCCCCTTATCAAAGTTTATTGGTCACATACGCTGTAATTCGTCGCGTCACAATCCGCGTTCGCTCAAAATAAGAACCACAAAGTTAAACTTGTATATGCAAAACTTGTAGTGGTCAAGGCGGAACGGCGATGTTCGTCAGCCCGTCGCGGCCAGTTTCGGTCAGACGTTCGTGGTGTGATGGTCGCATCAGCATAAAATTCGCACTACGCATCTCGCGCTTGTCCAGACCACTTTTTAACACGCGCTCGCTGACATCTCAACCATGGCCGCGACGCGTTACTTATTTACATGTCTATTAGCAATTCTATTGACCGATCCGAGTCAAGCTCGTAAGTATTTACAATCGCTTTAGCACATGTTCCAATCGCACGTATACAAATATTTTTATTGGTCTGGTAGTAATCTAGTTGGTGATGGTTAATGGAAAGCGCTACCATTTTCAAGCGCAGACTTTGTCTTTCCAGAATGGGCTATCGACGACTATGGTTGCACAACGCCAGATAGGAGTTCCGGTGTTTGCCAGCCGATCCACAGCTGTAAACCCATTGTTGACTATATAACCGCGGCGAAGAAACCCCTTTCGCATGCGGATAGAGGTTTACTTTTAAGCTATCAATGCGGCTTTGAGAAGAACACCGTCAAGGTATGTTGTCCAGAAAAACCCATTCGTGGTGGCGACACAGGAAGTCCGGATACCCTCGACGCAATATCACGCCATAAAAATATAAAACTCATTCCGATCGATAACTGCGGTCCGTATCAAAGTGATGACAAAATCCTGAACGGAAATATTACTGCGTTGTTTGAGTTTCCTTGGATGGCGTTATTGAGATACAATGACAGTAAGTACATATTTGATTTGTGTTTCATTCATGTTTTTATGTTTTTATGATTGATTTTAGATGGCAGAGATGCTGGTTTTAAATGCGGCGGAACATTAATCAACAAGCGATATATTTTAACTGCTGCACATTGCATTACAAACTTAAAAACAAAAACATTGTAAGAGAATACTGAGTAACTTGATGTAGGTACATCTTTGATGATGTTTTGTAGGACCACAGTTCGTTTGGGAGAATATGACATCAAAATGGACAAAGACTGCGAAACTCATTTCGAAGGTGATACTTTATGCGCTGACCCGGTGCAGGATTTCACTGTTGATGAAATAATCCCTCATTCAAAGTACAGCATTAAGACGTTCGAAAACGACATCGGTTTGCTACGCCTAAACCGCGACGCAAACATTTCTGTGGGCAAGTACTACTAAGACTAATCAAAACCGCAGATATAAAACTAATAACCAGTTCCGATAGTCAGATCCCAAACCTTTACACGCATCCACATAACATACTCCAGCAATATAATCATAAATACCATCATATGTATGCTTTTGTAGACAGTGTGAAACCAGTTTGTTTGCCAATCGCGCCAGCGGTGCGAAACACCGACCTCAAAAAAGTTATTGTCACCGGCTGGGGAAGAACAGAAAACAGTAATTATTAATTAACAATGAATGCCAACTTATTTATGACCTCATGTAAATACCACTCATTGCTTGTAGGTTTTCAAAGCAATGTGCTGTTGAAAGTTGATTTGCCCATCATGGCGCCTCAAGAGTGTCAGCAGCGATACAGTCAACCACCCATAATGGCTACCATCACCGATAAACAGATTTGCGCTGGCGGAGTTAATGAAAAGGATTCTTGCGGCGGTGACAGCGGCGGCCCGTTGCAGTTTGTCACTCAGTATAATATGGAAGTACGTTATGTGCAATATGGAATTGTGTCATTCGGGCCAAATCCATGTAGCACGCGCGGTTTGCCTGGCGTATACACAAAAATTACCAAGTATTTGGATTGGATACTGGACAACATAAAGCCGTAGTAATATTAGTACCAAATGTGTTTGTTTATATTTTCGACATTCTGACGAGATTATTAACTTTGAAGGCATTCAATTATAATTTATTAATTGCTCAAGTAACCTTGGAGTTTCCTTTTATTCGATTCATTCTGAACATCCGTACCACGAAGTATAGATATAAGGAGTCCAAACGGTATAGGCTTTTTTTTTGTCGTAGTCATGGTACACAATTATAAACACAGCTCATAGTTCCCTTTTCTGCCACTGGCTGCGCAAGGATCACTAGTGAATCGATGTACGTTGGTTCGTGTCCATAGCATCATTGAGACAATCCGTTTACATGACGTTCCTGTATTTCTATAATTCGTGATTATTATTGTCTCCCGTTGAATTTTTTTCTGGCGGTTTCCATAGCAAAGTAAGGATTTAAACGAGTACACTAACGTATAGTGGCGCCCTCTATTGGCGAATGTTCTGTTCCCTTGATCGAGACCATTAATTTAACATGACGTTCGGTCTCCTGTGTATCTATACTTGCTGATCCGTACCCAAGCGATTAAAAACATCCTAAATAAGTGTATTATTCACTTGTTATTTTGGGAATATTGTTTGTAGATTGAGTGATGTCTTCCAAACGTTTTCGGTCGGCTAAACCTTGAAATTTGGCAGCACTAATTAAAGTTTAAAACGCAATTAATTATTTTAATTTACTCATTTTATAATAAGCGTTGTGTATCTTTAATTACAGGCATTATCATAATCTCATTTAAAGCATTATTATAAACTATAATTTGTTCAATCGAGTGGATAGGATAGAAATGTGGTGTAATAGAAATGGCGCTCGTCCAAACCGCATCTTGCTTAATATCAAATTCGAAATGTATGTGATTTTCTCAGTCTGATACTCATTTCGTTTCGATTCTTCGCCATTATTTGTTGGCAATGATGACGTCGGTGCGAAGTCCCTATTTTATTCCTCGCTATTCGTTTCCTACTTTATTTTCTTTGTAAGATTATGTTATCGTTAGTCCATATGATTTGCAGTCATATTTACAGCTTATAAATATATTCTGGTTAAATTCTGAGTCGGTGCAGGCCAATTATTACATACACTTGATGTCATGCTAAATTCAAATATGTATATCATTTGTTGTATTGTGTCATTTGTATGGGTTTGCGTGTGTGAAAATAATATCATTTCATTCAAATAATGACGTTCATCCAGAGATGCTATTAAAGGTGAAGTTCGGGTTTGCATCCACATACAGATTTCCAGTGTTGTTATTTTCTATTAAATATCTCATAAGAATGATTAATAAGTTAATAATTGGGATAACAATAGCACTAGTCAATTTTAAAAGCGCCAATTACGACATTATTCCTCCCATTGATAAACCGTTCTCAGATGCCGAAAGTGTAGGGTGTAGTTTGAACTTCACACCTATATTGCTGGAAAAAATTATTGGAATTTGTCGCTAATAACATGTCTGCGCTGATCATAGGGTTTCTCCAAGCTTCATTTTCTTCATTGTTTATAGTAGAATTGAGTAATGTTGAAACCGCCTCCTCGTCAGCTAGGCTACTATTTGCCTTCCAAGTGTCGCGCAGGTCCACCGTGCCTGGAAGTAATAATTTTGTTTGTGTTAAATTCACTTCGGCGCCTTCATTTTGTTGTTTACTTACTTTTAGATGACAGATATATCAGCTTTTCTGTTTCTCATGATTCATTACTCTCCTCTTCTTAGATGAGAATCCAGTCCTCTTCTTCGTTGGTGGAACCAGTTAGAATTCATTTCCCTTTGTTGTTGATGCGTTGGTCTTCACCAATTGGTGAACTGTTCAAGATTCATTCTTCTTCTTGTATGTGTATTCCCACATTTCAACAGTAGAACCTGTAAACAATCTCCTCCTTTTCTAGTTGAACTGTTGATGGTCCTTTACTCTTCTTCGGCAATTGACCCCGGGAAAATGCATTCCTCTTCTTCGCCAGTTAAACCACGGATGATCCAATCCTCTTCATCGTCAGTAGAACCGTTCATGATCTGTTCCTCATTTTAGTCAGTTGAACAGTATATGATCTATTCTTCTTTTTCGCCAGTTAAACCGTTGATCTATTCTACTTTTTCGTCAGTTGAACTGTTCCTCTTCCTGGCGAATTGCATCGTTGATGATCCATTCTTCCTCGCCAGTTGCATCGTTGATGATCCATTCTTCTTCGCCGGTTGCACGGCTGATGATCCGTTCCTTTTCTTCGATAGTTGACCAGGGATGATCCATTCCTCTTCTTCGGTAGTTGACCAGGGATGATCCATTCCTCTTCTTCGGTAGTTGACCAAGGATGATCCATTCCACTTCTTCGGTAGTTGACCAGGGATGATCCATTCCTCTTCTTCGGTAGTTGAACCAGGGTTGATCCATTCCTCTTCTTCGGTAGTTGACCAAGGATGATCCATTCCACTTCTTCGGTAGTTGACCAGGGATGATCCATTCCTCTTCTTCGGTAGTTGAACCAGGGTTGATCCATTCCTCTTCTTCGGTAGTTGAACCAGGGATGATCCATTCCTCTTCTTCGGTAGTTGGACTAGGAATAGTCATTCCTCTTCTGCGCTGTTGATGCTTTCCTCTTCTTCGCCGAAGTACCGTCGATGACCCATTCCCCTTCTTCACCGATGCACCGTTGATGATCCACTCCTCTTCTTCGGTAGTTGATCAGGGATGATCCATTACTCTTCTTTGGTAGTTGAACCTTGGATGATCCTTTCCTCTTCTCCGCTGTTGATGATTGCCTCTTCATGCCAGTTGAAGCGTTGGTAATCCATCCTCTTCTCCGTTGTTGAAGCGTTCCTCTTCATCACCAGTTGAACCGTTGATAATTCATTCCTCTTCCTCGTTGTTGCAGCGTTTCCCTTCTTCGTCAGTTGACCCGTCAATAAACCATTACTCTTCTTCCCGTTTGAAATGTGCCTCTTCATCACCAAAAGAACAAGTAATAAACCATTACTCTTATTTGCTGTGGACCTAATCCTCTTCTTCGCTGATGCCTTCGCAGCCCCAAGAGCAAACGATAAGCCAGTTTCTCTTCTTCATTTTCACACGTGTTGATATAAAATTTGTAATTACATGACTTGTTAAAAATTAAATAATGCTTACTTTCTGTACAGCATGCTACATCCATATCGATAATTTAGAGAAGTCCTGAGTAGTCCTTTTGCCGCGACGACAGCCTCAAAATCTAAGTGTGTTCAAATATGCATGCATTAAATAAACTGATGTCCTCTTCTGTTGACATCCTCTTCTTGGCTGATTCTGCGTTGAGTTCCGATGTCCCTATGAGAAAAAAGAAATGCTGACAAATTCCTCCCCGCTGTCCTCCGTTCGACGCATCTGATTTCAAGTTCTATTTCGCATCTTCAGCGATGTTCCATCTTCCCATTCGTCCACAGATGATGCAGTAATTCGATCTTCTCCAGGTTGATCCTCAATCCAGCTTTACCGATCCTCCAAGCTCCTTCTACGTTGTCATTCCATCTACGTCTGCTAGGATGTAGCCCACGATGCAGCAGCATGAATGTTCGAAAATTAGTAATCTTCATCTCCGGCGAAGTGTGACAATTTTTCGTCGGAAGTGAGGAGATTCGGTTCAAACTCTCATCCTCATCGATAAATTTCGAATCTTTCAATAAACTGGTTGACTCGGTTGTTCTGCAATGATTACTTTCAAACCCGTTTGAATTCGCCATATTAATAATTGTTGGCAGTACCTGGTCTTCATTAAACCAACAGCTGATGAAATTGTTCTTAGGCGATTTTCATTTTCCTCTCTCATTTTTCTTCTTCTCTACAGCTTTTGTACAAGACTATTACGTTATTACGTTGGCAATGTATTAACTTCTTACCTTCTTTTATATTGCGCGTGTAGTGCACGGTGAAAAAAGTAGCATTATCCTCCCCGTCGGGAACAAACCTCATGCGGCAAAATTGGAGCTTTCGTATGCTGCTAGATAGTCGAAAATGTGTAATTCACGCGCGCTTGAAGAAGCAAATTAATTTGTTTTTCAATGCCTTTCGCCCTATGTGGTGTATTGTTTTTCCAGCAAGTTACTGCATTTTTTCAAATATATTTGTTGATTGCATGTATGTCAGCGCATGCAAGAATTAAGATTCGAGCACTCCTCATTAAATTTTGGTAATACCGACCCCGAGTTAATCTCACCACACTTATATTTAAACGTTGATCAGCATGAGGTGCTGTGCAATGTCTATCTCAAAGGCTTATTCCTATAAATCTGTCTGCATATAATCATCTTTCCTTGGGACGCATTTCATGTTTCATCACTCCGATTCTACAGTATTCTTCTTATCTAGCCGCATTAGTATATTCATCGCATATTAAAAGATATTCATCAGAGGATTTTCGATAGTGTAAATCTTAACAACTATCCTAACGAGTACTATTGTACTCTGTACACATGTCTCCCAACATCAACGCGAGCGGACGATCTTCGTGAACACGAATACCACGATGTCTACTTCACTGGCAATTCGTAATTTTCCATAACAAAATCTGAGATGCTCCACCGGTGACTGTTAATCCATTGCCTCATTCTCGATGACAAACATGCAGTGAAAATATATTCATTCTGATTCCAACAATAACCGCGCCTCTACAATTTCACATGATACTTTGATTCCATTTAACTTAATACATTCATTTACAATGAAGCAATCTGTGTAATTGTTCATAACGAAAGCTAAACTACTACCCTACAAAGAATTCTTCTTCAGAAGATGTTTAAGTTATTTTCCAATTAGTACCTTTCCTGTAAGATAAACCCTGTGCATTCCATTTGATTGACGCATCTTGTAGTTATTTAAAAAAAATCTAGAATTCTTGCATTCATGTCCTCGGCGATCATCAATGTTAATATAGTAGAGTTGTATCCTTCAAAGCGAAATTCTGTAGTACACATGTTGTTCCCTTACCTTGTTTGTTTTGTCAATATTCGACATGTGACCATTTATTTGTTACTGTAAATCCAGCTCTGTAAGTGTAAAGGGGTTGGTTTCCGCTGGGATATTTCAAGGATGGCAGGCAACTATTCCGTACTGCGTTTTTTTAAGATGACTTCATTCTTGTAGATTGTTTTCAGTTTTAGTACGATTGGCGCAGATTTAGCATGTGCTCAGTCTAGGCTTTGAATGATCCGCAATAATTTATAAGCAAGCAGCGCCAATTTCTGAAAATATAGTTATCGCCGCAAACTACTTGGGCACGAATAGCCCACATGCAAAGAAACCACTTGCCTCTTTCACAGGAACGTAAAATATGCGGATGAGTGTTTTGATATTGATTAAACATGAAGTGGCGATCTGCGTGCTGCTTAAAAAGATCTCTTCTGTGCGTATACTAAAAGAATAATCTCCTTTCATTCCAACCGACACATCCAGTGATATGGCTGCAAAATCGAGATTTCACGTTTCGTTGTCTCGTATAAGATGAATTTATTAGCGAAAATGTTAACCGCATTTGTGCTCAATTGGCGCATCCATTAAAGTTGACTGTTCTATTTGCGTGTCTTCGGCATTGCAGCGTTTGAATTCTAATATTCTTCATGTTGGTATCTAATAATTATTTAGGTCCAGAAGTGATGCTGTAAATAACCCGTCTCTTCTCTTCGATAGAAAAGCCGCAAAATCCTGAAGAATACGTTAATCACGTACCTTTGAACATCGCAACATCTGCTCGCGACATGCAAACGTTGCATGTGTGCGTCCCCAACAAAACTTATCAACATTCATTCGACTTTTACTTCAATTTAGCTGGATATGAAGTGGTACATTTCATGAGCAGAACATGACGTGAATGCTTCCATCCTGAAGAAAATCAAATCTTTGCATTGTAACACAAATGACTAACCTATAAGCGCAGGCGCGAGTTTCCATCGTTTTCTTGTTAGGTGATAATCGATATAATGCATTGTCGAATGGTTTCAAGGGATAATGTGCAACTTCCTTACAGAGGCGAACGTCTAATTGCTTGTGTAACGACCTGAAGAAAACTAAGTTGGCTTTGTAACCCAATTCAACAAACCTAGAAGCGCAGTCGTTGGTTGCTGTTTGGATTTCATTTGGAGGCTGTTTGTCGCGTCTTTGTAAAACTTAGGCTTTAGTGGCGATGTATATCATTAAAGTGGCGCATTTGTGATTTGTCGATAGAGCGGGAGAAACTCTTGAGCCGGAACCTTGAAGCAAATTCACATTTTCGCAAGACATCAAAACCAGACAAACCTAATTGTATGTCGGCGCGTCAGCTGGATCGTTAATTACGAAGGAAAGAGGCGTGCCGCTATATTCCGTATCCGCTTGAGCCTGGACGAGTTTTTCGATCGCCCTGCAGAATACAGCATAGTGGTTTTGCATGATATTTGAGGTACAAACCAGCTCGGAACAGCCGCTTTTATTTCGCACTTGTCCTTCGCCTCTAGGTAACCGCTTTCAAGTTCGGACAAGTTGCATCGAGGTGACGACAGACTTCACGTGACGTAAAGCTCTGGGAAAAACGTTTGGTTTTGCATTGTACAACAATTGACAAACCTAGTTTGCTGCTTGCGATCAGGTACTCTCTCTCTCTCGCTCTCTTACGCACGCCGTCCGCATCGTGATAAAAACCGCGTGATTATGGGCACCAATGTGGACGCCTCGGGTTTCTGAAGAATATTCAAGTGTTTCGATTTGCATTGCGTATGTTACCAGCACGAGACGACTAAGTGATAACGCCCTAGGTTCGTTCCGCAGTGTCCACGCGCAGATGAATGATTGGACATTACGTTCCGCAGAAGTGTACGGGGGTTGCTTGCCTCGTGTCGGGTTGATTCCGCATCACATGTAAAGTCAAATTCGTTAATAACATACACAGCATATATTCAATAATCTTGAAATTTATTTTTTTCTGTTTCAACTAAAATGTATACTATATTTTATTTACAATTTTCACCCTAAGAAAAAACCTAACTATCTAGAATCAAATAGAATTAATTGATACATATTTACAAACCAAATACTTTGGATCCACACCCCTCGTCATAGCCTCTCTGTCTATGGATTACCCACGGAGGGACTGGAATTAAAAAAGTCTATCATAACATCACAGTTCATCAGCAATCAGCAATAACATTTTGTACTAATCAGTAAAATCACAAATGTAGTCTTGTTCTCAATTTAAATAAATGTTTCAAATCAAAATAGATTCTTCCGGTTAACCCCGCGCATGGCACTTGACTAGCTTGAGTTGGCCGAGGAAATCGTCTAGGCTGCAAATAGCATCGCAATGAGATTCGTTGAAGCGACTCCTCCCCTCTTTGGCATCGGTGCTGGCGTCATCCGTCCGGGGAATGGTGGTGGAAGGGAACGCTGGTGTCGTCACGGTAGCCCGCATCTGCTGCCAGCGCTGCTTGCGCAGCTGCTGTTTCGCATGCAGCTCGTGTTCCGCCATTTTGAGTGCGTGTCTCAAGACCGCATCGATATAAAGATCCGCATTACGGCGTCGCTTACAAACGACTTTCTTTGTCTTTACTTTACGAATCCAATTCTTTAGGTCGCTTGTTTTGGATTTCAGACAGTTTGTCGAATCCGTAAACCCGACGGCCATTTTAAATTTGATAATTTAGGCAAAAATTTACGCAAGGCTTTTTTGAATTACACCTTGTTGGAATTGCGTATTATATTTTGGTAAGTCAACACACCTTATGTACAAATACCGATGGTGGATATGCGACTTTCGTTCTTGAAGTAAGGCCAGGCGTTGATGGAGTGTTGTAAAATCTTGAAGTCTTGTAGCTCCGTAGTCGAGGTATTGCGTCGTTCACGTTCCGTATAGATGTGGGCACTGAACTGCGATGCGAACTGCTCGACGAACGACGGTAGAATGCGGAGAGTGGGGATCGATTCAGCTTTTATACCCAGGGCAACGACAGCTATTGTATTCCTACGCCTTCCAACGAAAAATAGTACCCAGACAATTGAATATAAATATTTATAAACAATTGTTTTCTAAGCAATCTTATTGTTAAATTAATCTTTATTCAATACTTAATCAGATGTGATTAGTAAAAATCAGCAAATATAATGAATTGTGATTAAATTTGGCAAAGAACTTTTTCAGACCAGCGTTGTCACGGAATATGTAGTACGCATGGACGCAGCAGGGTGCCGTAAACAGTCTAGAACATTTTTGCAGGACACATGCCATAGGTATAAATACTAAGATAAAACTGTTTTTGCGATGCGCAAATTTCGTAAATCTAATACGCAATTATAAATAATAGATTCATTGACCTTCTACATTGCATTCACCAAATATTTCGCTGACTTAACGGTAATAATAATTTCAACATACGTATGTGCTTTCTACTCGGCACGTTTTACTGTTATTATGATGCACCCAGACAATTCGTTCACATGAACAAACAAGAACAATAAACACCTACGTGTGTTCCGAACGTTTGCACAATGTAAAAGTTATTTATTTACACAAAACAAAATCGTACTTTGTTCACATTCTAGTAAATTCCAGTGAAATCACTCTATGATGACGCATGTCCGATGATGGAGCGCTATAAAAAATCATATCTTTTTACTAACACTGTAAATCATAAACATGTGTATCGCATGTGTAAGGTTTTTACCTTGACTGGCGTTAACGCATGGGTGAGTTGAAGCCCGATGCTTCGAAGCATAACCAGAGGGGTGAATTCCGTGTTATACATTCGGTGAATTCCATCCACGGCAAGCATCGTCGGCACATTGTGACGCTGGCGTTCGGTTTCGTAACGCAGCAGGTAATCCTTATTGGCTGCAATTCGAGGTAAATGCGAATGAGGGTCTTTGTTACAACTCACAACCGGTTATGACCCAGTCTGAAGCACGTCTGAAACTTGCAGGGGATTATGTACTTACTTATTGTCGATCCGTTGTAAACGGCTTCGCCTAGGATACGGTTTAAGCATTCAATGTCTCCGAAACCGAGATTTACTCCTTGGCCAGCCAGGGGGTGGATTTTGTGTGCTGCATCGCTATAATAACAATACGATTTATTATTAATGGCCACCATTTGCAATATAATCTATTGTTGCTCAAATAAATAAACTTTGTTAATTTTAACATTGGAAAATATAAAATGTTCCAAATATCTATAATATAAAAATGAATCGCAAAATATGTTGGTAAGCGCATAACTCAACAATGCCTAGACCAATTTGGCCAATTCTTTTTTTTAAATGTTCGTTATAGTCCAAGGATGGTTTTTACGGCAAGAAAAAATTGAATAATTGCCGAAAAACCCCTAAAGACAGCTCTTTTCTATAGGATAAAAGTTTGCATTGAGATTCAATCATAGTTATGGTTAAATAGTTGAATCCGAGATAGCACGCTGAAGTGCATTATTAGCAATTATTTATATAATTAATTTCTTTAAAATAAAATTGCGAATCTTATTGATAGAATTGACACATATAATGTCTAGAATAAGAGAGTAAAATCGTGGGCAAAAGCTAGTTTCAAATAAAAGTAACTTTTGCTCGCTTCGTTGACTGGCCGCTTGCGAAAAATTTCGACATTTTTAAAAGTAAATATTGTACGAGCGTTTATAACGGATACTATAACAAAAAAAAAAACATGCAAAAGTCAAACGTTGTTCAAATGATGGAGAATTATTAAAACATATCATATTAAAACACACAATTATTTCACTGATCTTTAAAGTATTGCATCAGCAACAAACAATTTCTCTTCCTTTTATGTTCATTACATTTTAGACGTTTCCAAACGAAAGTAATAAAATGTCACCAAAGAATATTTACGATTTCTAAACATTTATAAACCCATAAACACATAATATCATAAACAACATAAAATCGCAATAAATCTATTCCGCGTTAATTTGCTTTTGATCCAAATCGAAAATATAGGTAGGTAATTTCGACGCAATAAATATTTACAAATCGTAAGAGTATTAAAAATAAAGTTATGATCAATTAAAATTAATTTTATATACGTTACCCAACAAGCGCAACACCATCCCCAACATATTTCGTTGCGTGTCCAAAACCCAACGGAAACGCAGCCCTGCTCTGCTCCTCAAACCCGCAAACACTAGGCGGAAGCTGTCGAATAGCATTCGGCGGACAATTTAATACTTTCAGGCAATTATCAATCAACTTTGTTGCCTCCCCAACAAAACCATCAATCTTATACACTTTCCATAGTGCCTCATTACATGCGTCTATAAATTCCTGCGCGCTCATTTTCAACAGTTGATCAGCATGCGCAGGAGTAGTAGACCACACAAGTGAACTCATATTTTCCTTCAACTATAAAAATATTTATATTTACCAAAGCGTCTAGCGATTTTATATTGTAAACTTACTGGAAGTAGAGCAATAGGTCCTGTTGGTAGAAATCTTTGCCATGCAACGCAATTTTCTTCAGCCTGAAATTATACACCTTATAAATATTATCATGTTTTATTTATACGATAATCAATCACTTACACCTTTAAGATGTAGCGTGGCAACAACACCTCGTTGATTATAGCTCCAATTCACATATTGAGCTTTCATCGAGTCCCTTACTTTCGAATTGGCCCCATCGCAACCAAGCTGGAATGCAAACACATTAAACCCAATATTACACAAAGCAAACCGATGTTTAATGTTTACAAGTAAAGCTAGAAAAAAAAAAAAATAGCCGCGTAAATCAAAAGCGGTACTTGCAAGCTTGTAGCCCACATCAACATTTCAATTTTCCAGCGATTCGATCTTCTGTTTACAGTAAGTGAGCGCGTTTGTTTACACGTGCGCGAGCTAATTCTGGCGCAAAGCAAAATTTCCGATTTCAACCAACACCGAGCGTTTAGCGCGCGCCGAGTTAATAGTTCGTTAGTGCAAACTTAGTTATCGACGAGGGATAATGAGATGTCTTATCGAAGTGTCGAGAGTGATGACAACACATTGAAATGGGCGGACGAATATGTGAAGGACTCGGACGTAGAGGCGGAGAGCATCTCCGACGACAGCCAAGATCAAGGCTCGGAGAAAGAAGGACCATCGCGTACTTTGCGATCAAAGAGTATTTTTCACAATTGGGAACCTGAACTCATCTGGGAAGATTTACAGGTAAATAAATTTTGAATCAAATTAAAAATGCACATGCGCAGTAGCACACAAATCTACAACGAAACATTTAAATGTTGTAGACACTTCCAGGAGTGGACAATGATTTCATTGAAGCAATAAAAGATGACAGATTGAATGAAATCTTACAAAACCCAAATGCACTCAGCAGTGGTTTATTAATTGCAACATATCTTGGAAATGCAACAATAGTTGCAAGTTTACTAAATCTGGGCGCATCTGTAGACCAAGTTGCCCCTGATGGTAGAACAGCCCTGCATATTGCTGCAAACTGTGACAATCTAGAATGTCTCCAAGTGCTCATCAAACACAAATCCGATGTTAATAAATTCGACGCAAACCACAAAGTCACCGCCTTGCATTTAGCAGCGAGTAAAGGAAGTCTTGCATGTTTAGAAGAGTTAATCATATCGGGTGCAGATATCAACGCCGGAATCAAAACACCTTTGCATTATGCTGTTGAAAATCTCGAAGAAGATTGTGTTAAAGCCCTGTTAGAAAGTGGTGCATCACCGAATACAATACAAGTATTCTCAGAGACACCTCTGCATGTGGCAGCAACTCTAGGATCAGCGGAAATCCTCAAATTACTTATACAACATGGCGCATCCGTGAATGTCCAATGCGGTAGTGATAAAACAACAGCTTTACACTTAGCCGCAGAAGATGGTAACATTGAATGTGTCAGATTATTAATCGAAGCTAGAGCGAATATTTCCGCGTTGAATGGCAAGAAACAAACGCCATTACACATAGCTGCATTCTGCCAATCATCGGAAGCAGTTGAATTGTTACTGAAAAAAGATGCCAATCCAAACGCAAGTGATAAAGATGGCCGTACACCACTACACTCCGCCATTGTTAAAGTCTCGCGATCCTCAGAATGTGTCAAACTATTGCTTGGTGCCGGTGCAAATGTTAATAAACCAGATGCATTCGGCTACACACCACTTCATCTGGCCGCGCTGAATGAATTCTCTACTTGTGTGATGATGCTCATCAATGCTGGCGGTGACGTCACAGTACGAACAAATGGCGGCATTTCAGTATTAACTTTCATCACACGTCGCACCCCGGATGTAATACCGAAGTACATATGCAAGTTTGACAATTCCATCAAACTCACCGATCATGAGATTGGCGATGTCGACTGCGAACTGAAACTTGACTTTAAAATCCTCGTCCCGAGCACGAGCAAAGGTGAAACAGAACTGTTACTCAATTTCATTGAAGTGGGACATCGTGAAGTCCTAAATCATCCGCTATGCGAGACATTTCTCTATCTAAAATGGCGTCGAATTCGAAAATATTTCCTTTTTTCACTGTTCTATCACGCAGTGTATGTAACACTCTTCACAGCCTACACCATAGAAGTATTTAGCCGTGATTGTGAGTCAAAACTCAACTTTGCAATGACATTCCGAGGTGGACCAGGCATACATCGCAAACCCAACACATGTTTAGTACCAGAATGGGCTAAGAACATGTGTTACCTCCTCATCATGTTGAATTTCATGCTCGTGGGTAAGGAGATATTCCAAATCGCACATAGTTGGGCAACGTACATCAAACAATGGGAAAATTGGCTGCAATGGATGATTATTATCGCTGTGTTTTTATGCGCGGTGCCAACCAATGGTGATATTACATTCACGATGTATTCATGGCAGCATCATGTGGCGGCCATTGGAATATTCCTCACTTGGCTGGAGCTGATGATGATAGTTGGGCGGTTTCCAATTTTCGGGCTGTATATCCAAATGTTTACAACGGTGGCGATTAACTTTGCGAAATTCTTATTGGCCTACGGATGTTTACTAATTGCGTTTGGATTGAGTTTCGGCGTGTTGTTCGCCAACTATCGGGACATTAACAATATCTTTCTGTGGATTATGAAGACGATTATTATGATGTCAGGGGAATTGGAATTTGAAGACATGTTTTATACAAAGGAGTATCCAGTTCACTATCCGGGTACTGCACATGTGATGTATCTCGCGTTTGTTTTGTTAGTGACTGTTATCCTGACTAATTTAATGGTTGGTTTAGCGGTTAGCGATATTCAAGGATTGCAACAAAGTGCAGGGTTAGATCGACTTGTAAGACAAGCGGAATTAGTCGCGCATTTAGAGAGTATGTTGTTTTCGAGACTGTTACGTTGGATGCCATCGAAATTTTTAGCGTTTTTCTATAAACATGCGCTGTTGTTAAAGTCGACGCATCACAGCGCATTGTATATTCGACCGAACGATCCAAGAGAGAATCGAATACCGAAAGATTTGATTAAACACGTTTATGAATTGGTTTGTGAGCGTAAAGAGCGTATTAAACGGAAGAGAAGTTGTAAAGTAGAGAATTACCAAATTGTCTCGCGTCTTAATTCGACTAGTGATTACACTTACATGGGAAAAAGTAACAAACTCAATGTAGAGTACAATAATATGCAATATGTTTAAGTTTAAATTTAATAATTGTAAATTTAAAAAACTTACCAATAAATCACAGCTATAGCAGGAACCGTTTTCCAGGAGAAGCACATTTGGATTATCACCAATTTCACACTCTTTCACTTTAGCATTATTTTCTACTGTGACTGTTTTCAAGGTATTCACTTCTTCATTCACAGAATTTAAAATCAAATCATTTTCAATAATGTAAGCAACAGTGTCCCTCATGTTGTCATGGTTGAAGTTTATCATAGCATCTGATAATGCATCCCAAACCTGTAAAGAACAATTCCAATATAATTTGCAGAAGTAACATTTACATCAGCATACAGCTCCTCTGAGTTACAACAAAAAAATTCATATTTTATTTCTTTTTTCAGCATTTTTACTAGAGTAATTGAGCTTAGAAAAGATTAGACAGATGGCGCTCCACGTAAAATTCAAATATTTGGTTATTTTTTGTTCCTTAATGCAGAAACTCCTCACAATTATGTGACAAAATGCTAGATCTCTTGTCATTATAGAAAAGCTACACTGTATTTGCAATCAGAAACACAATTTCTGGTACTTTAATATGAATAATATACGATAAACTTACATGTAATTGTTTGACGGTCCCATAGCGAGCGATATGCTTCCACGCATCAATCTTTTTAAACAAGCTGATTGTTTGTGGATTAAGTGCAACAACTCTATTGCTGTACTTGTCTGATATTTGGTAAGATGATTTCTTGCCACCTTCCAGGAGCAGAATCTTTTTGCAGGCTAACTTTTTATTTTTACCTTAAAATAAAACATGTTTTATAATATGTTAATCACTTAAATAAAATAATATCGTACCTAATGTGCATGCAAGTGTTGTTCCTACCATGCCGCCCCCAGCAATAATAATATCATAATGTTGTGTTTTAGGAGTGTCTGAAGAAAATTGTTGTGTACTTGTGCTCAAATGCTTGGAGCAATAAAACTGATTTTTCCCGGTGAGCGCACATATCAACCGAGGCACTTTTATTGGCAACATATTTCTAATTTATTAGTAACTTTAATTTAAACTTTTTTCTGATAATTCGCCTGGTTTGAATCGTTCTGAAGGATAACAGATGATTTTCGTAGGTTAGTAAAGTTTTTAAATTTGATTTTGAACATACAGTGCCATCTATAATATTAAACATGTACTATATTTTTTAATGAAAATTTTTTACGAAAAAATAAAATAAACTGAGTAAATATACTTTTTATCTGATTTATTTTAATGTATACTCATTTATTGAATGCTTATTTTATGAATTTAAATTACTTCTTATAATCTATTATAATCAATTGTAGTTTTCAAGTATGTTAATAAGTTTTTATTGATTTTTACGCATAATGTATCTGTTTATGCGAGCATTTACCACCTGAAGTTGCCAAGCAACATGTCACCAACAGCCCTCAAACAAAACAAAGATTTTGAAGCGTCTCATATTAAAACTATAGCACTTCTTCCACGTCGAAACAATTACCCTTGGCAAATGTGTGACCACTCTGAATCTGTTTATAAAAACAATTGCATTAAAGTTGCAAAAAATAAATGTGCTGAAAATGCTACTTGCTTATCAAGGCAAGTACAAAAACTGCGAATATCCAGCGCCGACTCCAACACAAAAGAAAAAACAAAAATCAACTCGTTTATTGAATTCTACGACAGCATACCTGAATACAATGATATCAATCACTTATCCAATAAAGAATTCTACAAGAAATTGGATTATTTGCGACAGAAGCAGAGAACATTCTATGAAAGTTTGGTAAATGAAGAAAAGTATGGTGATAACGAACATAACAGTTGGTATGATAATTATAAGTCACTAAATAATCATCGAAATAGTATAATAAAAGCAAAAAATGATGATGTGGTAACACAAAAACCTCCGTCGAGAAGATCCGTGCGTATTGGGAGCCCGGAAGTTATTATTGATAAGAATAGAAGACCTAAAAGTTATAAAGATGAAAGTTTATTGAAGAGTTCAAGAGAACATGTTTCTTCAGCTGGTTCAACTTCGAGATACAAGAGCAATAGGCATAAATCGAATAAAAGTCCGTTTTGTGATTCGACTTTGGATGAAATGAGTGATTGTACATTGACAACGCGGAGTGTGCCTTGTAGTCCAAGGAAACAATCGGTTGCGTGGAAGGATAACAACACCACGCAGAGTAATACACCGGATACATTTAAAATGACCGTCAGGTAAATATTGATCCAAGAAAGCACAAAATTCAATTTTTCACATTTTCTGAAATAACCGCGTTTTATGATTATACTTGACAAAAGTGAAACACCAATTTGCTTGTTTACAGAAATGAGAATGATAAAATAATAGACGAAATAGTAATCAACAAGAAAGCAAATAAAACTAATGATGGAATGTTTCGTGCGAATCCTGTTCCGATTGAATCACGCATTCCGCTGTTTGATAAAATAATGTACGAACAAGAACAAAGGTTAGTTAAATACGAATTCATAAAACAAATTAAACGTGTTTCTTTTATTGATTTCATATAGAAGTAAACAAGTGAAACAACGAAGTAAGGAAGCACTGAAAGCTCAAATGAATTTATTTTCATTTACAAAACGCGAGGAAGAAATCTCAGATATTACTCGACGTCTCACAAAATCATCACCTGATTTATTTCTTTGTTTTGACAAGCAAAAGAAGCCAAAACAATTTAGGGCAAAACCAGTACCAAAAAATCTATTTAGTAATTATGCTTATCAAAAAATGAATGAAGATGAATACTACAGGTATTTATTAGTTTTTATTTAATAAAATATTGTGTTTTAATAGAGGATTTCACAGATCTTTGCAAAAAAAGATTCGTGCAGAGGAAATGTTGAAAACAGCATCGCTGCCTCCTTCAATGGCAAAACGTGAGAAGACTAAATCTAAATACCACATATGTCCGAAATCATTCCGAGAAATGTACGAAAGCCAAATGAGGAAAATACCACCATCACGCCGGAAAGATTTAGAAAAAGAATTGGCCGAACTCGAACTTGATTTCATCATGGCGACGCCAAGTCCAGTAAATGTAAACAAACCAAAAAGTAATAAATCAAAACGGAAAAACACTAGAAAGTCATCATCATCCAGCAGTGGAAAGAGTAGCAGAAGTCCTTCGACTCTTGAAAGTGTAAATCGGTCAAACTTGGCTGCTGTTTTACGAATTCAATCATCAAGGTACCATTATAAGTAGAACATAACCACACTTATAAAAAATTGTAAATTTGTCGTAAGGAAACGAATGGAAGACGAAATTTGTCGGCGTATTGAAGAAGCACATCTTAAAGAGGAAGCACGCTGGCGTGAAAAAGTGCTCCGGAAAAAACCGGTCTGGCAGACATTGACGTACAGCCATGAGGAAGATCTAAATATGCGATTACAGATGCGCCGTGACGAGGAACGGATGCGGAACGAAGAGTTTCGTATGCAGATGGAGACGATGTTTGGCAGAGTTAACCAGCAGCCAACTTTGTTCGAAAGACAATCAAATGTATAAAACTAGAACAGTTTTTGTAAAAAATGAGAAAATTATGTATTTTTGTTTGTTTTAGGTAAAGCTTGCAAAAACCAAAGAAGAACTGATTTCACAACTTTATGGTCCTTCACCTTCAAGTGACAAATTTTCACATAGTAATGAATCTTTAAGAAAATGTGTTGAAATGAAAGATGAGGGAATACAAGCCAAGCTTGACGATGTTTTTGACCCGAATGAGAATGGACCAGAGCAGAAAGAAGAATTTATCACTGATTCAGTTGACACTGATGATAATTAATTTGAAAAATTGCAACACTGCTGGAGTTCTTCAACCTAACCTAAATTATAAGCTAACCGAATGTATAACTTGCTTATTGTTACCACTATTAGTAGATTTAGTCGTGTAGATTCTTAGATATTGATGTTTTAATACTGTACACTTTCTGTGATATGAACCATAACAAAATGTCAACGTCTCTAATGTATCCCACAACTTCCAATCATTTGTTAGCACATGTGTGGATATTTAAATCATTTCCTCTTGTAGCGCACATAAACGTTTCAACAATAAAGTCGTCCATGTGCTTCGAAGTCACATTCTGATAAACTTGTGCCATTTAATATTGAAATGATCACGAACGTTACCTTAATTGCGTAATCGACGACGATGTTAACACGATCGAAACACAAATACTGAACGAGCATGGAGATTAGGAGCTCAGGTGAATTATACCGAGCAGAAAAAATGCGCTAGAAACATTTGTCGTGTGCAGATTATTAGTTCCGGCTGGCAATTGTTCCATCTTCAACTTCACCCACTTTGACAAGAGTAAACTACTATTGTGGAAGCGGTTTGTCACAATCGTGGTTCATCTCTGGCAGATTGAAGTTGTGGAGTGCAATGTGGTCAAAAATGTGTTTTAAAATGTTTGTGATAAAGTTGTGTTTGTTTCAAATTTTCGTGTGTAAATTGGTATTGGGTGATTGGGTAGAAATTCCACAATCTGCAAAAAAGTCTTATTTAGGTAATTTTTCTGTTAATCATTTTAAATTTTCAAATTTAAATGTTTAAACTTTTAATTTTAGTAACACCTTATAGTCCATATGTCTACACACCTTCTTTAATTTTCACATCAACCACAGAGCATTATGAAACAATGCAACCTTTATCTAAACCCAAAGTGATCAAAACAGACCTGAAAAAGTCCATAACCAAAATGCCGGACGCAGTTTTACGAAAAACCACGACTGAAATACCATTCATTGAACCTCCGACACGAAAACCCTTCATTAAACACGGCCATGTAAACAAAGTAAACGCATCAACATTGTTTAACAGCCACCTAAAACGTCCCAGTCTACACGACCGATTAAAATATCCCACTACAACCTCGACGAGTGTTTATTCTTCAGAAATTCCCTCGATTAGCAACAAAAATTTTCAAGTGGCCCACGAAGACGCCGATTTCGAACTAGACGACGATTACGAACAGGTTTATGACGACGATGAAGATAATTACCCCGATGAGAATGATGATACAAATGATGACGGTCCTGAAGACCCTGATGATCCTGACCATGATGATGGAATGGATCTAGACCCATCCGATGTTGGTGAAGATAATCAGGATGAACCACAAGATGGAGATGATGTTGATGATGAATATTATGACGATGATGAGTATGAGGATGAACCGATACCCGTGAATGAGCCAAAGGGTAACAGACAATCACATGGATCACAACCACATGCAAATGACAATTTGAATGGATTTAGTTACGCCAATTTAATGCCTTATTTGCAAAATATTCAAAGTACCTTGATTCGTACCTCGCATTCTAATAATGTGAATAGTAAGGTTTCATTTTTGACAGATATTAAGAACCGTTTACTTTACGCGATTCGTAAGTATAAATTACTTCTTTTGGACGGTTTTGTGGTAGTATTTATTGTAGAATCTAGAATTAGTTCAATTTGGGAACCAAGAAGTAAGCGTAAAACAAGAGCTACAAGAGGAGATGTGTGGGATTCATGGGAGAAAGGAAGTGAACACGGAATGGAGTTCCCTTCAAATGAGGGCGCGTTGTTGACGCTAGGATTTCTTACTTTTGCTGTTTTCTTAATTAAATGTATTCTGGTAAGACTAAATTACAATGTTTTTACATTTTTATTGCTTTCGGTATAATATATTCTTTACTTTCAGAAACTTATCCATGCTATCAAAGGAAAACATTCTGATAAAGGCACTACGCAAATTATTATACAAAATGGAACAGTCGCTCCTACTACTTTTCGATTTAAAAGAGAAGCTTTTGATGATTTGGAAATTGCCAAGTTTATGGCCAACCTTGATAGTTACGAATATAAACCCCACTGAGTTCAAAGTCTTTGTAGTAATAATACACAATATATTTAAATATTTATTTATTTATTATATTTAAATAGATAACAAATTAGTTTAGTTTAGTTTAAAAATAAAAAATAATAATTTAACGTAGGCAACTCTATTAACGGTGAAACCGAACCTTACTTTTTAGTTTACATTCTTACCTATGTTTTCCAGTTTTACCACGTGTTTAAAACGTTGTGAACTGAATAAACTCGTGTCGTGTACAAATTTAATAATGGGCAAACGAAAAGCTGGATTCCGTAAAGGAGGAAACAAGAATAAAGTAATAAAACCAGTGAGTTAATTTTATAATTAATCATGTAAATTTCTATTGGCAAACTATAACAACTAAACTTATACATATTCTAGAATACTGAAGGAGTTGTTGATAACAGGCAGGCCTATGAAGATATCGTGCGTGAAAATGAAGCGTTTGATAAATACTACAAAGTAAGTTATTAAATTGTCCATTAAACATAGAATAAAATCATAAAAACTATATTTTTAGCATATTAATGTTTGCAATGAAAGTGAATGGGATGATTTCCTTAAGTTTATGAAATCAGATCTGCCAACGACTTTTCGCATCACCGGCTCAAAATGCGAAGCAAAAAAGATGGTGGATATTGTCCAGGGACAATATCTTCAAGAATTGTTAAGTCACAATGAATCACTTAAAACAACCATCTTTCCTTTGCCTTGGTATCCTAACAATCTAGCGTGGCAGATGGACATCACAAAAAAGAGATTCGCCGTGAGGAAGCCTTCTATAAATTGCACAATTTTCTTATATCTGAAACAATGAACGGATCCATATCGCGACAAGAAACTGTTAGTATGATTCCACCGATTGTTCTCGACGTTCAATCACATCATAAAGTTTTGGACATGTGCGCAGCTCCTGGTTCAAAAACTGCACAGCTTCTCGAATTTTTACACGCTGATGACATGGCGGTACCTTCTGGTTATGTCGTCGCAAATGACGTAGATAATAAACGGTGTTACATGTTGGTACATCAAGCAAAACGATTAAATTCACCTTGTCTGGCGGTTATTAATCATGATAGCGCTGTTTTACCGAATTTAAGTGAGACTGTTAACGGTGCTATTGAACAAGTTCAATTCGATAGGATTCTTTGTGATGTTCCTTGCTCTGGTGATGGAACTCTAAGGAAAAATCCAGATATTTGGTCTAAATGGACTCCGGCAAATGGTATAAATCTTCATGGGTATGTTATATTAAATATATATTTTATTTATTATTAACTTGTTTTTTTGTTTGTTTTGTGAATGTTTAGTATTCAAAATCGTATTTTACGCCGAGGATGTGAATTGTTAAAAATTGGTGGTAGGATAGTATATTCGACGTGTTCTCTGAACCCAATAGAGAATGAAGCAGTAATTCATCGAATTCTGGCTGAAACTGACGGTGCTATGGAGTTGGTTGATGTATCTGCGCAATTACCTGGGTTGAAGTATTCGCCAGGTATGGAGTATTGGCCTGTTGGCTCGCGAAATTTGGAGTTTTATGAAAAAGCTGAGGATGTTGATGCTAAATGGAGCACTACCATTCGTCCGCAGATGTTTCCACCAAAACGGAAGAGGAAAAACGAAAATATAATTTGAACAGATGGTAAGTCATTTATTTCTACTTATTTAACATGTTTAGGAGTAAAACAAGTGAAAGCAAGGAATTTCGGGGATAGTGGAGTTATTCCAGGCCATATTTGGATTTAGTTTATTATAATTATCTAATTTATGCCATTATTCTATTCACAGTATCAGAATTTTACCCCACCAGCAAAATACAGGTGCATTCTTTGTTGCTGTGCTTCAAAAATTACATCCCCTGAGCGTTAAAGAAAAATCATTCAAAATACTCCCTCAAGAAGAAGAAGAAGAGAAGAAAGAAGCATTCGACCCGAAACTCCCGCAGAATCAGCGTAAACGCAGGCGTCAAGATGGTTTTAAAGAAGATCCGTTTGTCTTCTTCACCGAGGACGAGCCAGTGTACAAAGAAATCAAAGAGTTTTACGATATTCACAATGATTTTGACTCGAAGTGTTTGTTGGTGAGGTGTCACGCCGGCAAGAAAAAGAATATCTACTACACTTCGCCGGCCGTGAGAGACTTGATTGTTACAAATCAAGGCACGATACGCTTTATCAATACTGGTGTGAAGTTGTTTGTACGCACAGATAATCGAAACACGAAAAAATGTCCGTTCCGCCTCGCGCAGGATGGTCTAGAGAGCATTTTCCCAACAATCGGTGAAGCTAGAAAGATTAGGATACCTAAGGAAGATTTACTCACACTGCTGCTCAATGATACACCGGAAAAATCACCGAAAATTGAGGAACTTTCCGTTGGCATTCAGGAACAATGCAAGGATTTCGACGCTGGCAGTTGTATATTGATTTATACCGAACCTGGAAAAGAGGGAAGTGATCCGAGTGATAATGAAGAGTTTGTTTTGCATATAAGTGGATGGAGAGGCACGCAATCGCTCAGAGTCTACATGGCACAGTGTGGCACAATTCATTTACTACGATTGTTAGGCGGGGATGTGTCTAAATATGGTGAGTATTGATTATATCTGATTTTTTTCTTTTAATTCTACAATGTTGTATGAATAAAGTAATACTTTAACACGTCTTGCTTTTATAAACCAATGAATAGCATGAGTGTTGCCATTTTGTTTGGAACTAACCTCAAACATGACTTGCGATATTGCGATATATAATGTATCTAATATATTGTTTTTGTTTCTTTAATAGATAAGAACAAGTTCCAAAAGATTAAAACTGAGCGTAATGATAATGGCGCCCCAATCATCAAACAGGAAGCCGCTGAAAGTAATGGTGTTAATGTAATCAAGCAGGAAGCTGCTGATGCTGATGTTAAAAAATCTACTCAAGTCTGATTAAGTGAGTAAAGAATTTATTTTATAACTTGGTAATATTAAACTGGCGACAACAATAATAAATGATTACTAACTAACTATATGAGACACTAGTTGTTACCTACAGAAATGATTCAGGTTTTATGTTCCTTAGCTTAGGTTTTAAAAACATTGGAACTATCTAAAGTAAGTATCTTTCAAGTACATCAAAACTATGAACTTTTCAAGCAATGCGCCAAAAATTTAACTGGCTACTCACCTATATCAAACTATTTGATAGTTTAGTTGTCTGGACGTCTTTGGGTTTCACTATACCTTGTATTTAGTGCGACAGTATACAAAATAGATTTATCGTAATTGCAAAAAAGAATCAATTATTCAATATACGGATATAAAAAGTATGCGGCACGTTCCTAGATCCTAATTTTGACCTGTTTCGTAATTGTGGTTTTGATTCGCGCATTCTTTGTGCACGGCCTCTCGCCCATCAGGTGCTTCTTCCACACGAACTCTTCGTCTTCGAGGTTTTCGTGGCAGAGCGGACATCGGTTGCAGCCCTCTGCGATTTCCGTGCAGCATAATTCGTGTTCTTGCAGTTCGTCCAATCGCACTGGTTCGGTACACTGTGCGCATTGCGTGTAGTTTTCACGGTGTTCACAATCCATGAGGATGTGATCAGTGAGGGCGGCTACTTCCACGACTTGACTGCACTCAGCGCAGCGGACGAGCATCGGGCATGAGCGCCAGTAATGCGAATTCATTGAATTGCTGATTGCAAAGATGGCCACTTCGGATTGTCCACAAAATATACAATGCCTAAGTAAGAAAATTATATTTTATCACCCTACTAATATAAAACTGGCATATTTAATGCTTACTTGTCATCGTCTTCCTTAGATCCGTTGCTCGGTGTCGAAATGCCACTTCCACTGTTTTTCTCTTCGTTCGCATGATTGATTTTCACGATATTTCCGCCGCTCAAACTTTTCGTTAGGCTGTAATGATTTTTCTCCGATTCCGAACTGTTGTGACTGGCTATGTTCATCGTGCTTTGACATTTGTTCATGCCGCCATTGTAACATGGTTCCGGACTCATTGAATCATTCAAATTACCTTGTATCACACGATTTCGTTCCATTAATTCTTTCTTGCGCTATATTTACGACAAAAAGTTAAAATGTCATCGATGAAATTGATAAAATCGCTTACCTGCAAGTCAATTTTATCAAACTCGTGAAACAATTGCCTGTATAATAAGTTTCTTCGCGTGATATCATCGTCTGGCGGTAATTGTTTTCGCACTAAGCGTGGATTCACTTTGTAAACTAGTACAAGAATTCTTTCTGCCACTTTGCGCACTGCTTCTGCCGGATGGTGTAAGCCGCTGGAACCGAACTCGGATAATGTACGACATGTTAATCCACTGAAATTAATACATAACTCAATAAGTTTTTGATTATACAATAATTTTATGTGTTACCTTTGTTTATCAGTAGAAATACTTTGGCTGATGATCAATTGCTCGACCATTTCAGCACGGCTGAGTGCCAAACGTGGATGGGTGCTACTAATAATCGGACGACTTAAATGGACTGGAATAATATGTAGCTCCCTAAAAGTTTCCAACGCACATGACACAACAACCGAAGATAAAAATCGATTTTTAGTACATACCTCACATTCTTGCAGTCCGCCATTGTGAGAATCGTGTGCACAGCCATGTGATGAATGCGCGCGCTGGTATCTCCCGACTTTGTCAACAACTCCGGTAGTAATTTATCCACACTTCTTGACACTTCAGCAGGTGAAACTCTGTTGGTTCAACAATTAAATTACATGATTTATGTTTACCTCGATAAATCTTACCTTCCCGGTACGTATTGCACGAAGTATAATCGAATAACTTCGTTCGCCAAATTGTAAACGCTGAAAACTTTGTCTCGCAGCGCCCGATGCAGGAGAAATATGGCGGCGCGACCTGTCTTATTCGCTGTATGCATCCGCGTGTTATCATACGACAATAACTCTTCGCGCAATCGGTTCAGTCCTTCTTCCTTATCAAGATAATGCTTGGAATAGAACTTCTCGACAATATCAGCGCCGAATACTAAAATAGGCAGCGCCGCTTGTTTCCTCTCGCGTTCCGTCAGTTTCGACGTCGTGCGATGCTCCATTTCCATCTGGCAGTCCCGTAGGAATTCGTTTGTGGCCGAACTGCAAGAAAGTCTGGTTTTATTAAAGCCACAATAGAATCCTGCTCCCTTGAGGTGATGGGGGGGAAAGTTTTTTGACAATGATTTTATACTCACTGCCGCAGAGTTGGCAGCGGTTTGTCCTCGTACTGTTCGTAGGTGGACTTAACGATAGACCCTGCGGATTTATTCCTCCTGCGGAATGATCCGCGTTGCTGTAGGCCCGTCGGACTGCCGATCGATGGCGATGCGGATTTCGGACTCTGCATTTTGTGCAGCGGTGATGGCGGCGCGTGGTAAATGTGTTGCGCTCCAGGCGTCTGACATTTGCTGTCTGTTTTTAATATCGGGGAGAGTTTATCGCTGGCGTCATCAGCTTCGTCGTTTTGGGACAAACGCCTTTTATTTCCAGCAATTGCTCGATGTTCAACTGCTGATAGACGCTGGTGCGAAAGTCATCCATTTGATTCTTTTTGATACCGGCGCGTTCGTAATCTTCCATTTCAATCGCATGTTTCTTTTCTAGTTCGTATTTGCCGAGCTTTTCGCCAGCGCTGCGGAGATGTTCCATGGAAAGCTTTAATTTACGTGCATATTCAAAGCGTTCACCTAGAAAACATATTAATTAATTCATCATAATTGCATATTTGATTGGTTGCCTACTTATTACAGCGATGTGTTTCTTCAACTCCATTTCCCTGATAATTTTCGCCACGTCCACGTCGACGTACATGTCGAAGGCGAGATCGTCGAAGGGCGAAAAGTATTCGGGGTCGTTCAAAATGGCCTCCAGTTTGTTTGCACATTTTGCATCAATTGCTTCGCTGTGTTTACTTTGTTTCTCTTTTTCAATTCCCAATACGTTGATGGCTATCAGACTGACCTACAAATTGTTTAAATTGAATGCAATTTATCGATTTTACATATTGCTTCCTCTGATTATCTCATAAAATCGAGTGGAAGCTTTCAAACTAACTAAAACTAATTTTCACGCTTTTGTAAAGACCGTTATTGCATAAGAAGAGTTTAAATAACTTAAACTTACTTGATTATGTATATTATAAGTATTAGAGTGATTTTCCCCGATGCGTAGCTTAACATAAGAGGCTAAAGTTTTTGGCACATTAGCAGATTTCAACTCACGACTTTTAAAACCAGTGCTTTGATTATCCGAAAGAGTAATATATCCCAAATAGTCCCAGGCGATGCACGCCACATCCGTAACAACATTAGTGTCTTCATTGCTCGAAAACAATTCGATTTTCGATGCTAAAATACAAATATTCATTTATTTAATAAACCTCCGTAACATGAAACCATGTTGCGTGTACTCACGTATTAAATATTGATGCATCAACATTTGAATCTTGCTAAGTGACGCCCTGCTTTCCAACTGCAAGATTAATTCCTGCGGATATTCGCAATTCTTGCCGCTCTGCCATCCTTTCACAGTCGGTCCGTGTGCGTTTAATTCCAGCGCCTTGTACTTGGGATCTTCATCTGTTGAATTCGATCATAAGCAGAGTTATTAATTAATTCAAGTTTTTATCTTTTCTTTTTTCGTTTGTTTGTTTTCATTAACATTTATACACACCACTAGCGTAGACGACGTGATAATTAATCTTCGTGGGCATTCTCGGTGTCTTCGCGTTGGCGGTGCGCTGCGGGTCACATGTTTTCAGTTACTGGTGATGTGTTCTCGGCTGGGAACGGGGGCGGCTGCGAGAGCGGTGTAATGAAAAGGCATATTGATTTTCTTCAGGCTTATTTTAGTGCGGCCTCTTCGCTAGGGAGCGGCGCGCCGCGTGAAGAACACGCATCCGATTTCGTGATAAGTTTATTAATTCACAAAATTATTCATAGATTTATTGGTATCATACGATTAATTATTCCATTATGGACAATTTGTTTCATTTTAGACTTTTATCTTTGAATATTGCTTATAATTAAATTTTTCTTTTAGTTTAGAATTTCTTTTTGGATGTTTTGCCGCACACAAAGTTATTTTGATCCATTGTTCAACAGCACATTCCAGAAACTTATTGTTTTATGCCTTTTGTATGTTAAAAACGCATTACGTATGAATATAAAGTTTTTGTTTCTACAGCGACAAGAAAGTTTGCGGTCCTCTGAAAAATAATTCTCCATTTGTATGCATTAATTATATTGATACTGGTACGGCATTTAGCGTGCGTGTCCAATTCCTGTTTAAATAATTAATTGAAACACATGTTGGATGATACTTCAAGCACGTTTCACAAATATTCAATACAACCGATACTACAAAACGTGAAAATTCAAAGCGTATTTACTGAAAATCAATAAACCGCATAGATTGTTACAACTTTATTATGAAAACCTAATGATAGATTACAAGTAGTAAGCGATGAAGAAAGTAACATTAGTATAATCTTTTTTTTTTTTAATATGAATGAGTGTGAATGCGTAAGTGTGATCTCGTAGTAAAAATGCATATGTTCTTTATTCGTTTCTTCTTTCACAATTACTCCTGCATTGCTGCCATCTCGGATGGTTTCGGTGGCTCATTGCCTCCCTTCTTCTTTGATCCGGAGACGATATCATCAATACGCAAAAGGAGCACTGCAGTCTCCACGGCAGTTTTATAAGTTTGCAGTTTAACCGCCAGCGGTTCCCAAACGCCGACTGTTTCGTTTTGTTCTAATAGCTCTCCGGATTCGCCATCGATGCCCCAAGTGCATGGCTTGGTCGCATCCGTATGCGCGGCGTGCTTGGCTCTCAATGCTGTAAGGGTTCTGATTGTATTTGCACCGCAGTTTTGCGCAAGAGTACGTGGAATAATCTCCAAGGCATGAGCAACAGCCCTGTAGGGACCATGTGTGGCTTTTGCGACAAGATGTTGGGACAACGCCATTTCAATCGCTCCACCACCGGGTACCAGCCTCGGTGATAGAATGATATTCCTCGCGACTTGTAGGGCGTCCTGCAAGTTACGCTCGATTTCGTTAAGAATGTCCTTGCTTGCACCGCGCAATAGAATCGTGCAGGCTTTGGGATTCTTGCATTCGGTGATGTATGTGAAGTACTCATCGCCAAGCTTCTTAACTTCGAACAAACCACAGCCCAAACCTACATCAGACTCTTGCAGTTCTTCAGTGCGGTTGACCACGGTTGCGCCGCATGCACGAGCAATTCGATTGTTATCAGATTTCCTCACGCGTCTGATGGCAGTGATACCGGCTTTCAACAAAAAGTGTTGAGCCAAATCACTAATTCCCTTCTCGGTGAATACTAAGTCCGGTTTGAGAGCGATGATCTCTTCACACTGCTTCTGGACATGTTCTTCTTCGAGTTGAAGCATGCGTGTAAAATCGGCTTCGCCACTAATCTCTACGTTAGTCTGCGATTCGCCTTTCTTGTATTCCAAAGAGCAATCGAGTAAAATAATACGGGGGTTTTCAATGCGACGGCGCATCTTGGCATGAGTAACGTCCTTGTTGACCATCACACCGCGCAGAATTTGAGATTCTTCAATGGAACCGCCGGGAATCTTCTCGACTTTCGCGTAGCGCTTGATGTCAACCTCGGTGCGGCCGTTCTCAGTGAGCATGACCGTGTTGACTGCTTCCAGCGCAATCTTCACTGCCAAATCGGCCCACTTTCCGATGAATTTTGTGCCGATGCAGCCCTTGACGACATTGGCAAAGGCGTTCTTGTCATCTTTGTTGATTGGCACACTGAGAGGTCCTTCCAAGAGTGTTACCATATCCTCAAGAGCTTGCTTGTACTGACGAATGACGACGGTCGGATGCATTTGTTGCTCCAAGAACTGTTCTGCAGCTGCCAGCATCTCCCCAGCCAAGACAATGACTGAAGTAGTTCCATCTCCAACCTTGATATACACATAATAAGTAAATTTGCATGTTTATATGTAGGATTAAATATTATTACCTCTTCATCCTGAGTGCGGGCAATTTCAATCATGCTTTTTGCAGCAGGATGCTGTACAGTGATTTCTCTGAGAATAGCATTGCCATCATTTGTCATGACAATACCACCCATAGGGTCCATCAACATCTTCAGCATAGCTTGTGGTCCCAAACATGTTCGGATAACATCAGCAATTTGCTGTAGCAGAAAATTGTTTTAATTATTATTTTATTATTTATTTTTTCTTCGTCATTGAATATGTAATCCATAGTTATATTTATTTAATATGTACATGAAATGTATTACATTTTGTTTCAAGTATACATGTTTTGCCTTAAGGGCATTGTTAGTAACTCATTAGTAATGAGTCATTACTGACATTTTTCTTTAATGAGTTATTAATGATGCCCTGAAGACGAAACATGTATATGTAAACAAAATGTAATTCAATTCATGTACAATTTTATGTAAATAGTTTATTAATTTTAATTTTCATTATTTTTAGAAAGGAGTTTTCTTTTTTAACCTTAAATCTGATTTTATGAATAGAAATCTACAGTAAAGCTATACTGTTAGTATTTTAAAGTTGTTTTCGTAAATGTTTTCATGCACATAGTTAAAATGAATATTGAAAACAGTGAACTACACCCAAATAATAAGAGCACGTGGTTCTTACCTTTCCGGCATTAATGTTTTCCAGCTGAACCTTTCGGCCCGACTCACGCTTCGTATTCTGACCTAAAATGATTATATTTTATTGAGAAACGTGCCGCAGATGAAAAAAATTCGAAACTTACTGAGGACAATCAAAGGAGCACGGCCTGGAAACATTTTCGCGTTTTATTATTTACTGAATGATGCTCAACCGAAGACTATTCCAGAAGCGCACACGAGACAGTAAATTCACAAGTGACTAATTTTGGTGAACTTACTGAAGCAGCCATAAAAACCAGTGTTGCCAACAATTCGCTTGGTAACTTAAGTGACTTAATTAAATATCTTTAAAAACTGATAATAAAAACATGTAATAGAAATATATTTGCTATAAATATATATAATTTATTACTTTGGACGTAAATGCCGTAATAAATTCATTATAAATGATAAAGTTTTGTTTAAATTGAGAGTGTTCAATATACTGTACAATATACTGTGCCGGAAAATTCGACTATCAGAGCCATCTACTCGTGATGATGAAGTAAAGTTCAAGTACATATTCGCACTTGCAGTTGGCAGTTGTGTTTATCGGCGGTACATTTCGTTTGTCAGCCTGCTCTGTAGTTTGCTCATTGTTGCAGTGAAGTTGGCGATGAGCTGCCAAAATTAATGGGAATGGTAGATCTCCTCAATGGCGCAAGATGTATTGGTCTGGTCGGACGTGTATAACAAAATGGCTGAGGAACCCTGCCTGCTAAAAGAAGACGGATACTTGAACGCCGACACTGACCTAAAGCAGATCGTCTATCATCCCACATTGAACGTAATTCTGATATGTACAAATTCCGGGCTCGTCCGCGTGCTGGATGTCAACTCCGGCTTAGTGTTGCAGTCGACCAGCCTGTCGGGTAAGGGAAAACTACAGCAACATGAAACTACTTTGTGATATACCGACATATTTATGTAACATGATCTTTTCGGCGGTATCTTGCAGCTAAAAATTGTTCAAACATATTCTGTCGATACATTCCTGGCCAGGATAGAGTTTTGTTTTGTGATGGGCAATCACTGGGAGTGCGGTCAGATTATAATGGGGTGCTGCTGCTGGATACCATCCTCCAGAAGACAATCCCTGCTATGCATCAGAATGCAAAATTTGAGCTGCTGCTTACTGAGGTGTGTCATATTGGTTTAATGCATATTGTGTAATTGTGACTCATGCTAATTATTGATTTCAGGCAATCATTCTCAGGCAGTGTTTGACACACTTAAGGGGGACATCTTCAGGGGTAGATTGTGTATATGATGAGTTAACTTGTAAAATACAAAATGCTCAAATGCAGAGCAAGAAGGGGATTAAAGCACAGAAGGTAAACAAATCACTTATATTTAAGAGTAATGCTAACTAAAATAAATCAATTTGATTTTAGTGGAACACAGTGTGCCTGCAAATTCCATTGGAATATGTTGGGTTTGTTACCAGCAATCTGCTTAATGATCTGATGCTGAAAAACCAGCACAATCCTGAGATCAGTGTGGTGTCTGCAATGCAAGAGAGAGTGTCTGAACTGATGGGCGAAACTGCCCAGGCGTCCAATCGTCGTGCAATGGCTAGTGAAGCCAAGAGAAGGGAAACATTTGCCCATTGGCCTCATATGGATTACTTGTAAGTACACATTTTTTTAATTTTTGAGATCATTTCGAATTAAGTATTATTTGGCTTTGCATTAAATATGAAACTATTTATGGGCATAGTCTGTTAGATAATTTTTTAAAAATTACATTACATACTATGTAAATGTCTACTACTTGAGTTTCAAGAATGTAAGACATTGTAAACAAATAATATAAATATTTAGAATGCGCACTTAAACTTGCTACCTGGTATTGCAATATAATTTGTAAATTTGTTGATTAATTATTTTAATCTGTATTTTGCGTATTTTGTTCTTTAACAAATTATATTTTCTAGATGGGCGCTCCCGGATCAAATGGCACAAGCTGGTTTCTACCACCAACCAAACTCTGCCGGCGACGATAGAGCAATGTGTTTTACATGCACGGTGTGTCTAGTGAGTTGGGAACGAACCGACGAGCCGTGGAACGAACACGAACGTCATTCACCTACGTGCCCGTTCGTAATGGGCGAGTATACGCAAAACGTTCCGCTCTCGGTGACATACGCGACCAGTCCTGGAATAGACTGCACGTACAGGTGAGCTAACATTCAATTATCTATGATTAGAAATGTAACAAGTGCGGTGTTTGCATAGGGGAGCCCAAGTGAACACAATCGGCACGAGTTCGGTGTCGCATTTGATCGCGACCGCAAATCCCGATGGCCTCATCGCAGTCTACGACGTCTCCGGTAAGATAAAGCGCACGCACGTCTTTTACGTGAAGACGTACGACTCGCATCTGTTAGAAAAGTACACGCAAGATTTCGGCCTGCCCGGTATGCGCAAAGACGGCATTGATGACAATTCCATTCAGAAGAAAATCACTGCGTTAACCATTGTCGGTGATAAAAACACCAAGCACAACATACGTCCTACAATAATTTGTGGTATATCGATTAAATGCGGAGAGGATGCGGAAGCGGATATGACTCTCAACGAGGCGAACGTAAACATCATGGAGGTCGACGATAGTCAGGACTTCAATTCGAAGATTAGCTGTCTGTATCTGGTCGTGTACGACTTTCAGTACACCAAGGAAGTGGATCTGGAGTCACCGCGTGAAGTGAAAACTGCGCTGGCGCCACCTGAGGACAGCAGTGCCACTAACGCCGACAGTATAACGAAGAAGCTGATTATTCCGAAGTTTGGCACCGAACTGTTTCAATTGGAACAGGACTTTGATGACTACATGCTGAAGCAAGAACTCTCTCAGTTGTATCACAGTATCATCCCGGGCGAAAGTGACGAGATTTACATACCCAAATCGCTACCGACCAACAACAACAACAACACCAAACAACATTCGGGACCGAGGATGATTTCGATGGACGCGCAAAACAGCGAAACAGACGCGGCCCAGATGACGTCGATTATCATCCCAATGAATTGCAGCGCTTACCATCATACGCCGGTGACAAATATCGAGCCGGTTGAGAAGAGTATATCCGATCACATTGTGGAATTGCAAAATGCCGGCGTTGGGAAGAAGTTAAACTACTCGCGGGCGGTGCAGTGCATTTCGATACCACTGGCGTATAAGAATCGCCAGGATTTGTGCGTGTCCGACATCTTACCGACGCCTGACGGCAAAAGTGTATTAGTTGTGTTGAAATCAATTTGTGATATTAATAGCTCAGTGCTTTTATTATACGCCCTAAATTTAAGTGGTAAGATGGTAAAACTGCAAGAGGAGCCGACAGGCGTGCGCGAGCTTAACTTCAATGAGACTCCTGTGGAAATTAACGTTATTAACTTTTTGGACAAGAATGTTGAACACAATGTTGTGGAAGGGTTGGCGATTATGGTATGTGTTGATGGGGCTGTGCGAGTCGTGGAACTGACCACATTGACAACTGTCTCTCAGGCGAAGTTAGATTCGCAAAAGTTCGTTTCTGCCGTATACTGCAATAGTTTGGAGCGTTTGTGTGCCTCAACCGAGCAGGGTTCATTGCATTTCTTTGCTTTGACTGACACAGATGCTGATTCAGTTGAAGAGCATGATGATGAAGAATGTTTCAATCTCAATGCGGATATGCCAAGCGTCAGTACACAGACCACAGAGTGCCATGAATCGATTGAAGCAACGCGCTGTTTCCACGAACCACCTGAATACATCGTCTACACTGAATTAAAGCGTCTCCGCCAATTATGCGAGTTTGAAGTATTCAAAGGCGGCTACAATCCGGTTGTGCCACCCTGCTGGACGGAGATGCATCAAGCGCAGCGTCAACGCCGCCATCCGCAGCACCTGCAATGCGAAAAAGAACAAATCACCAAGTCTTTCCGCCTACAAACCGACACCACCACTTGGGATGAGCATGTTTTTGAAATTACACTTCCGACACCGATTAATATCGGCCATGTGGATGTCAGTTTTACACTGCACGGCTCTGCGCCCAAAGTTGAGTTTACTTTATTACGACAGAACACTACCAGTATTGGCCTCCGACGCGAAGTCACTTTTGCCGTGGATGACACCGTCAGTTTTGATCAACTACAGGGCATTCAAAATCCGGTAACGTCACAGGAGTATCTCCGGTCGCATAATGCAGAAATTTTAGCAGGGCCCATCGCCATTGAGACCTGTATAGATCTATCGGAGCTGTCCGGATGCGTATCACTCACTAGTCCTAAACTATTTAAGCTTCGCAATCGTAATTTATTGCTGCACATGAAAGCCGTGTGCGGGGATGATTCGAAGAGACCTCGGATTAAGCGCTCGATTGGCACATCCGGGGATTATATGGGTTGTGATGCTTTACATGAGATTAGCATCACGGTTTACAGCAGTATGCATACCGATATACCGCATGAGCGATCATTACGTTGTTCCATGCTAGAGTCTACAGCGTTTGTTTCAAATTTGTTGCTGACCATAACAGAGTACAAAACCAAAGAGGAGCAAGCATTAGCTCTGGACATTCTTAACTGGGTGGCAACGGTACGCATGGCGCGGAATCGCAATACGAATGGAGAAGCGCCGTCGCAGCAGGTGGAGCTTTTGACTGTGATTGCAAGTTTTATGACTGGACTCCTCAACAGCTGTATTATTCATGGATCTAGGAGTATTGCGCATACATGTGTGAAATTACTAGTTACTTGTTCTGAGTAAGTTGTTTTTTATAGATCTTTTATGAAATATTTATTCTTTATACATTTTCAGGGGTGCTGCTTTACTGACAGATAACGAAACATCCTATGATGATTTCGACGAAGCTGTGCTCACTTCCATTCTAGAAATATTAGACAATATTTACAGCATACAGTCCTCTGGATCTCTCCATTGGCTGATGACTTTGTTGAGCAAAGTAACGAAAAACGCCGACTTAGTTAAACAAATTTCCAGCAAAATAGTTGTGCTGTTGGCTAATATTGCCGATCAAATCACAGAGCGCAACAATTCATACCACCTGATTCTCAGGAGTCGTTATGGCCTCTACGGAACACCCCTAGAACCTGAAATTTTCGATATTGACCTACCAGTACCTCAAAAGGGCAGTAGCACTACTATATCCTACGCTTCAGCAGTCGCTGGAGATAATCCGCCACAAATGGCCGATTTTCATACAAATTTTGCCTTCAATAAGGATCATTTGGATCCCAAGGATGTATTGCTTAATTTAGGGGAGACCAAAACAAAACTCAAGAATATTGCACCGGCCATGTTGTTTAGAGGCTTGTTGGAAACTGAAGCGTTGCATTTTACCTGTGCATCGGCGAGTGACGGCACTAGGGTCGAACGAGCCGATGCTGGCACTGCCGGAGTCATCCACAACTTCATTCCGATCAGCGTCTCGCAATTCGGATATAGCGGCACTAAGAAAGTGGAAATTGAACAACTATTTCAGGATTTTAATCTGGTTTATCCAGATTGCAAAGTGGGTAAGCCGACTATATCCAGCCATATGGAAAATGCATTTGCAAACTACAATGGTGATACGGTTCTCTTATTCAACGAAGAAGAAGAAGCTAAATTAAGTACGTTTTGTTTGTTTTTGCTGTAATATGTTTTTGATTTTAATGCTGAAGTTTCAGATGGAATTGAAGATATTCCAGTGCCTACTCCACAAGAGACCACCGCAGCAAAAATAATTGCTGAAGAAACTCTCTTACCGCATAAGTCTTTAGCGTGGCAACAATTGCTGGTTACTCCACCTGCGCAAGTCATCGTGGTAGAGCGCATGCATTCGGGCGCTAGGAGATTTGTCACTTTAGACTTTGGCCAGCCTCTGATTCTGACCGATATCTTCCTTCCAAGCTGTGCAGAATTGCTTTCCATCAGCATTGATATTTGGCTGAAAGGAGAGGACACTGACGCGCAACGTCTGGTGCATGCCACCGATATCGGCACGAAAAATTTAGTCCTCAGTGATCTCCAACCACCTCCGTTGTGTAGATATCTAAAGATTACTGTTGTGGGTAGGTATGGAATGTCTCCAACCCGTTGTAGAATCCCTGTCGGTTCTTATTACGGTCACATGATTGTTCTCCCCGATGAGGTGCCGCTTGAATATACGAGTGTTTTCCCAAGTACCAAACCACCAGAATTAGAAAAACAACTTGGAATTCTATCTATGCTCTTCGAGGATGTATCGTGCCGTTATAGTCTTTCGTGCTTTAAATTGAAACGACTACTGGATCCGTTTTTGATGTCTGATACAACCAACACGGCGCATTTGAACGCCTACATGGACATTATGAAAGACAAGCAAAACTGTAGCAATTCCGAGAATGTAAAAATTTTCAACGCGTATCAAGAGGCTGTCACTTATCAACGACAACTAAACGCAGTCCGAACAGTGATGCGTCGAATTGAAAGCACCCAAAATAATTCGTTGCCTAACAAGATAGAGTCACCAGCTGATGTTCCTATTGATAAACTGCGTGCAATTGCCGAGGTACTCTTCGAAATGTTGCTAATAGTGGATGTGATACCGAAGATTTCGATGGAAACATGCGAGAAACTCTTCCAGGGATACTGCATTTCACAGCAATCTCATTTGCAGTTCCTAGCCGCGACGGTATTGGACCATTCGTGTAGAAAGCGTGCGTTCTGGGGAGTATTTCTCTCGCGCACAATGGCGAAGATGTTTTCGTCTTCGTACACCAACATTTATCCACAGGACCGAGTATTTATACTACTTGCTTACTTGGTTAAACGCTGTTCGGAGCGGAGTGTAGCCCTAGACGCTAATTTGAAAGTAATCGCAGAGGTATTACATCCACTCTCTGAAAATTGCTCAGCATTGGTGGGCGTAACGATTGATCTATCATTGTTAAGCTGGTTGTTGCTATTTTTATCACTGCAACTGGACTTATCAAAGAGTTCCATGCAGAACTCGACGCGTTGGGACTGGGTGACGGGTGAGTTTGCTGGCAAAACAAACGAGACCGCAAATTCCACGTACAAACGAAAATTGCACAAAAAGTTCTTGCTCTACAAACAACAACTGGACACGTTGGATCATAAGCAGCTGGCACAGGAACTAGCAGAAAAAATGGAAGAAGCTTACAAAGGAACATCTATCATGCTAGATAAAATGAAAGATATCAAGAAGAGCATTAAGATCTCGCTGGTGCCACCTTATCTTCAACAACAGGGAAGCAGTAAACCGCTTCCAAAGAGAAGACGGGAAATACCTTCGGAAACAGGCGATAAATCTCTTCCAATTCAGGATCCGCAATATATCGATGCCATGCATAGTTTAGCCGTGGTGAAAGGCATTCTAACATTGTTGCTCTCCATAGATCATTCTTGCTCGGCGGATTTGTTCGTTTTGTCGTGCAAGGTAATATTCATAATATTAACGTGCGTTGTTTTACTATTGGTGATTTTTAGGTGATTGCGCGATTGATAAAATTATCCAATCTTTCAATGGACGAATATTTAGACGACGAGAAATTGCTAAAATTAGTCAATCTAGGCATAAATTCCGATCTTCCTTTTGTCACGCACGCGTTGGCTTGTCTTCTTCAAGACAGTTTAGACATTGGTAAAACTCCGACGAATAAGGAACCTGACGCACTCGTCGCTTCGACCAGCTGGAATTCCGGTGTGTACCTTTATTATATTGCGTTTTTTTTATGTTGCTCATTTTGAATATTGTCTTTCTGATGCACAGATATTTTGCGTGACGTTGAATCACTCTGCGATTTTGAAATTGAAGATGCGTTCATATCGGAGCCTGTTGTTAAACAAGGTAAAACCAGTATGAATAGTAATCATCTTCCATCCGTTTTCGAGTCGGATGACTCTGAAATTGAAGACTTTCTAGATGAAGTCATAGAGCGCGGCCGATCGTTACTAAAGAAGGGCCCGAAAGCGTCGCTCTTGTCGTACGGCAGTTCATGCGCTATGGACCAGCGGCTGAATGTGAGCGTTGATCTGCAGGTCGAAATGACGCTGCGCCGACTGGTACACTTCAACACCTACTCACTGCTGCAGAGTTTGAATGCGCCCGCGAACGTGGTGGAGATGGAGCGTACGCTATTGAAGTGGCCTGAGCGCTTGCTGGCTCCGCTGATGGAGGAACCGAAGAGGTCCTCAAAGGATACGAACATGCTTACTAATTGCTTTGACATGCTCTTCACAAATCTAGAGCTTCAGTCGTATTCGAAAATCGAACAGATTTTACAACTCTGGCTCACGCTCAATTGCCAGTCGGATGATAAATTCAATCCGACGACGATGCCGTTTATACAACTTAGCAACGACGCAATTGCCAGTTTAATTAAAACTGTTGCGTGCTGCTCGGATCTGACGCTCCGCACTTGGTGCGCGGCGCTGCAAATTCTAACTTTGATGTGCAACGTGCCACAGGGAAGTCTCTACGACACGAACGAAACTGACATTGGTCGGCTTTTTGGCAAAACGTCGGTCATTCTTTACCATCCAGATTTTGTTAAACTATTCTTGCGATTGCTGTCTGGTTCTGGGATTCAGTATTGTGATAAAGGATTGGTAATTTTGCTTATGTGACTATTTAAATTATCTAAGCTAATCATTGTAATTTCAATAGGCTGGCCCAGGATTGTGTAAAGCTATGCATGATTTTATGATACGGCTGCAAATGCGGTGCGACGTGACGAATCCTACTAGCGCTCCTGGTATTAGATTTAAGAGCCACATGCTCAAAGTAGTTTATCACTTGGTTCAGCCCAGTGGGCCTTTGGCTTCGAAGTTGGGCCCGCTGGATGCACAGTGTAAATTGTTACATTCACTGGCATGTCTTGACTATAACAACGCGGACTTGAACATTGCAATGAGCATTCTAGAGAGTACAGGTAAGCATATATTACAAGATTCTATAATTCTATTTTTGAACGAATTTTCATTAAAAATTAATAATTTTAGGTACTTTGACATTGTCACATGTTCTGAATGCCGAAAGAATCAAATGTGTTAACATCGGCGAACGTTTGAATTCTTCCTCTGTGAATTCATTTAATTTTATATTTGCTTCCGTTTTGGGCGGCGAAAATACTAAACAAGACAAACCAGTGTCATGGGATTTACTACTCATTTACCTTCTTAAATTGCTTAGTAATTTAATCAAAACTCCATTTAACGATGGACAGGTTAGTTAAAGGTTTTACTTTAGTTTAAATTATGTTATAATCTGCTGATTGCCTCATAGAATAATCAAACAACATATATGGATACGGGTGGTCAACCAAGTTCACAAACAGATGAGAGTAAAGCTGAACAAATAAATCAGGAACCAGTGAACCCACCACGCAGTTCAAATGTACCATGCTTAGCCGATACTGTTCTGCAACATCATCCGACGGTCATCCGTTTCTGTAAAGCTTTAGCTAGTTGTAAAACGACTACCTTATCTATGATACCCCATTCACAAATCACATCACAGGTAAAATAACTGTTTGCCAAATGCAGCCAGTTTTTTTTAAATGTGTGTTTATGGTTTTTAGAATCCGTTAGCAGCATTCACTGATTCGGCAACTGTGGGTGATGCTGTGTTTAATGTTTTATCATCCCTGGCACGCAACGCGACCCAGAAGCAATTCATAATGGCGCCGCTGCTGTTGTACCTGTCGCAGACTCCGCAACTCAGCGAACCTCTTATCTGGTTCATTATTCAGGTTTTAGACTCACCGGAATCGCTGAATACATTCGTTGCCGCCGGCGGCATTGATATAATATGCAAATCGTTGATAACCAGCAGTAATGCACCGAATACTGTCTCAGCTATGGGCAGCATCGCTTCAGTCATGCAACATTTTATCGGCCAGACCAATAGAACCGACGCAAGTGCAATTGGGGTACCTTCAAACACCAAAAAGCAACAACAGGCCAGTTTAGAAAACAATTTGAATTTGATTAATTTTGCACCACAAGGCAGCATCAAGTAAGTACATTAAGAGATGATTTATCTGGAGTATACGCTGTAACAAAATTGTTTTCAGATGCTCAACATCGTCAACTGCTCACTCACCCGAAATTCTAATCCAAGGTGGGCAAGCCGCTCACCGGAGGGCGCGTGCGCCGCAATGGTCATACCATTTTTATCCAGAAGAAGCACATGCGGACCTCACGATCACACTCCCTAGCGCTATTCTACTCAGGGAGGTACACATCCAACCGCATCAAGGCACACTAGCCACTTGTCCATCAGCGGTTTCGCTGGAAGTTTCCGCTAATGGACCATCTCGCCTTGTTCCTGCCTGTCCACCAATTCCGACCAGTGGGATGTCGTTCATTCGGCTACATCTACCCGCTCCAGAAGTTGTTAATTGTGTACAGATCCGATTGTACAAGCCTCGAGAAGCGAGCAATATTGGTCTCTCACAAATCCGCCTTCTCGGAACATCTGCGTTCGGCGGCAACAACAAGCAACAAATTTTGGACTTAGCGGAAGACGAATCGCATTGTCGATTCAGTTTAGGCTGGTTGCGACTTTTTTACCACTGCTGCACAGAAAACAGTGAGGCGCAGAGTGATATCATAGCCAAGGCAGCCGCGATTCCTAATTTATTGTCAACCTGTTGCGGATTGCTTTTGGTGCCGACGCACATACCCTCACTGTATTTGGGTAACTTAGGGAAAATTGTGTGTGAGTTGTGCTTGCACAGTCGCGAAAATGCGGCGCAAACAATACGTATGCTGCTGGAAAGCAAATCTAACACTACAGAATCAACAATTTTCTACAATTCATCTGGCGGCAAACTTCTGTTAAATTCACCAGGAGCGCAGTCTGCTTGTGAAGTCCTTTATAAGTTGTGTAGTTTCCGAGATGACGACACAGCTTACAGGATGGGTTTGGTGCTTTCATGGTTGACGGACACAACGTGCAAAGCGATAGAAAACTCCAACAACATATCGTGCAGTCCCGCGTACATTTCCATCATTGCGTCGATTATATGGGATGCCAAGGAGAGCCATGCGGAGTATTTAGATAGCATGATCACTGCAAGTCTGTTCGAGACGGTGTACAACTTTAACTCACTAGTCAAAGACAAGATCACTGCTCTGAAATTTGCATTAGACTCTCTGTTGTGTTCGCTTTGCTATGTCAAGTCCGAATTCTTCCCGTTGCTATTGCAGAAAATGGGCGTTTTGATTCCGAATCAAAGTACTGATCTCAGGGCCCCGATTTCCGACGATCGGAAGGAGTCTGAACGAATGACTGACGACAGTAAGCACAGTTTTGACTACTATTATGAGTGGTACGAACGGCTGATAATCAACGATATTAACGATCTGTTGCTCTCTAACGAAGTGCTGGACACTATTGCGTTGGTTGGACGCTCGCCGATTGTGATTCAACAATTGCTGGACTCAAGGCTGCCGCATATGCTAAATGCAATTATCTACGACTACTGCAACGGGCAAAGTGAAAATCCCGCTGCCCCGATGTGCACCTTGAAGAACGTGACTGCAATTCTCAAGTTTTTCGCGGACATATGCGAAGAAAAGCTGATGCGAGACTGGTTGGGATCACCGGAAGGCTCCCACTTTTGGTTGCCACTTTTACAGTACCTGTGTAAAAATGGTACCGGCAAGAAATCGAGTCTAAGGTCAACGGAGCACACGTATTTGGAGGAGGTGTGCGTTCGTTTCTTGTCGAAATGTTGTTTATGCCACTCGAACAACCAAACTTTGTTGGCAAAAGTGTTGTGTGAAGTTATCTCGCAACAAACGAGTGGAATTTCGGGATTCTTACGTCGTCTTGTCCTGCAATTATTACTAGAAAGTGAGAAAATATTGGTCAGTGTGAAGGCATATGAGACATTATACATGAACTCCACAGTTTTACATCCGTATATGCCTTTGCATCCGGCTTATAAGCAAACGTACGGTCGTGCTCTCTTATTCCTCGGCACTAATACGACAATTGCGGATTTATTAGAGCAATACATTTCGTTTTCGACGACGATTAAAACCAATCCAGCGAATTTAAAGATGGAGGCCTTTAATGAGATTCCCAAAGTGTGGACACTGTTGTCCTCCGATTCAGATTTGACCGTGGCTGCTGGCGTCACAGCTAAAGACAAGCGTGCAAAGGATGCCAAAAACATTGTTACCTCAACACCACTCAAGAAAAAGCGGTATATCACTGACGAAACGCGAGTGAACGACATTGTTGACGGAAGGGTGGTGAAGTGCACAGCGTTGTCTGATAATCGCCTGCCTCTGGATCTAACGTTGGCGCAAGTTTTGAAGATGATTGAAGATAAAGGAACATCGAGCGATTTGACGTTGCTTAAATTTAAGTATATGCCAAAGCAAAGGAGACAACGAAGAAGATGCCAATAAGCATAAACTGCTGTCTCAAGCACCGCTCAGTAATACTCTGCAAGTATTTAGTGCAATGGGAGGCTTAGCCCTGTTGGCGCAACATTTACCAACGGTATATCCCGAAACGATGAGGACTCCACCGTCAGACAAACCCGCCTCCGACAATTCTGAGTCTGATTGGATTAAGGTTGATGGAAGTGACGATATCTATGAGGATATTGATGAAGGACTTGTCACAAGTACGCCGACCAAATCTCCTAATTCAACGCAGAATGTGCCTGCCCATTCGCTAACTGCGTTTGGGTTGTTCTTGCGCCTTCCTGGCTACGCGGAGGTACTTTTGAAAGATATGAAGAAAGCGCATGGTCTCCTGCGATTGGTATTGGGAGTTACAGACGATGGTGAGGGTGGTGACATTTTTCAAAGTCCTATTGCGGATTCTCTTCCGACATTGCCATTCGAAGTTTTGAAACGGTTGTACGACGCATCACCATTATCAACGGACGACGGAACTGTGCTAAGAAGATTAAGCATTTCGATCGGTGTGATTCATCTGTTGCTCGCTTGTTTGGGTATTTTTACGCATCAAACGCAAAATACGAAAGGCGACAAGGATAGTAAAAACAAAGACGATAAAAGCCAGTTGTACTGGGCGAAAGGTACCGGCTTTGGAACAGGGTCCACGCAGCAGAGTTGGAATGTAGAACAGGCTCTGCTAAAACAACGCAGCGAAGAAGAACACGTTACAGTTCTATTACAGGTCTTGTCTAGTTATATAAATCCCAAAGGAAAAAATACTGTTGAGTTGAGCCAGACGGTTCTACCAGCACAGTTTGAGGAGCTGTTGGCCAACAGTGCTGTACTGCCTGCTTTATGTTCCTATTTAAGAAATGACTCTGGTTAGTATAAAATATTCTTAGTTTGTTTGGATGAGTTAATATTTAAACATTTTACAGTTTTGGATATGGCACGACACATTCCTCTGTACCGAGCCGCCCTGGAGTTGCTGCGCGCAATGGCGGTTAGTTCACAGTTAGTCAAAATGTTGCTTCCACAAAGCGGCAGCAAGGATCCGTCGATTAGTACACTACTGAAGAACATGAAGACCTGTGTGGACACTTACGCGTCCAAACTCAGGTCAGCACAGACACTAAAGAGTAACAAAAAGTAGGTTTTTTATTTTTGCTGCATTATTTTGTGTTGGACGTTTTTACGCGTTAGGACTTTGTAGTTGTCTTCTTAGCATGCGTTAATCAATACCTATTTTTCAGAACTAACAATAATAAAAATACCGGTATGAAAATCAAATACAAATCTGGGGAGCAACTGGAGGAGATGGAGCGGGACGAAGGGCTTGCGATGTTAATGCCAGATATTCAGCTCACTGCCACTTTAGTCTGCATCGCAACAGACAAATTGATTGAAGCTGATGAGAAGCTGTACAAGGAAATGACCCTTGATCGACCTATGAGTATATCACCAGAGGAGCAGTATTTGAAGCTTATGAAAAAACTACAGTTTGGTAAGTTGAATCAAGGGATTTCGTGCCGTTGATGTTTGTATTTTGTAATATATTGTAATTGTTATGAATTGTTTAGACACATTTGAAATGTTGGAGGAGCTTCCCGAAGGTGGCTATAAATTTACGATATCTCATCACTATGAAACCAACGTTCGATCTGCGGGAGACGCATCTCACCCAGCCAGAGTGAAACGCTTGGCACAAGAAGCCGTAACACTTGCTACTAGTCTTCCTCTGAGTCACAGCAGTTCCGTGTTTGTCAGATGCGATACTGATCGCCTGGACATTATGAAAGTACTCATTACTGGACCATCAGACACGCCCTATGCGAACGGCTGCTTCGAGTTTGATATTTACTTTCCACCGGAGTATCCACTTGCGCCAATGCTGATCAACCTGGAGACCACCGGCCATCACACAGTGCGATTCAATCCGAATCTGTACAACGACGGCAAGGTTTGCCTCTCCGTACTGAACACATGGCACGGCCGACCCGAGGAGAAGTGGAATGCGCAAACCTCTAGTTTTCTGCAGGTGTTGGTGTCCATACAGTCATTGATTCTTGTGCCTGAGCCCTACTTCAACGAACCGGGCTATGAGCGTTCGCGCGGCACGCCGGCCGGTACGCAGAGCTCCCGAGAATATAACACTAACATTTGCCAGGCAACGACGCGCTGGGCAATGTTGGAGCAGTTGGCGAATCCGTGCCCGTGCTTCAAAGATGTGATATTTGCCCATTTTTATATCAAGCGACATGAGGTTATGGAGCAGGTCGAACGGTGGATTAAAGATTTAGAAAATGATAATATTGAAAAGAGGACAAACCGCACGAGCAACAAGCGAAATGTTTTTACCACTTTGGACACATTCAAGAAGTTGTACGATAAATTGAAGAGCATGTTGTTGAAACTCCCACCGCCGGAGGGTTTGGAGGACACGCCCGATAATGTGATGGAGATTGAGTCAATTTCGACCGCGTCGCCTCCACCTGAGGATTTAGAGGCAACCTCGCACAAAGAAAACGGTGTGGAGAACGAGGCGAACGATTTGGTCGAGATTGACATGGAGAAGATGGTTAGTGACATGTGTGAGTGATATTCGTTAAACTTTTCTATACATGCATTTCATCAATAACAACAAATAAAATAACATCTGTTATGGTTGCGAATAAATAACTAAAAATTATATGAGAAGTGATGTCGTCTGGGAAATATAAATTACAATTCTAGTTATGTTTCATTTTGGGATTTTTTTGTTTGATTTATTCTAATACAGAAAACACTACATTCTAATGTTACCACCATTTATTTATACAATAAGGATGTATGTATAGATGATATATAATATAGATGGAAGTGTTTTAGAACATTCGTAAAATTTTAAATTTGTTTAATTTAATATAAAACATAATAAAACAAGTATTATAATTGTTGATGTGTTTTTCACGATATAACATGGTGTGGAGAATACCCTGTATCTTGTGGACTAATTGACTTTATTGATGTTTCTCACTGCCATGTCAGGGCTGGAGAGTCCTTCTATACGATGCATATCTTTTTAACTTTCTAGCCCTTTCAAAGGTGCGCTAAAATGCCCTTTAAAAATAAGCATTTTTCAAAAAATTCAAAAACATTGTGTGGAAATCACCCTGTATCTCCTAACCTGATTGACTTTATCAATGTTTGTCAGCGTGATGGCAGAGTTGGAGAGTTTCACTACGTCACGAATCCCTTTTGAACTTCTAAGTCCTTTTAGAAGTGCGCTAAAATGTCCTTTAAAAGTTAGAATTATTCAATAAATATAAAAACATAGTGTGGAAAACATCGTGTATCTCCTGTATTAATTTATTTTCCTATAGTTTCTCAGCGACATATTAGAGTTTAACAGGCCTTTTTTACGATGCATTTTATTTCAGCAATCTAGGCCGTTTGGAAGTGCCCTGAAATGCCCTTCAAAAGTTGGCAATTTTATGAAAATTTGAAAACATGGTGTGGAAAACACCATGTAGGTATCTTGTGAAATATTATACTTTCTTTGAGTTTCTTGATGCCATATTATAGGTCAAGAGCCCTTCTTCTCGACGCAATAAATATTAACCTGCTAAACCCTTTGCATGTATCCTAAAATAGCCTTCAAAAGTTTCTCAACGTCATATTAAAGTTCGGGAGTCCCCCTACACTATGCATACCTTTTTAGCTTAATTAGCTTAACCCTGGGGAAGTGTCTTAAAATACCCTTTGAATATCGCTATTTTGTGCAATAAATTTCATTTTTGGTCGAATAACAGAGTCGAACTTTTTTGTTAAATTTTTTTTCGGTCGAAAAACGGGGTTGACTTTATTTTTCTAAAAATCTTTTTGGTCGAGCAACAGGGTCAAACTTTATTGTTAAAATATTTTTTGCTGAAGAACAGGGCCGAACTTACTTTTCAAAATATTTTCGGTCGAACAACAGGGTCGAACTTTTCTGTTAACTTTTTTTTTTGTTGAAGAACAGGGTCGGACTTTTTTCTGTAATTTTTCCCGTGAAACCGGCGAGATTAAATTACGATTATCTCGAGAACTAAAAGGGCTACGAAAAAAGGACTTCATATTCTTGATCCTTAAAGAATTTTCTAAAAGATGGCATCCTTTAAAAAAACAACCAAAAATGCATAAAAAAATTTAACGAAAAGATTTTGTTATAAAAAAGGCAAAAGATTTCTCTTTTTTATGGTCGAAATTAAAAATTGAAATTTTTAAATTCTGTTTTCTGATTCGGATACAAAATTTAATTCTACATCGATTATTTTTGTAACTTTTTTGGCTCGCATTTACCGTTAAGGCCCTATTTGCAATTTTAATTAAAAAATTTGTAGTTTGAATAGCGACAAAACCAGACTTTGTTAGGGTTATTATAATCAAAAAACTTTATTTTAGAACTAAATTTTATTAAGATAAAGTATGTAGAATCGTATTTTCTTCTATATTTGGCAATAAAAAGTTGTAATTTCCAATTTTTATTTTTTGCTTAGGAAATGATATATAAAACGAATAAACCAGTTTTTCGCACTTATCTGGAAAATCATTACATATAAAGAAAAACGGTTTTCATATTCGTATGTAGAATTAAATTTTATATTATATAACATGTTAAAATTTTCAATTATCAACACTTATGTAATAATTAAAAATGGTCAGTAACTTAAAAACTAATTAAGATAGCGCAACCAAACTTGGATTAATGGATTCCTGGCATTGTTTTTCATCAATTTGGAAAGTTTGGGGAACATTGGAGGGGTAGTTTTATTTGATCAGTTTTGAATTTACCACCCATTTTTCGAAATATTGATGTTATCGGAAAACTGACTTCATATCTTTCATCTCCTTGGAAAACTCAATTAATTGACGTTTTCAATTTTCTTCTAGCTTAAAAAAAATTTTTTGGGTCCAAAAAGAGTTAAGTGTAACCTCTTGATCTTTTTGAGTGCTCTTTGGTCAACTTTGGAAAATGGAAAAACTAAATCTGCCATTTTATAGATCCATATCACGGCATGAAGAAAATGAAGAAAGTTCTTTTCTATCTTTATTAATTTCTGAGAAAATTGCGGTGGAAAATTTTTTAGGCATACTTTTAAATATAAAGTTTTTAAACATTATCTTCCCTGGAATTTCATACTAAGTATTATAGTGTTTTCTGTTTTTGTTTATCTCTTCTAGTTTCTGAGATAATGGATTTTTATGTCTCCATGTAAATACACGTTTTACTTATTGATATCCACAGAAAAAAAAAACCTAGTGTTATTAAGTGAAAAGTTGTTTAAATTTAATAATTAAGAGCCCCCTACACAATGGGGTAGTTTGTTTTTATTAATTAATTATGCTACTTAGGTACTCTTTAAAATGCCAAACATCGATTTAAAAGATATACGACAATAATTGAGAGTTACTGATGATGCGCTCAGGGCGAAACATGTTTATCTCAACCAAAATTGTAATTCAAAAATTACGTTAATTTACTCAATAAATGTATATATACAATAAATTAATTAAAAAATGGACTACGTATTCGACACGGTATTCGACATCGCAGAAAATATATTATGTCTTGATATGTTGGTTGCCTATAGTTGAAGTCTAACAAACTTTAAAATTCAAATATTCAACGAGTAACTAGGAGCTTTCGCCTAGTTACACAGTGTGAATATTACAATATGTATTACATTAATTCCAAAATTGAGTATTTGTTTTCTTTTTATTAATTCAAATATAGCTCAAGATTTTACCAGCAGTAGGTACCTATATACTTTTATTAATAACTTCTTTTGCCACCATTTTTTGCGTTATACCTATATTCCAATAAATATTATTTCGATATAAAAAACAAGCAAGGTATACCTATTTTCATGTTTTTGTAAAATCACGCTGCACTTGTGGTAACACACTATGAGACACTTGAAATTGAATTCGCTAGATAAATACTCGCACCATTCATTGAAACCGAAATCCTTCATCCATCTACCTGTTCGATTGTGTTCATCTTGTAAATTGCACCTATGTGATTCCTCACTAAACACAATTGTTACATAGTGAAATAAACCGCACGTAATTCCGTAATGCGTACTATCCGCATTCAGATGCATGCGGCGTGTAACTCCGAATGCGCGACCATTCATCCCGCATCACATCGAATTGGAATTGACATTGTGTATAAATATAACATTCACGCATCGTGTTCGTCCACAATTGATGAATGGATGGTGCCCTCCATTCGACAAAACCTGGAAGCAGGGATCGCATTTAAAACCGATAAATTCAATATTAATATCTGTGATCTTGTTGTGCTTTTGTTAATCACAATATGATTAGGAAAGGATATGCACACGATGCACACTAGAGAGCAAAATGCATTGAAGCAAAAGCTAAAGGTAACTCTAATTTAATTCTGGGAACTTATATTTACGTTTTTGGGGAGGAAAAAAATGCAAAATTGCAAAATGTATAAATGTTCAATTAGATTCAAATTTGGGGCGTTGGATATTTAATCACGATTATGCTTCGTTGTTTAGCGAAGTGATGGGCTGGGCGCAGTGGGGTTCGCTCATCTGTGTATTTGCCGAGCACTTGGCTCTGTTTTAGATGCTTTATTGCGAATCTCTAAGTCAATATTGAGGGGCGGCCGCGGTGCCACCCTCGCTGCTACCGGCGAGACTTGGCGTTCTGGCGTTGCGACTCTACTCTCCAAATTGATTTTCCCGGTTCGCGCTTTTACTCATCATAAAATCGCTTTGTTTCATCGTTTCAACGCATATTCCCACTGCAATCAGTCTTATTAAACATGAATTTCACACATGCGCAAAGTAGATAAATGCTGTAATTTAAAGTAATGCATGTCATGAAAAGATTTTCAATTTATAATCGCATTATTTTTAAGTAACGTGTAAATATATGCCTTATACTATTGAGACCCATTGAAGGTGATTGAAAGATGCTGTGAAGCGTGTGTTTTACTAGTACTTTGTCGACAGGTACTGTTTATTCTTGGCACTTGTCCGGCGCATCGCTCGGACTTGTACAATGTTGAATAACAATGGCTGTTTTCATTCGTAATACGTTTATTTACAAAACATTAATTTGTTATATCCGGCATATGAATAACACGCGGTGACCGATATCTTTTGTGCTCGCACAGATTACCAAGAGTGGAAATCCGTTCTGGATACTTTCGTCGGTCAAAGCTTAATCCCTTAAGTATCCTTTTTGTGTCTATTATTCATGATTAGAAGGAAGTAACACAATGTATTGAACATTTATAGAAAGTTATTCACTGAAAAAAAGTTATCTATGCAAACGTTTATTTTTTATGCTAACTTAAAATGGCATTCAATTAGGAATTTTGGCAAATATTAGGTATTATTTAGGTACTACTATTTATTGACTATTGAACTTGCTATTTAATATAAGTTTTTAATTTTTTATTAATGAATTATTGTGATCTGAACGTTTATTCAGAATTATGCAAAAGTACGATTACCTATCCTAAGGTTCAGGTATCGATAGGGGAAGGTAGCCCAAGTTGGACCAGCGCCTAAATTGGACCACCACGATATCCGCGGACTGTTGAAGTTTTTGCAATAATAGACAGGCCCCTTGTTTTACTCGTATTTAGGTATAAACAATTGATGCAACAATTTGAGTTAAAACTTGCCGCGTGTTTGCGTCGTGACAACAACTTCGTGTATCATTGATGATTATCAAATCTATTTCAACGACGTAAGTGCAAAAGCTGTCAAGCCGTTTAAGCGTTAGTTTTACCGATTATTATTATATCATCAGAAAGCTTATTTATTTATCTATAATTTATAGTAATATTTTAGATAGGTTAGATTGTCGTTGATCATTAGGTACATGAAAATTTTTCAAGTTGCCCAAGTTGGAAAGATACCTATCTATAGGTATCATTTTTTTGACCTCCTAGAAAAGCTTATTGACGAGCACAACTCTTCGAAATGATCCAGTGTATAAAATGCCGCTCTTTGGTTTATACAAAATGTGCTTGTGTTACTGCTAAAACTAAAATTTACTATTGTATCAATTGCCGTTAAAAAAGCATGGTCCAATTTAGGAAACCGGTTTCTTAATTTGGACCAAAAACACAATTTTTTTAAATTAAAATTTGAGGGATATAAATATAATTTTTACTTAAATCAAAAATATAATTTTGTAGGTAGGTACGCCTTGTGAGTTACTTTTCCGCTACTTAATTTTTATTGACAGTTCATATGTGGCTCCATAAATCATATAAAACCATAAAAAATATAAAAATGGTCCAAATATGGCTACTTTCCCCTATCTGATGTAGGTACCTAATATTAAAGATTTTGTTTTAAAAAGATAGATAATTATTATTAGGTACATTGAATGATAATAAAATAGTATTAAAATATTATATTAAGTGCTTCGACTTGTTTGACTGACGTCGCATGGCATTTCATACGATTTTGTGCTGCCTCATAGGCAAAGGCGCAGGCGCAAGCTCCGTGCCGTAGATAATGCCCTAGATAATGAATATTATTCACACCTTGACCGTCCTTATAGAAAGAACCACTTTTTTGTGTCTAAAAGGTTTAACTTATAAATAGAATGCGTTTCCATGTTAACCACATGTGCACATGGTTGTAAGTAGGAAATAAAATATAATAATTGTAATTACCTACATACTAATTACCTATTTACCTAGGTAGGTAGGTATTAACTTGTAATATTTACAGTATCTTTATTTTTCACTTTTGCGGTGCAAATTGAACTTAATTTTGTTTGTGGTTTTAAGGAGCTATAATGTGCTCTTGTAAACGTGTGACCTTTCACCTTGAATCTTGAATGGATCGCACTCAGAGGTGCAAAGTATACAAATAAAAGCGCGCGAGCGCAACAAGACATGTGAGTGGCGGAGCGGTCTTTAAGAGATGTGTGACATTTTTTCCTCGACTGTCGGCGCCGGGTAGCTTTTTGATTTAATATAATGGTGCTGGAAAATAATCAGAATGGCGCTCAATGCTGAGCGAGTGCGGCGCTCAAGAGCGGGATGAAAGAGACAGCATAATTTCTGTATAGATGGTCCATCATCATATCAGGTCGAGTAAGTGGAGCACCTCTCTAGTTCTCATCATCTCTGGAGCACCCTTTGGACTAACAACCTTTCATAGACCTGCTGATTGCTGCTGACCGACAGCTTATATAACCCTTTAGAGAACTTCGAGTATGTCATGAGTGTGCCTGGAGTGCATATCCTAGTGTTGGCGGCGGCACTCTTTTTCCAACTTTTCATCTCCACCTGCAAAATCAACTTGGGCTAGTTTTCAAGATCAGCTCCCGGATTGATTGATTTAGAAACTCATGCAGACGCTTGGTTTGACAGTTGACAATTGTTCTTTTGGTTGTCTTTTGTTTCGCGCGTGGGGTCAATTTGAGTGGTAGCGCCGATGTGGTCGGGTGGTGATAGTGGTGGACGAAATTGTTGTATCAATCAATCGATACGCTTACGGCGTGTAATGTGCGAAACTGCTCTTGGTCCCCACTCCGACGGGAGTTTAATAGGATCTACACCTATCAGGAGGAGCAACAAAATATCCCTTCAGTAATCGATGGAGCGTGGGAATAGCTTCCAAGACGGAGCGCGTGGCTAGAGGCGACTTGGAGTGGAATTCGAATGCGATTTTGGTCTTACGTCGCCTGCGCAGTTAGAGGCAACATTAGCTTGAAGGGGAGCGCTGTTTGTCCCACCGCGACCGGGCCCCTCCTTGCTGGCTTGCGGAGCGTGCGGCGCATTGGCGGATGCGCCGTTCGACACTCCCAGCGCGAGGAATCGAGTACCCAGAATGCAGTGGGTCTAGAGTGGAAGTGCCATGTACACTTTGAGGGCACTCTAAGAGCACGCTTAGGCAAGTTAAGCGCTCTTTGCAGCTAAAGAGTCTTACATCAAGAGTCCTCTAAAGAGTGCTATAGCTCGATCACTGATTTATTTATATAGTTAGTCAGTTTGTTTATTGAATTCGGATATCGAATCAACCGGAAGAACTCGGCGGCCACTTGTACTTCTTAAACGCGGAAACGGGAGATTGTGATCGAAAAACGAAAACGGAAAATTGCGTGTCGCGAGTGTGCTTCCAGATTCTCCAGGTTTTTGTGCGCCGAAAAAGTGAACAAACTCCAAAACTGTTTTCGCGCCTGTGAGTGTGTGTGAGTGTGTCTCTTTTGGAAGTCTGCGAATGCAAAATATCGTAATATTTAAACAAAGTGCATGTGGTGATATTAACTAGGCCGGGAATTGGCTGGATTGCCTAAGTTCGGCACAACAGGGTCCTGGAGCACATGTCTGGCGGTGGCAACTACGGGGAAGGTCCCGTGGTGCAGGACCGATCTGACTTGCATGGCCTGCTGCCCGAACTCAATGGAGTCGAGCTGGCTATGAGCCTCAGTCCAAAGCATCACCATCAGGGAGGTCAGCAAGTTCTAAGCCATCTACAGCAGTTGCATCACTCTACGCCGTTCAGCGTCACCGACATTCTCAGTCCCATTGAGGAAAGCTATCGCAAATTGGAATTGGCAGCGAATCCACCATCACCTTACAGGTAAACACCAAACACCCTATTTGCAACAGTCGGAAAATCATAATTCTGAAGTTCATTCTATGGCCATAGATCCACATCGAGTGGAAGCAGCATAAATTCACCAGGAGCCAGTGTTCTTCCTTCGTCGAGTACAACCAGCACGTGCGGGATGAACGGCGGATACCCTGTGATGGGCCAGTTTGGCAGTGGGCAATATTGCCCTGTGTCTGAAAACCTCGGTCTTGCGCCGCACTACTCCCCGGATGGTATCAAAGTTCAGCGACGGATCCACGCTTTGCCAGTGAGTTATTAATTTTCATAATTACGCCACATTTAAATTAATGAATTACAATGAACAATGGTAAAATGTGTTGATGATTTTCCATCGTTTTGTACTTCCGTGCTCAAGCTACTGTATTGTCATATATTGGTGGTGAAGTGGAAGGCAAACACATCTAACTCCGTATATTTACCAACTGTCAGTTACCTACTACTTTTAAATACCACGCGAGGACGAACAGCGTATATTTACAGACGCTGCACGTTTATTCCCGATAAATACTCATCGCCCCGATGATTTGCGTTACAACAAGCAAACACGCGTACCGCGCGCGTATTTGAACTAAAAGTGTTCATCTAATGGACTTTCTTGGTTGGTAGTTGCAGCGGTTATTATCTCACAGTCTTGCAATGCACAGAAAATTGCATTCTCAGATATTTCTAATCCTTAAAAGCTCATATTATTCTGTATGTGTATAAATTTAATTCTCTGTCAATGAAAATGAGTATATCTGTAATTTAATTGTTATTTATATCCCGATGACAACTTTGGGTGACGTTTGAATGACGCTCGTTTGTTCGCGCATTCGCTTGTTGTGATGTATTGACATAAAACAAACAAAAGAGAATTTAACGCAGTGCAAGAATAGGCCTCTAATACAACTGCGCGCGGTTTGTAACTGAATGGTATCTATTGTGCCCGGCGATTCGGGCGCCGATGGCTTCAGAATGAGCTGTGTGTAACCAAGTCGATGATGTCTGTGATGACGGAGCGAAAATTCATATTCAATTCATTTGCGTATCATATAGGTAGGTATAGATACAATGTTTAAATATTAATGATTGGCAAAAAAACTACCACACGCTATATTTTTGTATTGTACCTAAGTCGAAATCGGATTATACCTATCTATCTAAAAATCGATGTTAAGTCCTGACAGTTTTCATGCCCATCACCTTAGTCTATGAGCATGCATTCCATCCTCGGGAAAAGAAGAGAATGTCGACAGAATAAATATTTATTTTGGAAATGTCCCTCTGTGTATCTCACTCCGAGTGCATCGGTTGAGCTGTCCATTCCGTATTGATTCGATATATGCGTGCGTACGACTCATGCTGGATCTTAAATAAACAAGATTTCGTTTTTAGTGCATAAAATATGAATGCACAAATCGCGTCGCGCATCCCACGCGCAACACCTGAAATAATATCTCTCACATCAGCCCCTTCATAAAATGTAAAAATAAAATCAAAAATTTGAAATCAAAATTCACAAAAAAATGATGATGATGTGGAAATTGTTGTGCAAACTTGGATGATGGATGCTTGGAACATGTTCATAAATAATATAACGCCCTTATAACACGAATAAGACGACGGATATGCAAACAGCCGAATGATTGATTGCTGTTAAATCGTCTCTGCGTGCCGTCGGGGATTGGTTCAACACCCCCATGGCGCCCTAGGCGAACGGAGGCGCGTGATGCTTTAACATCCTAACAGAATTATGACAATGCGTCGGAGACACCCTCCTATCTATTCTGCATTGCCAGCCATTCAATGCGATGCGATGCAATGCGCGCATTAAACACGCCATGAAAGTGAAATTGGGTGTTTTGTCAGCGCTAATTGTGTGTTTTCGACTGTGTGCGCCCCGTAATTGCCGGTATACCATGCTGGGTTGTTGGGCGGATCGCATTTCGGTATCACACATCAGAGAAGAAGTGAGTCGTGGTTATATCTAACTTTGACTCACATAAGACCCGAGCGCGAATAGTTCTCACGGAGAACGTATCACGTTTCACTGCCTCGATAATACGAGAATGTGAGTCGGTTGTGGCGTATAAAGTGTGGCAAAGAATCGGATATGGATACATTATTTGGGGAAATGCTGCGCCATTCGGAATTGTCTAAATATTTGATGTGGGTGATCTTATTCCTCAGCTGGAGAGGTGTTTTATTGCAAAAATAGGTTGGGATATGCGGCGGAGTGTTTTGGGCTGCATATCTTCCGACGGATAACCTTAAACCTTTCAGGCTGAACCATTATCTTTATTTGATCGACGAAGTTTCTAACTCATGTACAAATAGTCATTGAATTTGATTATTATAAATTAATTTACATCAAACAACAAAAAACATCTAAATTCTTATTTATGTCCAATTTATAGCAATAAGATAGGGGAAGGTAGCCTAAGTTGGACCAGCGCCTAAGTTGGACCACCACGATATCCGCGGACTGTTGAAGTTTGTGCAAAAATAGACAGGCCCCTTGTTACTCGTATTTATTAACAATTAATGCAACTATTTGGGTTAACACTTGCCGCGTGTATGCGTCGTAACAACAACTTCGTGTATCATTGATTATCAAATCTATTATAACGACGTAAGTGCAAAAGCTGTCAAGCCGTTAAAACGTTAGTTTTACCGATTATTATTTTATCATCAGAAAACTTATTTATTTTTCTATAATTTATAGTATTAATTTTGAGAGGTTATGTTATATTAAGATTGTCGTTGATCATTAAATATAAATTCTTCAAGTTGCCCAAGTTGGACCCAAGACAGGCACCGGGGTTTTAACAGGGAAAACGTATATAAATTTTTGGACCTCCTAGAAAAGCTTGTGGACGAGCACAAATCTTCGAAATGATCCAGTGAATGAAATGCCGCATTTTGGTTTATACAAAATGTGCTTGTGTTACTGCAAAAATTAAAATTTACTATTGTGTCAGTTGCCGTTAAAAAAGCATGATCCAATTTAGGAAAACGCGCGGTCCAATTTAGGAAACCGGTTTCTTAATTTGGACCAAAAACACAATTCTTTAAAATTGAAATTTGAGGGATATAAATATAATTTTTACTAAAATCAAAAATATCATTTTGTTGGTAAGCCTTGTGAGTTACTTTTCCAATAGGTACTTAATTTTTATTGACAGTTTATATGTGGCCCTATAAATCCAAAAATATAAAAATGGTCCAAATATGGCTACTTTCCCCTACATTTCCCAAAAAGGAAGAATTATTGACATGACCTCCAAACGTTCTTAAATTGGCAAATACTTAATTATATATTGTAATATAACAAGGATAAAGGCAGTTAGGTAAATCCTTATTAGGTTACTGATCAGAATATTAAAATTCAAAAAAATACAGGAAACAGAATTTGAAATCAAATTTATTTTTTTCTGTTACGCTATGTGATGTTAGTTATTGTTTAATATAAAATTGTACATGTGCGTAATTGTTTTATGAAGTTATTATTTCGTGTCATTGGGTAGCCGAAGTTAGCAGATAGATGAGTAACAAGTCAATTTGCTTATGAAAGTTAAGTAATTACGAGGACAATATATTTAAATAAAGCCAAGAAAGTTGCTATAAACAAAAAAAATTAAGAAAACAATACAAAAAATGATAACTTTATAAACTTCTAGGATACCTACCTTAAGAAAAACAGAAGGAAAATTAATGTCGGAGTAAAACATGAAAAAATGGTAAAAAAATCTTGCGGGTAGGTTTAATTAAAATTAAATTAAAAAAATTGTGCCGGCAAACTATACACAATATAGGTAATTATCTATGTATACCTATATATAAATGAATTGCTGTTCGTTAGTCTCGCTAAAACTCGAGAACGGCTGAACGGATTTATCTTATCTTGGTCTTGAATTATTCGTGGAGGTCTAGGGAAGGTTTAAAAGGTGAGAAAATTTGAATAATTGCCGGGAAAATCCTCAAAACAGCATTTTTCAATTTCCCATACAAACGATAATATTTGACATTAGATTTGACAACCAACTAATATGTCAATCCATCCTGTCGCATTTCAGAGCACGGAAAAATGTATTACGATATTAGGTAGGTATATTGTGTTACGAGTTACGATATCTATGAGTGCATCCTTCTATCTTTGTGGCTACGTGCGCGAGAACTTTCTTTACTTTGGTGATCCTTTGTGATAGTGACATTCAAAGTAATGTGCTCTTTTTTGTGATAGTGACACTTTACTACTAAATGAGCGGGAAATTTTCTCACATTATTTATCGATGATGCAGTTCGAAGTCTGCCAGGTCAGCTAGTCTTCAATAAATAATAGGTAACATGGTTATAATATTTCAAGACCAAATATAAGTCCTATTTATTTTTATTTTTATTATTGATGTTGTCTATAAGTTGGTTTATAAATTATGCATTGTTTAACCAAGTTTAATCTCTTTTAAATTCGTTGAATTGCACTCAACACAAGCATAATATTAATTACAATCAACAATTCGCGCGTTTGTATATTTATGACTCCGCACAGATGCAATTCGTTGAAGTTGCGCTGAAATCTCCCACTGAAATCATTAAAATGCAATGCAAATGTGAAATGTGATGTAGTATTCTAAACTGGTAAATTTGTATCGTTACAGTATCCCGCTTGATGGGCAGCACGGCGGCGGGCAGCAACATGGGCCACGCCGGGATGCCAGGGCTGGGAGCGTGCGCCGTGCCCGACTCGAAGCCGATGCAATTTCCTCTGGCGCAGCGGCGGAAAAGGCGGGTGCTGTTCACGCAGGCACAGGTAAAACGTTGCGACTCGCCACGCCTAATGCCGAGAGACCCTATCGTGCCATCATGTTCGCTCATCTCCGCTCGTCCTTCTCTGATCCTTGCACGAAATCTCCTATAATCGTGGATTATTTTCCGACGGAACTGATTCCACAGTCAAAAAACTGCCAATTGCCTCAGTGATATAGTTTTACATTGTTTCTTGCACGCATTTGTACAACTTGATACGGTTCTTACAGGTGTACGAGTTGGAGCGGCGTTTCAAGCAACAAAAGTATCTCTCAGCACCCGAACGAGAACATTTAGCATCTTTAATTCATCTCACACCAACACAGGTTAGTTTAAAACACGTTTTGGTAATGATTTTGTTACTGGCGGCCATTTTGACATCGAGGCATTGTCATCGCTGGTGTTAGTTTTACTGTCGATTAATTCGTAACAATGGGCACACCCCACACCGCAAATTAAAGCATAACAATTTGTATAAAATGGTGCCCAGCGCGCTGCGATCAATTGCCACATTGCCGAGCTGCACACTCGAAAGGGGAGCTGCTCCTTCTCCATGTGCATCGCCGGCGATGATGTACCGCGATGATAAGATACATGGGGTGAAACACCCCGGGGCAGACCCGACACTCCAGCCAGTTAATACAAAGTAAATTACGGAAACCGGGACGTCGTGCGTAAAACTATACGCAAAGGTGGTTTGTGTGTGCACAACGAGGGGGCCGCCAGAAAGAAACGCAAGCGTTGCGTGTAAATACGCCGCCAACCGCCTCGTCAAAAGAAGCGTTCGCGTTCGATCCTGCAGGATCTCGAGTGGCTTGCATTGTATGCTGCTCCGGCGCTGGTATAAACCAGCTGTCGCCCGTGTCTTCAGCTCTAGCACAGACTCCATTTTCGATTGATAAACTTTCGTCGGCGCGCACAATGCGTGCGTCATTAATATTGACTGCATCATCCGTTTCAGCGACGAGTTGATGAGGAAATTACGCACAGAAAACTCAACGTCTTTAATCAGACCAACCTAAAATAAACTCACAGCTCAATAGCATCGAACTAGAATAATAATAATAAATAAACTTGTACCGGGCAGTTGCAGCTTCCTCCAGGTGTATAATACACAATTGTGCTGCAAAATGCACAAGTGATTGACAATGCATCAAACAATTTTCAATCTGTTGCATTCGCATTCAATATTTCATTGATAGATCATGGGAATATTGTAAATTATCGACGCAAAACCTTCACACTGTTTGCGGACGCGTTGTTTTTTCAAATATGGCGCCACATGTTTCTCGTTAGATATTTCTACTGCAACTTTGTGTCAGCGTGCATTATTGAATGTGTATTGACATTTTCTCTTGTATCTTGTATCTTACACTCGAGGCAACCCGGTCGTCAGGTGTGCGTTCTTATCTCGACATAATGAAAGACAAATACAATATCTTCTCATTATGCATGCGCAATTTACCTACGTGTAACGCATCCTCGGCCATATGCTGCTACCGTGAGTGGTTTTGCTTCTAACATGCGAATCGCCATTGTTAATTTAGCACTTAACATTTTATCCACAGCGTCGCTTGTTTATATTAACTGTGAATAACCGACGCGAATCGCATCTATTTAATTAACTGTGTTGCGGTGAAATTTCAATTTTACACATTCTATAAGTTTCCACTATATTTCTTCTTCATTTTCAGATTGAGTGTTAACATAACCTCAACTGTACTTATGTATAGTTATTTATTATTTTTTATGAATAATATATGAGCTTATAACGTGAATTAAAGATATATTAATTAAACAATGCTTTTTTGTGTGGTTTTGGGTGAAATAAAGCTCAACAGAAGATAAAAAAAACTTTACTGGCAGGGTAATAACAAGTTGCCAAGCAGAACTTTATAGAATTTGTCGGTAAATGTAAATTTAACATATTTTACTCGTTTCTACAATCATTCGTCCTTATATTGAGATTCATTGGTAACATAACCTCAACAGTATTGATGCTTTTTTATTCGTATATCTCACCATTGAAAAGGAAGAAAAAAACATAATTGTGGATGCTAATAAACAAGAATTTTCAAATTTGTGATAAAATTTTAATTTTACATATTGTACTTGTTTGGACAACATTTATTCTTCATTTTGAAATGGAGTGTTAACATATCCTCAACTATTATGTGCGATATACCTATAAGCTTATAAAATGAATTAAATATCTAACCATTGAAGAACACACTTTTTGTGTGGTTTTGTGTGGTTTAAGCCAGAAGAGAAGAGAAAAAACTAGTCGGGTTTAGTAATAACGAGTTGACTGGCAGGAATTTTCGATACGACGTCTTTTGTGCGTGCTCCTTGCTCGCTCCCATTCGTATGTGGAAGCACGGCCGCGATGAAAGGATGCATTGAAGTGAATAAACATCGCACCCACTCGGGGGTTCACTGAGGCGTGCGTTGCATCGGTTTGCTCACATTTGGCGGTCCATGATTGAGATTTGATGCGTTGTAAAAAAAGAATTTCAGCTCTTAATGATGATCTAATAAAGTGACCTTGCTAACGAGATATCATCATCAAAATATTATAAAAATACAGCTCGTGAACAAACAAATGCCACATAGGTACTAGAAGGGTTCGAAGGGATTATATTTCCTGCAAGCTATGGGGTTCTAAACGCACGCCGATTATCATAATCCCAGTTTAATAGAGTCATGGCTCACGGCTGATGCTGTCAAAAATTATTGACACAACACTAATATTATGATATTTCTTCTAATCATCAACTGTTCTGATCTGATCTAAATAAATATTTGTTTAAATTTGCATAACATGTTAAAGTTATCAAAATTGCGTTTACTCCGGATTAATTTTTAATAACGAAGGCAATCACAGCACACAATGCGCGCATTGCTCACGGATTAATTAATCATTTCGTTTAATGCTTGTTTATGCGCATTTGTCCACGCGTGTCGACTATATTGTGCCTGCGTCGAGCATCAAACTCATTGACAGAATTAATTCACATTTGATGATTTGGCAAATATTAATTGGAATTTAATTGTGCAATTACATTCAGCGCTCAGATTCGTATTTGTTTGTTAATTACACACCTCATATAAATTAATAATGTGCGTCATTTTTATGCTTTTCTTGTTGCAGGTTAAAATATGGTTCCAGAATCATCGATACAAGTGCAAACGTCAAGCGAAAGAGAAAGCGATGGCGGAGCAAAATCAACACAATCAGGTAAATAATATTAGTTATTAAGTTTGTTGTTAAATGTTTCTTTGAGCGCGTTATAAGTTGTTGTGTGTTGTATTGCAAGAGTATGGGCGTTATAAGGCCATTGAAAGTCGTGATGGACGTTAATTTACAACGTTAGAATAATAAATTGATAATTGCCCATTTAATTCCATCATTATTTATTAGCATCAACTTCAGACAACAACTTCCGCTCGTTCTATGCGTTGCGTATGTGTCAGCAGCGTAATCAAGTGCATCAGGAATGTTTAAAGAATGTTTCACGGTTTTAATTGAATTTCTATTTTGTTCTAATCGTTAGAAGAGCTTTTACTTCAAGTTTAATAAAAATACTGTCTTAAAACATGCATCAAAACAAAATGATAGATTGGTTGCATAAAATTAATGTTTTAACACGAATAACACTTGCGCCATCTGTTCTCAATGAAGTTTTATAAGCAAAATTGACATTTTTCTTTCAGAGTTCTAGTTCACCTCGTCGTGTAGCTGTCCCAGTCCTTGTCAAAGACGGCAAACCCTGTTCGGGTGGTTCGGGCAGCGCCTCCGGAAATCAATCCTCAGCATCGGCAGTATCAGCTTCGGAGGTGAGCCGCAGCCAGCAGAGCGGCGTGTGCCAGTCGCAGCAGCAGGCGCAGTGCATGTCCAACGGCGGGCTGGCGATGGCCTACCGCCAGCAGGCAGGCAACTACCAGCAGCAGTGCGGGACATACCTGCCGCTTCAGGCGAGGGCATGGTAGTAACGCGGAACGCAAACACCCGCGGCAACCGAGGGAGTTTGTATGTACATACGCACATCACGTACACACACAACTACACAGTTAGGTGTATCGTATAGTTTTCCAACACAATCCGTAGGTAATACGACCCATTACACCCCAATATAGACATTAGAGAAATATTTGTGTCGTACTTTGCAATACTGCAATATTATTTGGTTTCATTTTCTAAGCAGACAAATAATAACACTAATGTAATCTAATCATATATAATTTTGCGATAGTGGGTGATTTTTAATTCAATGTATCACTATGTCAGATGTAGGTGCATCAAAAAACTAGCAAATAACATAAAATATTAATAAATAAATTGAAATTTAAAATAAATACGAAACAAAGCAATATACAAAAATAAAACATAATTAAGTAAATACACTTAAATTAAAATTTACTTTTCTGCTTAACAAAATACTTCCGATTGTAAGCGTTTGAAACGATTGTAAATATGACTAATTAAACACAGACGATGTTGATGTAAAATGACATTGTCAATGTAAATATGCTAGCTCATAGTGAACAAAAATTATATAGTTAAGCGATGTGGCGTCTCTCATTTGCATTCCAGCATTCTCGATTCACGATGTATCATAAAAACATATGTATTTAATATGCGTACGCGAAATTTATTATAATACGATTAACAGACTAACATTTAGGTGAATTTGTAATCAATTGTGTGTATAGATATGAGTATCTCATAAAAATGTTTATTGAAATGAATAATTATGTATTGTAAACAGTGGATTAAGGATTAAATAATGTTAAAGTATTTAAAACAAAACCAAATGGAATTTTTTGTCATTACCTCACTTTTATACAGTAGTGCCAACCAAATTACAGTTACAGAGTAGTTAACAACTGATGTTTAGCAGGGAAACAAACCTCTAACCTCAAAATATTATAAACGTGTTCATTTTGTGTTGTAAAGTTTTCATGTTTAGAGAAGTTTTTCAGCAAATGGGTAATGTAAAACCAATCACAAACTAAAAATCTCTTAAACATAACAAAACAAAAGAAGAAAAAACGTCTGTATTGCGCTGCAAACACTCATAACCTTACTACTCAGTGTATATTGATGGTGTAGTTGCAGGTGTTTGTAAAACTGGCACTGCTAAAGGTAAGTCGCAGATTTGAATTTAATTCAATTTCATGCTATAGAATTTCGATTGTTGGCGTTTGATGGTGTTTCGCCGGCGCTTGGCCTGCACGGGTCATCCCGAAATTGGACATAAGGCTTAGTGTCACTCGCAGGAGTTGACAAAAGTCCTTCCTTCACGGCCATTATACGCGCCTCTCAGACGCTATCGCGGGCGCTGCCTGCATGCGTGCATGTGGGTTAGCTTCGGCGCTTCGGGGACGATGCCGCGGTGCGCGGTGGTGATTGTTTGCCTGCCCCCGACAACTGTGAAATCTCCATTATGCGCCACGTAAATATCCTGCTATTGTGTGCGTCGGGTGTGTGCCTTCCACGCTTCTATTCATGCCACGCATCTAGTCGTTGCGCCGCATTCACGGTCTGCGAATAAAGATGAGTATCGCGGGTTAGTTCATGGAATAATATTATTTTTTGCCGGCAGTGGGACGCTGCATATTTGCATATTAAAAAATAGAATTTCGCACGCACTAAAAATTGGTAGCATATAAATTCAGCACGTTGGGAGGTAAAGTTTAGTGGGTTTTCACATTTGAGAGAAATAACAGTGATAAAATCATAACTTTTAAGTACCATGTCAATTGGCCATAATTCTGTTGTGGAATTTATCTTGATTCATTCATAACCTGCCTTGTTGAAGAGTTACGAAACGCCATCGTCCAGGCCTCGACACCTTGGTTTTAACTCAACCCAACAAATGATGCGAGATGCCTTTCTGCTTTGTGCCACCCAATGGGCGATTTTAAGTGAGCCACCCACAACGCAGTGACGTCTTGTGACTTGTCCTACCCTTGCATGACTTGTACCTTCCACCACAATTGACTATCGGATGGACGCTAGGTTTCTGGCGTCCGGAACACAATAGTTGTCACCGGCGCTGACAGGTCTTGAGATACGAGCGACGTGTTTGTGTTTGATCTGCTGGGCGAACGGCGATTATGTGCACTTTATTAAAAGGCGCCATTGTTCGCGGCGTCACGAGAACAAAGCGCAAGTCAAAACAAGTCCGCAGGCCCCGAAGGTGTGGGTTTTGTTTAATCCTTTTAATAAATACCAGAGACGAAGGCGACGCTGACCTGCTGACCACCGCCCGGATTATAATTGAGATGAAATATTTACATTCGTGAAGACTTTTCAATCACCACGGATTATTACATCAACAACAACGGCGCGAGTAATTATCTTGATGGCTTTTAATTGTTAAGGTGCTGCGCGCCTCGAGCAAGGCGAAGTTATGTCACTGGGCACGCTGCTTGACGATCTAACTGGACCTTATAAAACAACATCAAGCACCATGACTGGTCACAATCGATATTATTTTTTTCTTTCAAAAGGAAAAGCAAACAGAAAGTTTTTGAGTACTGCGTGCGTGCACTGCAGGCACATAATTCACACGAGCGTCTAGGCTGACCGGGAGGAATTTCTCAATCTCATTAATTATTTTTTTCACTTGAAGAGGTTTTAAAAACATCATTTAAATAACAATATTAACGCACGAATGAAACGTTAAAGAGCAAGGTTCTGCTCTCCGGTGATTAGCCTACAATTAAATCGATGATGATTTAAAGAGAAATCATGATTTCATAAGAATGAAACTCAATTCAAGAGCAAATTTGTCCATTGAGATATTTTAATTGAACGTAATTTCTATAGTTGTCAAATGTTGCCTTTTTAAATAACGATCGAATGTATTTTAAATCATTCAAAAATTCCATCCGCACGCTATCAAAATATTATCCTTCCTGTCAATAGTGGTGTGCACATCGTTATTGTTATTTTTAACTGGGCAAATATTAATTTACGTTTTAAGCCCTTTCCGGAGCTAATTGTTTGTGCGTTTTCGGTGGGCGCTCGGCACTAATCTGTTTTTATTACTTTCGCTCGTGAAAGTTGGTTTGGGGCGCTCGGCATCAGGTAACAGTAAGCCACGGCGCAAATCGGCCGTACGGCGGCCCATTATATTGTTAAGGGATTACCGGCTGTGTGCGCATCGGAGGGAACAAATCGCTCCGGCGCTCCCTGAATTGTTTCAATATATGTGGCGGCTCCTCACTTCACATCGGCATCATCAACACTGGCTTAAGTTCTTACGACGTATATTAGTCACGTGTGACGTTCAACTAAATGAAAATGATTTTCAATCTTGTTTGACGGTTGATTTAACGAGTTTCTAAGTCAGGAAAGGAATAATTTTCAAGTCACAAGACAAAATCATAGATTTTTTTTGGAAGTTTCGAGCAAGAACATTGCCAGATTTACAATTATTTGCAAAAAAGCTTTTTTCTTAATGATTTCAAATGGCGACTAATTAAATTTTGCATTCGTGACATTCTGGTGCAAACAACAAGATAATATTTATTAGAAACATCTGTTTGAAAGTTTACATAACTAATCTTGCATAAAAACCTCGTCCGACTTGACATTTTGACAAATACACGATGACCATGTAACAATTGATCAATGGTTAAGTGTTTTAATCGAATTGCAACACAAAAATAACACGAGATGTTGTGACAAAGCAAGTGAAGGCTTCCGGTGCATTATTTCGAAATTGTTGCAGAAAAGCGCTGAGCTGCAGGAAATTCCGGAAACCCGACGCTAATAGGAAGTGACTCGGCACGTAGCGCCGACAGGCTACCGGCAAACACACAACAATAGACGTGAGGGCGTATTCATAATGCCACCAGAACGCACCCCTTCCGCATTTTCCTGTCTAGTGTCCCCTTTGGTATATTCTCGCACGCAAACAGCTTCTTGAGAGATGCAGCATCACTCCCATGAATATTAAATTATCCGCGCTTTTTTAGTATAAAATATATATTTATTACTTACTGAAATATTTGAGTTAATTTTGATTTGTATGTTGGTAGTGTAGGCGGATGTGGATGGAACTGCGAGTGGAACTTCGATGTCGAAGGAGCGGAATGTAATAATCGACAGGATCGGCAACAGCAAACGCCACTTGACCCCAGACCCCCGTGCGCCACGTCCTAGCTACGGGCCGCGGCGATGATGGTTACTTAGCAACTATTAATCACATTCTATCGTTAGCATCGGCTTACAGCCGGGATATTATAACCCGATATGCAGCGGGATGAATCGTTTTATGTTTTCCCTGCGGCCCTGCGATTACATATCGTGCTTCTTCTATGGTGTGCTGAATTTTATTGCTTTCACCCCTGGTAACCTACCTGGCTGTATGCATATCTTGAATAATACAAGTACCTAAGCTAGCTTAATATTGCATAGAGAATAATCATAAAGAAAAAAGCACAACTTAAGTCGTAATAATAATATTTTTCTAATAATTTTTTCTATATCCAATTAGTTATTTGGCTAATCTTGGCAAAGACAAATCCAAAAACCCAAGTTTTTTTCAAAGAACTAAATAGCAATTACAAAGACTATAAAAAACGATCTTTATCATCATATTGTTGACTTAAAATAATTTTTAAAATACCATATAGGTAAGTAGGTACAGTAGAGTCCGGTTATAATGACATCGAAGGGAATTGACAAACACGTCATAATAAGCGGACGTCATACAAAGCGTTTTGTGAAATAAAAACCCTTTTTTACGTAAATATGCACGTTTACATACATATTAAATCAAAATCAAAATTGCACATAATCAGCACATTATAACACATACAAGTGTATTTTTTACTTCAAGTAATCTGTAATTTTTGTCTGCTTTTGTTTTTTCATTTAATTAATTTTCTTGTGATTTTCGAAGCCTCTTCGGTTTCAAAACATTTGAATTGAACGATTGCTGAATACGGTTCTTGTTTTTTAAAAAGCATTGAGATTGTCGAATGACCCACGCCAAATTCGGATTAATGGAAAATACGGATTAAGTCGTGGTCAAGGTGCTGCTGCCGGAATGCTTATATTTATTATTTAAGCATTTGGTCTTTCCGATAGTAAATAGGTACATAAAAGTAATTTGACAATCATAAAAGAAATGTAGCAATAAATATAAAAAGTTCGCCACGTGCCGAACGTCGTCGGGTATCTACGAACATTACCGGAGGTGTAAAGAATCATGTTGGTCATTATAACCGGACATAATCTATTAAAAATGGGTCATAATAAGCGACATGTCACTGTAAGCGAAGTCATTATATCCGACTTTTTTATACAGAATTTTATATGAAAATCAAACTTGGTAGTGTAGGTACGTCATAATAACCGGTTGGTCAATACCTATAAGCGGAGTCATAATAAACGGATTCTACTGTATTTAATTAATAATTTTTTTGCGAATATATTTTCAGCCTGCACATTGATATACCTACCTACACTTCCCCGTGCCATTTTCAGTCGACATTCGCCCGACGTGGACATTAGTTAAAAGTATCCGCTTTGGCCGGCGTGCTAGCGACAGTGTGTCGGATCTATATTGATAGCGGGGCATAAAATGCTGTCCGGCGCGCGAGCGACCAGCCACTGCCGCTGACAGTGGAGATTTATCCCGATTTTATATAGCCGCCCGCCGCCGCCCGCACGCCCACAAAAACATGACACACTCGCACGTGCGTCGCATTAAATGATGGCACACACCCACCCACACACGCTCACACACACGGCCTAGATTGCAGTGGGCCGGACAAAAGACCCACGAGAGGGTGCAATGCGCCGAGCACGATTCACACATTACGCGCCCGTAACGTATAATTTATAAACTGGTGCTAACGATGGCAATGATTGTGTTGATATTGGTTTCATTTTAGGGATTAAATCGCATTATATAAAAGTCATAACAGGGTAGTTTCTCTTTGATTGATTTGTAAAAAAGTATTTTGTAGGTAAAGAAATTTCTCTGAATTGTTTAACTTCTTCTTCTCAAGTACTTATAATTTCTTGCACTTTAGTAGTAGAAAAATCAAAATTCTCAAAACAAGTTTTATTATAAATCAAACATTTCCAACGACATTTCGTTTCGAGGGCTTTCGGTATGAAGCATTTAAACTAAATCAAGTGGACATTCTGAACGGGATATCAAGCAATCGTTGAATCGTACCAGATCAAGGTGTAAATTCTCAAGTACTCCCATTGTAGGCTGTTTGTAATTTTGCGCTCAAGACAAAGCACATACGTGTGTAATACGGCCGTGTGCGTTTAGGCATGTTCGTTATGTTTGGTCTTTGGCACCTCTGGCGCATGAGTGCGGCGGGGTCACGCGGGGAATGTTTTTTAGGGAAGCAGTTAGACAATGGGCGGTGCTGTACGTGCATGCGAGATAAAGTGGCTGCCTGCGCGCATAAAGGTGAGCGCGCCCCGACCGTATATAGAAAATGCACAAGAGGGTTTTGGGGGTAGCAGCGCAGCGCGCCTAGCGCGGGCATATTCACAATACCCACTTGAGCAGTCGCTACCTAAGGCTGCCACTTGAATATTTCTCCATTGTGCCATAACCAGCGACATCTGCACATAGGTGCTGCTGCCCCAGGAGCGCGTTCGACGCTCTTCACGTTCGTTGAAAAATTTACGAGATGCACGATGTGATATTGCTGGGAAATGGACCGTGATTTCATTTTATCGTTGCGCCTTGCACTTTCCAGGATATTGATGCCTAAACGCATGGGCAATTACACTCAAACTGACTAGGGATTTCAAACGGTCACTAAATGTGTTTTAAATATCCACATTCAGAAGGAAAAAATGCTAAATCTTGATCACAAGTTTTACTAAACTCCTGTTTTTACACGTACTGATTTTTATTGCGCATGATTGATGTTTGACGTGATTGCAAATTGCAATGACGTGCAATGAATAAAAAGAGCTCGCACGTGGTGGGCGCAAGATTGTTGAAAGTTGAATTCGAGCAATTGGCAATTTGTCAGCAATTAAAACAAGACATCATTAAATCAGAAGCAGCGGTCTCGCAGTTGGCCTTTGTTAGGTCACGTATGGTCCCCGTCGCCAGTCGCCCGCACCCTCACAGCAAACCACTTGACGCGCTCTTTTCCGACCCCAGCGCGCCGGAATCCCCCCGGTTCGTGCGCCGCACGAACTCTTCGTCTCGAGATAAAGCATGAATATAGAATGTTCGTGACGGTGCCAAAAATATGCAAAAACTAACAGCAAAATCAAAAATCTGCATTTTTCGAATAAAATAAAATTTTACCCTGAAAACCAGCATCAATTAAATATAAATTTTATTAAAAGTTTTTAAAGGACTCAAAATAAAATCTTGTCAGTTTGAATGTACGAAAAACAGAGTAAATTGATGTAATTATAATTGTACGCGGCACCAAAAATATCGAGCGATGGCATGGTGCTCGTTAAAAACCCTGTGAAGCCGGGAACGCCGCGTTCGCAATTGGAGCCTCCCCGACGTACGCGCAGAGAGTTAATTTGTGAATTCTGAAGTGCTCGTCAAAGTCAACCACCGACGGCAACATGCGCGGGGTATTCCAGCACCCGGAATTCGTGTGCACATGTCAACGATTTTGAATAAAATCGCGGTCGTCGCTGGCGGGCCGCGCGGGTCGCTTGGCAAATTAACGTGTGAGACGATTTCGCGTCGATTTCGCATTCCTTCATATGTGCATGTCACCGTGCAGTTGATTGCGTCGTGTGGGAGCCGCGGACCACATAAGTCAACCCAGCTAGCGGCCGGGAGGCATGAGGGGGCCACACCGGGATAGCGACGGGAGCTCCTTGTGCGTGCTCATCGAATACGTGTGTTCCGATCTAGCGACGCGGAAATGCGTCGCGCCACCGCGGCGAGATTTGCACACTCGAGCAGGTCGGAATACGCAAGACGTTTTACTGCAAATAGTTGCGATTTTCTCATGAGATTTCAACGCGAGGTGAAATCGACGAGATTTCACCTGGGCTTTATCGGGAAATGCAACAGATCGGATAAATTTAATTGAAATATTGAAATCTTACGATTATGGAAATTTAAAAAAAAATTCATTTAGGTATTAAAACTAGCTTCATCCCGGTAGTGTTTAATAAAAATGTAATTCCTTTTTACTCTCTTGTTCTAGACATTTTTTATTTTAAAGAAATTAATTAGGTATATAAAGAATTGCTAATAATGTACTTCAGCACGCCATCTCGGATTCAACTATTTAACTATAACTATGATTGAATCTCAATGCCAACTTTTATCCTATAGAAAAGAGCTGTCTTTAGGGTTTTCCCGGCAATTATTCGAATTTTTCTCGCCGTAAAAACCATCCCTGGACTTTAACAAACATAAAAAAAAAGAATTGGTCAAATTGGTCTAGGCGTTGTTGAGTTATGCGCTTACCAACAGATTTTGCTATTCATTTTTATATTATAAAGACGATTGAAGGAATTTCAGAAAATTATTGTAATTTTACAGTTATTCGCAGTTTAGTAAAAACTGCAACATGTTCTAGAAGAAGCAATATTTTCACACTATTTGTATATATAGCAGAGGTAAAAGCCTAAAGGATTGCTGAATTCTGCAAAAAAAATTCTCTAGTGCGACTAAAACACAATTGAATGCAGTTCAAATAAACGTAAAATTATTTCTTCTCATATTTATTATGACATTTTACAATAAGGAACAATTTATAACTAAACATACAACTTTACATTTTTATCCTAGGCAGTAAAGTTGTTGATACTGATTTGATTGAAACGCTGCTAGTTTAAATCACAACATTCCATCAATTAAGTGCGCACGCCATATATGAAGCAGAACACAAACGCGATGAAGCAATAAAATTAGTTGAAAGTAAAACGTAAATACCTAACAAAACTCCCGTGTGAGCTAAACAAATACATAATATTTTGCCGCGCACAATAACGACGCCGGACGAGGAGGAATTCCTTAAAATATTTATGTCAATGAAACGTGACAGGTGAACGTGGCGGGTCCTAAATAAACAAAATTGATTGAGGAATTGTTGGTTTAGCGTGCGCTGCACGGCCTGTACGCCTTTACTTACCTTGAAAGATAATATTTTCTCCGTTCATCAAACTCGCCGGGACGCTACTCGTTAGGCAAGACACAAATTATTCAAATCATAATTAAATAATACAGAATTTACTTGTGAATCTTTTTCCTTGAACAGACACAGCGTATAAAATTGAAATCGACACCATATAATAATATTATTTATAAAAAATAATAATAATTACAAATGAATTGCTTTTAACTAGAAATATGCGTGAATTAAGCGTACATAGTAATTAATCGCTTAATTAATTTGTACAATCATCAAATATCTGATAAGAACACGATATTTTCATCATTTGATATCGTCCTACCGACGATAGCCAGTACTTTGGTAGCCGCCTCCGCCGCCTCCACCGTTGTAACCCCCACGACCTCCTCGCTTATCACCAAAGCGACCCCTCTGAGAGCCACCCTGGCCTTGTCCACCACCGCCGCCGTGCTGGTTGGATTGACCGCGATTGTTATCCCTCCAATTCGAGTCGTAACTGTTGTTGCGATTGTTGTAACCCCCGCCACCGCCTCCGCCGCCGCCGTAGCTGTTTTGCTGATGGTAGTATCCCCCGCTTTGGTACCCGCCGGAAGAATAATTATTACCGCCTTGATTATGGCGGTTATTGTAGCCTCCCTGGCCGCCGTAATTGTCTGAAAATATAGCAAATAAAAAAATCTCGCATTCGGTGTGATGTGAATAAAAACGGTACAGCACGCTGCCGTCGGGCTGGATTCGGCCGATTGTGTGAAGCCGAAAGAATCGCGCGCGCACTCCAATCCGCTTTCGTTTGAAAGGAACGATTTGCGTCTCGAGTGGCTAAACGCGGTGAGCGAAACAATGAATTCGTTAAAAGGAACAGAAATGTAGAAAGAATGCGCACGGCTGAAAAATGCAATAGACGCGCGGTCGAGAGGACTTAACGGCTCTTGCTGCCGGTGAAAACCTCATTGATGCTTACTGTAATTAACAGTTAAACATTTTCAGCCCGGCTTATACGCGAATGCATTTGCCACGATGTTTTCAAACGAATTACAGGCATTACAGCCCTGATTACGAACTATAAATAAGTTGAAAATTTCAATTGTTTTCATTTAAATCGTGATGTAGATGCAGATAAAAAAATATTGTATTAACGCCCCGTCAAATTCAAAATGATGTTATTGGAGTGTTTGAATTACAGTGACTGGTCGCGTGCGGACAATCTCCAATTAAAATAAACAATCGTGCGTCCGGTAGCCATTGCCCCATTGTCTGTCAATCACGAATAAAATACTTGCAATGCGCACGGCGCGCAAAGACCACCTCCCCCAACAAACAACACTCGCGTCCAGCCCGAACGATAGCCGAACCAACAACCTTTCGGTTTAATATTCGTACCACGCTCGTCTAACGTCTATTAGTCATTATTGTGTCTCTGTTAAACGAAAGGAAACGCGTGAATTGGAAAATTGTGTTTCACACCAATGCGGTTAGGCAATAACCGGTTTTTCCCCGCATAAAATCGCAGAGTAATTCAATTTCCTTCGTAGCCGGATACCGGTAAACTAGCGAAATATAATAATGCAATAAAATTCAACATTAGAAATGAATGAAAACTTGTAAATGAAACTCGGATGAGGGCGGTGCGGTATCAGTGTGTACCATCTATTGTGATATTGTCTACGCGGCGCGTGTGACGCTGACGCCCGCGGCGCAGTCGGCGACGAGGCGCGTAATTGCCTCGCTTTGTGCAACCGTCACGACCACTCACACGCCTAATTTCACAATCACATCATTGCCAACAATTGCTTCTTTCTTCCTTGCTTTGCGCCACCCCCGCGAGGGACACAAACGCAAGCAAACGTCTTCACTAACCTTGCCGCTGCTTGTAATTCCCCTGGTTCTGGAAGTTGCGCGGAGCGTGATGATTGAGGAAGCGATGTCCGGCGTCCGACACAAACGCCCTGCAATCATACAAACAAACAAGCAAAAATATTGATCAGCGAATGATATTTATTAACCACTGAACAAAATATAAATCACCTTTGCGTGGCGGGTGCCATGCCCAACTGCGGTCTCCAGTTCCTATTCGATTGTTCATCCAAATCCTCCGGTTTAAGCACACGCGGAGGCGTTTTTGCGCCCTTTAGACGCTCAGCAGGAAAAACAAATCCTCGCGTATACTTCGGATCGCGGAAACGCACGCAGCAAGCCGAGTTATCCTCCAGAGCTGGCAGGCACTTAATGGGCGATGGCAACATGCCTCCAATTTCGATATTTACGTCCGAGCTGAGAATAGTCCCTTGCATACCATCGATACTCACTTGAATCTCCGCATCAGAATCGAGATTTTGATCGTAGACAGCTTTTAATACCGAATGCGACTTATTATCAACTGATAGATACAGTCGATCGTCACCACGAATGTTTCGCAGCTTCTCAGCAGTAGTCAACTTTTTATAATAAGGCTTCAGCGCAGAAAAAGGCGCTCCTCATCGACGAATGGTAGTAATGCGACTCCTTGCCATGCAAACTTCTTACCGTTAAGATCAATCTTGAAATCTTCTGGATACAAATCAATAATTGTCGATTCCTAGCGTAAAAATATAAAATAAACAATGAAAATCAATATTTTTAAATTAAATATACACTTACGGGATCACTCATGAGTTCGGCCCATGGTTCAGGCACATGCTTAGAACTAGCGGCAGGAAACACCCCCATAAGTTGCTCCAATGGGTTAAACTGTGAATAAATAACAATGTAACAAAACATTAGAATAATTTTAAAATATGACTCACTGGTTTAGTATCCATTTCGAATTCAGTACTAAGTCCGGAAATATTAACGAAATCAGAAGCAAACGGCGCATAATGATACGGAAAATACCACTTCCACGACGCGCAACCTTGATAGTAATACCTTAGAACCCAGCATAAGCCCTTTACGTAATGCAAAGCGACGTTATACCTAAACTCCAAGTTATCCGGTGTGACATCAAACTTACTCTCGTAGTAACGGTCTTTGAAGCCAGACTCCCACAATCTGACTTCGTCGTGAGCTTGATCATCTTCTGAGTCGTCACTATCATCATGCGCTCGCTTGGGTGCTCGTCGTGATTGTTCCTGTTGTTCTTCAGCCGGCTTGCCGTCAGTTGGTATAAGCATCGATTCTAAAGCATCCTGCGCGTTGGTGCTCTGCAATTTCGCCTCCGTGTGCATACCCGCCTTTCGCATGGCGTAAGCTTCGTGTCGAACATTTGTTAATGTTTGCGCTTTTCCCACTTCGGTGGGTGCAAACTGGGTGCCGCGTACTAAAGACCAATTGGGTCTGTTTTGATTGAACGATCCGCGTTCGCGGCGTTTCTTTGCTTTATTTCTGGCCTTGAAGTTCAATTCATTTTGTTGTCTGCGTTTGAATATCTCATCTTCGGCTTTTCCCAGTTGGCTCATGATAAGTTGGACGCGTTCTAGATTTACATCGCCGCTGTTAGTTAACCAACCCTGTAAAATGAACAAGAAGAAATGGGAAATGAAATAATTCGTTTTTATCAAGTTGAATTCAACTGAAATTGAACTTTTCTAACTTTTACAATAATCACATAAATTTTAAACTAATTCTACGTTTATAATATTTCACTTACGCCAGTTTTGTACACAGCTTCCTTGTAAAGAGTAATGAGACGATCAATAGCTCCCTCACGAATCTCCAGACTCGGTAAATGCGGCAAGAAATCATTGCCCACAAAAAAGCACATAAACACCCAGTCGTCAATCACTCGCTCAAATTCATACGGGAATGGCAAATTGGGCATCACCAAATCTCGTTCAAGATACTCTCTGAGAACATTAAGGCGAACGAATATAAATTCGTTTTCTGAACCAAACGCAACCGGAACGTCTGATTCAACCGATTCTAGTCCAACACAGTCTTTCATTACATGGCCTAAAAATATTCGGAATTAAAATAAGAAAATATTTGATAATGTAGAATTTCAATTACCTAATTGTCCACACAATTCACAAGGCCTTGGCTGATTCATCTTAAGTTCCTCTCGAATAATCGTGAAATTCGGCTCGTGTGTTGCCAGTCCTAACATGATTAAATCAGCATCAGCTCCACAAAGACAATGCTGAGTGTTTGGATCATGATCTGGTTGAGCTACAAAAATCAATTTGTTATTAAAACGTTTTTGCTATTGCAATGATGTTACCTCTTTGTTTCCTAATGTAATCCATGATCTTATGTTCTCCCTCCCCTGGAACATTTGCATCTGACAAAATAACTTTAATATCCTTCCAGCCAGGATCATTATTAAGTCTATCATGTACATAATAATGCAGACATTGTGATAAGCGCGACATAAATGGCGTGCCAGGCGTAATACAATTAGAATCAAAATGTTCCTCTTTAGGTTTAGGTGGTGGCAACTTGGCACCAGTTAACAGTAACTCAGCCCTGGTCCTTTCAATTTCATTGATCTTCTCTACAGTTTCCTTAGAGGCCCTAAATCTTCTTGACCTCTGCTGATTCATCTTAGCTCTGGGTGCAACCCCATCAATAGCCATGTACAGGACTTTTCTAGGTCTTACAATTTTAAACAATCTGTCAATACATTCAAAAATAGCAACCATCATTTCATCTTCATTGCGAGGGGCAGGCTTGTCTTCAGGATGTGTACAAGGATGTATAATGCCATTCATGTCAAGATACAAATTATCAAACTCTACCCCATTGGGATTCGGTTCGGAAGCGTCAATGGGTACTTCAACGCCATTGACATCGATGGTCTGCAATAAATTCTTGTTAGACAAGCATGTTTTCTACATCATTTATAACCTTACTTTTTGCTCTACGCAGTGTACGATTACCGAAGGGTATTTGCGCGTCAGCCATCTGAAGAATGCGGGGACTCCCATTTTGGATGTAAGGTATAATGGTACGACACGGTAATATTATTAACTTTGTTGTTAAACAATCAAACACATGATGTTACATTAACGATGGCGGATGTTGAGATTGAAAACACACACGACCCGCATACGCGGATTTTCAGAACCGCAAACAATATACAGTGCTGACAGAAACACCGGTTTTCAGCCACCACACAACCTTAACATGAACTATGTGAAAGGAAATCTATAATGTACTTTCATTTATCTCCAGTAGATGGAGCGACAATCAAAAGACCTTTTAATTTTAAAATATGACTATATGTCAACATTTTATCGTCTGCAAATTTATGTAAAAAACGTGTTGTTAATTATTTTTATAAACTTACAATAATTTATTATTTATATGTAATATTAATAGTAACATTTGTACAGTCGTTAAAAGCCAAGGCTGGTATTTTATTAATATCAAAATTCAGATCCATATTAGTTGATTCTACTCCATCAAAATAATGGCTGTTATTGGCAGGCTCATTAGTTTTATTTTCTGAATCAGTATTATCTGCAGCTGTGTCTGTGTTATCCGTTACTGAATCTGGATAATCTGCATCACTATCAGAATCTGAGTTTGTGTAACTATCCATATTAATATTAAATGCATCTGATTCATTTTTGCCTGATTCATCAATAAACACTTCTTCAACTTGAGTTGTCTGTGTTGATGGCAGGAGAAACTCATGTTTTTGTATTGTACAGCTACCAGTCTGTCCAAGTATAGCTGCTGAAGAACTTCTAAAACTGTGCCCAGAATAGTTTTCAACATTTGGTAGTTTTAAGAAGTTGGCTACATCCCTGCCCATTTTAATGAACGAGTTTACACCAATTCTTTGCTTTGTGAATTTGCCACATCTATATTGTTGGAATACAAATACATTTGTGTCTGGTCTCCTGTTGCTGAGATATTGCTTGCAAATATCATAATAATAACCAGTGATAGTAAATTTCCGATATTTTGATGTTTTTGTTGGTACTCTTACTTCATATACACTTCCATGATCATGAATATCAGAAATTTTCATTTGATATAAGTCATTGGAGCGACAAGCCCCCATTACACCCATTATTAGTGCCACCTAAAAGCACATTAAGTTAGTAACACAAAATAAATTGTGTTTTCTTTTAAAACATACTTTTGTTGGTAGATATTTGTATTGTGATGCTGTTCGTAGAAATTCATCAATATTCTGCAATGTGAATTTACATGCCTTTTTGGGAGTAAATCCTTGTGATTGTGTTTTTAAGAATGCAGTCAGTTTACGATATTTATCCACATTTACATTTTCATGTATATTCAGAGTACTTTTCACCATTGAGTATTGTGTCCATAGGGAGGAAGGTTTATATTTGGTGGCCAATTCTTTGAAGTATATCAACAACACCTCCTCTGATGAAGAAGTCAAATTGTTTTCTTCTCTCCATTTATTAAAAGCTTCATAAGCGTTCAGATATAACCTTTTTGACTTTTCGGGCAGCGGCGTAACCAACGATGCATCTTCAGGAATTTCTGGAAATGTATTCATTATATCTTGCACATTCATCATCTTGATATGTGACTGTAAACACAGTAATACACTTGAAAAATAAAAATTATGTGTATAATAGGCTTGTATGCTGCGCGTTTAATTTAAGTATGCAATTGGCTGGGCACTTTATTCGTCAGTAATGATTAGTTCCAAAAGTATACACGCGGCGCTGTGTGTGGGGTGAATAGTGAATAATAACATTGATTAATCAATAAACCAGGGCATTGACTTAAATGCTCTCTTTCAGAGTGATTAATTGCCTGTTTTAGCTATATATTGTTGTTGTAACTTGTTATTGTGACTATCTGATAATGACTGAATTTAAGTTCTTGAGGAAATCCTAACAACTCTTCACTAGGTAAGCTAGTAAAGATGTAAGACATAAGAACGGATTGGACATCTAGTGAAAACCAGGAAAGTGGATTTATATGATTCGGAGAAAGACAGTACAGTTATGAGAAGAAAGTGTAAAATGGGTAATGACCAGATTATAGCAAATTATCAAAAGGTCGCAGGTACAGGTAATAGACTAATCGACAGATTGCAAACTTGCTGAAAGCAAAAAGAAAAATATTGAGAATATAGAATTTGGGAAATTCCTTAAAGTTCTATTAATTTAATTTAGCGAAAAGATCACGCAAAGTTATGTTTTGAACGCACGACTGCTTCACTTTGTACATATTATTAATTCTCAGCATTTTGGGTTGCCTATTGTATCCTAACCTTTTTGTACGGACTACTAGCCCCACCTCACAAAATCAAAGGATCTTAACCTTGCCGCCATTAAAAGCTGTCGCATCGTTATACCTTTTAAATAATTTTAGATTGCAAACTAATCTCAGAAAAAATCATGTGTGCAGTTCACACGCGATTGAAGTGAAACCTTCAGAACACTGCACTGCGAGAGAAGGAGACGAAAGTAGTATCAGGAGTGGGGGAAAAATCGCGCAAGCATCACGTGCCTAAACGTTGTTAAACACTCGATTGATTGAACGCTCGCCGTAATGCCCTCGTTTAGCCACACTATTATGTTGCTAAATTTACGTAAATTTGTTGCTTATGAAATATTCAAATACTTATCTTGCTCATCTAATAATGCTCTTTGGCGGGCACGAAATTCACGTACACGTTTCGTTGAATTTTTGTGACTTTTTTCGTTTTATTTTGTTTAATTTTCTGCCGATACTCACGACACTTTTGGGCATTAGATTTTGGCATACTTAATGAATGTTACTAAAACTATTAAAATATTAACCTAAAAAATAGTACGTATAAATAATTTACCGCGCTAGCTATAACGTCTTCTCCATGTCAAATCCACGTTTCATTTCCTATACCCAGAGGTATATGCATAGCGACGGGAGTGGGGATTCTGCGAAGCATCGCACAAAGAGGAGACGAAGAAAATTTGAAACACGAATATGTATGTCTCTTTTTAGTGTCGCTTTTTCGTTTCATTCGGTTTGAAATCACAACGAAAGATGAAGTAAGCAAAGCGCATGCGCCAATTTCTATTATGGTTCACATAACTTGTGTTCTGTTTAGGGGAGGCAATCCACCCGTCCTCGTTCTCCCCCTGTAGCTTGCGGTCTGTTGGTTCAATGGTGCATAATTTAAAGCTACACGGTTACGACATCTATAATACCAGAGGGGAAAATCTGTAATGCATAGCTTAACCTTTATAGGGGAAGGGGGGGCAAATTGGGCCCCTGGGGGCAAAGTGGGCTCCCTGAAATTCAGGAGGCTTAAAAAATTGAGGGGCAAAGAGGGCCCCCTAAAATTTTGGATAAATAAGATGAAGTTGCAAGAACAACTTATACACAACAAATTCGAAGTAAGATATGAAAAAAGAAAATAATATAGGCAAAAAATTGATACAAAGGTAATAGCAAAATTTTTATGGGTGGGGGTCCACTTTGCCCCATATTCTGAATTTTTTTTTTTATTTTGATAGACACGGCTTATTAATATTAAATACTGAACTAGGATGTAAAAAATAGTGTAACGAGTGAAAAAAGGTAAACAAATTCCCTTTTTTTCGCTTTTGGGGCCCACTTTGCCCCCCTTTCCCCTACATAGCCTGAGGCATTTTCAAACATGGTAGGATTACAGAACTAGGCTGAAACAACATCAAAGGTGCTGTCCATTTGTTAAAATATCAATTTTATTACAACTCACAGCAAGCTATCTACCAATCATGGTCATCGGGACCATGTTGTCAATGATGTTGCACTACTTGCCTGTTTTGTTTTAATACAACTGTAGAATACCAATATATTCAATAATGAAGGTTCCTGAAATAAAAGAGATAGAAGAAGTGAGATAGTGCTAACATGCGGCAACGTTGCTAATTTGAAACATGTGGAAAAAGTGAAGGGTGCGAGGTTATAAGAAAGCGGTTGGATGCCCAAGCACATTCAAAAGTTTTGACAGTTAATTCGAAGAACGATACATATAAACCGGTATACCTTAACCGCGTAACACGTGTGTGAGGTACGACAGACTGTCGTGAGGGCACCAGAGTCCACAGAAGGGGGAAACATATAATTTCTACCTGGTAGTACCCTACCCGGTGTTCCGCCAAAGCTCCGATTCATTTTATTCCAAATATTTCATCAGCATGAAACGCTGCAAAAAGTGTCGAAGAATCATCTATGGCAAGAAAGTTGGCGGTTATTGTAAAATCTGTGTTTATGATAAAACAGTGAGTTGTGTATTCTGTTCCACGACGTATACCCGCCTCGACAGTTATAAACGGCATTTAAAAAGGGACCATTCTATTACATCAGGAAATGTACCCGTAATGGAATGTGTCAGTTGTCGGCAAGTGTTGTCGATACACTATTACAACAACCATATAAAAGAATGTTACTTGAAGAGGGTTAAATGGGTAACATGTGAATTCTGCCAAAAATCATTCATAAAGGAGTATTACTCTGCTCATGTGAGAATACGTCACCCGGGTAGAAACAGAGTGCGTCCATCAACAACAGCAAAAAATCGACGTTTATCTAATGGAAAAAGCAAACATCCAGGCGTTATTGAAAAAGTTCCAAGAAAAACTGTTGCGAGAAACCAAAACATAAAAAGGTAGGTCAAGCTTTCAAGTTTTCTTCAATATAACCTACAATTTCACTGAATTGTAAATATGCATGACATGTACATATGGTTGCCTGGGAAACATATTCAGTTTTCTGTGATTCTCGTGTTCGCCGCTAGGTTATAATCTAACCTTAAAAACTTGGTTTGAAAAGAAGAAGGAAACGGAAAGTAATTGATTGAGTCAAGCCTGTGTGAACATGTAAACGCCGCTATAAATGTTATATAAGTCACGCAATCCCATTTTCAAGCTTCACCAAGATAAGTTATTTCCGTTTAGAGTTCAAAACTTGCTGATAAATGTAAGCGGCGTCGCAGGAAATGCGTTTAGACGTTGTGTAGACTTTCTAGAACTACGGTCACAACCACATCCTACTTATATCAGCAAATTTAATCTTGCATTGTCAGCAAGCGAATGAACCTCCATACGGCTAACTTTATCGCTCACTCGACGTTATAAAGCAGCTTGAAAATGCTTCTTTTACTTATTGTTAGCATTCCGCGCAAACAAATTATGTACAGTCTTCCTTCGGCACTCGATTCCCCCTCCTGGGACAATGTCGCTTGTAGTCTGTACCTCGTGAGTACTTTAGCTTTACTCAAGCTTTGACTTGAGTACCCCGAAATGTATGCATGCTACGTGGCAATCGATCGTTTGCTATTTCTCAAAACCAAACATGTTCAAGCAGCGTGAGTGAGACCCGGGTCTCAGGCGCTATAGATATAGCCTTGAACGCGACATGGCAACGCTGTAAATTGAACTTAATGGCATAGCAACCGGGCGGCCACGGAAAACCGATACGGATGCAGTTGATCCGAGTAGAGAAAGCTTTCATAGGCGAGAGCGAGAACGGACTACGAGGCGAGTAGTAGGATTCCACTTCTCCTGCACAACCTCGACAACTATCCTCGTTTTTTGTGCGAGAAGTGAGAGGTGATTACGAAGAAACGTACATTTTGTGCTTGTTCCAGCACATTTCTCAGAACTAAAACGAGTTTCACCGTTAATAACACTAATCAATCGACCTGCTTAGCATTTAAAATGACTTTTTCAAATATGAAGGGGGGAAATTTTCAATAATTACTTAAGTACATCATAAATCCATTTATCTCAACAATAATAATATGAAACTTTTATAATAGTAGTAATAACCATTACCATTATCTAAATTATCATTATAAAATATATGAGTGTGGACTTTGTCGACGGAAACGCGAACGCTGTTCGCGTTGAGTTGAATTTTTCATATCGTGGTGAGCCATGGTTTGGTCTCAACCGTCTCTGTCGGAACAGTCTGAACACTGCACAACCGGTTTCGTCTATTGCACACACACACACACACAGGCATAAACAACGCACAGACGCGGCTGACCTCTTTAAATAAACCAGACGATGCCACTACGCATGGCGAGAGGGGAGGCCGCATCGGTGTTTCCGATCCGACGCGCGCTCTCTTCACATCAAGTGACAGCACATAGCTCCATCACCCGCCGTTCGCTAGGCTTCGCGTGACGTGGGGGTTTTTCAAACCCAAGCGGAATAAATAATAACTCGCCTAATGGTCTCGTAGCGTTGTGTGCGTTGGAAACGCGTGAAATTAAATTTAGGTTTGCGGTGGGCGTCGTTCATTTCGTAAGCTCGACGAAAACATGACCTCTGAGTGAGATATGTGGGCATGTGGGGGGATATGCATTGAAATTAAATCCAATTTGGAATATTCCACTCTCGGAACCCTTGGAAATGGAGGGGATGTATTGATCCTGCTTTTTTTAGGTACCGCTTACTAAAACCAGTATATCTGCTTCGAAAAATATAATTTCGCCAAACTTTTAAACACCAATAAAATTTGATTAGGCTGTATTCTGCTAAAAAGCTGTTTCATGTATAAAACATTGGAGAGTGCATAAAGAAGCTTTTTGTTTATGTAGGTATATTAAGCAATATTGTGGGGTAATCAGAATGTATACATAAATTACAACGCAGCGCAACCTAGGATTGACGCATATTTTAGGTTTTATTGATACGACGTGGCCCCGCATTCTCCGCATTACGATTGTATCATGGTGCTATCCCCACCCTTATGACAGCCCGTCTCACTTGCGCGCCAGCGTAATTACACTCGACACATCCGTTCACAGTGGTGCACAATAAATGGTTATGAATTCTCCGAATCGTTGGTTAGAACAGTACAGCTGCGTCAAAAGCATTTCGAAAGTATAAATCGTGGTCCCACACACACACACACAACCTCTACTTATACGCGCATCTCTGTCACGCCTGCGTTTTGCTCGGCATTTCCATCCTTGTTGTTTTTTTATGCCTGAAAGTGGGTTCGCCCGTTGCGGTTGCCAACACATTTGGACCTCGGGTTGCCAGGCAACCGATGTGGAAAGTTCTAAGCAGTTGGCGAGCCGGTACAGCGGAACAAATACCATCGGCAGGTTTCATCCCCACTATCACCACCGACCGCCGCCGTAGGACCCACAGTGGGTTCGAGTTGGAGCATGGCATGGCGTACGCGGCGCGGTGTGCTCGCTCTGCTGCGAAAGACCCGCATTTGAACCTCGATGTTAGTGCGTAAATGTTCGCGCGGGCTTGTGTTGTGTATTGAAGCAGAAGCAGGCGCTCGCGACGAACGCAAACAAAAGCAAAACGAAACGTGCGCCGCATCATAATAACTACTCGACACGCGCAACCTGAAATCGTCTAAATTTTCATCGGCGGAAACCTTCAACTTTTCAATTTAAATCAAATAATTGTTATTTAAATTTATTTTACCATGCGGGTGAGTGGCAATAATTTATAAACAATAGATAATTTAACTATTAACATTATTTTTATTTATGAAATAAGTAAACACATAAATAAATAATTATTTAATTTATTTACAGTCCAACCATGGTCCATGTAAACATTAACTCGAGAAATTTGCTTTACCGTTCAGGTAAATATTTTATTTTACTTATTTTACGACAAACATTGTTGTTTACTTTCGATTCGAAATATTGTACGTTTACTCAATCGTGATAAACAATCCAATATAACTGCTGCATGTTCTTCAACGCTCTTATCATCTGATAGCAGTGTCCGCTTACAAATATTTGCAAGTGTTTTATTTTTATTTCTAATCCCAAGGTGGTACAAATTGCCTGGATTGCGACATTAACTTCACTAGCGAAGAGTATCTTATTGAACATCTGCTTCGTCATCATATAAAACAGCCGAAAGTTATTTTGGAGCGGCACACAGACAAGCCGATCAAGTTGAGAATTAAGGGTAGTAAAGGCGAAGGTTTTCGGATTGTTACCGGCAAATCTCCTGCCCATCCTAAATCGAAAACCAGCGTTAACGGAATCGTAGAAAACGAAAAAGAACCTACGAATTTTGAAACTTCTGAAGTAAGTTCCGATGCAGCTGATGCGGTTAATACAGATGCAAATTTAACCGCGGAAGAGGTTCCGCAGCAGGACGCGATGCAGAATATAGATTTTCAAGATACTGAGGAGGTTGTCGCATCGGATGAAAAGATTACATATGGAATGACGGAGAATGTACCTGGGGGTGAACCTACCCCTCCACCTGATAACCCTACGCCCGAAATACCGAAAATTCGAATAAAAACTGGCTTGCTGGCAACAGATCCCAACCCTGGTCATGAGTTAATTGAGGAGGTACATACGCCTGGGACCTTGGAAAACAGTGAATCCCTGACAAGCTTGTTCAAGAATAATGATCGGGCGAAAGATTTGGGTTTCACCACTAGTGATCCTGATTATGTACCGCAGGACGCAGCAATGGTAATATTTTACTCCGAATTTTGTTTTGAGTTTTGGAATTTATTTGAAAATTTTTTTAGCAATCTTACAATCCTGCGTCAAATGCAATGATGGCTAAGAACTCGTTGGCTTCTATCTCTAACATACCAATGCAGGAACTTGCGCAACAAGTATCAAGGTTGCAGAATGGTCTACAGACGCCCAACGGGATGCACCAGCAAAATGTGCTGATCAATATACAGCACTTTCAGCAGCCGCAACCACCGGTACCGCATAACGTTCATAATTACCCAGTGCTTCCGCCTATATATCCACAACAGTCGCAGCCGCAGGCAGCGCCACCGCCACCTACATTTCAACACAACGCACCTCCCAGATATCATTATCCGTAAGTATTCTAATCTGTAGATAACATGTGTGTGTGTGTGTATTGACATTTTGCTAATGAGTTTGTATATTGGATAAATGATAGGTCCGGAGGTCATATGTATTACCAACCACCCCCACCACCAGGATATCCGCATCCACAACACAACCAGAGGCCACAAAATCAAATGGGACCACCAGTGCCACCGGGTCCACCACGACAGCCAACACCGTGCATACGATACCCACCGCAAAATCAAATGATGCATCTTCCAATTAATCATCGCTCTCCACGTGGAAGACCTTCCCTTGCTTCGCAATCTAGACCGACAGCGCCAATGCAGCAAAGAACACGACAACCTAGGCCCAGAATGCCCATCCTTCAACAGACCCTCGCAACTCCACCACCTACCAAACAAAATGTGAAACCCATGAAACGGTCACGGTCTCCAGTATTATTGAACGGCCAGAATCAAATGAAAATTAATGAAATGAAGAAAATGAAAATGGATACTTTGGTACCTGATAAAAATGACGATGCCGACTGTGAAGTAGTAGCTGTCACACAGAAAAGTTCAAGTTTACCACAGATACAAAGTATACAGGTATGTTATTAATTAGGAATGCTTCAAAGTATTAAATCTAATTGCATTTTCTTGTTTCTAGGGAAATGTGTCAGATCCCAATACAATGCACTTATCAGAGTCTATTACACTGACAACAATCCAACCTTCAATATCTCCTAAACAGAAAGAAGCTCGCGCTGAGGCTAAAGAAGTAGCAAGCGTTTTGGCTGCACGTGGAATCACAGTCACAACTGCCCCCCGCAATAAAGACTCTGCATCACCTCTGGACTCTTCGGGTAGTAATACTCCTGTATCAATTAATCTCAATAGTGCAGTGTGCATCATTCCGCAAAAGAAGAAAGACGATGCTGCACCCTCACCGACTGTGGATTTAACAGATGATGTAAATCCACCTGGGGTTACTCCATCCCAACCTACTACATCTATGAAACCCCCTCAACCGAAAATACCAACAGGAACCCAACAATATGAGTGTCATATGTGTATATCAAAGTTTCCGTCGGTTGCGATGCTGATTAAACACCGTAAGACATATCACAGGACTAATGTCGGGCCTGAGTTCGGAATACCTTTGATTGATCTGAAGAGTCCCGGCGTCACTCAGCGTTTGACGAAATTCGGGATTTTTCATTATATCCCGCTGCCGAATACAAACTCGGGTGGTATGTTCGCGCTGCCGATTTTGAGCGTGGATGCACAGAATACGACTAATCCGCAGGACTTTGCTTCGTCTATTTTAACGCTCGGACCAATCAAACCGATTAATCCGCCGCGGCCGGTGATAAAACGCGGCAAACCGCCCAATAATAACGTATCGACAACTTCCTATAATAGTTCATAACGAGTGACTCGCATCCGTAGATAATTTTTGAGTTTGAACTATGTTTTAAGACTGAGATGCGCGCAATGGCATTGATTTTAAGTTAATAATTTTTGTACTTACTGTAAATATGGACCTTCGCAATATCGTATTAAGTTATTGTTATATATGTTTATTTATCGATTGTACATTTTAGAATTGTGAATTAAGTTGAAGAGGAACACATATTTTTGTTAAATATAAAAAGCATTTCTCAAACATGCTATTTATTGTATTTATGCACGTATACTAATTAATATTCTTACGTAATTTACTAGGAAGTATAGCTACATTGTACAGCGGTATGGCTGGAGTGTGGTTATGAACTCATTGGTTATTGCATCAATGCAGGCAACCAGACGAACACGTCGTTACCATGGAAACTTGCTGTTCATGGAATTTGTACATAAGTACAGCTGGTGCGGAAGGGCAATTCTAGCCTATTCTTCTACTTGATCATTCAGACACGACTGAGTACTTCGGTTCACCATCGCGGCCTTTTTATACCTTTATATAGTCCCAACCCGCAAATGATGGTGGGGGAAGACCCGATACATGATTGCCTTAACGCAAGGGTGTGACCAGGGGATACCTGCGAAAACCTGTTCTGGGAAGTGCGCTATCTAAACGTGAGTCCCCTCATCATTACTTTGTCCCACCACAACACAGGTATAAAAGAAAAGTCTGAAGTGCAACACTTAACCTCACTTTTTAAAACAAACTACAGCGCCATGCCCTCAACAGACAGCACTGCCTTGAGACTCTTTCTTTCAATTCTGGTTTTGGGCTGAAATCTGGCCAATTCTAAAAGAGATGAGTTAAGTGGAGAGGACGTGTCATCATCTGTGACATCCATATCAATATTTTCAGCATTAATTGCACAATTGTGTCTGAATGGTCAAGCAAAATGACGTGAGGACACATCCGAATAATTATTTTATAAAATCTGAGACATATCTCATTTAAACCACAAAAATTGTGCTATAACCTCTATAGTAACATATAAACCACGAATAATCTATAGTCACCTATTTCCGGTATTCCGGAAAAGTTTTAAAGTTTCACGCGCCATCTGTCGACATTGGCCGGTAGCTAATTTTGCGGCTGTTTCTTCAGTTCACTGGCGTCGTTGCAACCAGGATGTCCCCTCCCACGCGCAAAGAGGAGTGCAAGCATATGCGGCACTAGCAGCGCACAGCACAACCATAGCAAAACACAAGTTTAGCAGCCAACGCCAGCGCTGAAGATGCGTGCACAGCGAACACGCCTGACACACAATCAGCTGGGCCGAATGTAAGATGGCCGTGCTTTACTGTCAGTTGGTCAGTAGTGTTTACGAAGTTTGATGGCTCCGATGGCTTTGATGGCTCTAAAGTGTACAACACAAACGCAGCCACCATGTGATAGCCAACGACGGGGATCGATCGTTTTGCAATAACAATCGATGCACAAACGCGAGCGTCTCCGCTCAAATGTCTCGACTAGGAAGTTAACCAGGTACGTGCGAATCTTCAATCGTTCAATCACGTACACCATTTCCTACTTCCATAATTTTTTTTTCGAAACTACAGCGAAGTGCGTTAATTAATAACATAAAGTTCTTCGAGTTTTAATGCAATCAAGAACACGCGTTTCTGTTGGCTTTTTGCGCATTTTAAACTTCCTGCTGATGTTCTTGTTTTGCAACACTTGCAAAGACTTGATTGTTATGAAGTGAAATTTATAATTACAATAGAATGGACTTACGAAACGCTATTGTTCCATTTCTTCTTTTTTTTTCTTCTGTTTTGTGTTCAACTAAAAAGATGGTTTGATTGTTATTACATGCTTGTCTGCTTTCAAGTGGTGGTAGAAATTGAACAATATATTGTTATTGCAGGAGATGGTTCCCAACTTGGATCATCTGGGTTGCAAGTCTCAAATAATGCACAATCTACTCCACAGTAACACAATATACTGCCTATTTTATCACTAAGTTTAAGCATAACAAGTCAGAGAGCAGCTGCATTATGGCCACCATGATGTACCCAACTTTGACCAAGTCACAGAGCATGCGCTCGAAGCGTAAGTCGGCGGTGGAGCTGCTCGCCGAGAGCAAACCCTTCTACGTCAAGTCGGAGGTGGTTCGTGATAATACTCAAGTGCTTCCCGTGCGGCCGGCGCCCAACTTTGCTGCTGGCTACGGCACCTACACGCGGAGCAAATCAGTTAATGTGACAGGACATAATATTAATTATCGGCCGACTACACTACCGCAATGTAAGTTGATTATTTTGACAGTCTATTTAGCCCTTCAAATTGTTGTGAAAGCTAATTAATTAATTGCTCTGATTAACACGTGCATATTAATTTCAGACATGGCTGTTTCACCGTCGAGATCATTGCCGCCATTATCGCACAGAAGATCGGTGCACTCTGGCAGCAGCGACCTGCTGCAGAACAAACTACGGCAATTACTCGTTTGTGACAGTGCTGAAGAACTGAGCGTTGAGCAGTTGGGTCCGCTGAGCCCACCCGCTGAATACGCGCAGCGCTGTCACAAGAGTCTACCCGACCTGCATTGTCGCGCCGAACCCAGCTCGAACAAGAGCAGCAACAAGAGCTTATCGAACCGGGACAGCGGCGGTTCGAGTGGGCATTACACCCAGCGGAGTGAACCGGCGCCTCCACCACGACAAGTAAACATTGATTTCTTTTACCGACACAAGAATAGTGAAGTAATTAATGATTATTTCTGTTTAGTTTCAAGAAGTAAGAAGAGATTCCGGATCAAGCACACAGCACAGCGGGGTTCATCGTACTATTGTTGCGCGGAAGGCGATTGTCGCACTCGTGTGATTTACCCGCCACCAGTACCGCCGCATCAACCGCCATCACAATTGCCCCCGCCGTCGACGTTCAAGCGACAGAAGTGCCTGCGGTACAAGCGCGACCGGCCAATCCTGCGCTCCAAGTCGGATATCAGTGACAGATACTGGCGTCCGCCAGAGCCACCTGTCAGCCATCTTGAGCAGTTTTTCGAGCACCTCGGTCTCACGTCCGACAGCTACGAAGACATGCTCAGCAACAGCCGCTCGTCGGAGTCGCCCGTCTTCTTTTCGGACGTGTCGACCATCGACTCTAGCCGACCCATCGACAACGGCGATTACTGTGCGCCGGCGGCGTACCGCCCTAGCGAACCGCCGTCGATAGTTGAACGCAACGCGCGCATCATCAAATGGCTGTGCAATTGTCGCAAGTCGCAGATGCTGTGAACACTCGAATGAATCAAACAGATATCAATCAAATAATTAACGCCGCGCTATTTACTGACATCGGGAACAATAATTTTTGGTTTAACTTTTATTGTTATTTCGGAAATTTGTGAGAAATTATTTACTAGAGTTGTGATTGATTCTTAGTTGGCATGAATGCAAATTGCGATATTGCTATTCATCCATTGTCATTCGTATCAATTAAGAATGAGTCGACTTGTATCGTTATGACTTTGAATGTTTGATATGCGTGCATGCGGTGTGCGGCTGGCCAAGCGAGCGAATGATTAATATTTATTTATTTATTAGACACGTTGAATGTTGTTACGAAATTTAATTGTTTGGAATTTTGCGCGATGAATTACTCGTACCTTGAAAAAAGTCGATTCGAAGAAACCAGTGGCAAACATATTCACATTTTGCGTGTGTGTGTGCAATGTCAAACTGAAGATGATTTACGTTGTAATAAGGCCTCGCATGGCTTTCAGGAATAACTAACGTCCAACACATGTGGAGACATTCCATTTTGCAATATCAGGAGATTTTTCAAAACACTTCACAATATTCCACGTACGCGAGAGTTGTTCCCCGCTTTTTTTCGATTTTGAGGCTTTTATTGTGTAAACAAACGAAGTGTATTTTGTGATAACCGCGAAACTCTTGCTTTGCGAATATGTAACTAATTTTACTAGGCGAGAAACGAAGTTAATTTGTTTGATTCACACAACATGCTTTACGGATACATATTTTAATTTCGTCGCGTGCTTTTTGAGTTGATAAGGACGAAGCCATCTGCCATTTTGTCATAAACGTGAGAATCTAAAATTAGCAAACATGTTGTGATATTTGAATCGGTCGAGTTTTGTTTGACTATGTTATCTGCGGTGCGGATTTGCCTCATTTTGTAATTGTTTGATAAATCAACACACCGTTTATTCCAGTACAGAGTCAATCATAGAAACAAATTAAAATGCGACTTACGGAACAATTAAATAACGAGCGAAACGAACGCACCCGGACTTGGTGTGAAACTTGAGCGTAGCCGTAGCGAGATGTAAACGTGTAGCGTGTGAGTAATTTTTACTATTACTGGTATTCAATAAGATGGTCATATGACGATAACTGCGAATAATAATTACTAATAAGACATTATATTAAAGATCACTGGATCAGTGTAATCATCATTAGCGTCGTTACGATTACCGAAGAGTGCGCAACAAGTATATCGATATTTATAGCTAGCGTATAAAGGAATAACTAGAATGATACACTAATTATTATGATTGTGTAAATAACTCGTACGCAGGGCTCGCTCAGAGCGCGCCCCCGCCCATGTAATGGACTCGCTGTTTCTATTAGTTTTACTATGAATGCCATGCGTTACTATCTAGTCTGTACTTAAATTCTCATTGTTTCAATTAGAAGAACAAACGCATAGCCTATCAACACATCCCATTCTAAAAATATATTCTACATAAAACTATTAATTTAAAGAAGAAACTGAATTTTTGGTGTGTGTAGCCCCTTAATAGCGAAAGCCATTAGGTTGCGCACACGTGTTGATGTTTAATTATACAACAGGTGAATCATGCGACTGCTTCGGCGAATGCGTGCGTAATTGTGTTGCTTCAGGTTGAGTGCAGGCGAAAATTTCGCCGCTTTCCACAAAAAGTTTTCCTTGCTCTCGAACACGATCGGTTTGAATGATCAGAGCGCGCATGTTCGCCCGCTTGCCGATACTCACGATTCACACACTTGATTGCGCTTGAAAAAAAGTGCAAATACTCGTCGTGGATTATTAGTGGTTTGTAATCAGCGAAATTAGAGGCACATATGTTGCGACAAATGCGAAATTTTAATGAAATGCGTATGAAAAGTTGATTTTTACGGTGAAAAGTGACAATATTGAGGCGAGTGGCAATGCCGGCAACGCCGCGCCAGAGTGCGCCGTCACAGTCGAGCGTAGACGAGCGCTGGCGAGCGGCGCGGTCGGGTCGGACATATTTAATTCACCTGTCCGCTGTCCCCGCTGTCATCAGGGGGTTCGATATAATTGTGTTTAACGCGGTCGCGATTAGTGTTCCTCACTTAACGAGGCCCCACTTGGAAGCGCCCGGCAGCGCAGCGTCGACGGGCTGCATTTGAAGCCCTCCTCGCGGCCGCGCCGCGTCCCCGCGACCGTCGTCTCGCCGTCGGGGTGTATCAAATGTAGTTTTTCAGCGCGCCGACAGAGTGAAGGCGAACGCACGGAACGATCCAGCGCCGCACGCAAAAGGGGGAAAAGCGCAAGAAAATCGGCCCGCGGTCTATTTTTACATGGACTCTGGTGTGTTGTGTCGGCGTGATGCATATCTGCTCTGCTAGTCTACGCTATTTTCGCCGATCGTAAAGTATAAATAGCCCGCGAGTGATTCGCTTCTAATCTAAACATAGCAAACAGTGGAGCCATTTTTATGCGTTGCGCTCGCCCGATTCCTTCCGAATTTTCAATGAAGCGGCAGCCCGCGCTTATCGCGACTCCAACGCCGGCGGTGCGCGCCGACCGCGTTAGCTGAGTGCGCGATCCGAGCGCGTTCGAGCCGTCGGAAGCTGTGCCAAGGAGCCCCGAGCGCCCCGTCTCCGCCGAGCCGACATAACCCTCAAAGGTCTCCGAGCGCGAGCTGGTCGAGAGGCTGGTGGAGGAAGGTCGGCGCGGCGTCTTCGCGGCCGCGGCGGAGTGTGATGAAAGTGGTCGGTCTGTGAGTGGTGCGTGCACGACGACAGCCACGGTGGCGACGGGCCCAGAGTGCGGCCCTGGGGCCGCCGAGAAGGGCGCCGGCTGTTGGTGGTCCTCCCTGGCGGCCATGGGCTGCTTTGGCAACAGAGACTCGCAGCAGGCGGCGGGCGGCGCCGAGGACAGCCGCGAGAAGAAGCGCATTAGTGATCGAATCAACAAGCAGCTTAAGATGGACAAGCAAGTGTATCGCGCGACGCATCGGCTGCTGTTGCTCGGCGCCGGCGAGTCTGGCAAATCGACAATCGTCAAGCAGATGCGCATCCTGCACGTCCACGGCTTTAGTGATAGCGAGAAGTGGCGGAAGATCGAGGACATCAAGAAGAACATTCGCGATGCCATCATTGTCAGTATTTCCATTATCACCACCCTGCCCCGGCAACCTACTAACAATTCTATCATTTTAGACAATATCGGGAGCAATGTCGACGCTATCTCCTCCCGTCCAATTAGAACATCCCGAGAACCAAACACGCGTGGATTGGATTCAGGACTGCGCCACCGGCCCCGACTTCGACTATCCGCCCGAGTTCTACGACCACACCGAAGCGCTGTGGAAGGACAAGGGCATTCAGGCGACGTTCGAGCGGAGCAACGAGTACCAGCTGATAGACTGCGCAAAGTACTTCTTGGATCGGGTGGACATAATCAAGCAGCCCGATTACAAACCGTCGGAGCAGGACATTCTGCGATGTCGTGTCCTCACCAGTGGCATTTTCGAGACGCGCTTCCAGGTCGACAAAATTAACTTCCAGTAAGTTGTTGCCGTGCTGTGGCGCAATCGCAGCGCGTTTCACCGGCTGTTTTATTATAATTGCCTTCTCTTGCAGCATGTTTGATGTGGGTGGCCAGAGAGACGAAAGACGTAAATGGATTCAATGCTTTAATGACGTAACAGCGATAATATTCGTAACGGCGTGTAGTTCGTACAACATGGTGCTGCGAGAGGATCCCTCACAGAACAGATTGCGGGAGAGTCTCGAACTGTTCAAGTCTATCTGGAATAACAGGTGGCTGCGCACTATTTCCGTTATACTCTTCCTCAACAAGCAGGACCTGCTGGCCGAGAAGATTAAAGCCGGTAAGTGAGGCGCGCGCGACGTGCGTCGTGTTTTCTTTTTTCTTGGTGACACGCCAAAATCGGTCCGCCTACGATTTATTACACAAGGTTATCACATTTTTATTATAGCAGAAGGCAGGGCGAAAATTCGTGACGCTGGCGTCGTTTTATTTCTGTCTCGCGACATCTTTGATATGTTGTCATTTTGTAGTTTTCAACTTTTAGTCGGCGCTACATATAGGGCGGAACCTCACATAAACTTTCGTTTGCAAATACATATTTTGTGCTCTCTTCTTGATTAAATTTACTGATTTTTAAAATCGTTGCACGCATTTGCAATATGCGCATATAAAGTGTATAAACTTTCACGTTTGACGAGCCTCCGGGCTTCTAACAAGTCGCATTTCGGTAGAAAATGTCCCGTAATTTTTAATATATTTTTTTTTAGTTTATTTACATAAACAACATCTTTGTTTTTGTTTTATTTGATTTGATTTGAATATAAAAACCTCGTTTGATTCACACGACCCTTGGCCCGGTTTGACATTTGCCTCCACGCCCACATTCCTAACATCAACTATCGAATGTTTAAAAATCTAATGCATTTTCGTTTTGTGGTGTTGTTTGCAGGTAAAAGCAAATTAGAAGATTATTTCTCTGATTTCCAAGCGTATCAAATTCCCGGAGACGCGCCAAACGACGCTAATGAAGACCCGCTGGTGGTGAAAGCCAAGTACTTCATAAGGGATGAGTTCCTAGTAAGTATAGCTCGCTTCCGAATCCGCAATCAATGCTTACGATTTATTTTTTTAAGTTATTGTTTAAACTTTTGTGTTAGGGAGTTATATACACTTGTTTGCGGCCGAAAAATACACATTGCCCAAAGGTTATCCTCAATTACTTCGTTTATTTATTTTGTTTTTAGTACTGCAAGCAATAACTTGGAAATATTTTTTCTCTGATTGTGCAATTTTGAATTCTATTAACATTGCACGCACAATTGCAGAAAAATTTAAGATTTTCCACACTTAAATATCCAATATAATCTATAATTATTTAAGTGTATATAACCCCGTAACGCTGCAAAGCCCTTTTAGCCCATTCCCGCTTTCGCAAATCCAAATCAGGTATGCCGACCTGGTGCAAGCACTGATGGCACATTTTCTGATCCGCAGCGTATAAGTACGGCGTCCGGAGAGGGTAAGCACTACTGCTATCCGCACTTCACGTGCGCCGTCGATACGGAAAACATAAAACGTGTGTTCAATGATTGTCGAGACATCATTCAGCGTATGCATCTGCGCCAATACGAACTGTTATAACCGCCCTTTCGATTTCAAAATGCGAGCAAAACAAAAAGAATGAAAGAAAACACACAAGAACACAAGATGAATCATACGATCGAGAATGATGAAACAAAATCTCTCGTTGCTTCTGTCTCCAACGCTGTATATCTCACTATATTATAATTACATAAATATTAACGAGAACCTGAATTAAGTAACGGTACCGCACGTTCAAAATACAAAGCATACAAATAATACTAATGGACGAGAAACATTTTATCAATGGAGCGTGTAACTCTCAAACGTAGCTGATCTCTACTCTCCTCTCGTAGGAAGTGTTACAATGAAACAAAAAATAATGAACGCCGCCTTAGTTGATTCGATTTCGCCGTTGCGTTGAATTTCGATCGTTTCGCAATGCATCCAGGAACACAAATACACGATTTTCGCCTGTGACGGGGAGTAAAACTATAGGACCAATAAAGACAACGCGTAACAATTTTTAATTGTTTTTTGGTTTCTCTTTTTTCTACCGACGAGTAATTAATTATCAAAAAAAAAAGATTATAAAAAGAACACGACGAATCAAACAAAACCGGTTGTTGTGTCACGCACGTGCAAAATTGTTCTTGTTTTACGCAGCAATACAGAATACATACTAGTGAATGATGATGATGATGAGAGGCGGGCGGGTGCGCGCGAAGCCAGAGCCGCTTTTAATAAAGTTGTCAATTTTTATTATTAAGAGTCGCCGGGGCACATTCGGAGATTCACCACTTCACGCTGAACGGAGAGGATGATGTTGATGATTGTATGACGAGTTTGTGTAATGTGTAATATTTGTGGTTTTTATGTGTTATGGAAACGACCTTCGTTGCTATCATTTTTGATGTTGTAATATTGTTTATAATATTGTTCCTCGCGTCGAGATGTAGCGTAGTTATGTTATTGTTTTGTTTATTTGCGCCCCCGCTGGACACACACGTACCGCGACACACAAGCCACACACACACAACCAGCTGCCAATGTGCGCGCTGGCAAATTCCTTCATCAGTAACCTTTTTTGTGCGTCGAGTTTTATTGTTATCGGAATTAGGTGACTAGCGTTTAATGAAGCAAACCAAATTTATAATGTAATATTGTGTTTAGGATATAATGTATACATGTGCAATGAACCTCCTTGCGATGCAACACTAAAGACTATTGTGATTTGAGACATTTTAAATGTTCGTTTCTTAGTTTTCTCCGTTAGCGGTGTCCGTAAGTAAAAGATGCGCGCGCACTTTCGATTGTCCAAAGTGGTGATACGAAATTGAGAGAAATCTATTTGCTGCTAAAATTATAGTTAAGAAACAAATGAGGGAAACAATTAACTAATCTAAAATTGTAAAAAATATGCGTGGATGGTTTTTATGTTTACTTATTATGATTTAATCGCTACCGTTTAATTTATGTGCAATAACAATCAAACAAATAGTTGTGTTTTTCCGAAAGAAATATTTATTATTTTATGTTGCATGTAGTGTTATGATAACGAACCTTAAACATTCAAACAAACAAGGAGAAGCAAACTACTATAAGCATAAATTATAAAGCACAAAACAAGAAACTATAACAAATCGTCTGAGAACTTCTTACTTTATTGTATATTTGTTGTTTAAACTACTACTGTAGCAGACAGACATAAATATTGAAAATGATATGCTGCGATATAGCCAACCAAAAAATGAAGAAAGAAAAAAACACATACGTTTACCTAGAAAGATCGTCTATTTTTACTACTGTATATCCGCTGCCCGTTCACCTTATCTGCAAGGTAGCTGGCGGTTTTCAAGAGCAAGTGAGAGTTTAAGCGAATACGAAACAAACGATGGATGCGATCCGAAATGTGACTGAATTGAAAACCACCAAAATACTATCACCACATGATGAACACACACAAAACACACTCACATCACTATGTTAGGTCTATGTGATTTATCAAAGTCTTAGCATAACATTAGTATCGCATCATGATTATTAAAGAAACGTAACGATTGAATGAAAGAAATAACTTGAACTGACACTCTTTGACACTGACTTGTCGTTAGTAAGAACCTTCCGTAAACTTTCCTACATGTAACATGCACACACCGGAAGGCAGCGCAACATAAAAATATGAAAATCGCCAACGTTTCGTTTGCCCTTTCGACCAACATACACACACGTTCTCATGCTGTAAATTTCCATCGTCTTCGCACCGCGTGCGCGCGCGTGTTGTCGTTCGCGAGACGGCGTACCGGCGTGCACGTAGTGAGTAATTAATACTTAACAAAGAAAACAACCTAAGTGAAAAACACACAAACACACTAAAAATAATTGAGTGAATCGCAATACAGCGATGTCTCTTGTAATTCGTGCTTTTATTAGTTCGGTAGTGTCTAATTAATTAATAAAAAATAAAAATATATATATATATATGTGCCGCTAGTCTAATAAAATAAAAAAATAAATAAAAAATGGCGGAACGCCGCGCGTGGACCGCACCGAAGGCTACGTACGAATCAAACGCAAACCAAATAACGGTTTGGGCGGCGTCGCGCGCGCTCCACCGGCGTTCCAAAGTCCCTCAATCTTTACTGAATGTTATATTTGTTAATAAAAACTGAGAAAAAATGAAAAAATTATAAATTATATCTGTATTATGCCATTCAGGTTCGCAATGACGACCCGCGCACGAAACACTTCCGACACCGGAAACGAATGCGTTAACTCGTAACAAAATAACCTGTCAATAGCGCGCTACATTAATCATTACACAATTACCATTGTGCGCCGTGTGTATTACGATACGAGTGGGTTCGGAAGTGTTTGGTCGCGTCGATTGTAAAGATGATGCAAAAATGAAGAAAACCTACCTTAACAATGTAAACTCTCGACTCCTATCTATATCATGGAAATCAAACGCAAGTTGGGCATAGAAAATTGATCCTTTTTAATTAGGAGCCATGCACAAATGCGGATAAAAGCAATTTTTCTGTCTGTAGGACAAATTGATGATACTACTACATAAAGAAAAAAAAAATGAGCAAAATGGAAACAGACTTTTTGAACGAAACGAATGCCAGAAGCGTGTACTGTATGAATGAGTATAGTATTCGTTGTGAAATACCCGATTCATCTGCGAAGCAAAATGAACAACAACCAACACACATTAATACACACACACCGTGATTCTGTTGACGAGTACAGCAGCAAATCAGTATTCTTTCGTTTGTATACCCAAACCAATGTACGCATTGTTTTCGTGCCGATATTAAATATTGTCATACCAAATATAATGTATATGTGAAACAAGAAAACTAAAAAAATACACACAAGCAAGAGAATGGAAAATACACGTTGGTTATTTTCGTAACCCAGGGGATTCATAAGTGCTGTATCCAAAATGAACTGCCTGATATGAATCACCTCTATCTATATAAAGTAAAATACTATGCAAACACACAAAATGAAACCAAGCAAACAAAACATGAAATAAATTTAAAAAAAAATTATAAAAGAATGATATGTAACTAAATGATCTGTAATAAATATGTCTTATTTATTTGTGGCGTGGCTCTCTTGTTTCAATGTTTGACTGGTTATGAGATGCTGCCCACACTTTGGACCACCAACGCGGAGTACAAAGTTTACGTGAGTAAATTTATGTTTCATGTTTCGCAACATCATTGGATCATGAATAATTTCACCATACCATTAACTTCATGTGAGAAACAAGAGTTTTCCGCCATTTTGTTTTTTGTTGTGCTGTTGGTAAGGTTTTTACTCTTTCTAAGCTATTTTACAGTAAATCTCAGCGTGTATTGATAGAAAAATACAATTGGAAAACGAAGTTGAGTGCGCGCAGCCCCCCGACGAGGAGTTGATCATTTCCACTATTCGGGGGGCGGCAGGAGTTTTCCGGATTGCCGTCGTATTGCTCCTCGGCCTGACGCTCGATCTCATTGAATAACCCCTCGACGGACGGCTGATACTCGCGGAGTGCGATCTTCTCTAGCTCGTCGGACGCGCTGTAGTTGACGGGTATAGGCGGATCGGCGCAGCTGGCGCGGTCGCCATCTTGTCGAGCCATTATACGGAAATCCGAATGGGGTTTGGTCAAAATCTTTGACGGATACGTCGTCGGCGTTGCGCCGGAGGTGCTCCCTTTGACGAACTTCTTATTTTTCATCCCTTGGTCGGGGCTTTTACTGCGAGGGAATTTAGTAGTGGTAGGCGCGATGTTCTTCTTCTTGTTTTTTGTCGGATCGTAGGCGGAGAAGCCGGAAGTGTTGACGTGTTGATTGGAACCGCTGCGATTGATGTTCATTGCAGCTGGTTGATGAGGAAACGTGACGGGTGGGTTCTGCGAGGTACTAGGGTTGTACATAGATGTCGTTGGGGTATTAGGACGCATGTACTGCGGATTGGTCCATCTATGCTTTGTGGGTAATTGGGGCAGGACGACCATGCTGTAAGGTGATGGCTGGTGCGCCGGGCGGTAAGGGGGTGATATGTACCAACTTGGATTCACATTCTGGGTGCGATTTAGTGGTACCTGATAGGTTTGTGGTGGGTACGTTGGATTACTGATAGAATACCCCAATCTATTATAATTTGGATTTCCAGTGTAGGAAGTTGTTTCGGCGTGGTATTGCATCGGATTGTAGGAAGTGCTCGGATAGGTGCCGCTGGTATTATTAGTTTTTGGCTGGACTTCATCATTCAAGAATGGCATATTGAACTGGTTTATGGGATACCCACATGTGTTATTCACAGCTTCAGAATAGGAAAACTTATTCGGTGATTGTTTTCGTGGCGGATTTGCGTTTATAATGTCACCAATCTCTGGCACTCTAGGCGTATCAATTTCAAAGTAACTCAATTCTGACATCGATGGTTGTGCGTGAAGTCTATCATTAAACTCGGTCGATGATTTTGTTGTACTCTCTGGATGCAGAAATCCTGTGCTGGAGTTGACGCCCGATGAGAATTCGTCAGTGTAATAACTCGATTTGGGACTGCACGGTTCATGCAGGCTTTTTGATGTCTTCGGCGCCATATTGGTGCCCTGCACAACGTCTGAATATAGACGGCGTGTAGGTGTGCGAGTTGTTTCATTTAGGAGGGCGGTATTTGGATCTTGGTCGTCATGATCCGTCGGAGGTGGAATTTTATTATTTAAATCTAATATAAAAGCTACCAATTTCTGAACAAATCAAAAAAAGTATTAATTACGGTTATGTTGTAAATCCTAGGTATACTACTTGTAATGCATAGTCATCCGGTTTCAAAATGTGCCGAAAAGCTTCGGACTCCTGATTGATGATCACATTATCCATCAACGACTTGTACACCTCCAACATGTGCTCCCTACTGTAAGTTTCCCTCTTGTACCATACATTTTTGACTTCATCTAAAATTAATCAACATTATTGCGGTTTACATGTGACTATGTCGCCATCTTGCCTGATAGAAGCTTTGTACGCAGCCTGTAGCCCTCGTACTCGTTGACTTTGAAATAGTAGGGCAAATCCTTGTCTGTATTAAAGTCCTGATTGGGCTGGTCATGTTTGAAAGAAGTCGATCTCGGAGGAGATCGCTCTAATGAGCAGTCTAACGAACTAGTGGAAGATTTTTGACCCTCAGATGATTTGTAGCAGGGAAACAATTCGTGGGTTACGTCCCCGCATTCTATCATCTTCTGCAATTCATTTTCGTATAATTTGTAGTTGGTTGTTGCAGAGTAGAGCGTGTGTATGAACAAATCCTCGACTGCCGGCAGCATCCATGGCTCATGGGCATAGTCAATTTTGCCCAGATTGGGATGCACTGCAATGGGTCCACTTGTGTGGGGGGTGTAGGAGCGCTCGCGGTATTCATTATAAGGATAATTTCCGTATTTTGCTAAATAACTATTGGGGATTACATCTTCTACGCGGCGTAGAACACCACGTTGGTGCTCTTCTTCGTATTCTAATTGCTTGATTCTTTCAAGCAGCACCTATTGAAGTTGAAGTGACATATTTTATGTTTAGGATATGTGATATAATTTCGTAGGTTTGTTGTGAGTCTCCTTGAGGTTGTTTTACCTGATGCGAACGCTTATAAAGTGAATCTTCAACAAAACCATTGTCTGCAATTATTTGGATGGTATCGAATGCTGCTCGAAGCCTTTCTTTTTTCATAAGCGTTTCATTTAAAACGATGCTACTAGTCATTTTCGCGCCATTGTTTCGAAATATTATCAAAACCGACGTTTACTTGTCATAACGCAAATTGCGTCACAGGTGCCAGTTTGTTTAATGTTGGTCGAAAAAATGCGGATTCTTGTGAGCGTACTTTATAGACAAAATAAAGTTTTGCGTGTTTAAATCTGTGCTCACATCTAGTGGAGAACATTTAAAGTAAAGTTCTAATACGGTTAGGTTAGGTCACATTTACAACGATTGCGTATTATCATATCATGTGTTTATACGTGGAAATGTTTCTTGTTTGCTTTGAAATTTCGCGTGTTATTAAATGTCCATGAAATGGATATGTTAAATAATCTAAGAGATTTGTTAAATGTTAAGAATGTACCTGTCATCAGTGGTGAAATACCTATTAACAATAAAATAAACCCGGATGCAGCAGGTGAACTCCTAGAACACTTTCATAAGCAATGGGAAGAAGTGCATAACAATAATGAAACAAATGCAAACCTGGCTGACCAGGCAGCTGATGCTATTGGAAACATTCATTTGTACATTACATCACAAAATGAACATATAACAGCAATAAATCAATTGCTAACATCATTGCCAACTCTTCAGAATACATTACAGACCTGCAATTCACAAATTCAGCAACTGTGTAAATCCTTTGAACAAGTTGAAGAAGATTTACTTCGGTTTGAAGATGTTATTGAACAATGTGAACTGGAGAAAAAGAAAAACAATCATAGGTATCAATTAGCATTGTATGAGGAGAAGAAAATGGGTAAGTAAGGTTAAATAATATTTAATTTAGTTTTAAAAATATTTATTTATTAAATTTCTACGTGATTTTTTACTGGATTTTACAATTTTATATAATGAGTTTGACATGTTTCGCCCTGAGGGCATCTTCATCTTATGAAAATAAATATTTTTAAACTATACAATGGATTACATATTCATAAATGAAAGTAATAAAATTTAATTTAATGTTTATATGTGATTTGATCTCAGTTAGTTACTGACAATGCACACAAGGTGAAACATGTTTAACCTAAGATCATTGTAAATCATATCATCTACAAATGTTTAATAAAATATTGATAACTATGGATTATAAATTTAATGAAGATAAAATAATTAAAATTATGTATCTGAAATAAAGTATCATCACATTTAATTTCAGCTAATCTGGAAATACTTAGAGCAGAGTTATCTAAGAAACATGAACAAGAAGTGATGGAAAATGAGGTGAAGAAAAGGGAAGCAATGCAGGAAAGGCAGTTAGTTTTTCAGGATGCATTCAAAACTGATTTGGAAACTTACAAAGCTCTGGGGACCATTCCAAGTGAGTAAAATTGCTTGTTTTTCACATATTTCTATCAAGCAATCACCATATTTAAGAATACTAATTCATTATGTATCTATAAATGAACCATTCCAATTTTGCTTGCATGGTTGGCTAAAAATAGATGCAGTTACCATTAAAGCAATTATTTCTTTTGTAGAAATTCAAGTTAACCAATCCAGTGCCTTATTAGAGGAAATTCAATTGGATATTGATGACAAGGAACTAATGGACTTTCTGGATGAGAAATAAATCAATTGAATTGTATGTAAAAACAATTGTGATATAACTAACCAATAATTAACTAACAAAAAGGGAAAGTGCACTGATTTGTAACAATATATAGAATATATATTTGAAAATGAAACAATCATAGGCATAAGTTTCCATACTTCACTTTTATTATGTTCATTAAATCATTTCATATATACTTTTTAGTTCTTCAGTTTTTGCCTGTATTAATAAATATATATAATTTTGTTACAATAAGTGTGTATAACTAAATGAGATTTATATATGTAATATATAAATACATCGAAAATTATAAAGAGCATTCTACATACGTTTATAATGCAAGGATTAACATTCTTTACATTTTAAACTCGACAATCATTACACAATGTGTATTCATACATATCGCAATGCTATACGCCGCCGCGTCTTACTCAATTTGATGAACGGGGTTCATTTACGTCGAAAGAAAGAACATAATTAAACTAAGTATTTGTACATACATGCGGTAATAATACATATAACCATTGTTTTCTTTGACCAAGTGGGGAATAAGAATAAGTATGGCAGTTTGTTGTCATATGTAGTTTCCTATTAACATTTGCTATTTCAAGATAAAATCACATAGACCTGTTGTTATTGTTAATTCGTATTAATAGATATATTTAAACGTTATTGATGATTGCTCTCTCTCGTGAGTTTTGTTACAAATGAATCGAATCGGAAGTAATCACCACGTTAGAAAAGATACACCACTTAAAAACAAATCTAAGTTGACATCATTCAACGCATTCCACTAACTGTATCTTATTGTTACGTTACGTCTATACTTGTTGAAGGAGCAACATTGAAATGATAGCGATGCATACATATTAATTCCACAAGATTATACGAGTTAAATAGATATATCGCATCCGTTTACTTATGTGGACGCAGCATGAATAGATTGTGTTTTTGTCTGCATGTTGAGATGGTTGCGAAATAATAATTTCTGTTTAAAAACTAAAACCAGCAGAGATACTACCCTTGCGCTTGTCTGACAAGCGCGCTATCGTTAAATAACTTAATACGTAATAAAATCTATGTAAAATAACAATACTTATTTTTGGTGGGTTTTTTAAACGTAGTTTTTAATTTTTTTTGTGTCACAGCTTAAAAATGAGATACATAATCACTATTTAAATATCAACTAAAAGGTGTACCCTATTTGTTTGTTTCTCGTCGGTTAGTCGGCCGTGTATCCGTAATTAATTAACTTAAAATTCGTCCTAACTTAATACTATTTCCTGGCCGAGCAGCATTCAATCCGAGTGTTGTTACAAAATAATTATATGGCTAATAACGAGTGAGATGCATAGCGTAATAGATTTTTTTTCGATTTTACTTGATAATTTGTGATTTTTTTGGGGGGCATATTTAAATGTTTTATGGTTGCCAGTACCTGTTAGCAAGAATGAGGTAGGTGGCAGATAGCCTCTGTCACGCCTGCTCACACTCTTCTTCGGATGGTTTTCCATCGCCATAAATGCTCATAGAAGCTATATAATTATTCGGCATAATCTGCAAATTCAAACAATTGCAATATATAAATCTCACAAATAAATTTATAAAAGTTTCTCTTCAGAGGAAGAAAATTGTAAAGTTTACACGTGAGGGTTATTTGCTATGCAATTAAAATCAAATTTACTTTAACTTACCTCGAATATAATATCCTGATAGCCGTAGCAAAAAGTGCTACCAAAGGGATTTGTGGTATTCGTTGAACTGGCTCGGTTCAACACCACGGGCCGTTCACTGGGTGTCAACTTTTTGCATAACTCATCCCAGCGGCAGTACGCAGTGACTTCGATGTTATTCAACGGCGCTGTGAACTCGCACCGCTGATACATATTGAAGTTATAATGACCGGGATAATTAGTGTGCAGAACAAGTTTTTTCACCAGATGAGTGCGCGCATCAAACAACACATCCTATAAAAAAATAATAAATAAAATATCACCCTGTGAAGTGATCGGGGCAAACATACCAAACCAAGCGTGAAATAATTAAAGAAATAATCGCTCTTCGTGGCGGTGACTCGTCGGTGCGCATTTGGACAATGAATTCGCATCTTGTCCTCACTCTTGTAGAATACCTTCGAAGGTGCGCCGAGCGCGGAGGCCACATCCTGCGCCGAGTTGCCCAGCAGGATCTCGCGCTCCAGCTGCAGTTTGGACGAGTCTATCCGGCGCGAGTTTCCACTGGTCATCAGCGTGAGCCGGACACCCTTCGTGTACGTCTCGCCGCGCAATACCTCCGCCTTGCAGAGGTAGAGCTGACCATGGTAGCAACTCAATGGGAGCTCAGGAGCTGTGGCCACTTCGACGCTGGCGCCGTGATAGACGGCCATGCGTGAGACCAGCGGAGAGGAGCCGGCAGGGAAGTGAAGTGAGCCGAGGTTGTGGGTACTACTCGTCTGGAATTTCGACTCAACGGGGAAGTAGAACGAGAGGCCACGGAAGTTCAGCACGAACAGCTGCTTCTCGGAGTCGTAGACTCCTGGGTGCGTGGCGCCGAAGGAGTGCTCGATTTGTTCAATCGACGGTAGGACTTCAGGAGAATTGAAGTGCAAACCACTGAAAAATTTAGATAAATGTATTTAAAAACAGTGGAATGATATTAAAACATAAAAATCAATAAAGTTTTGTATTTCAACGCAAGGAGATGAAAAATTTATATCGGATCCAAATATAAAGCAAATAGTTGATTTTTAAGAGAGGTATGCGAAGGACATTTTTTTATACGCACTATAAACAAAAAAATATTTGTCGTGCGCAAAAAATATTGCGAAAAACAAAATATTTTACGCATTTAAATTAGAAAGATAACATATGTTTGTTGAAGGTGAGCGAAAATATATATTCAACATACATGTCAAAGTGAGATCGTTATTCTCATACAGTTTTGCAAAAACAAAACTTTTTCCGCGCGAAAGAAAAAAATTTAAATTTGAAGTGCGTGTGCGCAAAAACAATTGAACTTACATACATAAAATGGTATAGAAAATTATTTGTTTGGTCAAAATAGGTGCAAAAAAGTGTGTACTTACCAATACTTAAGTTTGACCATTTTCATATTGCAGATTTCAATAATTTTAAGTCTTTGGACAATTGGATCAAAAAATAATCTGATGCCATCTTGAGGTAAATTAATAATTATATCTATTTCTAATGGATTCTAAAATAATCAATCATAATTGTCATCCATTTTTAAGCATTTAACAATGACTAATATACTCACACTATCATTATAAAGTACTTGGACACCTTTAATTAAGCCAACTTGTGATTGAATAATTGCAACTGCTTGAGAGAAATGCATTCCTAAAAGAAAACACGCACGAATTTAATCGACGCAATAAACAAATGACATAAGCGCGCATAAGAAAGTGAAATATTGCGCAAAATCGCAATGTACGCATTAAATAAAAATAGCTTGTTTCCATCCAGTGAGTGCACTAGCTGAGGATCACCACTGCTACCCACCTAGGATAAACTCCCATTGTTCACAGCCTAACGAACGCTCGGGCACGATCTCGAGGTCCAGCATTTTGTTGATCACAATTAAACGGCGTTAGTTTCGGTTGTTATCGCGGCGATCACTTCGCTTTTCACTGGCAAACGTTGATTATTTACACTACCTTCTTTGTCTAAATTCAGACGGACGCCATCTTAGCATTCAACTGTCACAGGAAAACAGCTGATTCAATGATGTAAGTCGCACGCGAATTGCACCCGTAGTGACTGGTGTTTTAGGGCGTAGAATTATTGTGCGCACTAAAATCGTTCAGCGTTGGTGTGAGCGACGGAGTGCGTGGTGTGTAATCAAAACAAAGGAAACGGTGTTGATGTTTGTGTTCGCAGTTTAGGCGGTTCCCCCCTTCCACGGTAGAGTCATAAGCGAGTGAGCAGTGTTTGTTTATATTATGGTTTTGTTGCTTTCATTATTCAAATTCGCAGCCGCCTGCCTCTGATGACCTCTCTTCCCCTTCCAGTAACATATTAAATGATTCACGGTATTATAATCAATAATAATGAATGTTGTTTTTATATTATGTCTACTAAAATTTTCTTTTGTTTTGCATGGCAACTAAAATTCCAGTCATTACTAGTGATATATTTGATACGGTCTAACGATGGCCAATTTTTAACATCAGTGTTTTAAACCTTAACTAATAAAGAAGTAGTGCCGTTTTTTGATAGAATTTATCAAGATAAGAGCAAAGATAATTCGATAACTATATGCAACCATGAGTGCACTTCGTTACCATGGAAACAAGTTTATTATTAAGCTAAAATTACCTACTAATATGATAAAAAAAAATCATAGCAGTTTATGAAACAAAAAGTATTTATTACTTAATACCACTCCACTGACAAATGTACCTAAAATAATAGTACTTAAACATTCAATTTCAATGCGCTTGATCCGGTGGTGGGGCCATACAGTTACCATCCGGATATCGTTTTTTAAAACTTTCAATCAACTCCGGATCCATCAATCGAATACCCTCGACTTGATTGCCTAAAGTGATCCAGTTTGGCTGGATATTATGTGGCCTGCCAAACAATTCAATTTTCCTTGTTCCCGGCGACAATCTTTCAATCATACCATAAATCTCGTCCGGTTTGTGACTTGTCGCACGCACCTCAGCAACGATCACATCCGAATCCAAGCCGCGGTTTAAATTCTGCGGATTGCCTTTCATCCCGACCAAACAATGTTCTTTACCGTGATTCAACCAGTGACCAGTGCGCCCGTTCGTATAATCCGTTGTAGTTGATTGGTTTTCACCCAAATAATTTCATCCACTCGCTCATATCCCCATAGTTTTAGACATTCTCTGCCTAACTCCATGGCTCTTCCAGTCACCCATAAAAATATCAGTCCATCGTCTTGTAATTGCGGAATACCCAACTGTCTCATCTCGTCGTCTGACATAGTACCATATGGTAGCTCCATATGGATGTCCCATGGGGGATCCGCCATGATAACAGCGAATTTTCCCAACACTGTCATGTCTAAAAAGCGTAAATCGCACTGCACCCATTGGGCTGGGTAGAGAGTCGTACTTTCTGAGCAAACCATCGGTTTGGGAGCCAAAGGAGTCTCGCGACTTTGACCGGAACGATCAACTTCATAATGGACGTATTTGCAGGTGTCCATATGAAAGCATGTATTCAAAAACGAGCAATCGCCGAGTGTCTCATCGGTGTGTTTTTGGATAATTTTCTTAAAGTGAAGTTTCTTGCATGGAACGGAACCAGCATTTCGTTGGCACTCACCCTTGGTACCATACGGACAGAACTCCATTACTTGTGCGCCTCCTTGCGATCGGAATCGCTCAGCTAAACTTTTTTCTTTTGCTGTTGGTTTACTCAGCAAATCCAGAATCTCTTCACCAATCTTTTTGCTTTCTTTTTCTTTTGTTGATGGGGCTAATAATAAAGACTAAACCATACACAAATTAACTGATATTCTCATTAACAGTCTCATTAACAATTAATGCTTACCATAATATCATTTGCTTTAGGATCTATTTTTTCCTTCTTCTTTTTATCTTCTTCATCGATAGACTTGTGTTCTGGACTATCAGCTCTTTTTCTTTTGGTGATTTGTTTGCCTGTATCAAGTTTATCATCTTCTACCAATGCATTTAGTTTTGTATGTTCAATAAAAGTCACTTCTAACTCAGTTTGGCCATCTTTAATTATTTCTTTCACTGTGATAATCTTCTGTGTAGCAAATTTCTGCAGCAGATTACATATTGATTTATGTGTTGCATTTGGTTCATCTCCTAAATGCTCCAGTAATTCATTGGATGTAGTTGGCAGATGTAATGTTACTTCATTCAACTTTTTCAGGAGCCCTTTTTCCAGCTCAGGGTCCACTTTAATAAGATCATCCTCTTCAAGTTGTTCATGTTTAACCTTGGAGTCTTCAGTTATTTGAGCCGGGTGTATTTTTGAGCTTCCAGCAACGATTTCTGTAGCCGGTCTTGATGCTAAAGGGCTGCTGCCAAGGGCGAGGATGTCTTCGCGTTCTTTTTTGCGTTTTTCCAGTCGCTCACGCAGGCTGTTGCGCTTACTTTTTACAGCTTGAATTTCCTCCCAGGCGTCCGACATTATAAACAAATTAAATTCAAAGTTTGAATGAAGAATGAAAACATGTTTGAACGTTTGATGGTTATGTTTATGTTTGCATTCATCTAGCTTACTTCATATACAGGAAATTATATTTCACTAGACTTTTTTTTATGGAAATTAAACAGAAAATAACATTTTATTAAAAACCAAATTAAATAATACAACTTATTTAAATCTAGTTTAATGCAAATGGTGATTCTGAGTTTGTATTGTAGTAGAAATCTCCCCTAGCCTCTAAGTCCAGATCAAGTCCACCAAAGTATGAAATTTGGTTATTGTCACACGAGCCATTCTCATACTCCTCAAAAGAGTCACAAGGCTTTTAAATCGGTGACTATTAATTGATTCTTCAAAGTAAACAGGAGCTCTGCCATGAGCGCAGATTCCAACCACGTCAGCTCCACAGCCTGGCTGATTAATCCCACCGCCATTTGCAAAATAATCTGCATGACCAATCGAGCTTTCAAATCCTAGAAATCCAACATTTGTATGCAGAACATGCACGACTTCTCCATCATCAATGCTTAGACGCTTGCCGGGTTCATCAACGTGAAACATAGGCTGGGCCGGATCCAAACCCACGACTGCACCAGGTTTCTTTTTCATAGCGGAACCACAAGCGCCTACAAGATGGCCACCAAGGCTTTCTCCAGCTAGCATCATCAGTTTGGCGTCTATATTGTATTTTGATAGCATTTTATCGACAAATTCTCCACACATTTTCCCTAAATCATTTACTCCCATTGCGGCGAGAGTGTAGAATTCATGCGAGACTCTATGCCAATCAATTACGAAGATGTTGGCATTGCCGTTTTTGAGTACCTCACGACGAACGCGAACACATGTACCTGATGTGTTGCTTCCAGTCCAACCATGTGCAATAAAAACTGATTTTTTCGATGGATCAAATTCATCGGATGGAATGGAACCGTCAAAATTCTCAGGTGATAGATGAATGCCCCGAGTGGGATCTGAGGGACTATAGAAGTAAATATTTAAGTCAGCGAGAGTCACGTTGGGATCCACTTTTGGCTGTCGCAGGTCTACAAAATGTGGATTGCCTTGTTCATCAGGAATGATTGCAAATGATTTATTGTCATTTTGTTTTTCTTCTCTTGCCGAGTATCTTCGAGCTATTAATTAAATAAGGTATGTTATTCGTCAATTAAATTAAATATTTTAATTTATACAAACCTAATGAGGTACTTGCAGTAATTGCAACAATGAAAACTATTAATATCTTCATTTTGTAATCGATTTACGGGAACTGTAAACAGAATCGAATGATTTTCGCAATTTAAAGTGTTTATCAAGGCTAAATATTATCTAGATAACAATTAACATGTAGAATTTTTGCTAGTTTAATTGCCGTTTTATCAATGATACATGACTGTTATTAGAATGTGAGATAATAAGGTTCAAGTGTTTCCGTCCGTTTAAATCGGAACTTACAATATGGTTGTATTTAATACTTAAAAAATAAAACATCCTGTAAAGTACATGTGTATTTGTGACATCTCATACTCCGTTCGCTGTCAATGTCAAAGCACATGCCGACACTCCAAACAAACGCGGAACGTTTGTAAACGATAGAGTATCGTTTATTTTATATATAAAAATAGTTATATTGAAGGAACCAGCATCATGTCCGTGGATACGGATGTTTCCATGAAAATTGTGGCTCCCACAGTGGAACAATTAAACGCCGACCATATAACACAAGTAATTTACCTGCAATTTATGATTATAACCTCATTTTATTAATGCATTTTACTTTTTTAGTTGGCGGAAAAATATTGGGCTCCACATTCAAAAGAAGAGCATGAAAAGTTTAATTTTAATGTTATTGAAGATATCTATATTCAAGATATCAAGGGCAGCAAGTATGTTGTTATATTTTAGCCATTTTAATGTTTAATTAAAATTTTTATTTCCAGTTTTTCTATTAGAAGAATTATGGTGCTAGAATTCAGTCAGTATTTGGAAAATTACCTCTGGCCCAATTATGAACCAGGTGCATCAAATGCTCACATCCTATCCATTGTAATCATGATAAATGAAAAGTTCAGGGAAAGAGTACAAGTGTGGCAAGCATTTGAAAAGAATAGTGACAACTTTGGTGCATTCTTTGAGCAAGTTCTCAATCTCTGCCTCGAAGAAGACACTGACAAGCTCTCCATTAAAGAACAGACTGCCCTAATTGTGTTTATTAATAGATGCTTCAATAGTATGGAGGAACCACTTTGTAGAAATCAAGTTAAAAGATTAGTATCATTGTCAATGTGGGTATCTCTACAAGAAGCGCGCCGCGAGTTCGAATTTAAACGCTATCCACGATGGAAGAAGTACTGGAAAGCAATTCAGAAGAAGGAGAAGCCTGTGATGATTGAAAAACTAAAGTGGGAAAGAATGTTTCTTCATAATATCATGCTAAAGTTTATGAAAGTGTTGGACAGTATTCCACTGGAAGGTGTAGTTGATAAAGATGTAGTGCAGTATTGTGAACGTTTTCTGGAGTTAGTGACTGACTTAGAGGCGCTTCTACCAACCAGGAGGTTTTTTAATACAGTGTTAGATGATTGCCATTTGGTGGTGAGGTGTCAATTGTCTAATTTGGTGCAGAGGGAGGAAGGACATTTATTCAGACAGGTGAGTTTTTTTTTTCTTTTATTTTGTTGCATGTATTCTAATTTAAATTAAATATTTTGCAAGTCATTTTTTATTTATTTGCAAAACACGGATATTACAAAATATTTTTTAGTCCAATCATTTGGTAGTTTTGCCTAGAAAATAGTGCGGGATTGTTGAAAATTGGTATTCATATAGATTTCGAGGTGCTCTTTACGAATTTAAACTTTGCCACCTCGTATCGTGTGCGCTCGCGCTATCATCTTGGAAAAATGGTGTCAAAAAACAGTTTTTTGACCATATCTCCTTTCCGACTCATTTTACGATAAATATATCTATATAATAAATTAAACTAGAGAAAATTTCCTATAATTTATGTAAGTACCCTTTTCTTGTAAAATTAGTAGTTTTAGCGTACGGGCGCCACAAAGTCTACTTCAACATTCGTTTTTGTCAAAAACTCATTTCCACGTCATCTTGACTTTGCTATTTTTGCTTGCTATGATTTGAGGGTGCTCCTGCTCCCCCTCGCTTGTTTGAAAGTTTCGCCGGTCGAGTTTACTTTTGTTTTATTATTTCTTCATTGAGTCATTTTAGATATTTATAGTTCTGAATAGTCGTGTTGTTTGCAGTTTTGAAGCCATGGTTGATAACGTAAATTGTTTTATTTGTAAAACTCCATTGCAAGGTAGTGAAGTGATTGAGGTGAAAGAAAAAGGATTGGAGACCTTTCGTAAGTCAAGCATTAAAAGAAAGGATAATAAGGGTAAACTTTTAGAGGAATTGAGATCGGTAGTTGTTCACGAGATAGTGTTGTCTCGACTTTTCAACCACAACTGCGACCCACGTGCCCAACATTCTCATTTAAAGATCATTGATTTTTGTACGCTGCTGAAATAACAGCAGAAGCGTACATAAACTATCGATGAAAAACCCTATTTCTGAACGTCCTAGAGCACGTAATGATGATTGGGGTAGAGCGATTGTAGAATGTCTCGAGCGTGTTTATGATTTGGTCGCAGCCAATGCACAGTATCACAATTCGTGCATGTTATCGGCGAAGATGTAGATCTTCTCATTCTATTCAACCAAAAGCATGATCGATCCATCAGCGGCAGATAACATATTATTCCTACACGCTTTTAGTGGCTGTGATACAACATCTGCACTCTTTCATCAAGGAAAATTAAAATTTATTAATGTACTCCGCAAAAATCCAGATTTAAACGAAGTTATCCAGGTATTTAAAAACCCAAAGGCTGGTTCATATATCATTGCTACAGCTGGCGAATTCTTCCTTCTTAAATTATACAGTTACAGTGATGTGAAAACTATGCAAAATAACTTCACAAAATCAGCATACAAAAATAAATTTAATATTGCATCGCTACCACCAACAGAAGCCGCAGGCTGACAACATTCGTTCAGAACTTATCACCAAGTTAAGCAGTAGTATTGGAATGAATTAAATGCAGAACAATGGGGATGGCAAAAAAGCAAGAATGGGCTAATTCCTGTCACCACACTTGAGCTCCCAGTTCCCGAAACATTGTTAATACTAATATCTTGCAAATGCAAAAAGGGATGTCAGAAAGCCTGCGGTTGCAGAAAGGCTAGAATGAAGTGCTCCGTTATCTGAACAAATTGCAGTGGCACCTGTGATAATTTGCAAGTTCCATCACAAAATAGCGATGAAGAGGAAGAAACGATTACCGTTTTTGAGCTCACGTACGATGAACTCGAGAACCAAGATTGCATTGAAAACGGTAATCCCATCGCGGATAATATGGAAGAATTTTTTACCTGTGATATTTCGATCGGTCCTGCAGACAATTAACGCAGAACACTTGGTCTATTGCAAAGAGCGTATCGGAAGACAATCCACTAAATTTTGGAATAGTACGTGTGGATTACGCCTACTGGGAAAACCACGATAAAAAAACAAAGGCGCCACGTGCTCTACCTCATGGTGGTGTGGAAATGAGTTTTTGGCAAAAACTAATGTTGAAGTAGACTTTGCGGCGCCCCTACGCTAAAACTATTAATTTTACAAGAAAAAGGTACTTATATAAATTATAGGAAATTTTCTCTAGTTTAATTTATTATATAGATATATTTATCGTAAAATGAATCGGAAAGGAGATATGGTCAAAAAACCGTTTTTACATAATTATTCCAAGATGATGGCGCGAGCGCACCAAATACGAGGTGGCAAAATTTAAATTCGTAAAGAGCACCTCGAAATTTATATGAATACCAATTTTCAACAATCCCGCACTATTTTCCAAGCAACCACGTTTTTTAGCACCAAATGACTGTACTATTTGGGATTTTGTCGTTTTTTTTTACTATCAGTAAAAATAATATAAGTCAAAGTATAAAAAATATATTACACATTACAATTTGGAATAAATATCAGTACAAGTAAAAAACGGACGGTTATAAGATTGATAAAATTAATATTAATAAATGCCATTATTCATTGCGGTCATCTCATCGCCCCATTCTATTTCCGGATCGGGACGACAACAGGCGCAAAAGCAATTTTTATAGCAGCAGGTTTTGCGCAATAAGTACGCCACGTGCTTCTGGTTGAACAAACAGATGTACAACACAATCGGCGCTTGGAGAGCATTAATTATTATGTAGCTATATACCAGTCCGTCGAATTTCGATAAAGACATCAAGAAAAAGATCCATGTTAGTGTCATTATCAAAAATAATAACAAAAACATTCGAAAACTAAAAAAATATATGCAAAATTAGTATTTAATGTCAAATAAGAAAATATTTATTAATTTACCTGTGTTTGAGTTTATGATGAATTCGTCCGTAAGTGTTCATTCTGCCAAGCACTCTAAGAGTTGTCGCAAAAAAGAAAACATCGATCAGAATCGTAAATGCAACGGGCATAAAAAATAATTATTCCTAGGGATCCGACATGTTCCTGTTCATCGTGTTTCGATGGCGAAACATCGTAATCCAATGCGTAATGTGCGAAAATTGCTAGGAAACCCAGAATAAACGTACAACTCCACGCATAAGTTGAATAGTAACAGAACTTTTTACTGTCTGTTATCCGAAGATAAACATTACGTGATCTAAAAGTTGAGCGAAAAAAAGATCATCATAAAAGTTATAAATGGTTTAAGCTTTCTGCATACTTGAATGTTTTCCAAATATAAAAGGCAAGACTGTTGAGCCAAAAGAACGCCCCCAAGAGACTGATGTAACATATCGCCTCTAAAATAGATAATTGCGTTTGAATTTCATTTGGTGCAGGATGCGTGTTTGTTACCAGTGATAAAAATACTCAAATGTCCAGTGAATATCGTCAGCAGTCGAATCAAATCGGCCGCCTGGCCGACTATCATGCAGAGGCACATTGTCGTCACAATATTGCCGACGAGGTCTTTTAATGTCGGCATTACGAAGTATACGATAGCGACCGTTAGAAAACAAGCGATTGAGATTAGGTGCGTTATCGGGTTGATGATGTTACGCATGAGGAAATTCGTCGCCGCCCAATCTCGGTCCTTTTCCGGTTCGTGGCAGATGATTGCGTATTGGTACATTTTTTCTTCCTCAACTCTCTAAAAATTGTTTGTACAGCTTTAAAAACTATGACTTTTCAGTTGTTGCCATTGGCAACCAACTTATTTTGTTTGTTTGTAAGTTATTTTAACCTCAAAATTATTTAAGTCGGACATAGTTTACCTTGTCCAAACAATATTTTCCCTGCGCATAATCCTTCAGACCAACGAGTTTTTTCTTGCCGTAAAAATCTGGTTCTGGATTCCCGTGCGCTTCGTAATGTCGCAAAGTTCCATCGGGTAGCAAACGCAACATGTCCAGCGAGTCTGCGTAGTGATAAATTGGCCACTGACTATGCGCCGGACAATCAGGCATTCCGGTGACCATTCTGTATAAACACGTATTTAGTTTCACGCATGTTAATGTGCGTTCAATTATCCAATGCGCAATGCACAGCGAATTAATTTGCATGACGCGATAAAACACTTACTCATACTTGACATCGACGGTGCCGCCGTGTTCGTTCATGAATATGGGCTTCCACAATGTTTCGCCCGTGCCGTTGACTTTGGTGCACCATTTGGACATGTAGAGTTCATCAACTTCGCAGCATTTGTTAATTTTGACCGTATCGCGCGCATCGTGCAGGACGCTGTTGGACGAAGAGTATGCTGTATAAGCGTTAGCGCCCACGGCGAAAACAAACAGCAGCGGAAGTGGGCTTCGTCGCAACTGCATGTTTTGTAAATGTACCATGATCACATTTTTTAGAGATGAAACATATCAATGGTGCACACGAAATTTATGCACATAACTTGATCACATTTGTTCGCTGGAGGCGCGTGCGCGTATTTTTAGCTCATTTATTACTTTGTTCGAGTACGCTATTCTCTGCAACCGCACCAGTTGGCCGTGTTCGTTTGCCTTGCTGCATGACGCGCCGCACGCGACGCTCTTGCTTTGGAGCGCTGGTTGATGGCACTGCCCATGCCCACTACCATGCTGGTATATAGCTTTTACAAAGCGTCAAGGTGAGGTACCACGCATAGGTAGGTACTGCCGAAGAACACCGAGTGTGCTTCGGTTTGTTCCGCCGAGGATTAACACTCAGTTTTTTTTTTCGTTTTACTTTACTTGCATTTCGTTTGCGCTGATTGAAGTAATGCACATGTCGAGGTCGGAAGCAGTTGGTTTCCCTAACATCCGGTGGGCTGGTATTTTAATACGTTTCGGGGGTTGAATTTCCCCTATTGAAGTGATTCACAATGAATTTTGATTCATGCATTCTAAATATTTAATAAAACAGAAAAATGTCAATTATCAGTGGGACCCTTGCCATACTTTAATTTTTTTAACCAATTTGCGTTTTTGAAATGTTATTAATATTCTCATATCCTGATAGGCTGTTGGTGCGATTATAAAATAGCAATAAAATTGAATAATCACTTGATGACGCAAATTTCCCAATAACTTGTAATATCGATGAATGGTTCTTTTCAGAAATCGGCCATTAAGTTGGATTAGCTCAGCATTGAATTAAAGAAAAATTATATAGGAATAGCAAATTATTGCTGACGTACGATAACATCAAGTTGTACTAAGGGTAGTACGCTCTGCTAATTATTATTTTTTAATATTTTGAGTTAAATTTGAAATAAAAATAAATTTGATAAATAAAGAACTGAGTTTGTTCTAATTTGATATATTTACTTCTTGGGCACTGTAATTCAATGAACTCAACTTTTCTACTGTTTATTTTGTGCCATTCAAAGGCTTATACACTGCCGTCATTGAATAATATCAATGACGTTATTGATTCGTTTTCTCAAACAGAAGTTATTACATTTCCCATTTCATGCTTGAAGCAGGTGTGCATAAATGGGGGACTGTGAACGCAAACGAAAAAATCCTTAGTAGTATTTACTATTTACTACGTTGTACTATTACTTTTAGCATTTTTGCAATAAAGAGAAATATTTTGCATTATTTTATGATCAAGCGACTTATTTTTTGCTCGGGTGTATTATACGAGTATACTCGTATAGAATGAATCAGTTTGCTCTGCATTTTCTACGCATATTAGTTGGATCTGCTTGAGATACTTGAATGTGAATGTAGGAGTGGTAAGTCACGCGATAGTTACAAAGTCGCATTAAATTTTTAATGAGCAATTATTATATTTATGACTTTTTCATACTTTAAATTTATTGAATAAAAACCACAAAAAGGCAACAAAAAAAACTGAAAAATATTGTTACGAGGGTCGATATTTCCCATCTACGTAGATAGCATCCGGTTAGTCATTGCCACATCGTATAAAAATTAATATTTAAATATTTGTTTATTATGGGATAACTTGCTATTGACAACTTGAATGCGAATACATATAGGAAGCAAGATAAATAAAAGCGATTTATGAATTACGCACTGGATTTATTACATGTTTTATGACTATGTTTACACGCTAACAATTTGCGAAAATACTAATTCTATTATATATACATGTAGCACGATAAAAATGGTAAAACATTAATGTGTAAGTACAATTATGTTTGAGATTCATAATATGGCACATGCTCGACACATCGTTCAAATTAAAGCAAATTGCGTGCCATCAATTAATAAGATTAATAACATTACGATGAAAAATTGCAATGATTGCGTTTTGAAAACATGACTCGCTTTGCATACAACATATGAATGTCTGTCTGTTTATGTTATTAAATTTGAATTGCGTCTCTACTTTGTAGATACCATCGAATGTATGTGTTTTTGCAGCCATTTAGGTGTTGTTTACGCTTGACCGTTAGTGTTGGGTTGCTCGCCATCGTCATCAGCAGCTTCTTCCTCGTCATTGAAGTTCTTCCACGTACTCGGGAACGTCATACAGCAGATTCCGCGACTCGATAAACCGCGCAGCGCTCGCTTTCGCAACACGACCAGCAGGAAGAATATCAATGCGCCTTGCAAAACATTGACATAATCAGTCACGATCCTGCGAATCAGAAGGTTTTTAATGCAAATCACGTTTGTTTTGGGGAGTTTCGCTTGAGTCACATACCATACGTAGTCCAAAATTGCGTGCACATGGTCCAAAACGGATGAGATGACTTCGAATATCCACATTATTCCCATTATCACAAATAGTTTGATATACAGCCGAACCCTGAAAAACAATTTTTTTATTATTTGGGATTTTAATGCTTTTTAAACTATATTTAGTACTTGTATTTGAGTGATTTAGTTTTGAGGTCGTCCATAGTTTTTCGTTCGATCCATAGTTTGGACACGCACCAAACAAACATGATGATATTGAGAAGTAGTAAAATTGCGACGGGCCCATAAAAATACGCCCAGGTTTCAGTCAAGCCTAAAATTATCGCGTTTATTTAAGTCAAAATACATTTCTGTCGATGAACAACGATTCACCTGCAAACCAGCACGTAGTAACTCCCAGTCTCGGGTTCAAGTGACTTCCAGGGAAATAATGCGCGAAAAGCAACATTATCAGGAATATAAGTGGCATACCATGTCCGTAGATTAAATAACCGAAATACCATTGGTTATCAGATCCAGCAATGTTTGGATGTCTGAAGGAAAAGTATATTTTGTTCAAACAGAACTATTTGCACGGCTGAAAGTGAAAGTTTTCTGCTATACTCACACGACGGTTTTCCAAATATGAAATGAGGTGACGTTGAGCCAGAAGAACGCCGTCATGAACGTGAAGTAACTGAAAAACGCACAAAACAAACACCAGTCTTCGTCGACGTCGATCAGTTGAACAATGCTTAAGTTCAACATTGCTATGGCGAGCGCGCCGATGTTGTGCATTATACATTTTCCCTTTAAAGTAAAAAATATCTTGTAAACGAACAAATAATTGTATGTTTTAATTTCGTACCTGCAAATCTCTCAAACTGGGTACTAAACAATATACGCTTAGAGTGGCCACTAAGAAAACAACGGATATTATACCACATGACGCTCGCAACAAATAAAATTTCTCGTCATTTGGCCAGACAGCGGCATCGTAGCATATGATGGCTACTTCGCTGCCATTTTCCGCTTCTAATTTTGAAACACAGTAACTGAAACATTATGAATTAATATGCGATGTTGATCCATTTGTTGATAGATCAAAGTAACTTACTCTGATTTTTCAAGAAAATGCAAAATTTGCGTAGGGTATTGCAATAAACCATCGTCGCTAAACACAAGCTGTTCATCATTATCAGCGTCAGGATCCAGCATTACTCTAGGTGTGCATGTCAGATCCATGTCTTTGCCATTCGCGCATTTTCTATTGATTAATACATTGCTATCTCCACAACAGAAATGTGCATTACTTGGAATTTCAGCGAAGGCAATGTGAAGACACGACAGAATAATCAGAAGACGAATCATCTTATTCTGCTATAAGAAAATATTGAGAAAATTACTTTAATTGTGTCTGTTTAGAAATTTCCTTATTATAACCATGACAGTTTCTACGTTTTCAATTATGTGTAATAATCTCTTGGAAAAGAGAGAGTTAATTTTCTGTTGGCTTTTCAATTAGTGTCTTTAAACGGTCACATTAAGAACAATATGAAAGTTTCCCAACAAAATTATATTACACATTGTTGGCGTTCATTTAAATAATATAATAATGCATGTGTGCGCAATGCATGTGTGTAATGATGAATTTCCGCTTTTGAACCAATATTCGCAATTACAGTCACAAAATTAAAAAAATAAAACTTTTTTAGGTGTTACATAAATTGCTTAGCATAACATGTTTTTCGTAAAAAAAATGACATGATAAAAACTGGCTGTAAAATTAATTCGCCTGATGTTTACGTCCCATTTCATAGCGCATTGTTCAAGAATGAACACCTCCGTGATTTACATTCATACGAGTCCGGTATTGCACAGCGTGCATTCCATTGTCCAAACATTCTGCGTATACTAATTTAAAAGACATTTTGCAGACTTAAATATCTGGTTGTGTGATGTGTTGTGTTATAATGTGCGTCAATGATTTCGATGTTTGCATTACTTAAATCAACTGTTCGATAAGTGCCGCGCAGAATGATTAGTACGATTAATTACATTTACTTGACTTTAATGACCGTAATGCTGATGTGAAGGTTGATGGGTTAAGTTACACTAGTTGATTTACTTTTTATTTCTAATTATTTTTACTGTTTGCATGCGTATATTATTGTAGACAGCGCCAAATTGACTTACTTTTCTGTTTTATTGTTGCACCTTTTACTACATTCACTTGTCGAACAGTTTTGTTGCACTTATTTACCGCAACCGACCAACGTAACGTGTTTGTGATACGGAGGCACACGCGAGCAATAATTGAAACACCGATTGCGTCCACCGCGGATTTTACATTGAAAGAAAGAGTCGCGCTTGGCGTGCACAATGATGATGAGTCGAATAAGTGCGATGTGGTGGGAGTGGTGTTTCGCTGAATAGGTCATGTGGTTGTAGAGCGCCCAGCAAAAGTATCGAAGGCATTTCAAGTGGCTGGAAGTCTTTCTTCTCGACGAAAGGAAACATTTTCACGACGTGCAATAAATTTGCAATTTCTCATCTCGCTGCGCTTCATTCAATTTATGTAATTTTTGCAATTGCCACACGTATTTTAATTTACATTGTTCGCGAGATTTCTATTTTTTGTGTTCTAATTTTTTATTTTATGCATGAGACGCGTGATTTCAATATGTATTTCTCTTAGTTTTAGTATAACTAGTTTTAACAGTCTTGAACCTTACTTCGGATAAAAATTGTATTAAAATAATAATTATGTTGATATTTACGTTTTATCGTGGTAATTAGTCAACAAATTGTTTAAATTAGTAAACTTAGACTAAAAAATATTTGATTAAATTTTATCTTACGATGATATATAGTTTGTTTAAAAGTTTTTAAACTTGAATGAGATTGTTCATATGTTGTTGTCGTTAATACATTTGCAGGATTCTGGTGCTGTAATGATATTTGGTATAATTGTTCTAATTGTACAATATTGAACATTTGTAATCACCCAGAAACGCACAATGGTTTAAGTTAATTAATTGCTAATTGAATTAGCGCCCTCGGCTATGGGCCACTTGCTGGTAAATTGAATTAGTGCTAAAACAACAAGATTTGACGTGAATTATTGGAAAGTTTGCAATCGCACGAGATTTGCACACTCAATAATGCTGGTAGAATGGACGATTTCTATTTTTTATGAGTATGCAATAGATAGCGTTTTAATTAATCGGACCGTATGTTTAAAATCAATCGGTATAAAACAAACAATAAACGAGTTCTGCGTTTTTTCCAGCAATTAAAATAAATTAATGCTATTTATTAGGTTCGGAAATTCGAGTACAGTTTATTTGCAATACAAAAAATATTAAGCATTTAAAAGCATTTAAAATTTTGTTAATACTTCATTGTTTATTTTTTATGTTGATTGCAGCTGTTGGACATGTTGAAGTTTTACGCTCGTTTTGAAATTAACGACGAGACTGGCGATTCGCTGACCGACCACGACATGACAGAAATTCATTACTCTAGGATCACTTCGCTTCAGGTACGTTATTTGCAATCTGGCGTTAAAAGTTTAATGGCACTTTTTGCAATCACGTTTTTATGCTATATTCTATGAGAGGCCTCAGCAGGGTAACATGAACTATTTTTAACAATGATATTTGATATTTTTACTTCTTTTAGACGGCAGCATTTTCACATTTTCCTGATTTGCGTAATTTTGCATTGGCTAATGTTGCCAGTGTGGACACCAGGAAAGCGTTGGAGAAACATTTCAAATCCTTAAGGTAATGGTTTTTGAAGGTTTCAGAAAATCTAAATATTATTATAATTGGAAAACTCGCATCAAAACTTTATATCAAAAAGATGTCGGATAATGTTTGGTCCTTTGAAATTCATTATAAAAATTTTACATTGTATTGTCTCCAATTTCCTACAATATCTTTACTTTGTTGATTTTCAGTACCGAAAACCTAAAGGCAATCGCGCGACATCTTCACTTAATTCCTTCGGGTGATGATGAAAAAAATAATCAATGGTGTCGCTTTGACGATGAATTTTTACGAGAACTTCTGGTAATTTGATTTTTTTGTTTATTGAAACGTTCTCTAATAAAGCTTATTTTTAGATTTCCAGACATGAAAAACGCACTTCTCAACTTGATTCACTGAACGAGATGCCGTTATATCCCACCGAGGAGGTGATTTGGGACGAGAACGTTGTGCCTACAGCGTATTTTTCAGGCGATGGCTGTTTATCTCTGCCCAAGCTTAATTTACAATTTTTAACACTTCACGATTATTTGCTACGGAATTTTAATCTTTTTCGCTTGGAATCCACTTGTGAGTTTTTTTTTTGCGCAGCGTTTTCACTCTGCTTCGTTGTTTATGTAAACATTGTTTTTCAGATGAAATTCGACAGGATATTGAAGATGCTGTCAGCCGCCTTTGCCCTTGGTTAGTATACAATAATATTTAGACTTGTTGAATGTAAATTGTGTTAATTACGTAGGAAAGCCGAAGATGGATCTGTTTACTGGGGCGGATGGGCTCGAATGGCACAGCCGATAATTCACTTTGCTGTTGTTGAAGTATCGAAACCAAATATAGGTAGGAATTCCATTCGAGTAATTGAATCTATGAGATCATTGCATGGTAATTACAGGTGAGAAACGCCCGAGTCGAGTGCGTGCCGATGTGACCGTCAATTTATCGGTTCGGTCTGAAATAAAAAACGAGTGGGAAAATCTACGAAAACACGACGTTTGCTTTTTAATAAGCGTGCGCCCAACCAAACCGATCGGAACGAAATATGACTACAAGCAGCCGTTTATACCGCAAGTCGGATTGCATTGCGTGCGTGGTTGCGAAGTTGAGGGATTGCTCGATAGCAACGGGAGGGTGATTGAGGATGGCCCGGAACCGAAGCCGCAGATTCCCGGCGATAAACGAACTTATCGAGTGTGGCTAGACAGTAATCAGTATCGGGATGACATGAATCTGACTAATGACGGCGCTGAGGATGTTTACGAATGTATGTTATTATAACAGTACCACAGGACTATTTATATTTTGTGCGTTGCTCATGCTTTTATTTTATATTTAGGTTTCAATATTTTGATGCGTAGGAAACCGAAGGAAAACAACTTCAAAGCGGTACTTGAAACTATTAGGGAGTTAATGAACACTGTTTGCGTGGTGCCAGATTGGCTACATGATATTATCTTAGGATATGGCGATCCAAGTGCGGCGCATTACTCTAACATGCCGAATAAAATTCCGACAATGGACTTTAACGACACCTTCATTGATATTGAGCACTTAAAGTCGTGCTTTCCAAGTTACGAAATTAAGATCGATTGCGAAGAGCCCGCAAAGTTAGTGAGGCCATTTAAACTGACATTTGAGGATTTTACATCGAACAATGAGGATAAACAGAAAAGTTTGATTGCACAGCCGCATGTTATTCCAAGCCGCGGGCCGTATACTTTCAACGAACCCAAAAAGTAAAAGTACCTTATATAAAATAAGCAATCGAGTTAAACGCCTTTTGCAATGTTTCAGGAATACCATTGCTTTCACACCAACTCAAGTCGAAGCGATCAGAGCTGGAATGCAACCAGGTCTTACCCTTGTAGTTGGGCCGCCCGGTACAGGCAAAACAGATGTTGCAGTTCAGATTATCTCAAATTTGTATCACAACTTTCCCAACCAGCGCACAATCATCGTAACGCATTCGAATCAGGCGCTTAATCAACTGTTTGAAAAGATTGCCGCCCTGGATATTGATGAACGCCACTTGCTGCGTTTAGGTCATGGCGAGGAGGCGCTTGAAACCGAAAAAGATTTTAGTCGTTACGGCCGCGTAAATTATGTGCTCGCGAAGCGATTGGATTTATTAAACGATGTGCAGCGCCTGCAAGAATCGCTTGATGTGAAGGGAGACGTCGCGTACACTTGCGAGACCGCCGGACATTTCTATTTATATCAAGTGCTGTCACGTTGGGAGCAATATCAGGGCATTGTGCGGCCGAAAGGAGGCCAGATTACGGATATTGCTGTGATTAGCAATGAGTTTCCATTTGCGAAGTTCTTTGATAATGCTCCCCAGCCGCTGTTTAAAGGTAAGTGTGTCGAGGATGACTTGGAGATTGCGGACAGCTGCTTCAGGTACATCGAGCATATCTTCGACGAATTGGAGGAATTCCGCGCATTTGAATTGCTCCGGTCAGGCTTGGACCGATCCAAGTACCTTTTGGTGAAAGAAGCGAAAATTATTGCCATGACTTGTACGCATGCCGCCTTAAAACGCAAAGAATTGGTGGAAATGGGATTCAAGTATGATAATATATTAATGGAGGAATCCGCACAAATTTTGGAAATAGAAACGTTTATTCCGTTATTGTTGCAAAACCCACAGGACGGATACAATCGTCTTAAGCGGTGGATTATGATTGGTGATCACCATCAATTGCCTCCCGTTATTAAAAATATGGCGTTTCAAAAATATTCTAATATGGAGCAGAGTTTGTTCACCAGATTGGTGAGATTAGGTGTACCTACAGTTGATTTAGATGCTCAAGGTAGATCCAGATCGAGTATTTGCAGTCTATATAAGTGGAGATATAAAAGTCTCGGGAATATGGCGCACGTTAAAGATTGGGATGAGTACAAACGCGCGAATGCAGGCCTAGAGTACGATTTCCAGTTGATTGACGTCCCAGATTTTAATGGCGTTGGCGAGTCGGAACCCAGTCCATTTTTCTACCAGAACTTGGGAGAGGCGGAATATTGCGTGGCACTGTTTATGTACATGAGACTATTGGGGTATCCGGCAAATAAAATCTCTATTTTGACAACATACAATGGGCAAAAACATTTGCTTCGTGATGTGATAAACACCCGCTGTGCTTCTAATGCCCTCATTGGACGTCCACACAAGGTACAGATATAAAATTGTGTACTTAATGGGTTTAATTAATGAAAACATTTAAATAATTATAGATTACCACCGTGGATAAGTACCAGGGACAGCAGAATGATTATATCATTTTGTCTCTTGTGCGAACGAAAGCGGTGGGTCATATCAGGGATGTGCGGCGTTTGGTTGTTGCAATGTCACGTGCGCGATTGGGATTATATGTGTTCGCACGTGTGTCGCTATTCCAGAACTGTTTTGAGCTCACACCAGCATTCCAACAAGTAAATTACTTTATATCAAAATAACTGCTGCATACTTATTATTTAATGTTTTTGTATTAGTTAATGGACCGGCCTACTAAGCTGCATCTGGTCTTAAATGAAGTATTTCCAACAAATCGTGAGGCATCCGAAATTGTTAATTCCAAAAATAGAGTTGTAATGGAAGACATGGTTCAAACTGCAAATTTTGTTTATTCTTATTACATGGAACGCGTTAAAGCACTTAAAGACTTTTATCATGTAAGTGTAATGGAATGATATATTTGGTTAAATTACTAATATGGGATATGTTTAGACTCAAGAGGAGTGGCAGAAACCCGGAGAGTTGGAGACGACTGAACATCAAGGCTTGATTTCTTCGCATCCGGGTGAAGATAGAGATACTGACAGCGAAGATGAAGAAACAAAGATGCAGGCACCCGTTCCAATCCAGGATGAGCCAATCGAGGAAGACAAAGAGGATAAGGAAGAACAGCAAGGGGTTACGCCGAGTGCGAATGAAACTGGCGAAGCTGATAATGAAGATTAAGGTTATTGAATTAATTTTGTACCCTACCTAACAACAAATAAGATAACAAATAACAAATAAGATTATTTAAAATATTTATTGTATTTTTTTGATATGCTAAGGAGGACGCAAGCGTCGTGTTTACATTTGACGGTACTGCCCACGGGTGACTAGCGATTATTGTGCATTACGAATATTTTTCATACACGCTTGAACTCGCAGAAGTAGGTAATCGTAAATGGACGTCATTGGACTCACAATAACATTGGCGAATTGAAGCAGAAGTTTGGCAAATGATTCCCAGTTGTCAATGGGGAATTACACCTCTAATGATCCTAAAAAATTGTATTATAGGGCAGTCGTGGATAAATTTCGCTTTTTGGTTTCTATAGCATTTATTTTGTGTTTCTCTTCTGTCACTTTCCTATCACAAAGATCAAAATTAATTCTTGGTTGCATTAAAATTTTTGTAGGAAAATATATACAGTTCCAAATTAAGAAACAAACTAGGGTCATCGGGGTCTTTATTCATGGAGTACAACAGAATAGAATGGTAAATTGTAAATTGGTCGAAGAGCCCAATAGCTTCACTTATGGCTAACTCAAAATTGAGCCCGCGGAATTCCGAGGTGAATGCTTTGGAGCAACGCGGCTACCTGATTGGTAAAAAAATTGGGCAAGGGTCATACGCCACTGTTCACCTGGCCGAATATGTGGACGGAACGGGTGGGAAGAAGATGAAATTGGCGTGTAAGATATTCGACAAGGAGCGCGCACCCAAGGACTTTCTTGAGAAGTTCTTCCCTCGCGAGCTGGATATCCTCACCAAGATCGAAAACGCTCATCTCATACAGGTGCACAGTATATTACAGCGAGGGCCGCGCGTTTTCATTTTTATGCGGTAAGTTTTGGCAGATTGTTGAAGTTTGTTCGTACATTGTATGCGCGCCTTAGATATGCGGATAATGGTGACCTTCTGGACTTCATCAAACGAAACGGAGTTGTTCCTGAGCAGCAGGCCAAACTGTGGTTTCGTCAGATGGCCAGTGGACTCCAGTATCTGCATAATAAGAACATCGCACACCGTGATCTTAAATGCGAGAACATCCTCTTGTCGCGTCGGTTCAACGTGAAACTAGCCGACTTTGGATTTGCCAGATTTTGTGTCGATGAAGAAGGACGCCGAGTGCTTAGCCAGACGTACTGCGGGTCGGCGGCATATGCCGCCCCCGAAGTAGTCAATGGAACTCCCTACAATCCAAAATTATCGGATATTTGGTCATTGGGCATCATACTTTTCATAATGCTAAACGCGTCGATGCCATTCGATGACTCCAATCTTCGAAAACTGCTCAAGGATCAGATGACACGCAACTGGGTATTTCGTACTAGGGTAAGGGATACTATTTCGTCAGCCGCAAAATCAATCGTAAGACATATACTCGAGCCGGACATCACGCTTCGGCTCACTTTGGAGCGGGTTATTTCTCACGACTGGGTGCGGGCGAGAAAAGAGCGAGCGAGCACGCTTATCGGGCGTCTTGTACACCCCCACCAGGGGCAGGAGTCTTCAGCGTCTAACGGACGCAGTTATGAGGAGGAACAGGCGATTGCTGGAGACCACAAGAAACCCGAAACCAAGAAGAGCAATACCATGATCAGCATGGCCAGGGAATAATAGCACCAAGGATTTGCATGCAGTAAACTCAATAAATTTCAATACCGAAACCTTTAGAACAGCTCAACGCCTATTTCTCAGGACAAATTTATGGTACCGATAAGTGTGAACATTTGCATAACTAATCACACAACTCATTGTTAACACACAAATTGTTTTAATAATAATGCAACAAATTTTGGTACAACTTACTTCATAACATTTTACGTTCTTATTTATATTAGTACTTAAATATGATTACAGGTACTTACATAGCTGCATCATTTGCTTTTTTTCGGTAAAGCGTTTGCATCAGTGCAAAATACGAATATGCAGATTTCAATATCTGTAAATGCAAGATCATTATTAAGATACATATTTTAAAACAAAACTGAGAGCTTGTTATATCAACTGTTGTTAACATTGTTGGTTTACTTACAGACTTAAACGAATCCAGGGACAAGTTTGCAAACTTCCCGGCGGTGAGGTAAACAGGTCGTTTTGATCTCTCCATAATAATAAACAACGTTTTGCGTACTTTTGTATCGAAGTTAATCCAATCTGACAAATAACATGAGTCTTGTATGGTAGTACTCTTAAAAGTTGCAGATTGCATAATTAATCAATTATTATCGCCTGTCAACATGTCATGTTTAATAATGTACCTCTAATAATAATTCATTCCCAAGCCAACAATATAATATTAGCTGAGTTAACATTGCCATGAAATACATTCCCATTGCTATAACGTGTGATGTAGCCTCTGCCTGGAAATTGCCTCATTGTATATCATAAAAATCAAATCTATATTGCTTGCATATTGCTTACATGAACCAACTGGAATCCTACATTACATATAACAATGATACTACCACAAAATTGCATCAAGTAACCAATACTAAAATTTCTCTCCACTAGCCCAATAAAACTGCAGATTCAAAAATGTAATATAAGTAGATTATTTTATGGTAAATGGTTGTAACATGGCGTTAAGCACAATTATCAATTCCAACACTGTTGATCAGCAGCCAAATGAATCATAAAAAACCTAAAGTATTAATTACTTTTTATTTTGTGGTTTTAAATTTCTTAGCTTATCAACATGATTGCCATTGATTTCTTGTAACTGTAACTGCTTACTCTAATATTGCAATATGATGTTTAACACAGTGTGCTAGCCATTTGTTGACTAACGCATTATCAACTTCGTCTGTTTTGGTGTATTTATTAGTCCAGGTTCGTACGTCTTTAATCATACCATTTAAAACCTTAAAATTTCCGGTCGCAATAGCTATAAATCCGCCTGAAACAGTGTCCAAGCAAGAGTTGTTACACGCGCAGATTACCATAGTCGAAGTTTCCAGCATGTGCATGAGTAGATTACTAAACGGCGTAGTTTCAAAAAAGGTAATAGGAAACAATGGCGTTACAGGCCACGTGAAAAACTGTCCACCACATAGCAAAATGAGTGCCGCCAGGCACGATAACTGATAAAAACAGCAAATTTTGATAGTTTTGCTAATGGTCTCTTCTATAATATGCTTTAATTCGTCGGGATATTGCTTGAAGATAGGTTCGTTTATTTTGTTGATAGCGCTTTTGAAGCTTTCACGTTTGAATTCATAGATTACATTCTTGACAATGGTGCACACAACTGATATCCAAATTGTAACAATGTTAGTAAATGCTTCCATGTGGCCTATTTGCACGTACAATTCAATTGTCAAGACACCCGTGCCAAAAATCATCCAGAAGAAAACCAGCACGTTCTTCATCTTGTACGATATTGTACGATTGTCAAAAGGCCACATGCCCGTCATTATCATTAACATTCGTTGGTATTTTATCGCGTCTAAGCTATCGGGCTTGCTGGGTTCCTCAACTTGGACCTTCATTTTGTGAACTTTTAAATTGTGCGGGTACATTGTTCTTATTTATACTATTTCTATTATTGCAGTGTTGAGTTAAGTGCTGTAATTAAGTAAAACTGTTGCAAAGTTTAGATTAATTTACGTTTCAATCATTAATTCGTGTTCCTTTTGCGAATACAAAGTTTGCATTAGCGCAAAATAGGAATACGCGGACTTTAAAATCTGAAAAATTAAACCACTAATTACCAGTTGCGAATGCACGAATATTAAATCATAATTGCGTGTTTTAATTGGATAATTCACTGAGAAAATTGCACATTGCACAATTCAACTTATGTTCAATTGTTCGCATATTATTAATTTACAATAATAGAACGTGAACTTGAACTTGCTTAAAAAATCAAATAACATGATGTGCGCAACCAAGCGCAACTTTCTCTAGACCCAATAGATAATTCCTTTTTTTTTATAATAACTAGACTTACAACATGTATGAATAATAATTTTAAGAAAATCATATCGGTAAATAATACATACGGATTTATATGAATCCAAAGATAGATTTGCAAATCCACCAGCTGTTAAGTATACCGGTCGTTTTGAACGTTCCATGATAATAAACAGTGACTTTCTAACTTTTAAATTGAAATCCACCCAGTCACTCTGATAGCAAGCATCTTTTACATTTTCGCTCTGCAAGTACATTATCAAATAAAACAAAACTGTTATTTAACATTTGTATATACATTTAACATTAGTTTATCTCCAAACCAACAATACAGAGCAAGTTGTGTCAACATTGCAAACAGATAAATGGTCATTGCAATGAACTGTATCATAATTGTTGTCTGAAACAATAATAAGTAGTTGTTATGTACCTATATTTATAGCGGGAGACCATTAACTCACATGAACAAGTTGGAAACCAATGTTGCAAATAACAATAACGCTTGCTAGGCATTGAACTAAAAAGCATTTATTGAAGGTATCTTCAATAAATACAACAAGCCTACAAAATTAATTATTAATAACAATTAATAACAATTGATAACAATTGTTTACTGCAAAATTGCTGTGTGATGTTGAACGCACTGCGCCAGCCAGTCATTCACTCTTTCATTTATCTCCGTCATCTTGGATTTCTCATCCGTTTTCATTTCTACCCATTTACGACAATCTCTAATCTTTCTGTTCAAAATCTTAAAATGTGTTGCGGCAATAATTATGAAACCGCCTGAAACTGTGTCCAAGCACGAATTATTATTAACGGCACAGAAAAACGAAAAAGTTTCAAATGCGTGCAACATTGGCTGAGCAGCCGCGCTCAAATTGAGAAATGTAATCTCATACATCGGCCGAAATTTGTGTGTTTGCACATAGAAGATGAATGGTTTTGTGACTAGTAGCACCATTGCTAAATAGCAAGCAATTTGGTATACGATATTAATACGCGATACAAAACTTGTCTCTTCTTGCATGATATGATCCAGTTCATCAGGATAATCGAAGAAGATGTCCCTCTTGATAAACTTCAGAGTTTTGGCAAAGGACTTTAGCTTTATCTGATATATGATATGCTTGATCACATAGCACGCAATAGACATCATAATTGTCAGCATATCGTTAAAAACCTCAATGTTATTAACCTGTACAGACATCTCCATTGTTAGGATGCAGGTGATCAAAATAACGCAGAATAGTATAAAGTAATTAGTGTATGTGTAGCGTTTTGATGGATTATCCAGTGGCCACATTGCAGTCAGTATCATTAACCATTTTTGATATTTAATTGCGACCAAACTGTCGGTTTTTGTCGCCTGCATATTGAGGAGTAATACTAATAAATTCAAGTTAATAAAATTGGCAATACATATAGCAGTCGCAACTGAATGCTGATGTGTAATTATCAATGTCAAAGGATGTAAAGGTGAATTGATTTAACAATCGGAATTAATAATGTTAGGTAATTATTGTACATTTGTCTTTTATGATAATTTTAATTAATAGGTATTAGGTTTAAATCAGAAAAGATATCGTATCTTTAAAATGTTAATCTGTGAAGTATTTGTTTAAATATTTATATATCTACACTTGTATTTCAAGTTTTATAAGTTTATACTTATAATTTGAACTAGAATATGATTGAATCGTTTAAAATATAAACTGTAATTTACAGTGGAACTAGCTAGTTAATAACTTTCTCTCATCTATGTTATTTTTGCAATTAGATATTCAACATTTTTTTTGGAAATCACAAATCGTTCCTACCTATTATTTATTCACAATTTGTGAATCACAGATACTAGGTACTGTGCTTAATTAATAATGAAATTTTTATTTTAATATGTATTTACATATAGGTAATTTACTACGATTTAACTGGTTTGTAAATGTGGATTAACATAATTCATTAGCAACTTAATAAATTAATGCATTTCAAAATTGATTCGAGTTGTTTACACTTGTTTGGCGGTGACGTATACACAGAATTATAAACAAAGACGTTCAATGTGCCGCGATGGGTTTCCCCAAGGCAAAGCGAGCCGGGTCGAGCGACTGGTTTGCGATTGCCAGGTCCGTCTACCAGTTTATCGCCGACGGACAGTGCGGTCAATCTAGTTTGAAGCATTGTCGTAATAAGACCCAACCATGTTCGAAAATTAATTTGCTAATATTTGTTGTAATATTCACTCATCGAACAAATTCGGATAATTAACACGCGGTTTTTTTACGATATTTTCGTTTCTTGGCAAAATGAAGCTCCATGACACTTGTATTCCCGGCAATTTGAAAACAACAATTTGCGTGCTAATTTGCGTTTTATGCCTTCCATGTAAGTAATATTGTGATATTTTATACGCCAGTGATGCTTAATAAGGATACATGTTGATTTGCGTTTTAATGTTAATATCAATCTTATTGAGTATGTGATTATCGTATTAAAGGTCACATGGCAAGCAATAAAAAGATTGGATTGATTAAAAAGTTACGTAGAAGTATATGTTCTCTATTTGTTTTGTTATTAAATCAGGTAAACACGCACATGCCACATGTTCTTCGTAGAAAATATAAAAGAATGTAGTAATTGGTCAAATAAATTTGACACCTCGTTTCTCGCAGATATTCAAGGTTGTACGACTCCACGAAATGAGCCGGGCAATTGTATTGCAATCAAGCAGTGTCAGCCATTTGTAAACATTTTACAACGACGGCCGGTGTCGGCAGCCGACGGGGATTACTTGAGGAGATCACAGTGCGGGTTTTCCGGCAACGAGCCGAAAGTGTGTTGCCCCACAAGCGGATCGTATAACAATCAAGAAGATGTAACATCAAGAAGTTCAGTCGACAAAGGTAAGAATAAGTGCGGTCAAGTGCATCTACCGTGACGGGCCATAAACTTTACACATTACTTCACATAACTTTTTGCGTGTTTGTTTTTTAGACTTGAACTCCAATTTACTTCCTGGTGTGGATGAGTGCGGTGTGAGTGAGCCGAATCGCATTCTGGGAGGTGAAGTCACCGAAATCGATGAATTCCCATGGATGGTTTTGCTAGAGTATCAAAAACGTAAGTGGGCTATTCCGGAGAATTATTTATAAACCGTATTTGGTTTTTAATCATAACTAGGGATTATCTGAATTCTAGCAAATGGACGTGGTTTTTATTGCGGTGGAGTGTTAATTAGCAAGCGCTACGTCCTGACCGCTGCGCATTGCGTAAAAGGCAAAGATTTACCAAGGAGTTGGAGTCTGTAAGTCCCGAAATATTTAACAATCATTTGATATAATTGATTATGTTTGCATTGTCTTTAGTGTTAGCGTTCGTTTGGGCGAGTATGACACAGAGAAAGAAAAGGACTGCGTTAGCCATGGTGTCGGTGCTGAGGACTGCACAGATGATCCAATTGACATTGAAGTTGAAGAACGGATTGCCCATGAGCAATACGATCCTCGCGACATGAATCAATACCATGACATTGCACTTTTAAGGCTTAAAAGAGACGTTCCTAAATATACAGGTATGTAGGCATTCATTATTGATAAAGTTTTTGATTTTAATTTATTAATTTGAATAGATTTTATCAGCCCCATTTGTTTACCAAAAACTGTCTCCGAACGTAGGGAGGATTATACAGGTAACAACCTGACAGTTGCTGGATGGGGCAAAACTGAAACAAAATCCGAAAGCAACATCAAACTAAAACTGCAGGTTAGATCTAGCTTAGATCAATATAGTGTTGTGATATATTTATTGTTTATTGTTATTTATTGTTTTTGTTTCTATAGATCCCAGTCAAAAGCAACAGTGATTGCACCAACACTTACAAGTCCGCCCGCGTTCAACTAGGAAGTGGACAAATGTGCGCTGGAGGAAAGAGAGGCAAAGACTCTTGCCGTGGGGACAGCGGTGGACCGCTTATGTCACAGCGTATGAATGCAAATGGCGCTTTCTGGACAGTTGTAGGTATTGTGTCATTTGGTCCATCACCCTGTGGAATGCAAGGGTGGCCAGGCGTTTACACCAGAGTCAGCGAGTACTCCGATTGGATTATTAATAAAATCAGAGCATAATAAAGTCAAATCAATTTTGTGAATAAATTATAGTTTTGATACGTACTTCAATAACAAGAAAATATAGCATTTTGTGTGTGTAAATTAAATAATAACCCTTTTTGATACGCAAGTATCAGTGTGTAGCCGGCGAACGCCATGTCGTAGGACAACCGTTCTTTCACCAAATTGTAGGTATTAATATTCTTTATAATTTTCATATATAACTGTTTGTTTAACCCTCGAGAAAACTAAAAAAATGCCCTTTTTGTGTTTTTTGCTCGGCTAATTTAGTGTTTTTTTGTTTTAGCGGGCGAACGCGATGTCGTAGGGCAACCGTTCTTGCACTAAATTGTAGGTATTAAATTTGTTTATAATTTTCATATATAACTTGTGGGTTTAACCCTCGGGAAACCTACAAAAATGCTCTTTTTGTGTGATATGGCCAGCTAATTTTGTGATTTTTGGTGTTTAGTGGGCGAACGCCATGTCGTAGGACAACCGTTCTTTCACCAAATTGTATGTATTAAAATCCTTTATTTTTCGAAATTTTAGCTTAAAATTTTTTCATTTGAAAAATAGAGTCAACATTTTTTTACTTAATATTTTTCGGTCGAATTTTTTTGTTAATATTTTTTTCGATCGATTTTTTTGTAAAAAAAACTTTTTGGCCGAATTATTTTGTAATATTTTTTTATTCAAATTTTTTTCGGTCGAATTTTTTTGTGAACATTTTTCGGTCATTTTTTTTGTGTAAAAATTTTTTCTGTCGAATTTTTTTGTTAAAAGTTTTTCGGTCGAGTTTTTTTGTTCAAATTTTTTCGATCGAATATTTCAATTTTTTTCGGGTAAAAAATAAAGTCGAATTATTTGGCGGTTATGTCAAGAACAAAAAGGTCTACGAAAAACGGACGCATTTTTCTCTAAAATTGTAAATAGGGCCTAAACGGTTAATGTTATTAAAAAAATATACCAAAATAATCGATGTAGAGTTAAATTATCTATCAGGTTTCCGATTTAAAATTAAATCGAAATTAATAGTTCCATGCATAGTGCGAGTACAGTTCTATTCATGTTCTGCACTACCACACTGAAAGTGTCAGTGTTTACATACAAACATGTTTTCTTATCTTGTGCAATTTTTGTGCGATCGCCACGCGGTTTGCTTGTGTACCACGCTAGTTTCATTTTTGTCGTCATTATTCTTGAGTTGCTAAATGCTTCTTCAATTGTGCGCGTTTGATGTGCGGGGTTCCTACCACGCGGATTGTACATACCCAGAGGTAAAACGTGAGTTGTTCCGTCGGCCGTCGTATTTTTTTGTATTATACGCGTACTTCAATTTTTGTATTAAAAATGCAAAATGTATCAAACTAATTGGCATTGATATTCCAATACATAAATAATAAAAGTATACCATACTACAATTATCGGTAGATAACACCAGATATCGTGTCCCCAACATGTTTATGTCTGCTGACAATTCTGTTTCCTGCTTAGTCGGTCGTGCGCCGTGATGTCGTGAGCACGTGTTTTGTTCGTCAGTCTATCTTTATAGTTATTAATCATGTTTCTTGAGATTTTAATTTGGTAGTAACATGGGAAACAATAAATGTGAGGCAAGTGTGGCCAAGAATCTGCTATTGGGTGACTGTATCCTAACATTTGTGTCTGTGAATTCATTATTTATTTTTATTCAACGATTAATTTGTCCAAATAATCAACATTTAAGTAATTCACGTCAATGCCATTTAGAACGTATTCATTAAATTTTATATTTATTTGGTTTATTATAATGTGTAGTGAAACTATTTCCTATAAACTAAACATGTCAGGTCCATGAGGCATTTTTCGTATCTTTCTAATGCTATCAAAATTACACAGTTATACGCTGTAAAGTAGCTACCTTAGCGCCGCCTCGTGGCTTTTTTTAAATGGTGGGTAAGCTACACCTGTCAAGCTAATGTTTACACTTTATTTTTGAATATATTATCATGTTGGAGCTGTATTAATTATTGCAGATGAAATTCTTTCCCGTCGTTTTCGCAAGCTCTCAGCTCGTAAACCTGCATTAGAATTTCTTTTTTTCCGTATATTGGAGGAAATATAGTTGGGTGATAAGATTCATTGAGTGGATTGTGAGATTTTTCACCCCCAACAAAATGTGCACTGCAAATTCTGGATCTACTTAAATATTCTCGTTTGCCGTTAAAATTGCGAATAAATCTTATTCTTTTTAAATAAAATGAAAATATTTATTATTATTATAAATTTGAAGATTAATTCCCACAAACAAAAATCTACTTACATTTCTCGACGTACCTACTGCTGCAATCCACTTCTTTTTTCTTTCCAATTCCTGAGGATATCCAGGAAAACGGTGAAATTGCAGTTCTGGATTTTTCCTTTGAGTGTTTTTACAGTCGACAACGCAACAAGCCCGAGTTGATACTTTTTTATCCATTTTGCAAAATTATTAATTCACTTGCAATTACATATATAGGTATATAACATTTGGCACTCAAGGTTTCAGATCACTCACTATTTAAGAAATAAGCCACGTGGCGGCGCTAAGGTAGAAACTTTACTAGGGTATAGAAAATGGTTTCGCCACACGTTAATGAAATACAATTATAAATGACTTTTGGACAATTTTGGGTTGTTTTAGGGGTTTTGCACTGGAACGTGCCATCGTAGGAGAACCATTCTCTCATCAGAATGTAAGTACTGAATTTTTTAAAATTATTTTCATTAATAATTTTAGTGATTTGTTAATTAATTAGCAATAAAAATTGCATTTTTGTGTTTTGAAATTAATTTTGGGTTGTTTTAGGGGTTTTGCACCTGTGTCCGATTTTGTATGCGCACCATTGTTTCATCAGATTGTAAGTATTGAATTTCTTTATCATTTTCATTAGTAACTTTAGTGATTAGCTTATTAACTAGAAGTCAAAATTGCATTTTTGTGTTTTGAAAGACTAAGTTTTGTTTGTTTTCGGGGTAAGTACACGAATGCGGCTGCCCCTTAATATCAGCGGAGTCCCTAAAGATGTAGAATTTAATTCTTGGTCGCGTTGTATTCTATAACCTGTAAAACGTGAATTGTTACAAAAGTTTTGTACGTTATGTCGGTAACCTACAACTGTTGTTTTACATCCAGTCATTTTGAATGGTTTTTATAATTATATATAACATGGTTCCGTCTGTCGTCGGTGATTGTTTTTTGCTTGTGAAATTACAAAGCACTCGTGTTAACCTATGTGTAAATAACACAAACGTCCGCAAAAACTTAAGAATAACTTGGATTTATGTTTAATTAATATAAATAAACAACATTGCCTGTTGAAGAAGGTTAGGGCACTTGTGCCAAGGAGTCTACCGCTTCCCTCGCGGAAATGTTAGAGATGCGCGTATTATAAGGCAAGTTTTACTTTCAGGAGATTTAAGAGCTATCTATGATTTTCAATTTTTAAAAAATGTATGTAGTTTTTAATGCTGCTAATAAAACATAATGTAATATTATATACTTCTTAATATTTGTCCCGTTTGCCGTTTGCAGGATTGATGTCTTGAATCATATTCCATATGAGTCTTAGGTGCATTGAGCGCATACAATAAATAGCTGTTGTATGTGTTGGGTTGTTGTTTTTAAAAAGTTGAATAAAGTAGAATCATAAATAGAAGAATCAAATAACAATGATATAATCACTCGGTGGTAGAGTGGGTACGTGCACCTGCTGGCATGCTAGTAGACACGGATCGAATCTCAGGTATAGAAGGCATTTTTCTCAAATATAAAAATATCAGGTGCAATTTGGGTTGCATATATGAATTGCAACGAAATAGAAGAGAAATTGTAAACAAGTGAAGGCAATAAGTGAAATAAGAAAGTAAGTGAAGAATCGGGAACAGAGAAATAGAAGAAGAAGAGGAAGAAGAAGAAGAAGGAGGAGTAGCAGAGAAGAAAAGAGAGAAGGAAGGGAACAGAAGAGCAGAGTAGAGTAGAGAAGAGGAGGAGATGGAAGAAAGAGAGCAACAGGAGTGGATCATATTTTTAAATTTTTTGGCGCGTGTCGTTAGACAGTCTACTGCTTCAATGCGTCCATTACTTCCGGCCCAGCCTACAGCTACGAAGTCTCTGCGCTTCATCCCCGAAATACTTAGGCATATCAACAATTTTAATGGTGGGGGATCACCCCCAGAGAGAGGGAACTCCTTATAAGGACAATCCTTACAAGATCTTGTAAAAATAGTTCTAAGTTTTAAATCGCCTCAAGAGAGGGGACACTTAAAAATTTTCTTACAAGTTCTGACCTGTAGCTGAAATGAAAGAAGGAGCATACAAATCACACAGGATACCTTAACAATTTTTATAGTGGGGATCATCTCCTGAGAGAGGGAACTCTCTTAGAGACTTGGGCCTGTAATGATAGAAGGGGTACACAAATCAAAGAAGTCAATATATCTTACTATTTATTTATTGACAATAGAATACAAGTTTATATTTTACAAGTCAACAGAATTTATGTCGCCATATTGAAACAGGACTCTAACGGGCTAAAGAAATTAGCAAATAGCTCATTTTCTAGACGATTGAAAATGGAAACAAATATACAGGGTGTTACAAATGATAAATTTAATGTGAAAACATAAAAACATTTTTACACTACAAATATGATTCGTTCTTCACCCGAGGCTCCTGGAAAACTAATATACAGGGTGTTCCAGAAAGAAAATTCAAAGTGCAAAGGGGAAAATACTAAAAACATCAGCTAAAGCAAAATTTTCAAGGACACAAAGGAAAACATATATACAGGGTGATCTAGAAAGAAAATTCCATTTTCAAAACGGAGAACACTCAAAACTCACAACTAAAGGTGATTTTCTACGTACGTGCTGTTAGTAAAACTAACAGGGTATTACAGAAAAAAATCAGAAACTACAAAAGGAGTCAATAATCACAATATGACACAATAAGAGGAAAATTTACAAATCAACAACAATATTTTAATATAAAATCAGAAAAACCGAAACCCGAAAAACATCAGAAAATTGAGCAATAGGGTGCTACAAAAATAAAACACTTACATTTTAATATTATATTAAACTTGGAAAAACAATCGTTGGAAAACAAGTTGAAAACTAACGACATACTCAACAAGTAAGATTAATTCATAAATATTTTTCATATTTTTAAATATTTATATAATGTGTGTATGTGTTTGTAGAATATCTGATGCGATAACTTTCATATTGCAAATTATATTAAATTCAACAAAACATAGGAAACTAGCACAACGACTATATGCAACCAAACTAACAAAAACAAGAATTAATTGTAAAATCTAATCGAAGCAGTTTATTTTACAATTTTTACAATATTTAACCATTGTTATTAATTTCAGGCAGTTCAGAAAGACGCCTGGCCAGAATTGTCGACAGTGGAAGAGCGCATACAAGAACAGGATTCGATTATTTTGTCGATGAAAGAAGAACACGAACAGGAAATCGAAAAACTTAAAAATCTAATTAAAGAAAAAGGATGAATATAAAATTACTAATCTATACTCCCACCATCGCAATCACTTCCAAGGGCTTCATTAAATTCATAAAATAAGTTTGTTTAATTTTTACTGTTTCTCTGTTATGTACAAAAATCATTCGAATATTAAATAAAATATGAATTTAAATAAGGATTTATAGGCATCCTTCTTTATTGCATTTGATAAAATTGTGTTAGCACAGGATAATGATATTGATATGTGTGTAGAAGTGTGTGTGTGTGAAGTAGAAACAATAGCATGGAAATCACGTGGCTAAACGTTGTTAAAAGCCCTTGTTTTGCCACTTGATACTTGATACACTATTAAATGTTAATAATTTTTTGAATTTTACGTTGGGCAAAAGTAGGTGAAACGGAAACAAAAATAAATGAGTAGGCACTACCACCACCACAACTACAACTGCCGGAACCAATCCTTGTGATTACGGATGGCGTCAAAAATTAAATAATAATATATTTTTATAGTTTTTAATTTCTCAAATTTTATTGCACGGTGCAGAGGCGTCATGTAGGCGAGATGGAAACAAAGGTAAATGAGTAGGTTGCGTTTTTATTGTTAATAACCAATAAAATATTTATGTATAAATATATAAACACTAAATTTTGCGTTTTTGTTACATTATAATTTTTTTGTGAATCGGTAGATTGTCCGTTTTAAAAAGTTAAAGCAAGACGCATAATTTAGGCAAACATGATGATATCAGGTAAACACATAAAATTTACGCATTTAAATAATCAATAACTAATTGTGGTCCATAAATCCATTAATAAATTATGATTATAAGAAGTATAACTTTTTGTCATTTTTTCGTTCTTAGAGCGGAGGCGCTTTTTCATAATGGCGCTGGTGTGGAACTGTGTTTTGGTATGGTTTCAATCGAACGTGTTGGCAATGGTGCACCATGAATGTAACTACAAGTATTTTATTAAATTTGGAGGCCGACATATTTTGAAAACCCCTGCCTTTAATCAGAGCATGCATTATCCTCGGCATAAAGTTTGCAAATGGGCTTACAGTAGTCTACCGGGTACCTTTTTTGAGGTCACTTGCAATGCAATTGATAAGCCTAGATCGAAATACAGCAAGAGTCAATGTCTGTATGATCGTCTTGTGGTGAGTCCGACTGGAGATTCAAAATTCTCAGACGGGCGAACCTATTGTGCACAAACTCGACAACCAATTAAACTACAATCGGTTTCAAATGCGCTTACAATCGGTACTCGTACTCGAATATTCGCGTATTATGAGATATTACTTCCTTGGGTTGCAAAATGTGTATGTATTATAATTATAATTTTATTTACATGTTTGGTCCCTAACCCACGTTGGCCTGGTGGTCGCTATCGATGCATTATCACTACCAAAGCATTCCCAATTGCCAGACGTGATACCAATCCCGGTTGTGATTGCGGAAGAATTCAACTAGTAAATTAGAATATAATATATTTTTTAACCTTTTTAATTTAATAAATTTTTCTTTGTACAGAGGCGCATTGTGGGTGGAACGGAAACAGGGATAAATGAGTATGTTTTCATGGCATCCCTGATTGATTTGGTAAAAAAAATCCACTGGTGTGGCGCATCTATTATTTCCACTCGCTATGCTCTTACTGCCGCTCATTGTATAACACGGCGAAGAAATCCCTTAGGACTTTTGGTTGGTGACCATAACCACAAAGGTACAATAAAAATGAATTGCAAAATCTGTTAGTAAGCGCATAAATCAACAACGCCTAGACCAATTTGGCCAATTCTTTTTTGAAATGTTTGTTAATGTCCATGGATGGTTTTTACGGCAAAAAAAAATTGAATAATTGCCGGGAAAACGCTGAAAACAGCCCTTTTCTATAGAATAAAAGTTGGCATTGAGATTCATTCATAGTTATAGTTAAATAGTTGGCGCGCTAAAGTGCATTAAATTGCGAATCTTATTGATAGAATAGACATAGTACTAGAACAAGGGAGTAAAAACGAATTACATTTTTATTAAACACTACCGGAACGAAGTCGCGGGCAAAAGCAAGTATGAACTAATTGCAATTTGATACTTACAGAGCGTTTTGAAACCGATTCAGCTAAACTGCATTTATTGGAAGATTTTATTGTGCATCCCAATTATGGTCGATTTACTCGGCAAAATGACATTGCAATCGTAAAAACAACTACTCCTATTGAGTTTAATACGAATGTTGGTCCCATTTGTCTGCCATATCGTTATGTCGATGTGGATTTTTCTGGAGCAGTGGTGACTGCTTTGGGTAAAACTGTTTTTATTTGATTTAACATAAATAAATATGGTTAAATTTGGTGATTTTTTTTTAGGATGGGGAGTCTACGAAACCGAAAATGATGAAATTTCTGACTTTCTGAGAGCGGTCAACCTTACTATTGTTACCGAACAAAGATGTCAGGAGTTTTATTCAAAAATTAACAAAATCATCACCATGTCACAAATATGCACCTTCGAAATGGGCAAGGACTCTTGTAGGGGTGATTCGGGCGGCCCGCTTGCATGGTTCGACAATTACAAAACCAACCGATACCAACTCATCGGCATTATTTCTTATGGCTTTAGTTGCGCCACGGATGCACCGGGTGTAAACGCAAGAGTTCCTAGCTATGTTTCTTGGATTCTAAATAAGACAGCAGGTATGATTTAAAAACAGAAATTTTTTCAAATTTTGATTTTTTCTTTATTTCAGACGCGTCCTATTGCTTTATATAAACTGCTGTAGTTGCATTAAAATATTGAGTGTATATTTGAATCACAAATATATCTTACTAGCTGACCTGGCGAACTTCGTACCGCCTTATTTATTTAAACTTTATTACACAAAAAATAATATTGTACAAAAGGCGGACTTAATGCCGTAAAGCATTCTCCGCCAGTCACATCGCTAGCCCCGCCCCGACTTCGCACGGAAGTAAAAAACCGCATCAAAATCTGTTGCATAGTTTCAAAGATTTAAGCATTCAAAGGGACAGACAGAGAAAGCGACTTTCCTTCTCCAAACAAAAACATCAACCTGTCAATATTGTTGGCGCGGCGGGTATGTCACAAATTACCACAGATTACTAAATAAGTCATGCGAAGTTTGTATATGCGTTCTGAAATCTCACACATAGATGGCGTGACAACGGGAAACGGGTTTTATTTTCTTTTCAATCTTTCTGAGTCATTTTCCTAATATTTTTTTCCGTAAGAACATTCTACAGAGTATTAGAAAACTGCCAAAAAAAATCAGCCAAATCGGTCTAGCCGTTTTCATGTGATGGCTTGACCAGGCGAAACGGGTTTCATTTTTATATATATAGATATCATATTATTTCCATTTAAACAGTTAACTACATAATATCTGATAATTAATCATAAACGTAGATGATTTACTTAAATATTCGTTACCTTTATGAATATATTTCAAGCGTAGAATAAGAGAAAGTCAATGTAAATTGATAATAACTACTATTGGGGTAGTGACAGAATGCAAATCACATAAGATAAGGTAGTTTGTGATAAAGTAGTAAATTCATTCACATATTCTTTACATTTATTATTTTAAATAAATTTTGCCTAACATTTCAAGCGCGAAATGAGATAAAGTGGACGTGCGTTGATAAAATCCGCTGCGATGGCCCATGTGTACAAAACATTACAACAACGATATGATCGCGGGAATATTTTTAGTTTTAACGGACATTCTAGCGACATCTCGGGGAGATTTTAAGAGTTCAGTTTGAATTTTAAAATATTATTCTACGATTCAGGGTAACACATCTGGAAACAACAAATGTAGTGAATTATTGACTGGAAATCAAGAAAACGAAATACACAGGGTAATACATAAGAAAAATTACAATGTATAAAAAGAAAATCCGACAATGAAGCGGAAAACATAAGAAAACAACAAATTTAATAAATTTTTGTTTGATCAATGGAAGCAAACATACAGGGTGTTACAAAAATAAAATGACACTATTAAAAGAGAAATCATTTATATAAATAAAACACCATAATGAATTATATTGCATATTGAGATTTACTTTGTAACGCGATCGCCTGACACGGTTCAAACTTGGAAAAGTGCCAGCCGACGGCACCGCACACATCCCCGCGACAAGATATTAAAAAGACAGTGAAAAACAGTGAAACCCACATTCTAATGCGAAACTAAAAATGCAACCGTCGGCACGCGACAATTTAGACTTACGACGATTACGGTATCTTGTTACACGCATCTAAAGAGAGTAAAATAGTGTAATAATGATGTAATAATTCAGTACCATTACGTGCCGATATTTATGTCGATAATTAACGTTAAAATGCGTTTCACTGAATTAGAATAAGAACAGACTGATACGTTCGGACGATCAAAGTACGAACGCAACATGGAACTGGCTGAAAGCGATGAAAAAGTTGTTTATGCACAAACATAGATAAACGCGTTGAGTTGAAAAAGAAACATTCAGGTATGTAGGTCAAATACAATTTATAGAATGTTCAGAAGAGACACGCAATTATATATTTTTCCTATTTTTCAATACAAAACTTTACAAAAAAATTTGCCGAGCGAATATCCGGCTCTTCCCGTATGATTTCTAGGGGCAGCAATAGCGAATCCGTAAGATTAACTCTCTGACCATCAGAATCAAAAGCGAACGTGCAAATATCGCGAATAGTTCCCGCGATATGAGCCAATTTCCACGATGAAACATTATAAAAATTGAAAAATAGTGAAATTTGCCGAGCGATTTTCTGGCACTTCCGGCATGATTTCAGCTGGCGGCAATAGCGTATTCGTAAAATTAGCTCTCTGACTATCAGAATCAAAAGCGAACGTGCAAATTTCGCGAATAGTTCCAGAGATATTAGCCAATTCCCACGATAAAATATTAAAAAAATTGAAAAATAGTGAAGCTTGCCGAGCGATTTTCCGGCACTTTTTGCATGATTTCTAGAGGCGGCAATAGCATATCCGTAAGATTAACTCTCTGGCTACCAAAATCAGAAGAAAACGTGCAAATATTGCTAAAAGGTTCCCAAGATATGCGTCAATTTCCTCGCAGAAACATTAAAAAAATTGAAAAATTATAATTCGATTTGTGTAATTATGATTTCTTATGTTGACAGAGTGCCAGACTTTGCTGTCAAAAATGTTTTGCTGATGATGACTTTTATAATAAACTATTCCACCTAATGTAAAATTGTTATATTCATGATTTGGGCATTGAAGAATACTTGCTTATATTTACGATACCAATATAAACTGCAAGATGTGATTTTATTCCAAGAAATAAAGATTCGTTATCTGCAGGTAAACAAACTTATCACTTGTGCGAAATCGCGTGATCGCACACGGACACGGTATGCACTCACTACCACCGACAAACAATATTCAACGCGAAAACGTGCATCGTAGTGCCATCTAACCGACTATCTAGTAGCGGCAGGTTTAAATTCAAAACACATTTTATCAAATATGCAACCAAGTTCATAATGCATGAAAATGCCAATCATAAGCAATTTAATAATGCCTATCAAATCGCAATATTGCTATAATTTATACTCTATGATACAATATAATAATATTATATTCACACATCGGAAAATTGTAGATTAGGGATGACTGGAAAATTCTTTATCAGATGGAAATTTAAAATAATTTAATGGAGTAAAAGGTCTAAAAACACAACTGAAAGTACTGACAAGTCTTTAAATATAGAGATAGAAAGGGACGAATTGGAGTCTTAATCTACGGACAATTCGTTTTAAAATAAGCTAGTTAAATTGGATATTAAAGAAATAAAATTTTAATTCATATGAAAAAATTAACAAGGGGATGCTCGATAATTTATTTCCACCATTTTCGACAGTGAATATCTTCTAAACTAAAAGAGATAGCAACCAGAAAATTATAGATTATGAAAGATTGGAATATTCTCTATATGAGTACCTGAATACGAGTAACTTCAACCGCTACCCTCACACGGTGCCTTGAACACGAGTCACTTCTACCGCTGCCCTTGTACGGTGGCCTGAACACGAGTCACTTCTACCGTTACCCACATACGGTGCCCTAAACACGAATCATTTCAACCGCTGCCTTTGTACGGTGCCCTGAACACGAGTCACATCTACCGCTACCCTCATACGGTGCCCTGAACTCGAGTGACTTCTACCGCTGCCCTTCTACGGTGCCCTGAACACGAGTCACTTCTACCGCTACCCTCATACGGTGCCCTGAACACGTACCCTTGTACGGTACACTGAATACGTGCCCTCTTTTGAACTAAAATTGCAAGCGACCAACGGATTAAAGAATATGAAAGATTGGAAAATTCTCTATCAGGTAAAAATTAAAAATAATTGTGTTCCGTTGGGTATATGTGATCAAAACTAAACTAGAATATAATGCATCCGATATGGGCAGATGGCAACGCGACACAAAAATGTTGTTTGTACACAAACGTCCCATCTATGAATTATACTGTAAATAAAAACAAACAAATTTTCAAACTTCTGAAACAAGAATTGTTCTTACGAAATTTTTATTAATGAATTATTCGCGACCTCTCTTATTTGCCCAATTTAATTACCTTATTTTATAGAGAATTTTACAAAGATAAAAAAAAATGGTTGTTTGTAAAGTAGGTTTACGATCGAGATGTTTACGTGATAACGTCTTATTGGTGATATAAGTTTTGTTTGTTGCAATTGTTGTAACACTTCACTTGCACTTCACATATTGTTTTACTGTTAGGCTCCCCGCACACTACAAACTTTTTATCGGCCGATAAAAAGTTTGTAGTGTGCGAGGAGCCTAAGGATATAACGAGAGGGGGGTATACCTGCGATCGGCCTCGTGAGGCCTCGCGACACAGTTTCTGAACAGTCACCCGACTAAAACGATTTTAAAGACGTTATCACGTCAAAACTTTAATCCGATATAATTGGAATTTAAAAAAACCGAGACATACATGGGATAGGGATGGTTATGACAAAATTCAAGCGAAGGAAAAACTAAACAGTTAATTTTGAGATGTATCACCCGAGTAGGTACGCGACTATCTTATATATTTGCAACACGCGGTGGAACGCGAAAAATCAAAACAACGTAAATACAAACTAATGGAGAACGCTGAAATTAAAATGAAAAATTTAATTGAATTATAAACTTACCAACGCAGAACTCATGGACTCCAAGGCACGGCAAATACTGTAAACCAAGGCTGGCCAATGGATTTTCCTGGAGGGCAAAATCTTTTAGATTGCGGCGGCACCGGGCCAAAGACTATGGCCATTCATACATAAAATATTATACACATACAAAAGTTCCAACTATGGTTTTTGCGGCGGGCAAATGCAAATGTCCTGGCGGGCCACTTCGTGGATAAGAAAGCAATAGATGCGCAAAACCGGCGCGTCGGTGGCACGCGACCTTGTGCGCGAATCGCTTTGACACGTGACCTGTGATCAAGATGCGCCAACATGCGGCGCAAGGGGATCTCATGCGTTGCATTCTCGCGGCGAATGCGATATGAAAATGAAAGTTATGTTCAAAACAAACACAATTCTCGTATCGAATGTTCGCGCTTGCTGATAGCTATAGAAATAAACAATACATGTATATTTTACGATTTTACATCTATAAATAATGGCAAATATTTGGATTAAAAAAAATTAATACAAATTTAAAATTCAAATTATGTAATTCAGATTTCTTACACTGAAAGAATGCCCGATTTTACACAAATTATTTTAGCGATATTTAATTAAATAGAACAAGACGGATTAAAGATTGAAAGGAACGAATCGCAGATTCTTAATCTATCGACAATTCTCAATAAAATAAGCTAGTTAAATTGGAAATCTAAGTAATGAAAAAAATCATCTTAATTTGGTGCCCTAAATACGAGTCACTTCCACCGCTTCCCTCGTACGGTGCCCTGAATGGGAGTCACTTTCGCCGGCACCCTGCTTTGGTACACCAAATGAGACTCAACTATACAATTGCAATTAATTGCAATATAACTAAATATACAATGAAAAATCAACGTTCTTGACCTAAGTCAATAAACTTGAACCAACAGATTGAAGAATATGAAAGATTGGAAAGTTCTCGATAACATAAAAATTAAAAATAATTCTATTCTTTGGATCCTAAAAAGTTCAATTTTTTTGAATTTAAACATAAGATAAGAAACAAGAATACAATCGCTTCGCTTGAAGTGACAATACGTGCCATGCAATTTTAAGCACATTTATGAATATATCAATCAAGAAAACACTATGAAAATATGATAATAAAGAAAAACAAAAATAATCACTAATAACACCGAAAGTAATACGCGTTACCGAATTAAATCCTATGAAAGGAGAATCGCGACGACCGCGTGCGAACCATCCGTCGGATGCGATGAAACTAATTTTTATATATGCAACTTTAGATACACGCGAACCTCCGTAACCTAAGTTTTTAAAACGTATTTACATGTTACTTGTTGCCGCTCTACCATTTTCAGTTTACTTGGTTTAAAATTATTGTTAATCACTTGTGTAAAAATTCAGAAACATTAATACACAATGTCTTTTTCGTTTGGTACACCAAGTACTACAACAGGTACACCTGCACCAGGTCAGTAAAGTATACACTTTATACAAAATGTAATTTTCTATCCATGTAACTCAATAATTATGTTTTGATTTAATAACACAGACTCAAATCCTACCGGCGGTTTTACTTTTGGAGCAAATTTAGGCGCTGGTGATGCCAAAGCAGCTCCAACAAAACCTTTGGGTTTTGGTGCTCCACAAACTTCAACTCCTTTACCAACTTTTGGTGGTTTTGGAGCTGCTCCAGCTGCAACACCACAAAGTACAGGCTTCACTATAGGTGGTACATCAGCAGCTACAAATTTAACAAATACTTCTGGGCTTGGCACAACTCCAAGTACATTTAATCTTGGAGCAACACCAGCCAGCACTGGTTCAGCTTTGGGTGGAGCATCTTCTACTCCTGCTGCAGGAGGGTTTTCTTTGGGAGCTACGCCTACAGCAGCATCAGCATTCAAGCTTGGTGGAGCAGCTCCTGCTGCAGCAGCAACTACTGCAACATCTGCACCTGGTTTTGGATTGTTGGGAACACCAAAAACTACTAGTACTGCAGCAACAACCACAGCATCAGTTGGTTTTAGTTTAGGAGGCAGCCTGGCTGCTACCACTGCAACAGCCCCAGCATTAAATTTAGGTGGAAGTTTAACTGCAACTACTTCTGCTAGTTCATTTGGGTTTGGTGCAAGTACAGCTAAAACTACTACAACTGCAACAGTTACACCAAGTAAGCATCAAATACTTGTTTATATCTTTATCTTTATGAAAACACAATAAAAATGTTTTATTTAGCATTTTCACTGGGTGGTGCTGCTAAAACTACAGCTACAACAGGTTTTTCTTTGACTACACCAGCATCTACATCAACGTAAGTTCTTTAATCTTTTTTTTTTTTTTAATAAAATGTTATTCTTTCTATTATTTTATCAATAGAACGGCTCTAACGACCACAACAAGTGCCATCCCAGCTACGGGAAATCTCAATTATGGTCAACTGGTCGACGCCATAAATAAATGGACGATCGACTTGGAAGAACAAGGAAAATTGTTCTCCAATCAAGCAAAACAATTGAACGCATGGGATCGTCTGCTGGTCTCTAATGGTGAGAAAGTTTTATCACTCAACAGCGGCATTGAACGCGTCAAGCAGCAACAGCAACAACTCGACCAAGAGTTAGATTTTGTGCTTGCACAACAAAAAGAACTCGAAGATTTAATCAAGCCGCTGGAGAAGGAGTTGAATGAGATCCCGCTTACGGACGTCGACCGAGTGCATACTTATCAGCTTGCCGAAAATATGGATACGCAATTGAAACAGATGTCTGAAGATTTGAAAGAAATCATCGAGCAGTTGAACGAGTCGAATAAGACTCAGGAAAATTCCAATCCGGTAAGTAAATTGTTTATTAGTGCGTATTTAGAGATGTTTTGCGAAAGTTACTTATAATATCTGCCAAAAGTTTTATTTTAATGTCGTGCCACTGGAAGCATAATTTTCAAAATGGCGGAAGATGTTGCGGTTAACGTCTCCATCCACATGTATTTTATTATTTATTGACTATAACTTTGTCTTTTTTCTAGATTACTCAAATTAGGAAAATATTAAACGCTCATATGGACTCGTTACAATGGATCGACAGACACACATCGAAAATTACGGGTCATCTGGATCAGATTTCGAAGATGCACGACTTACACCGGCAGTCGCATGAACACAGCCTTAAGAAGACTTATGACTGAATCAAGGTATAATTTCCAATAAACTATTTCTCTTTTCGCCAATATAAATAAAAATAATTTTAAAGTTTTTTTATTCCGATCACACTACATTCAAAGAAAATGCGCTATTCGTTCTAAGCATACAGGGCTGTTCTTCATTTGTAGTAATAGGACATATTTAACTTAACAGAGAATGTTTTTTATTTATAAATTGTAACTCTCCTAGCTGGCCGACCAGCTCGCTTAATTAAGCTTTTGCGAGACCGGCAAGATCAGCGATGCATTTGTCGATGTTGGCTTTGTCCTGGTCGGGGGTGATGGAACTCTTGACCTTCTTGACAACATAGTCGACCATGCACTTGTGCGCGGCGCGCCTTTCAATGTCCTGCTTCTCGACCTGGAAGTCCAGGCGTTTCTTAACTTCGGAATACGCGTTCATCATGCGCTCGCGGTACGCAGCCTCCAGTTGCAGCTGAACGTTCTCGCGTTTTGCTTGCGAGAGGATGTTCTGACCCTCAGCGGACCACTGCAGTTTTTCTTCACCCTTGATTTGGGTCTGGAGGACCTCCTTTTCATTGACGCGTCCTTCGTTCCAGTTCCTCTCATAATCCTATTAACAAGCATAAATAGAAACAGTGTTATGTAACTTATAATTTGATGAAAAAACAAAGAAAAAAAAAGTTTATATTAGCATACATCAATTTCCTTGTCCAGATACTGGGCAATGGAAGGTCCCAGCTTAGTGACACCAAGATAGATCATCAGAAGCAGAGACAGACCAGAGTAGTATTCATGTTCCATCACATAGATTTCCTTGCTGATCAGGTATGTGCTCACAGTGACACCAAGAGTGTATGGTCCAGTGACACCAGTCTTCTTGTAGAAGAATGTGAACCATTCCTCAGGCAGGAAACCCATACGGACTTTGCCTGGCTCTCCACGAACCTGTTAAAAAACAAACGTGATTTTTATACACACTGGAAATGTAGTTATGAAGGATTTACTTACAGGTCGGGATACACTGCCGGATGCCGCATCAGCTGCAGGTGCACTGTTTGCAGGGGTAGTTCCAGTTGCCCTTGCAAACGCGACTAAAGCGCGGTTTTGCCCTAAAACATAAATATTTAACCATGAACTAGATATAAAACTCAACAAAAATCAGCGTAAAGTGTGAATGTGAATAATCATGGTTGTAAGATTGATAATTACCGGATAACAAGGAGGCTCTGGACAACATTTTCAGCTGAATTTTATTAGGTAACAAGCAGTAACAAGGTTAAAATGTCCGGCTGACAGCTCCCTGATCTACGGACTGTGCGAACTCGTCGGGTGTTAATGTGTTGGAAAAGGATAGATATAGTTACATAACTATGGTACCAACAAAATAGCTTGGAAAGTTACCAGATATATGTTCCGGTCCGTGAGTATATTAAGTTGCCTATAGATTCATTATGTCGATGATGTACGAAATGACCCGAAGTAGCAGGATAGCACTTTTCTTCTCCGTGTCAACAACCAATTGACAGTTGCCTGTGCTTTTCCATTTTCCAATGAGTGATGTATATTTACTAGTGAAATATTAATACAAGAATGTGCCTAACTCGACTGTTATTTTAGGTAAAGATGCCCGCCGCAACAATAGATAAGTCCGACCGCTCGGATCAGATGTGGAACGCGTTAAAGCGTCACATCTTACGCGATCGTGAGCGCAAGAAACAGGAACGCGAGGCGGAGGTCGAAGAGGAGCGTCTGCGGAAGGAACGCGAGGCCCGCGAACAGCAAGATGTGATGACTCTAGGCGAAACGAAGGAACAAATCTCACAACTTGAGACCAAACTAGCACATCTCAAGGAGGAAAAACATCAGTTATTCTTACAACTCAAAAAAGTACTTAATGAGGATGATAATCGTAGGAAACAGCTAACAAAGGAAGCTAGGCATGTCCATGTTGATTTTATTTATGTACATACTGCTGTCATGTTTATATTTATCCTTTTAGTGATATTGGGCCTATGCAAACACTGCCAACTTTAGTGCATCAGCAGCTTTATATGCCACCACAGCCAATCTCAAGAGGCTTGCCTGTTTCTCAGCCTGCATTTAAAGTTACAACAAAACGACCTAGAAGTCCAAGTCCGCCTCCATCTTCAATACCAGTGTATCATCAGAGTTATCCACATAAAAGTGCAGGTGCACCAAATGCAACATATCAATCTCCTCAAAGTAAGTTTAGAGTTTTCATTTATTTATTGAGTTAATTTGTTTGGCATATTTTGTGTTGTTGTTGGAAAATATTCAAAGTTGCGCGTGCGTCTTGTTATTGTTTTCCGAATTTGCAACAAATTGGCATTTATTGTGTTTTATTTCAACAGGTAAAACTCATAAAATCATAAAATCCTATGGTTAGTATGGAATATGTTGTTGATACGGTTGCATAACAATGCCGCCCCCCCCCCCCACGTTCGAACCGGATTAATTGTGTTTTTGAGTTATAATTTTATTGTTTCATTGCAGAAGATGATGCTAGACGTCATGAATTCCGAGCTGTATTGTGGAACAGTGAGTGACCGCCTCACTTTTACCTATTAACCAGTTACCAAAACTAAATTCTTTACCGCTTTAAATCGCTATGTGTTGTTGGGGTATTTCATCATGCTTTTAGCTAATCCGCCGTTTGGTGATAAGCAAAACTTATTGAACAAGAACGATTATCACCAGACAACCGCACCGTACTCTCGCCCGCCGCGCTGCGCCGAACGCGCATAACTAACGCCCTCCTTTGTTGCAGAAACACCCTATCCAAGCCAAGCCTATTACACGCTGCCGTCGGTGCCACAACAGGAGTTGTCCATGTACTACCCACAGTCGGGTGCACTGCAACCTCGCGAGCCTACGCGACAAGTGTTCGAGTCCACGGCGCGCTGTTTTGAGACGAAACCACTCGAGCATTACGCTTTGCGCCAGCAGCCGTCACACATTATCCACGGTGGGTCAATGCAACTGAATGCTGCTCAACCGGCGAAGGCTGGCAGCATCTCAGCTGGTTATCCGGTGCGACAGACGCAGTATCAGCCACCACCCACGCAGCCCTCGACGTTGTACACGACGCAAAGTCGCCCGCTGTACCAGTCGCCCGGTGGGCCGATAATCTATCCCCCGCGGGATATTATTTTTGACTGATGAATTATAGTTTTTATGTATGTGTTTAGCTAGATCTTCTTTTAGACAGTTCGATAGGTAGGAAGGTGAGTGTATATATGAGTACTTGATAATGTTTTTAACGGATTCTGTACATTCCTGCTGTATGAAGAGATGCGATTTTATTGAGGATTTGTTGTGCTCTTATTCGATTGCAAATATAAATTTTAAACATATTCTTCATATTCAGTCTATTCATTAGTTTCTTATTTTTACATCTTTAGCACTTTCTAAACCCTAGGAGTGCTCCTAAATGTCCAGCAAAACTTAAAAATTATTCGCTTCAAAATTACTATTATAGTAAAACAGCACCTTTTTAAACAGTCGTTTTAAAGCAGTAAAACGGTGTAAAAACGCACTCTTTATAATTTCTTGCACGCCAAAAATAAATTATACTCGTCCCTATAATATAAAAATGAATCGCTAAATCTGTTTGTAAGCGCATAACTCAACAACGCCTTGACCAATTCGGCCAATTATTTATTTTTTTTTAATGATCGTTAAAGTCCAAGGATGGTGTTTACGACGAAAATTCGAATAATTTGCCGGGAAAACCCTAAAGACAGCCCTTTTCTATAGGATAAAAGTTGGCATTGAGATTCAATCATAGTTATAGTCAAATAGTTGAATCCAAAATGGCGCGCTGAAGTGAATTATTAGCAATTCTTTATATAATTAATTTGTTTAAAATAAAATTGCGAATCTTATTGATAGAATTGTCACATACCTACTATGTCTAGAACAAGAGAGTAAAAGCGAATTACATTTTTATTAAACACCGGGACGAAGTCGCGGGCAAAAGCTAGTTGGTAATATTGTTGGCCTGAGATCGAAAAAGTAATATTTTCGCTTATAACTTCTCCTATAGGACGTACGATTTTAATTGCGAAACAAAATACAATTGTAAGTATTGTTTGAAGACATGTAACTTACAGATTACTACTTTATCGATTTACGGATTACGACCTTAATTTGCACCAAATCCTGCTTTTCTAGCATTCAATTTCATCTTTTCAGTTGTTCAAAGAAAAAAAATGAAACACATTAATTTTTACTTGTATATTATTTATCTATTTATAACATTTACTTGTTTATGTCTACACATTATATGTATATAAGAATGTAAATGTAATTTGTTTCGTCATAAACAGTTTGTTTTGGCATATCTGTAACATTTACAAAGTTTTTTTTTTGTGTAAGTAGCAGCACGTAAAGAATACAAGCAGAAGAACATAAGTCCAAAACATGAATCATATAAGTGTGCTGACAAATGCATAAAAACAAAAAATGCAAAGTGTTATAAACATTTTCCAGATTTTCTATTATCAAAAACTGAAAACCGAAGCAATCACAAACTGTGTACGACTTGTATCTTCATCATCATTTTGTTTATCCATAATTATTTATACTTATAATCTAACTTTAAGGGACATTTTTAGGGTGATCTGTGATCAGTTTGTTGATATAATTCTACAATTATCTTAGTTTAGTATTTGCTTTCTTGATCTTGATAAATTCAATAAGATATAATCTGGCAAATATGTTGACGATGAGTATTTCATTGAGTCTCAAAGCAAGCACTCAACTCAATAATAAAGAAACTCGTGTAAGAAATGGACTAAACTTGTGGGGCACATGTAAATCAATCAACAACAAGCACCATCTACCCGCATGCGCGTTTCATTATACAAAAATATGGCAAAAACAAGTAACCGCATGCCACAAGAATAAATCCTTGCTGATGGCCGTGAATTCATCAGGATGTGCTTGTATGTGATCTGCTGTGAGTGTGTGCGAGTCCTTTTTTGTCTAAGGTGAAGAAAGTGCTTCCTTATCGGTTTGTATGACCCATCGTGACCGGATGTCCGCCATGTTTTTCAGATTCTGTTGATGCGACCACGGCTTCAGCTCTTTCAGCTCGTTCTCGAGCATGAGGTCATCTGCTTCGGCGGCGGCCGGGTCAATCTGCCCGTGTGTTGCCTTCGGCGCAATCACTGAAACAGCAATGTACGCTTTCGGGTTCTTATTGCTGCCGGATGACGGCGCATGCGTCAACGGGTTGCCGGTGACACGATGATATGCGAAGTTCTTTTGATATGGCGCCGGAATATGGTTGGTTTTTGTCGCAGGCAACCAAGGATACTTGGTCGTCTCCTGTTGTAAGGAGGTTATGTCATCGTCCACGAGCTGTTTCGTTTTTGCCACGTCGTCTCGCACGATTGGTGATGTTTTAATATTATCTACAAGTTCTTTTGATTTGATCAAATCATTATCGATTTTTTCTGCAAACAGAAGAGATAAATGGAATAAATTGCCAAGTAAGAACAATAGACGTACAGATTTGAACGCTTTTTGTATTTAGGGCGCCTGTATAATTTGATATTCGAGATCGCAGAAGAAAAGATTCAAGTAGGGCACGTAATACGTCCCCTCGGACACGTTTAGGCGGTTTTTTTTAATGAGGAGCGGCATGTGCTCATCTTCTTCTTTATGTTCCGTTTCTACCTTATGTCAGTCTCAAAATCTCTTCACGAATCGCGTATAAAACAAACTGTCGCCACAAATTTTCAACTCAAATAAAAAAATGAAAAAAAAAAACACATAAATTCATTTCGTAATAAACAAAAATTTAATGTGTTTGGAACTAAATTAAGACTTTAATCACTCGCGACAATACCAACCGCATGTCTTGGCGCTCGAAATAAGAGTACATCTTCACGAGATCAGCCAAACTTTACTCTCAGCAGCACATCGCTACGTGTCCTGAATTAATGCGTCTTGAAAAAAAGTACGTCACGTAACGCCGAGCGGGCGGCGACGGTGTGGTCGCTCCCGCACACAATTTGAAACTTATTTAATTTAATCTCGCGTACCGCGTTGCGCCCCTCAACGGGTTGTTGCATATTTTAAAATGGCAACTTTCAACCGATAATAAAATGTTGAAGACTTACGGAGCAGCGCGTGCACTCTGGACCATTGCTGTGGATTTGCGGCGATCTTCACGAGCAGTTCCAGGAGGACTTCGCTTGCCTTCACGTCAGCGTCCTGCAATTTTACAACAATTATTATTTAAATTCAATTTAAGTAAAAATTTAATTTTTTAATTTTTTTTTTTAGTTTTTTGATGATTTGATGATTGATGGTTTTGATAAAGCAATTATGAAGTAATCATTTTACCGTGGCGGGTGTTGTTTTGCCATTTTTCGTGACCTCGTACACACTGGCGTTCCTCTTTACCAGCCCGACGAGGAACTCGTAGCTGCGCTTCCGCCGATTGCCGATTGTCAATTTCGGCTTCAATTCCCGATTGTTCATCGCCTCGTGCGAATCGGGCGGACCCTCCGGTTCCGATTGATTCCTGCCCGCAGCGTCGAGACCCATCTCGGTCGAAGATAGCTGAGGATTTAAATTTTAGTAAGATTAGGTCGCGTCCGTCGTGTAATTGTCTAATTTTCCGTCAGTGGTAATACGGTTTTTGGTCCCTGGCTTTGATGGAGATCGATCGGAGGCAATCAGACGCGCTTCGACTGTAATCGTCCATTCGATTGCGATTGCAATGCGGTACTTTTGTAATTTTATACATTCGTTTCCGGCCGCATGCGAAAGAAGTCTTTTGTCGAGCGCGCGCGCTGCCACAATCGAGTTACAAAGTGCTCTTTGATCAGAAGCGTGACCGCGTGTGGTGTGAGGCGGGTTGCGCGTTGATTTGCAATTTAAAGTTTTTTATTCGCCGATGGATAGGAATCAAATGCATTTCGATGAATTATCGAACATTCGGAGATAGAAATGCGCGTTTGTAACAATTTGTTTCTGATAAAAGCATCGCGTGTATTTTTTATATGGCGATGGTAAAGTGAAACTTTTTCATCAAAACTTGCAAATTGAATTTGAGACGGCATAACTTATACATACAAAGTTATCAAAAAATATATGGCATTGAAAAATGTTTTCAATAAAGTGAAATTCACCTACGTATTTCATATTATTTATTATTAATCAATAAATAATCTATAATATAAAAATAAATCGCAAAATCTGTTGGTAAGCGCATAACTCAACATCGCCTAGACCAATTTGGCCAATTCTTTTTTAAAAATGTTCGTTAAAGTCCAAGGATGGTTTATACGGTGAGAAAATTTTAAATAATTGCCGGGAAAACCCGAAAGACAGCCTTTTTCTATAGGATAAAGGTTGGCAATGAGATTCAATCATAGTAATAGTTAAATAATTGAATTGGAGATGGCGCGCTGAAGTGCATTATTAGCAATTCTCTGTATAATTCATTTCTTTAAAATAAAATTGCGAATCATATTGATAGAATTGACACATACTATGTCTAGAACAAGAAAGTAAAACCGAATTACCTTTATATTAAACACTACCGGGACGAAATCGCGGGCAAAAGCTAGTAAAAAAATAAATTGAATTTTTTTTACTTACATCATCATCTGTTTTTGAGATTTCGTCACTTTTTTCAACATTTCCATTAGTTATTCCAGCTACCCCTGCAGAAAACAATGTAAATATTTATTGGTTAAACAATATCAGCGAAATTTTCACTTTCTTGTGAAATATACATAATGTATTTCCTAAACATGTAAGTTATATTGCTTGGCAAACATTGTCCCAGTCCTTTCTTTACAGTTTACACTCGAGTTCCATAGTAAACCACACAAAACGTGATTTTTTCACTGAAACTTTATACATGTTTACCGCAATATCCAATACAATGCATTTTTTATATGAGATAAAACCACAACGTAAAAAACTGTCAGAAAAAACACATACTACGTAAAAATAATAGACTAAATACTTTCTTACTGGAATATTTATGGATACAAACAGTACTTCATACGCTTTCCGGCTCATAAATAATAAATAAATAGCTTTTAACGATTACATCACTATCAATAATCCAAACGCTCCACATTCCGCACTCACCTTGATATGTTAGGGGTATAAATACACAAAACATAAACAGTAATCTCCAAGCGTACATTTTTGTTCGTTCAGTGTGAAGTATATATTTTCAGATGGCCAAACACACGAGAAATGCTGCAGTCGGCGCGTTTTTTTACATTTTACAGCGCGTGCAACGAACGCCGCGCGAATTCAGAAATATTGAAACGCACCGAAGTAGCACATTAATGTGAATACATTTTCCGACGGCCGACTGTCATTCACTACCATGCGCCATAGCGATTTTCCACATCTACCCCAATCGCGGGGGGTTGGAGTGGAGCGGCGAAACGCGGGCAGACGGAAACGAACGGAAAAACCATGGAGCATGCGTTCACTATGCGTTCGGTACGTTGTTCCTGCTTCAGTGATGTATTTACGATATTCTTAAATCGATTCTTAAAAATTAAATAGAAAAGAACTTTGTTATTAACATTTCTGAATATTTTCGAATGAATTTTTGCAAGTGTAATGATTTTTTTGTTTTATAACAAATGTTTTACCAAATTTTGTCAAAACATTAATTATTATATTTAAAATATATAATTCCTATTATTCTGACGAGTTTGCACTTAATTTATATCAGATAAATCTAGTTTGTTGCACATAAATCGATTTATGGATTGAAATACTTTTGCTGTTTTCCAATAAGAAACTGCGCATGTTCGTCGTTGATCCCCATTGCGCACCCTTTCTGCGCATTCATCTTGCCATCTGCCATCTTTTCCTCCATTCAAATTCGCGCAGATCCGTTACGAATTCCTTCAGCGCCAAAGTCGTTTCATAAAAGGTTGAACCACGTGCCTCAACGGTTTTTATAAATAACGATTTCTTTTTAGTGTTGTACGTCCCATTACTAAAACAATCATCACAGGTTAGTGAAAAATGCGATAATCATGTGCGATTGTATGAATATGAGGTTAGAAGCCTCGAATATCACGTTTTTCTCGTGGTTGAAAAACTTTGTTCTGATTGAATGTGATTGCTAATTGTCTTCTAGGATGTCGAGCCGTAGATCATTGCTTGCCTCCGAGGAGGGCGGCAATGCACCTGGATCACCTTTGAGGCGGTCTACAAGAATTGCCAATTCTCCTGCTCCAGCTGCAGCCACTGTTGCTTCTGCTATCTCTCGAAGAAGGAGTTCTGCAGCAGAAATGACTGTATCATCACCAGCGAAAATCACTAGGACAAAACGACCGTCATTGTCACATGAAATTACACTAGAGGAACAACCAGAAGCACCATTAAAGTCTGCAACTTCAAAAATTTCCAGGGCAGAAAGTAGATCACCATCAGCTGAATCTGAATCTAAAGAACCAGCAACAGGCACTCCTGCTAGGAGAGGTAGAAAACGTAAGTATTAAATATGTTTAAATCAAAGTAGCTGTGAAAGGTTGCAGAATTCTTCTGTTTTACAAACAAATTTTGTTTTATAAACAAACATTGTGTAACAACTAGGCAACAACTATTGATATTCTCATTCAAAATGTTTTCTCATTACTTAGCATCAATAACAAAAATAAAAGAAGAGGAATCAGCACCTAAACCAGAAACTCCTTCGCGCCGTCGATCTATTAGAAGACAGAGCACTTCGCCTTCACTGGACACTGCAACAGAAACACAAGTTGCTAAACCTCGTGGTAGGCGAGCGTCTGTAACACAAGGAGGTCTTGAGGCAATAAAAGAAACTGAAGTAAAACCAGAGCCTAAAAAAGTTGGGCGTCCGCCGCGCTCCGCTCGTCTATCGTTGGATGCAACAGAAGAACCTGACGCCAAGAAGCCGGAAAAGAAACCTGCTACAAGGCGGTCCATCAGAGGACGCAGCAATTCCACCGAGATTGTTGAAGAAGTTGAAACTAAACTAGTGGCAGATCTTATTCCTATTAACGAGGAGGAACCAGAAGAGAACGAAGCTGATGCAAAGAAACCTGTGAAAGTTGAAGAGAACAAAATAGACTTAGAAAAAGATGAGGAGGAATCACCCGAAATTGTTACGGAGAGGAAGACTGATGCCATTAGCGATAAGACCACAGGTGAGATTGAAATTTCTGATCAGAAGGCTGATGCTGAAGTTGAGAAAGTTACTGGCCGAGATGTTGTGGAAATCAAGGATGCCGATGATTCAACAACTTCTACTCCAACTTCTGAAAAGAATCAGGTTGATACTCTTGCGTCTCCTTCGCGTAAGTCACGCAAATCAATGAGCTCGGAATCGGATTCAGTGTTTAAGTCGCCGGTTCGACGTTCACCTCGTTTGTCAGCCTCGCCTGTTGCGGTCTCACCTGAACCAAAGTCTTCTCCTTGTCGATCGCCTCTTGTAGACAAAGATGATAAATCTTCACCAGTTAGAAAAACAACTCCGGCTTCTCCAATTAAATCACCTCTTGCTAGCCCTGCGAAAACAGATTCTGTGGAAGTATGCGACTTGCCACGAAGATCTCCAAGACTGTCGGAAAGTCAAGATAGTAATCCAACAGTCACAACTAAAAAACCGCCTTCAATTTCTGAAATTTCAATTAATGATGATTCCCAATCGGATATGAGCCCTGCACCAACTTTGAGTTTGAGAGTTTCTGAGAGCGAAGACAAGGATCAAGACATTATTAACATTCCCGATGAAAAAGCGGAAGAGAGCGTTTCGATAAATGAAGATTCCTCCAAGAAACCTTCTGTGGACTCGCCAAAACCACGCCGATCTACGAGATTATCAGAAAGTTCAAATGTCTTAAATGACTCACTTGCAAAAACAAAGCGTAAGTCTAATTCATTTACGGAGAGTGAGAATAAAGATAAAGATAAAAGCAGTACGTCGCTTAGATTGTCTAAATCCTTCGGCGAAAGCAATATTCTTAACACAGAAAACATTGAGTCTAAGACTCCTCAAAAGATGTGAATTCTGTTAAAACTCCTAAAAGGGATTCACTGCTTAAACGCACACCTGAAATCATTAACGGGTCTGATGGTTCTTTCCACTTGAATCTTTCAATTCCCACAACGAACTCAATCGATTTGGAAGATGGCGAAAAGAATAAAAGCATTGTTGAGACCGTACATGATATCAGCGGCAGTTCGAACAACTCTGACAAAGAGAACGCTGACAAATTGAATATTGCCAAGTCTCCAAAGAGTAAACGTATTTCTTTGTCGGAGACAAGCACGCCGAAATTAAACAACTCTGTTAAGATGCAAAGTTTCTGCGAGCCTATTGAGGTTGAGTTTTCTACTGATGCCATTGTTGCTTCAGCACAAGTCACTGTTAAGACTCCAACTGTAGAAGTTGCGGAAGTTCTTAGTGGGAAGGTTTCCACGACAACATCACAGAGTGAAAGTATAATTGAGGTGGATAATGAGGATGAGTTTGGTTCTAGCCCTGTCAAGGCGATGAAACCAGTAAAGAAAAATGTTACTCTGGATGAGGAAGACATGGAGGAGCAGTTGATGAATAGTTTTGTTGATGAAGTTCTTGTGATTGAAGAAGATGAAAATGAGTCAAAAACTACAGACGATAAATCATCGAAGAAGGATAGTGTTGAAGTAACAACTGAAGAAGAGAATAAAACTTCTGAAAATAAAAATAAATCTGTTGATGCTGAAATTACAGAGTCTGATGTTAAAGATGATGTCGTTGTTGACTTGGACTCAGATTCAGACGCTGAGCAAATTATTCATTCCGATGAAGTTACCTCTGATGATGTTGAAGAGGAGAAACCAGCTGAAGTGCCATTGGCAATGCAAGGTGGCAGCAAACGGCGCAAAGTGATGATTGAAGAAACAATCTCTCAGAAGTTGGACGATTTGATCAACGCGAAATTGAAGGAAGCTGCCGCTGATAGCGATGAAGATGAAGATTATGTACCGGAAAACGAGTTTGTCGACGACATGGCTTCTGAAGGCGAGGAAGACACTCCTTCTGAAGACAGCAACCAGATCATCGATGATGGAGAGTCTCTACATAGCTCGGAATCGGAAAGATTTGAAGATGATGAGGACGACTATGAGAATGATTCTTTTATTACGGATGATGAAGGTATGGAACTGCTTTCTGGCAATGAATATGACTTGGAAGAACTTGCCGATGTTAAGAAGAAGAAGACTGAGAAAAAGAGGAAGTCGAGAATTATTCAAGTTGAGGATTCCAGTGAAGAGGAGGAGACAATAATGATAGGTGAGGCTGAAAAAGATTTGAAGCCAGATACAGACGATAAGGTTGATGAATCAAAACAGGCTGAAAGTGCAGCTAAAGTTGTTGTCTTGAGTAGCATCACAATTCCCTCTCCAGTGACAGAAACAGAAAATAAGTCCGTGGTTATCAATGAACAGGATAACTTGACAAGTTTAGAATCGATGAAGGAAACATTAAAAGTGGATGTCCCACGTGAACCGAAACCTTCTTTCAGCACGCCTAACAACAGTGTCATAGAATCGCCGAATCGCAAAACACGCAGAAAGACGTCGTTGACTATTCAAGACCAGGTCAACATCAATCGCTTCAGCGATGGTGAAATTACTGATAAAATAACAAAAGCTGTTGACTTTTTTGTTTCATCTATAAAAGACAAAACTGGAAATGTTTCTGTGAATGTGTCCCTAGATTACGCCAACTCTGCGAGTTCAAATGATGAAGGCTCACCCAAGAAGCCAAAGCGTGTCAGTTTGAAACGAGAAGATGTGGATAATATTAATACTGTTGTAGATGAAATGCTGGAAACAACTGTGCCTAAAAACTTGGGCAGTCAATTGGAAATTGAAGAAAATTCTGATTTGAACACATCTACAAGCAAGACACAGAAACAAAAGAAGCGCAGAAGTAATGTGCAGAAAGATATAAGCATTCAAGGTGATTTTGAGGTGGAAGATGAGCCGGAAGCGAAAAATCAGTCGATGTCAAAGAAAAACAAGTCCAAGAAGAGAGTTAGTCAAGGATTTAATGAAGTTGAAACAAATGATCTCGTTGCGCCGTCAGATGCAGAGAAAGGTAACAAGAAACGTCTTAGCAAGAGTTTCAACACAACACAAGACATAGAACCAGTACAGTCTCCTCCTAAGAAAGCAAAATTGAACAAAAGTTTAACTGATGCGGATGTTTCCATTGTGCAAAGTAAAAAATCGAAGAAAGAGAAACTAAACAGAAGTTTAACTGATGTAGAAGTCCCCGAAGTGAAATCAAAGTCGAAGAAAGAGAAACGTCTGAGCATCAACAAGTCTTTGGAGGATTGTGAAGATGTCCCAGAGCCTGTAGTTAAAATTCCATCTCCAATTTCAAAGAAATTGAAGAAACTCCAGAATAAACTCCTTGCTAAAGAACCAGAAGAAAGTGAATTCACCGATGTGCCTTTGAAGAAAACTAAATTCTCCAAATATCGATCCGAAATGTTAGTAGAAGATGAACACGATGCTTGTGCCAGTAAATCCGAAATTAGTCGTCCATCTACTTCGAAATTCTCGTCCAAGTTGGGCGGTGTAACAAAGAAATTGAAAAAAGTAAAACCTTCTTCAATTGACAATGTCGATGCTTGGTCAGTGCAGAAAGCCGTGGCCGAGAGACCTTCTAAGAAAAACAAGGATAAAGTACCAGTTGTTGAACAACTGAATGCCATTAAGAAGAAGCTTGCGCCCAATGATTTTAGAAATCAAATGATTTATGGTTCCGGCGTGAAGCGAATGGATTCTAAGGATATTTTGAAAAATAAACAAAAGACCAGTTTCGCCAAGCGCAAGTAGAGGCTTGTGGGTTGTTTGTTTTATATTTTTTTTATTGATTACGTTTGTCTTTTGTATCTTAAGTTATAGCCGTAAAGTTAATCGAGAATTGTTATCGAAATATAAGTACCATCAGCATTTACGCTCTATTTTTGTAATACTGGAAGATAGTGTTGAATAAATGTGTTGCGATTCAAAAATTCATTTCAGATGTTGTCGAGTGTACTTTGCTCTTCATTAACATTTAATATTTCAAAGTATGACTGTTAGATTTAATTATGTTCTAATAGATGTTAATAGTGTTATTATTGTATTCTTATTACTATTGATTTTTTAAGTCAATATTTGTTTTTATTTACAACTGTGACACATGCGTGAAATGTTGGTAACTGATACCTCTTAGATTAATTGGATTTCACTTGTCACTTATGACTGATTACCTACTATACTCGTACTTCTAGTAGTCAACATAGATATAATATAAACTTGAATATAGTAAGAAATTGATCGTCATATAAACAAGATGAACGTTGAAGGCTTAAATACCTTACATTCGGTTGCAAGACATCTAGGCATCACTCCATACATCTCTCACAATTCAAATTCTAAAACTCTCAGATACATAGATTTGTTTCGTAGTACTTTCTTTATCATTACATTTATATCATGTTTTATTGTTGCTCAATATGGGAAAATTTGTTTCTTCGGCCGGGATGTTCACAAGTCAGTTCTAGGCACATTTTCCCTGATGGAGTTTGTTGCAACTGTTTTAAGTATAATCAGCGTCTACAGTTTGAATCTTCGCCATGGACATAGACTGCAACAGTTTATCAATGGATTACGCAAATTAGAAGTATTCATCGTAAATAACGAAGAAGTTAAATCCGCAAATAAAAGGTGTTTGATTGAGTTTTACATTTGGACAATGCTGGGTATCGCACTGGGATGTTTAAGTGCTTACGTTTACTTCTCTTATATTGGATGGGATATCTACAAATATTTTATGTGGAGGGAGTTCCAAAATAGTCACATTATTGTTGTCATGGATGTTATAACAAGATATCCTCAATTGATTGCGTATCGAATGAAAGAGTTGAATTATCATTTGGTTAATGATGTAATGGAGTGTCAAAATTGGTTTATCAAGTCATCGGGTACTTGCACTCGTAAGAATCCTAAAGGAAAAGTATCAATACAAATGATATCAGAGGCGTATACATCTATTGCGCAATTAATTGAAGAATATAATGAAGTTATCGGACCTATATGTTTGAGTTTCTGCAGTCATATGATTCTGAATATTTTGGTTCCGGTTAATATGGCGTTGTTGTTGGTACACGGGATTTCGGTTCATTCAGGTCGATCATTTGGTTGTTCTTTTGTGGTTTTCTGTGTGTTTTGGGTGCTTTTCCCTTGTGTAAGTTTACTACAAATAAAAAAAAACAAGAATGACCAAATTAAGGATTTCTTCCAGATAATTGGAATTAAGTTATTTACTGTTTGCGGTCAAGCCGAAAAGGAAATCGCTAAAGTACCACGATTATGTTATTCGTTGATCCAGACTCTTGGAAACAATGAAATTTCACTAAAACATGAATTGCAAGAATACGCTAATCAAGCAAATCAATTAAAACCACAATTTTCAGCTGCTGGTTTTTTCAATATTAATCATGGGTTAACAATTACAATTTTTGGATCTGTGTTTACTTATGTTATCGTATTATCACAATTTGAAAGCCTATAAATACCTACGATTATTATTATTAGGCCTGCACCAGATATTTAGAAATAAATTAACCAAGTTTGAAAAGAGAAATCAAAATATTCCGTGTAGTTTTCTGACATTTACTTTTAAATATAGAAGTCGTCGTGTTTGCTCGTTTGTTATCGCCTACATATTACAGCAGCAGCGCCACCTTGGCATCATTCTCACGTTATTCCAAAGTTTTCGTTTGTTATTTGACAGTCGTGACTGGTGACTTTTTTGATAGGCCGACTTTTCACTCTGATTTGCAACATTTTCTGTTGAAAATGGTAAGTACATTAGTAAATAAGTTTTTAAAACAATATTTAATTACGTTTCACTTATCCACAGGGTCAAAATCAGTCGGGACCCGGCGGAAGCGACAAGAAGGACGACAAAGACAAAAAGAAGAAGTATGAACCACCGATTCCCACCCGTGTTGGCAAGAAGAAGCGCCGGACGAAGGGGCCCGACACCGCTCTGAAACTGCCCGCGATAACGCCACACACGAGATGTAGACTGAAGCTGCTCAAATTGGAAAGAATCAAGGATTACTTGCTGATGGAGGAAGAGTTCATTCGTAACCAGGAGAGACTCAAGCCTCAGGAGGAAAAGAATGAGGAGGAGAGGTCCAAAGTTGATGATCTCAGAGGTACACCAATGTCAGTTGGCACCCTGGAGGAAATCATTGATGATAACCATGCAATTGTATCAACATCAGTAGGCAGTGAACACTATGTAAGCATCTTATCCTTTGTGGATAAGGATCAACTTGAGCCAGGCTGTTCAGTGCTGCTCAACCACAAGGTCCATGCTGTTGTGGGTGTCTTAGGAGATGATACAGACCCAATGGTGACTGTAATGAAGCTGGAGAAAGCCCCTCAAGAAACCTATGCAGACATTGGTGGCTTGGACACTCAAATCCAAGAAATCAAAGAATCTGTTGAGTTGCCACTCACACATCCTGAGTATTATGAAGAAATGGGCATCAAACCACCAAAAGGTGTTATTCTTTATGGTCCTCCAGGCACAGGGAAAACCCTACTGGCTAAAGCAGTGGCAAATCAAACCTCTGCCACATTTTTACGCGTGGTCGGCTCCGAACTTATTCAAAAATACCTTGGTGACGGCCCCAAACTCGTAAGAGAATTATTCAGAGTCGCCGAAGAACACGCGCCGAGTATCGTCTTCATCGATGAAATCGACGCTGTTGGAACAAAGCGCTACGACTCCAATTCGGGCGGCGAGCGTGAAATTCAAAGAACCATGTTGGAGTTGCTCAACCAACTCGACGGATTTGATTCACGTGGTGATGTGAAAGTCATCATGGCGACTAATCGTATTGAAACCTTAGATCCAGCTTTGATTCGTCCGGGTCGTATTGATCGTAAAATCGAATTTCCTTTGCCTGATGAGAAGACAAAGCGGCGTATTTTCAACATTCATACGTCACGCATGACTCTTGCTTCTGATGTGAATCTGCAGGAGTTGATCATGGCTAAGGATGATTTATCTGGAGCGGATATTAAAGCCATTTGCACTGAGGCGGGACTCATGGCGTTGCGTGAGCGTAGGATGAAGGTGATGAATGAAGATTTTAAGAAATCGAAGGAGAGTGTGTTGTATCGCAAGAAGGAGGGCACGCCGGAAGGACTTTATTTGTAAAATCATTTTTGTGTGTGTTCCAAGACAAGTTTTTCTAACTTAGCTTAAAATTTTTGATTTATGGAATGATAGTTCCTTAAATATAAATATCTTAACATAACTATACATTTATTCACAGTTATTTTAAGAAAAATTTTAGTTTTCTGGTGATATTGATGCTATTAGACTTTCTGTTGCCCTCCATTGAAGAATTTCTTTCTCTTGGTTTGATTTTTTGATTATAGATTCATCTTTACACAAAATACAATTACCCCTTTTTGTGTTTTCTAGTTCAGGTGGTGATTCCAATTGTCCTTTGAGTTTTCCTAGCTCAAACCCATTTTTAAATCCATTTTATAGCCCTCATCAAAACTTTTTTGAAAATTTGATGATCTTCCTTCTTCTATACCATCTCTAAGACCAATCTATACAAATTTAATGCATTTTTATATTGTTTTGCTATAATTACTTATTCCACTTTACCTTTTCTGAATTATGTTTCAACTTTTGCCAATCCAGGCCAATATCATCCATGTTTTAAGGTTACGTTTAATAGCACCCACAAGAGACAAGAATTTCTGTTTACTTTCTTAATTATCAAATCTAGTACAATGTCTGAAGAACAAATTGAGGAGCAAATTCTCACCGTAGGCCGTGAAAAGCCTGAAGGTATCTCAAACTCTACGATACAACAACTTTTCCCTGATATTCAACCAGCAACATGGACCAAGGTTATGAACAAACTCCTCAAAAACAAGTACTGTTTGAAAATATTTATTTTAAATTATTATTTATTGACTTAATATTGTAGTGTATTTGAATTATTCAAAGACCAAAATGAGCTGCTTTACAAATTCAAAGACCCCAGCCAGAAATCAACCGTTAAAGGATCTGACAATGAAGAAAGAGTTGTGTTTAAGATCATTGAGGAAGCAGATAATAAAGGAATTTGGATAAGAGACATCCGTTTCAAGTCGAATTTGAATATGACACAGCTAAACAAAGTTCTAAAGAGTTTAGAAACCAAGAAGATTATCAAGGCTGTTAAATCAGTTTCTGTAATTAATTTTTATGCTTTGTTAGTTTATATGTATTCTAAAATTGTAATTATTTCAGGCAAGCAAAAAGAAAGTGTACATGCTATATGAACTGGAACCAGATAGTTCTGTGACTGGAGGTGCCTGGTACCAAGACCAAGACTTTGAATCTGAGTTTGTTGATGTTCTTAATCAACAATGCCATAGATTTCTAGTTGAGAGATGGGAGAATGCTGTGAGTCAGGGAGGTGGTCCTGTTTTAATAAGGAATAGAAGTTATGCCACTGCTAGTGATGTTCATAAGTTTATATCTGATTTAGGTATTAGTAAGGTAGCACTGACTGTTGAGGATATGGAGAGTATTTTGTACACAGTTGTTTTGGATAATAAGGCAGAGAGGATAATCAATTCAAGCAGTTTAAATTTGTATAGAGCTGTGAATCCACTTTTGCCTTCAACTGGTTTAGTGAAGAGCAATTGTGGCATATGTCCGATTGCAAATCGATGTGCGGACACTGGCTTAGTTACTCCTAAAGTTTGTAATTATCTTAATGATTGGTTAGAGAATTAAATATTGAATTGATTGAAATCCTGTTGAAGCGTTCTTATCGTTATAATATTTTTCTGATAGATGGCGTTTTGTGTCATTTTTATTTTATTGGTAGTTGAGTTTGGCGCGCTTACCATTTTTCTTCATTAACATTGTTAAGTATCAAAGTGAAATTATTTATACAATGGCTGATGTCATGGAAATAGACGATATGGAGCCATCGACATCTTATAATACAAGTACGCTTCAAAAAGAGAAGGAATTCTCGGATCTTCCATGGTAAAATCTCAATTGATCACAATTTAAGGTTAAATGCAACAAAACATTTTCAATTTTGTATTTTTTTACACACAGGATAGAACGATATCGCCCTAAAGAGTTCTCAGATATTGTTGGAAATGCCGAAATGGTCAGCCGATTATCTGCGTTTGCTCAACAAGGAAATGTTCCCAACATAATTATCGCCGGCCCGCCAGGAGTGGGCAAAACAACCACAATTCTATGCCTTGCCAAAATCCTTCTTGGACCTGCATTTAAGTCTGCTGTTCTAGAATTGAACGCATCAAACGATCGTGGCATTGACATTGTCCGCAACAAAGTAAAAATGTTCGCCCAACAAAAAGTAACGCTTCCGCCAGGCAAGCATAAAATTGTTATTCTTGATGAAGTTGATTCTATGACTGAAGGCGCACAGCAAACGCTCCGACGTACCATGGAACTCTACAGCAATTCCACGCGTTTTGCCTTGGCGTGTAACTACTCTGATAAGGTGATTGAGCCTATTCAGAGTCGTTGCGCGATATTACGCTACATGCGCCTGACTGACGCACAAATTCTGCAGCGCGTTTTGCAAATTTGTGAGTTGGAGAAAGTAGAGTCTACTAAGGATGGTCTAGAGGCAATTGTTTTCACGGCTCAGGGAGACATGAGGCAGGCATTGAACAATTTGCAATCAACTCACAATGGCTTTGGATTAGTGAGCTCTGAAAATGTATTCAAAGTTTGTGATGAGCCACATCCATTGTTAATTAAGGATATGTTACTTAGCTGTGGAGCTGGTGATTATAGGAAAGCTTATAAGGTAATATTTTATTACTCATTTTAATACATGATAATGAATTAAACGTTTTAAGGTTTTAAGCCACCTATGGTCCTTGGGGTATGCAGCAGAAGACATTATCAAGAACGTTTCAAAAGTTTGCAAGAATTTGGACATTGGTGATGATCAAAAGTTGGCTTTTATTAGAGAGATTGGGCAAACACATCAAAGAATAGTGGATGGACTCACCACTTTGGTGCAAATGTCTGGAATGTTGGCTAGGCTTTGTCAAGTGCCGGAAAATAATGAAGCATAATTTCCTAAATATGTTAATTTATTATGTTTAAATGCATTTTCGTATATTTACAATTTAACCAATTTTGCGTCAATTCTTATCCTATGCGTTTTGAAACAAAATGGTGTTTTAAACTTTAAAAGGCTATATGTGTGCTGCGCATGCGCGTACAACACACGCATGCGTAAACCGAACCTTCAGCAGTTTGCCGCCGCGCAGACGTTAAACGGTTAGTGCGAGTGTGGTTCGCATCGTTCGTTACGCTTAGTACGCTCGTTCACGTTTTTTACGCAAAACAAATCTGTAAATAATACCGAAACATTCCCAACGACGTGCTCGCGTCGTGCGTTTTGAATCAGCATCAGACTGAAGACAGTGCTCGGCCAGGTTTGCTGTGGGCCAAGAAAAATTCGCTTACATGCGACACTAAATTTTCCCTCCAAATAGACCGCGATGCCTTTGCTGAAGAAAAAGACGCTGGAGAAGGCGAAAGTGGACGAATTTCTTCGCGATGACGAGGAGGTATTCCACTGCGCCATGACCAACGAGATATTCAGGGATTACGAGTGAGTACCGATTGCGGCTTGCGGCATCTCTTCGTGCGCGATACTCGCATCACCGCATCCGAAGTTAGCTAACATCATGCGACGCGGGCCATGACATTGCTCTGGGAACGCGACTATTGTCCGACCCTAACGGTTTCGTCACGATCGCGCTCTCCTCTATGGCCGCGTCTTCTCGGCGTTATTTTTCCGCGCGGGCACGAGTATTGGCGCTTTATAGGTTATAAGCAGGTGTCCACAAACACTGGAATTGATCGGAAATTGCGTCTTTTTTTATGTGAGCATGGACCAAGTTCTAATGACGCTTCTCATGTTTCAGTGAATTTGCTGAGAGAACCATTTTGTGTAACTCAATGGTGTGGACATGTTCTATGACAGGCAAAGGTAATTTCACCTATGAGGAGGCATTGCAGAGTGAGCAGAATGCTCAGCAGATGCTGAATGAATTTCCTACAGAATTGCAAATTCCAATATTGTACATTGCCACACTGGTGAAGGGCACATTCTCTGAGATGTTGGATGATGTTCATATTTTCGTCAAAGATCGGTTTTTCATTGGGGAAAAGATTGAGGCATATGTTGCAAACAAGTGGAGTGCATATAAAGTTGTTAGTGTTATTCCACCTACAGAGAAGGAATTATTAGCTGTAAAAAACTCACCTACAAGGTAAATTATTTTCTTATATGATATTAAACAAGTCTGATTTGAAAAATTATTCTAGAACTGATGCGTCAGAAGCCCACCTATACAAATATGTTGTAATAGATGCGAATTCCGTGTCAAAGGAAAAATTAACTTGTAACTTCTCGCAATTGCGGCGCAAGAAAGCATCGTATTCTCGCGAAAAGGGTAAACTATTCCTGAAACAGCATGTTGAGCCAAAGGGACAATTTATCGGCATAAAAGACTCCGCTCTGGAGTTATTCGGCGTCAAGGATTTAAAGTTTGATCAAATATTTGGGGGCCCACCACCGGTTTTCGAGCATAAGTTGAAAACCACCGCCCCGAATGGCAAGAAAGTGCGCCAGGAGACGCTGGCTAAGTTCCTCTCCAAGAACAATATTATATTGCCCAAAACTAAGGAGGAAGAGGAGAAGGAATTCATTAAGAAGAAAGAAAGAGAGGAGGCAAAAGAAAAGGAGCGTGAGCGGAAACAACATGAACGCGAACTTAAAAGGCAGCGAGATCTTGAAATTCGCACGAAATTGCAAGATTGGAATTTACCGGTGAATGATTTACTGCTTGAAGATCAAAAAGTATTACCTATTCTAACACCAATGCGATCGAGAATTCCCGATAAGTACTTGGGTGATGCGCTCTCTATCATGGAATTTACGCATACATTTTCGAGTATTCTCAGCACTAGGACATTTTTCCCCAATGGCATTACTTTGAATGTGATGGAGAGGATATTATTAGAAACAAGAGTTGGTTTCATCTCAAAATTGTCCTAATTTATAATTTTCTAATGTGAAATATTTTATCAGGTGGGAAGTGCAATGGAGACCATTGTACATATGTTATTAACAGCTTTGTTTAAATTGGAAGCAGCGGAAAAAGAAAATTATAGCAAGCATCTCGGTGGTATGTATAACTATTTTTTTAATATCATCCGACTATAATGTAAAAATGAATAGCAAAATCTGTTGGTAAGCGCATAAATCAACAACGCCTATACCAATATGGCCAATTCTTTTTTAAATATTTGTTAAAGTCCAAGGATGGTTTTTACGGCGAGAAAAATTCGAATAATTGCCGGGAAAACCATAAAGACTGCTCTTTTCTATAGGATAAAACTTGGTATTCAGATTCATTGTTATAGGTAAATAGTTGAATCCGAGATGGCGCGCTAAAGTGCATTATTAGCAATTCTTTATATAATTAATTTCTTTAAAATAAAATTGCGAATCTTATTGATAGAATTGACACATACTACTGGAACAAGAGAGTAAAATCGAATTACATTTTTATTAAACACTATCGAGACGAAGTCGCGACCAAAAGCTAGTTTTGAATAAATAAAGAGAATTTTTTGTATATTTTAGGTCGTTGGGGAGCATCCCAGGAAACATTGGCAGCCGATCGGTGTCAACTTTGGTTGCTCAAGAACTACGGCAGTACTTTGTTCACCATGGAGATGGACATTTGCACAATATCTGAAGTTCTACGTTTGCATTTACTAGGATCTGGTAATAACGTCAATGAAACAGCTGTAAAATGGCGGGCGCAATATCGCGGCGGCTACGAAAGCGAAGAGGATCCGGCGATTAGTTTCCGTTTGCATAATCCACACATTTTGAAATCGCTTTCGTTACATCACGTTTGTTCACTGCCGCTGTTCGATAAAATAAAGGTGCTCGATTGCTTGGTTAGTCAATTGATGACCTATAAGGAGGTGCGTGACGCGGTCGAACAGAACCACGATGATATACGCGAAAATAAGTTGAAGTTGCGAACGGCGCAGCAGGCAGAGCGCAAGCGCCTGGCTGATGTCGACGCGCAGATTGCACAGCTTAAAAAGGGCCAGTTGGATATACCAGCGAGCAAGGCCAAGGCGAAAATAGACGAGTTACAAGTGGCTGAAGAGAAGTTTAAGAGTAACTTCGAGTCAGTCACTGATAGTATACAAAATAAATTGTATAAAAAAGCTAATTTTATAGGGTAGGTTTCGAATCAAATAAGATTTATTGGATTTATTAATGAATTTTGTTTGTTTTTAGTTATGATCGTGCCCAAAGAGCATATATAAAATTACACTCAATACCGGCATTTGCTGTTAACCAAGACGATCACCAACAAGGCACTTGTCTTCCTGAAATAACACAACACGTGCCTGAATTGGTAGATGCAGATAAACAAACGATAATGAATTATCTAGGGAAGTTATCGGATGAGCTTAATTCCAGTGACAAAGAGAATGAACCAAAGCAGAACGGCGTGGAGACCAAGACCACCACATCACTAGCCAAAATCAATGAATTACTAATGTGCACAACCGATCCGACTTCTTGCCCGGTGCACACAATCTCAAAGAACGCGCTCAGGTGGTATTTCGTTGACACTGAGGAGCAACTCTTAGAGCTACAGAACTCGCTCAATAAACGCGGCATAAACGAAAAGGAGCTGTCTAGAATTATCGAGTTGGATTACACAAACTTGACGAAACTCATTCTGCGCACACCGGGTTATTTAAAGGATTCGGAGTCCAACCTTCCTAGCAGATTCCATAAGGACGATAATTGGGGCTTTCCGGAGAAGATGAGCGTCAACGAAGTGTTGCGTGCGACCGTCATTGATCGCATCTTGACCTTAGAGGATAAATTATTCGATGGATATCTGGGCGGTATTTCTAAAGATAGAAACGAGTTTAGAACGCTGGTTGAAGAATGCGAATATGAGGAAATAGATGCATTGACGCGGCCGCGTACCAAGTGGCACATCGAGGAGGATGAGGAAGCAAAACAAATCGCTCCGAGCGATTGGGAGGATCCTGGAAAGTATTTAGAGAAAAATATGGCCGACATTGATTCAGAGGATTCAGAAGTGGAATCGGATGAGATTCTACTGGCACATACATCAGTGGATCAGAAAAGTGTCAAGTTTCTCGCGTATGCTTTGGCGCAAATCGCACTGTCGGTGAAGTTGAATTTCATTTCGAAACCGTTGGGGCAGTTTGTGTCCAGTCCTAAGATGAGGATTTTGCGGCAGAATGCCATCTTGTTGTGGGAGCAATCTCTGCTGAACTCGACGAGTTACAGCCAAATCTTATTGCATTGCCATGTCTTGAATAATTCGATTGCGTGGAGTAAATCCACGCAAATGGTCAAGTGCAAGACTTGCAAGCGCGGAACGAACGAACAAAATATACTCTTGTGTGATTATTGTAATGATGGATATCATCTGTATTGTCTCAGACCTAAACTAAACGTAAGTATAACCTTTTTTTCGGCGAAAGTGAATTAAATATAGTTTTGTGCTATTATATATGCTATTTTATTGCATTGTTTTACAGTCTGTACCGGATGGAAATTGGTATTGTGTAGTCTGTAAAGAAACTGTAGAAATGGAGGAAGCCAAACGCAAACAAAAACATGAAGATGAAGAGAAAAAGAAGAAGCTAGAGGAGTCTATGCAAACTGAGGACGAGTAAGATGATTTCTATTATTTAATTCTCATCAACACTTCTAACGTAAATCTTGTTTTATACAGTGAACCTCAAAATTGCTTCGTTTGTGGTGAAGAGGAAACCGAAGATATTGTACAGTGTGTTGCCTGTATGAACATCTATCACCTGGAATGCACGAATTTGAAACGTGCCGTCCGCGGTGCTTGGACTTGCACACCTTGTAAAGAAGAAAGCGAGCGTGAAGCGATGCAAACTAACGGCGATCACATGCAGCGACGGTCAGGCAGAAGCAACGAGACCAATGTGGACATGCCATTGAACAATGCGGCACTGCAGGAATTACTCGGTGGTGTGATCAGCAACGAGAGTGCGTGGCCGTTCATTAAGCCAGTGCATAAGCACGAAGTGCCTGACTACTATGACATCATCAAGAAGCCGATGGACTTTGGCACGATCAAATACAAGCTCAACATGGGCGACTATCAGTACGACGATGAAGTCCTTTCGGACTGTCAGCTTGTGTTTGAGAATTGCCACACGTATAACAGTTCAGGGGATGAAGTTTTCCAGTAAGTTATTGCATTTTATTGTTAGATTAAGTTTTTATTAAAACATTTGTTGTTTTGTTATATAGATGTGGCAGTCGGCTTCTGAAATACTTTGTGAAAAAATGCAAAGATTTAAAACTTGACTTTGACGTCACCATCACAATGGAAACAAACGGTGTGAGCGATGACGAGGAGGACCAGCCACCACGCAAGAGTAGGCGCACGAGATAATTTTACAGTATACGGTATGATATGAATAATCACTTCGTGTGAATAATTGAGCAAAGTTGTGCTATATGCAAAACTCATACTAATAGGTTCCATAATATTTACGTTGAATGATGATTAATTGATTAATTCCTTCTCATTCATTTTTGAATTTCACAAATCACACCTACGCATAAGTTCTTTCGTGTTAATTTATTTATATTTAGTTTTATTCTTGTTAGCGTACTCACTGAATTCATATATTTCATTTATGGAATTTGAAATTTAAGTCTTGAAAATCAAAGTAAGTAATTTAAATACCAGTGAATATGCTAACAAAATAAAACTTAATTTATTTATGTAATTGATAACTTTTGCACCGACGCAAACAGAAGCCGGACTTATTGCTGCATGTAGAGACGACCGGTATTATTATATATTTTATAAGTATATGATGCGCATCTTTTGATCCTTTTATCAGAATTACAGTTTTAGTTTTAAATCGCTTGACGTTTCTGTGATAATTCATCCAATTCAAGCAAACACTTGTCAACGTACTGCGAATCAAGTTCATCGGTGATGCTTTCATGCACCTTCTGTAGCGTCCATCGAACCATTTGGTCCTGCGCATACTTCCTCTCTATCGCTTCGTACGCGACCTGAAAATCCAGCTTGTTTTTCACCTCCTGATAAACCGTCATTAGTCTACTTCGGTACTCTGCTTCTAGCTGAAGATGAACATTTTCTCGTTTTGCTTCGACAAGAACTTGTTGTTCCTCCATGCACACCTGTAACCACTTCTCTCGTTGAATATCATCTTCAATATTCTTCTGCTGGTCGATTCGAACCTGTTTGAAACTGTTTTCAACTGCGTCGACTTCCTTGTCTAATCCTTCTGCGATACTGGGCCCGACGTAAACTACTGCTAGATAGGATAATACAATCATACTCAACCCGCCGTAGTACTCGTGTTCCATGATGAGTTTCTCTTTGCTTAGCAGGTAAGTACCGTAAGTGAACATAAACGTCCAGAAACCAGTTACACCTGTTTTTTCATTGAAGAATTTAATCCATGTGTACGGGATCAGGCAGAAGAACACTCTTTCTGGTTCAAGTCGTGTTACTCTTGGGATAAGTGTAGCTGGATCGCCTCCAGGTGGTTGATTGGAACCAGAAGTGATTTGATCTGGTGGTTCATTATTATCACCTGATTTTCCTTTCTTATCCGTCTCAGGTGGTTTTGTAGTGAATGTTTGTATTAATTCTCGGCGTAAGGCTTCTTTTACTTTTTCTGTTTTGCCATCTTGTTCAGTTTTTCTTTTTCTGCTACTATCTCCGGTTTTGGAGGGGTTTTGATAATTCGGTAAGATTGCGTTTTTCTATCAAAATATCTCCCTTTAGTTAATTCTTCGATCGGGGGATTTTTGGCGACAACTGTAGGTGCAACTGGAACTTTTTCTTCTGTTGTAGGCGGTGTTGTGGATTGCACATTTGGGAACTCCTTTTTATCTTTGCAGTAATTTTTTGTATAGCAAAGTGGCTTCAAACGTCGAATTAAATGCTGGGATATTTTACTTTGGATCATGACGGGACACTAGCACAAATTGTTTTCATACGTTGTTACAGCCAACTGTGATTTATTTAAGAAAAATTATTAGTTTTTGTTTCACACATTATATTATCTCTATAACATAAAAATGAATCGCAAAATCTGTTGGTAGGCGCATAACTCCCCAACGCCTAGACCAATTTGGTTTAAAATCATACTTAATTTTTGTGCGCTGAGTTACGGTACGTACGTCACTTTTATACACAACTTTTATGTTTAACAATAACTTGCAACATATTTGTAATTGCATTTCTGTCGTATGCATATAGAAAAATGCCCCTCCAACTGCGGGTCGGTTATCAATCTGTCTTGCTTAGTTCGGCTCAGTCGGTTGAGCGCTATTGCGTGCTGCGCACGTGTTTTCTTCATTAATCAAACGTGGTGACGATTTCTTGCGTTTCTTAATATTTTGTAGCATTACTAGAATCGATTGACAATCAGAGGCTAACAGCCCAGTGTAGCGCACAACGAATGATTTGAGTGATTCTATGCGGAGCGCGCGTAGCGTCCGTCGGATATGTTCCGATGACTATGGATACTTACTGGAGTTAAATTAAGTTAAATTTATGTGTTTGACGTGAATACATTTAGAATATTTGCGTGGAATAGTAAAGAAGTGTGTATCATCAATTCAAAATACAATTTGCGGAAACGTGTTTGTGCGCCTTAGTTCTTTATTGATATAAGAACAAATCAGTAAGTAACATCATATAAAATTTCTCTTTTATTTAACTTTTTAAATCTTACACCATGTTATTGCTTTATAATAATTGAAAATGATTCAGTCAATAAAGGCAAATTTAATTTTACATTCTTGTTTAAATGTGTCCCTAGTGTTCAGTTGGTCGTTTTCAGGATTAGTATTAAGTCAAGTTGAACTTTTAGAGTACACCATAGTATAACATAGTATAGTACAATGCGTGGAGCGTGTGCAACATAGCTAAGGCTTGAGCTATTGTTTTTAAAAAGTTGATTAAAGTAGAAATATAAATAAAAGAACCAAATATAAATGATAAAAACGCTCGGTGGTCGAGTGGGTACGTGCAGCTGCTAGCATGCTCGTAGACACAGATCGAATCTCAGGTATAGAAGGCATTTTTCTCAAATATAAAAATAACAGGTGTAATTTGGGTTGCATATGTAAACTCAAATAAAATATAACAGAAATTGAAATACAAGTGAAAGTAAGTGGAGAAACGGAGAACAGAGAGAAATAGGAATAGTAGAAGAAAGGAATAGAGAGATGAGTAGAAGACAGAAGGAAGGTAACAGAGTAGAGAAGAGGAGGAAATTTTTTGGCGCGTGTCGTTAGACAGTCACTGCTTCGATGCATCCATTGCTCCCGGCCCATCCTACAGCTACGATGTCTCTGCGCTTCATCCCCAAAATACTTAGGCATATCAACAATTTTTATGGTGGGGGATCACCCCCGGAGAGAGGGATTTCCTTATAAGGACAATCCTTATAAGGTCATGTTCAAATATTTCTATGTTTTAAGTCGCCTCAAGAGAGGTGACACTTAAAAATATTCTTACAAGTTCTGACCTGCAACTGAAATGAAAGATAGAGCACACACATCACACAGGATACCTAACAATTTTTATAGTGGGGACCATCCCCTGAGAGAAGGAACTCTCTTAGAGACCTGTACCTGAAATGATAGAAGGGGAACATTCGAAGTATACCTAAGACATAATATTTCTTAACATTTCTTTATTAATAAATACAATGTAAAATAATACGAGTACAAGTTTAGATTTTACAAGTCAACAGAATAGATGCCGCTATATTGAAACAGGACTTACGACCGGCATAGCCACGCACATGTAAGCAAGTACCACGTAATAATGTTCTACCGGGATAAACAAATCAGCAAATAGCTCATTTTAAAGACGATTGAAAATGGAAACAAATATACAGGATGTTACAAATGACAAATTTAATGTGAAAACAGAAAAACATTTTAACCCTACAAATATCATTCGTTTTCACCCAAGGCTCCTGGGAAACAAATATACAGGGTGTTCCAGAAAGAAAATTCGAAGTGCAAAGGGGAGAATACTAAAAACATCAGCTAAAGCAAAATTTTCACGGACACAAAGGAAAACATATATACAGGGTGATCTAGGAAGAAAATTCCATGTTCAAAACAGAGAACACTCAAAACTCACAACTAAAAGTGACTTTCTAAGTACGTGCCGTTAGGAAAACAAATATACAGGGTGTTACAAAATGAAAATTTCAGAAACTACAAAAGGAGTCAATATTCACAATATAAAGAGGAAAATTTACAAATCAACAATAATATTTTAATATAAAATCAGAGATTTAACCCGAAAAACATCAGAAAATTGAGCGATAGGATGCTACAAAAATAAAACATTTACATTTTAATAAATTGTGAATATATATTTATTAATTGATGGTAGCATCAAATGTATAAGGTAACCGACGGGTGAAGCATCATCATAAATTGATAGAATATCCGGCGGAAAACATCTAAATCAACAGACGGCAAGCGACGGCGCGTTGTAACACAGTGGTAAAAGACGATAAAAATAACTATTTCTTTGTAAATATTAAGATATACTTAAACTGCGAAAGCGAAAAACTATTCACCGTTCAAGATTTTATTTCAACAAGAAATTATTAATTTAATGATACAATTCAAAACATGACCGACCACCTGAATATTGTAATTTTAATAATCATTAGATTATTTTAAAAACCGTCCAAGTAATAATTAAATCAAGCAGTTATTTTCGGAAACGCGACTAAAAAGAATTCCGATAAAAATGCCACCACGTGTTTGTAATCTACAAAATTAATATCCCTCAAATAGAATAAATTTAAGTTAAACCCCGCAAAAATTTTAATTATCCACCTACCTGTGCATTGATGAGACTCGCGCAGGGATTAACGGACACTTATTTCTCACTTAACAAGATTCTAACCGACATAAATCATTAAACACAACAGGCACACATGCCCATTGCGAATATTTTGCCGATGGCCGAAAGAATACTCGACGATTAATCCAATTAAACCTCAAAACGCGTGGCGATTAGAGAGACACGCTGGCGGACCACGCGGTGAAACAACTGTCGTGTGCGTTGCGCGTAGCCGGGTACAAGGCAGGTATGCAGAAATATCACGCGTCAGTCGAACAAAAAAAAAGTTGTGTATACACAAACGTACTGATAAACACGTACCTAGTTGAGAAGACTAAACTAAAAATTCACAATGTTGAAATACACATACACAAAACTTACTTTTACTTTGAATATTTCTTGGTATACGAGAAGAATGTATTGCCTTTGGGATGTAATAAGAGTCTTCGTTAAAGTTCAATGTTTACCTTAGTTAATTAAATAATTGGTGTTCACAACACTGCGCCTAATTTAAATATTCACTAAGATAAAGTAATAAAATCGGCAAATAAGAGGAGAAAAGAAATCATAACAAAAAAATGCATGAAGAGATGATTACGATCTGCATATTCGCACACATACACATAAGTATCAAATTATAAACAACAATATTACAGCATTAAGATATAACAATTAATACATGCAACTAATATACAGGGTGTTACAAAAAGAAAACCAATGATAAAAAACGAACAGCACGTTGCAACAATAAACTTTTCCCACTTTAACCAGGATGGTAATGAAAAGTAATATACCGGGTGATACAGAAAAAATGATAAAGTTCAAAAAAGAAAACATCTCGGTCAGTGTGTAGGAAAACAAGGAAAACCAGTATACAGGGTGATACAGAAAAAATTACTAAATTTAAAAATATTATTCTACGATTCAGGGTAATACATCTGGAAACAACAAATGTAGTCAATTATTGACTGGAAGTCAAGAAAACTAAATACACAAGGTGATACATTAGAAAAATTACAATGTATAAAAAGAGAATCCCACAATGAAGGAGAAAACATACGAAAACAACAAATTTAATAAATTTTTGTTTGATCAAAGGTAGCAAACATGTAGGGTGTTACAAAAAGGAAATGACACTATTAAAAACAACTTTTATATAAATAAAACACCATAATGAATTATATTGCATATTGACATTTACTTTGTGATGTGATCACCTGATACGGTACAAACATGGAAAAGTGCCAGCCGACGGCACCGCACACAACCCCGCCACAAGATATTATAATGACAATGACCTACATACATTTCACAGACTTTAATTAATTCTCAAACTAATAAACGTATCAACGCGGCTACAGAATTTTGAATGCAAAAGATCAATGCGAGCTGAAAAAAACAGTGAAAAACATATTCTAAAGCAAAACTAAAAATGCATCCGTCGGCACACGACAATTTAGATTTACGACGATTACGGTATCTTGTTACACGCGAATATAGATAGTATGATGATGTAAGAATATTAAACACCTTACCGGGACATTGGATAATCAGAAGAAGCACTGAAACAGAAAAAACACGTAAGTTACTTCACTTATTGAGTCTACCCGTCGGATAGTCTTGTATTACAAGGAATATTTTAACTGACTAACGCACAATGAAAACTCGAGTTTATGATCGTTTCATTAACGTTAATTAACGTTAAAATGCATTTCATTGAATTAAAATTAAAGAAAGGAGGCAAGCCGCGGGCAAATAAGATCAGACTGAACTGGCTCAAAGCGATAAAAACATATGTTTCTGCACAAACATAGATAAACGCGTCTAGTTGAAAAAGAAACATTCAGGTTTGTAGATCTAATACCATTTGTATAGTGTTAAGAAGAGACACGCAATCGGATGTGTGGAGCGGGTGCGTGCTACCAATCCTATTTTCCAAGAAAAAACTTAGAAAAAGAATGAAAAATAGTGATATACGCAGAGCCATTTTAAAGTACCTCCCGTATGGTCTCTAAGGGCGGCAATAGCGTATAATTAAGATTAATTTTCGCGCTATCAGAATCAGAAGTTCCCAATAAATGAGCCAATTTCCACGCTGAAACATTAAAAAAATTGAAAAACAGTGAAATTTCCCAAGCAATTTTCTGGCACTTTGCGCATGATTTCTGGAGGTGGTAATAGTGTATTCGTATGATTAACTCTCTGGCTGTCAGAATCAGAAGAGAACGTGCAAATATTGCAAATAGTTCCCGAGATATTACCCAATTTCCAAGATGAAACATTAAAAAATTGGAAAATTAAAATTCGATTTGCGTAATTATGATTTCTTATGCTGAAAGAGTGCCAGATTTTATATCAAATATTTAAGTGATATCTGCTTAAGTGATCTGCTAATAATAAAAATGTTTTTCTGATTATGATTTTTATAATAAACTATTCCACCTAATGTAAAATTGTTACTTATATTCATGATTTAAGAATTGAAGAATAGTTGCTTAAATTTACGATACCAATATAAACTGCAAGATGTGATTTTATTCCAAGAAATAAAAATTCGATATCTGCAGGTAAACAAACTTATCTCTTGTGCAAAATCGCGTGATTGCACACGGACACGGTGTGCACTCACTACCACCGACAAGCAATATTTAACGTGAAAACGTGCATCGTAGTGCCATCTAACCGACTATCTAGTAACGGCAGGTTTCAATTCAAAACACATTTTATCAAATATGCAACAAAGTTGATATTGCATGAAAATACCAATCATAGGCAATTTAATAATGCCTATCAAATCGCAAAATTGCTTTAATTTATACTCTATGATTCAATATAATAATATTTTATTCACACATCGGAAAATTGTAGATTATGGAAGATTGGAAAATTCTCTATCAGATGGAAATTTAAAATAATTTAATTTAATGGGATAAAAGGTCTAAAACCGCGACTGAAAGTGCTAAAAAATGCAATTTCTCAATTTTTGACGATTTATTTTAATTGCGAATATCTCGTAAACTAAAGGAGATAGAAAGGAACGAATCACAGAGTCTTAATCTACGGGAAATTCTCTATAATATAAGCATGGAATGGCATTTAATTGGAAATTAAAGGGATGAAATTTTAATTCATAACAAAAAATGGGCAAGAGGGGGGTGCTTGATAATTTATTTCCACGATTTTCGACAGTGAATATCTTTTAAACTAAAAGCGATAGCAACTAGAAAAGTATAGATTATGGAAGATTAGAATATTCTCTATCTGAGTACCTGAATACGAGTCACTTCTACAGCTACCCTCGTCCGGTGCCCTGAACACGAGTCACTTCTACCGCTACCCTCATACGTTCTTGACATATTCGAGTCAATAAACGATAATAGTGCATATGTTTTGAACTAAAAGCGATAGCGACCAACGGATTAGAAGTTATGGACGATTGGAAAATTCTGCATTAGATAAGAATTTAAAATAAATTATTTTTATAGGATAACAAGTACTACGGCGCACATACACACAACTTTCAATATAACTCGCGCTACGGAATTTTCTCGCAATTTATTTCTGTACACCGAAATTCAGAATTAAATTCTGCATCTGGTAAAATTATTCCGACCTTATTATGACACCGCGTTCGCGTGTAATAATAAAAAAAACTACAATTCCAAGCGCAACGAGGACTACGGCGCACACACACAACTTTCAATATAACTCGCGCTACAGAATTTTCTCGCAAGATATTTCTATATAGGAAGATTCAAAATTAAATTCTGCATGCAGGAAAATTATTCCGAACTTATTATGACGCCGCGTTCGCGTGTTGTACTAAAAAAAACTACAATTCCAAGCGCAACGAGTACTACGGCGCATACACACAACTTTAAATATAACTCAAGTTACGGAATTTTCTCATAATATATTTCTATACACGGAGATTCAGAATTAAATTCTGCACGTGAAAAAATTATTCCGAATTTATGATGACACCGCGTTCGCGTGTAATAATAAAAAAACTACAATTCCAAGCGCAACGAGTACTACGGCGCATACACACAACTTTCAATATAACTCAAGTTACGGAATTTTCTAGCAATATATTTCCATACACGGAGATTTAGAATTAAATTCTGCATCAGGGAAAATTATTCCGAACTTATTATGACACCGCGTTCGCGTGTAATAATACAAAAACTACAATTCCAAGCGCAACGAGTACTACGGCGCATACACACAACTTTCAATATAACTCAAGTTACGGAATTTTCTAGTGTTGCGCAGAGTGAATTTTAATAAGAATAGAGTTTATTATTTAACGCCAATAACAATCCAGTGTTGCTTGATATTGCATAGAACAGAACTACCCTTGACAAAGTAACGAACTTAACTAACTACTGACTAACACCCAAGGTGGCTAGAAAGCCCCTAAGTCACTTGGGGTGAACCCCCCCCCCCCGTGGCGCAACGCCACTTGTGAAAGAGCGCAAAACTCAACATCTAGCAATATATTTCTATTCACGGAGATTTAAAATTAAATTCTGCATCAGGGAAAATTATTCCGAACTTATTATGGCGCCGCGTTCGCGTGTTGTACTAAAAAAAACTACAATTCCAAGTGCAACGAGTACTGCGGCGCATACACACAACTTTCAATATTACTCAAGTTACGGAATTTTCTCGTAATATATTTCTATACACGGAGATTCAGAATTAAATTCTGCACGTGTAAAAATTATTCCGAATTTATTGTGACACCGCGTACGCGTTTAATAATGAAAAAACTATAATTCCAAGCGCAACGAGGACTACGGCGCACACACACAACTTTCAATATAACTCGCGCTACAGAATTTTCTCGCAAGATATTTCTATACAGGAAGATTCAAAATTAAATTCTGCATGCAGGAAAATGATTCCGAACTTATTATGACGCCGCGTTCGCGTGTTGTACTAAAGAAAACTATAATTCCAAGCGCAACGAGTACTACGGCGCATACACACAACTTTCAATATAACTCAAATTACGGAATTTTCTAGCAATATATTTCTATACACGGAGATTTAGAATTAAATTCTGCATCAGAGAAAATTATTCCAAACTTATTATGACCCCGCGTTCGCGTTTAATAATATAAAAACTACAATTCCAAGCACAACGAGTACTATCCAAGGGCATTTTTGTAGGTTTTCCTGATGGCTAAACCCACAAGTTATATATGAAAATAATAACGAATTTTAATACCTACTATTTGGTGAAAGAACGGTTGTCCTCTGATATGACGTACGCCCGCTAAAACAAAAAACTCTAAATTAGCCGAGCAAAAAACACAAAAAGGGCATTTTTGTAGGCTTCCCTGAGGGTTAAACCCACAAGTTATTTATGAAAATAATAAAAAAATTTAATACCTACAATTTGGTGAAAGAGTTGTTGTCCTCTAATATGACGTTCGCCAGCTAAAACAAAAAACACAAAATTAGCCAAGAAAAAACACAAAAAGGGCATTTTTGTAGGTTTTTCTAAGGGTTAAACCCACAAGTTATATATGAAAATTGTAAAGAATTTTAATATCTACAATTTGGTGAGAGAACGGTTATCGTCCGACATGGCCTTCACACGCTAAAACAAAAAAAAAACTAATTAGCCGAGCGAAAAACACAAAATGGGCATTTTTGTAGGTTTTCCCGATGGTTAAACCCACAAGTTATATATGAAAATTATAAAGAATTTTAATACCTACAATTTGATGAAAGAAAAGTTGTCCTCCGACATGGCGTTCGCGTATTGAGAAATAATAACTTAATAACGCGACGAAAAATTCAGGAACTCAAGAATGAAGAAAATGTTGCGTGCAAATCACCCGATTACAAAAATTAGACTAACGTGGTACGCAAGCCAACCACGTAGCGGCCGCACAAAAATTGCACGAGATAAGAAAAACTTGTTTGTTTGTAAACACTGACACATCCAGTGTGGTAATACAGAACATAAAAAGAATTATACTCGTACAATGCATGGAATTTTAAATTTCGATTAAATTATGAATCGGACACCAGTGATAAAATTATAAATTAAAGCCCTATTGGCGTGTAAACATCAATTTTATTTGAAATTAAAATTGCAGATAGGTCTTACACGTTCAATGTTAGGATAATAAATACTTAAACAATTCTTTTAATTCTACATCGATTATTTTCGTAATTTTTTTTAAAGATTAACCGCATGAAAAAGAGAAATCTTTTGCCTTATTTATGACGAAATTTATTTCAACAAATACAGATTCTGTAATAATTAGAATTTTTAATTCTGTTTTTGGTGTTTGAGAGTATATTACATTTAACACAATTGTAGATGAAAGCCCTTTTGGCATGTAAAAATCAATTTTTTTAATAAAATTGCAAATAGAGCCTAAACCGTCAATGATAGAAAAAAATTACTTAATTAATCAATTAAGAATTAAATTATCGTTCTAAGTCGAAAAACAGAATTTAAAAATTCCAATTATTTCAAAAGCTGCACTAGCTGAAAAGAAGATTTCATCATAAAAAAGGCAAAAGATTTCTCTTTCATATTTTCGGAATTAAAAATTGTATCTAATCGTGGTGGGTAGTGAGTTTAGCCGGAAAAAGCCGCCAAAGAATTAAGAACGCAACCGACGGCACACGCCAATCTTAATCTTTTTAATTTGTACATTAAACGAAAACGAAACAATGTATCGAATACGTATTGAAATAGAGACAAAAATTATTTGTCTGCGGGGTTGAAGTAAAAACAAATGGAGTCTACAACGAATTTGCTATTTTATATGGGTGAAGTAATGCGAAAACATACCTGGAAATCAAATTACTTGTTCGTTTTCGTGATATCCAATAAGTTGTAAGGACCTTAATTATGCACATTTTAGCAACGATGAAATATGCGTACAATACTAAAAGAGTACCCGACGGCCGACGGAACATCACACACTTTACGTCTCCGTATGTTCAATCCGCGTTTAACAAATACCACACATCACTCGCGTACAGCCTAACAGAACTTTCAGAAATATTACGTAAGTACGTCAAGGGAAATTAAGGAACTCAAATGATTCTGAAGAAAATGTACGTGCAGATCACACGACAACAAAAATGGGACTAACAACGTTGTACGCAAGTCAACCGCGTGGCGACCGCACTAAAATTGCCTAAGATAAGAAAACATGTTTGTTTGTAAACACTAACACTTTCAGTGTGGTAGTGCAGAACATGAATAGAACTGTACTCGCATTATGCATAGAATTAATTTCGATTAAATTTTAAATCGGAAACCTGATAGATAATTTAATTCTACATAGATTATTTTGGAAACTTTTTTTGATAACATTAACCGTTTAGACCTTATTTACAATTTTATAGAAAAATGCATTCGTTTTTCGTAGACCTTTCTGTTCTTGACATAATCGCCCAAAAAATCGACCCTGTTCTTCGATCGAAAAATATTTTAACACAATAGGTTGACCCTGTTCATTGACCAAAAAAATTTAAGTAAAAAAGTTCGATCCTGTTTTCCCACCTAAAAAATTTTAACAAAAAATTTCGACCGAAAAACTTTTAATTTAAAAAGTTCGACTGTATTTCGATCAAAAAAATTTTAACAAAAAAAATTCGATCGAAAAATGTTAAGTAAAAAAGTTCGACCCTGTTTTTTGACCGAAAAAATTTAAACAATAAAATTCGACCGAAAATATTTCAACAAAAAAATTCGACCGAATAAATTTTATGAAAATAAGTTCGATCTTGTTTTTCGACCGAAAAAATTTTACCAAAAAAATTCGACCGAAAAAAAATTAAGTAAAAAAGTTCGACCCTGTTCTTCGACCGAAAAATATTTATTAAAAAAAGTTCGACCCTGTTATTCGACCAAAAAATGAAATTTATTGGACAAAAATAGCGATATTTGAATAAGATTTTAAGACACTTCCAAAGGGTTTATAGGGTTAAAAAGGCATGCATAGTGTAAAGGGTCTCTCAAACTTTAACATGACGTTAAGAAACTTCAAAAAAATCACAAGCCCTTTTAGGGCACTTCCGAAAGGGCTGAAAGGTATAAAGACTATGCATCGTGTTGACAAACTCCCTGACTCTCTTCTGGCGTGGAGAAACCAGAAGATAGTCAATTTGTTTACGAGATACAGGGTGTTTTCCACACTATGTTTTCAAATTTTCCTAAATATGCTGATTTTTGAAGGGCATTTTAAGGTACTTCCGGAAGGGTTGGAAGGTTGTAAGGGTATTCATCGTGTAGAGGAACTCTTTAACTCTATTTTGGGGTGGAGAAACTCTAAGCAAGTCAATTAGTTCTCTTGATACAGAGTGTTTTCACACCATGTTTTATAACGCTTCTTGAAACGGGTACTCTTTAATTGATATTAAAAATAATGTTATATGTATACAACTAGCGAAATAAAAACAAATGTATCTGCAGCACGCGAGTGAAGAACGCGGATCAGCCACCGTATCAGCTGACAATCGGCCCGAAACTGCTAGCAATCCGCTAAACGATCCTCTCTCCCGCTCCCCCCGGGCAGTGTGGCGAAGGTCGTGCAGGTATAGACCGGAAAATACGTAGTACCGTAATCTAGTTTTCAATGCAATAAAAAGTATAAACAAATATACTTAGTAGTATATGGGTAAAATGGAGTTTGCTAAAATAACAAATTTGGCATCATAATTGGTACATCTTTGTTGGCTGTTAACTGCCAAAGGAACCACGATCCAGGTGTCATAATTGGGGAACGTTCCTTGCTGTGTTCGGTACACACATAGAAACATTTTCATCTTTCCTAAACTGACGAAATATATTTTAATGAAACACTACCGGGACGAAGTCGCGGGCAAAAGCTAGTAGTAAATAGTATACTCTGAAGGAGCGGAACGTATTCAAATCGCAAAGGACTTTGAAACGCGTTATTAGCACAATTTATTTTAAATAATTCCAAATAAAAATATGTTTGTGGTGCTACACTAAACTTGGTGCCAAATAACACTATAATCGATACCGTGAGTTACCAACTTTTTCTGAAATACCAAACTCGTACAAAATCTGCAAAATCACGAATTTCTTTTCGCACACCATGAAATTTTCAATGCGTATCATTCGATCTCCTTGATTCATGCTAACTCCTTATGTTTAACACAGTTCACAATAATTGAACAATAATTTTAAACTATTACCCCTTGAAATGTATACAAATTTCAAGCTGTTTACTCTGGTTGATTGACCACCTCTGATTTCAATCGTTGAACCAACGCTTTGCGTAGTTTCAACCTCTCCGATTCCGCCATTGAAGGAGCTGCTCCAAATTTGAGCACAGACTCGGCTGCTTTTGCCGATTTTGGTCTGACGCGTGCTTTTTCGACACTGGACGCTTGATCTTCGTCCAAGTGTTTCTTGCGAACTTCTTTTTTCAATGCGATTAACTTATCGCGCTGGGCACGCAGATATTCCTGACGCTTTTTTACTTCAATGCTGTCGACCTATGAAGCAAATAGCATGAATAAGATATACGCTATTATTTAATTAATTTAAGTTACGTTTGAATTTTGTGGACGATCAATAGGAATCCTTGTTGCAATTGATGTTAACTTCGCAGGTGGTTTGGGTTGATCTTCCTCGATAGACTCCTTTGCATCCTCCACCTCGTCATCTTCTGATTTATGTTCTAGAAATTGTTTCTGTGAACTCAATTTTTCCTCTAAATACGAAAAAAGCAAACGACATGCGAACGGTTAAATGATTTCATTAGTTTGTGCTCCTACTTCATACCGATAGCAACTTTCAGAGTTTCCTCCAAGTTATGCTTCTCTTCAATGAGATATTTGATTTCGTCCTCTTGTTGCTGCTCCTCCTCACCTTCGATTGCAATTGGAAACTGTCTGTAATACCAACCAACACAATTGAAAAACAAATAAATCAATCGATCGTTGTCTTACTTGCTGACTTCAACCAAAACTTCGCGCTCTAGCTCTGATGACTTAAGCATTGGCGACACTTGCGCGGTGTTTCTTGCAACCTCTTCACGCTTCTGAGGAATGAATGACTCCGGAGTCCTGCCGAACTTCCGCTCGATTAATTCCAACGCTTGTAGTTGAAGTTCAACGTTGCGTTGAGTCATCATACGTTTAAACATTTCGTAATCATTAGCAGCCCAAATCTGCTCGAATGTGTTCTGAAATAGCCGAAATAATCTCACACATCAATAACACCCACACATGAACACAAACCTGGTCAAATTGCAAAGGAACTCTTTCCTTTGCACCCCTAAAGCAAGCATGTTCAAACTGTGCCGACGTAATACCAATATCCTCCATGAAGTTGCCCAACATGAAATCAACGAGATTTTTAAAATCGTCGAAAGTTTTTCGGTGTTCTTCATCGTCAGCCGGTTCATGGGGATCAAAAACTGCAACACAAAACAAATGTTCTTTAAACTTCTAATATTAATTCACATGGTTACGAATATTTTACTGTTTGGGATGTACAATTATTGATAAAACATTCTAGTCGTGTTTGCTACTTACTAAGAGACCGCTCTTCGATAAAACTTTGCAGTGGCGCGTTCCAAATCGGCCCGTTGAGGAAACAGACGAGTGAATCGAATACCCAGCTATCTTCTTCGGACATTTTGGGATAGTCTATTGGCAATAGATAGGGCGGTGGCGTTGTAGTGTATCAAAGGTGACAATGATCTTTTCTACTTTCCTCCAACAAGCACTGTTTGTATGCAGTACATTGGAAGTTGTTATGGCAACAAGTAAAATCATTACTGCTCGCATCACACGATAATTATTTCATAATTATCTGTATCTACCAAGCTTACAAACAATTGACCCGGTTAATTTCTAGTTAAATTGAATAATCGTGTAACTTGGTTCTTTATTGAAACGTTTCCTACTTTCTATAAAACAGTAATCAAAGAAATTCGTCATTTCTTCAATTAAAAGATCATTAAACAAACAGTTTTAATACACAATTCATCATAACATGGTATGTACTTTAACTTCTTAAAGGGTTAGCCTTAAACAAGATTAAAATAAAATGCAAGGTTTCCATTCGATTATTCTCCGTTTTCAAGCTTTGCGGCTTTCAAACTTTCAATCGCCATTCTAAGCGCCCCTTCCCTAGTTTTATTACCACCGATAAAACCAGTTGCGTGACAGAATATACATCCAGGTATACCGGAAACGGTCGACAGTTCCTCGTCACGTACGCCGCGCCATTTTGAATGAAGAAAAACCCTGCATACAAAACTATCGGGTTGAATGGGAATACCCTGGACCCGCCAGGAATCAGTACTATCATGAAATATAACAAATTTGAGCTCTCCTTTCATGCCGAGTTCCTCCTCGAGTTGCATCAAATGATCCTTCCACGGGCACCGCTCGTTCAGTTGAATAATCGCACCGGATTCATGCGTGATTAGGCGCGTTTTTATCGCGCACTTCACAATTTCACGCGCTGGCCACCACACTTTCGCCGACTAAAGATAAACAAATTAAAACAACAACATAAGCATGTTTTATTTTCGAAAAACTTACAGAATCACTTACTTCGCTAACTTTTTCCAAGAATTCAGCGCCGACCAACTCCATTGCTTTAACAAACAGTTTATCGGTTGGTTCGTCCGGATAATTCCACTCCGGATTGAGACGATGTATCCTTGCACTCAAATGGGTGTTGATCCTGTATTTTGGCATGCCTTCACTGTACATTGGCACACCGTTATCGATTGCGTCTACCTCTTCAATGAAACCATCATATACTGCTAAGAAAACAGCTTGTAAGCAGTCTGTGTCTGGTTGGAAATTTTGGTTCTTTAAAACTTCGGAAATTACTTGCATTCCAAAGTGTGCATAAATCAAACCAGCAGAACTTAGTCTAAAAACACATGTAAATTAAACGAATTCCTTGGAATAATGTAACAAGTTTAATGAAAACATACTTTATGTTTTTGTTCTTGATGTGTGGCAAGACAGTAGACAGGGTGTGATTGAAATCTCTCTGGTGATGATCGAAGCGATTGCGTTCCGGATCATACACCCCTCCAACATCAACAACAATATCACAGGTATCTAATATCTAAAATTACAAAATTTTTAATTTAGAATAGTTATTTTATTAAAAAAAAATAAATTTTATTTTGATTATTTCAATAATAATTACCCCCATATCTCTTGTCCTCCTTATTTCTGCATCTTGATACTCAGGAAGCTGCTTCAGCATGAAGCATGCTAGAGCCTCATCACAATGGAAAACACCACCATGAGTTCCAATCACTTTGAGGATTCGAGGAAATTTCGGATCACTACTCATTGTTTTAAAACTGAAAGACGATGAGATTCAGTGAGTAAATGTGTGATTTAGAGCTTATTTTACCCTTTCCACACGCTAAGACCGACTTTGCAAGCTTGGTCGACCAGGCTGGTTCGAAATGGAGTCAAAGCCATGCAGCCAGCTGGTTATAACCTTACAAAACCGTTTGCTTTGCGGCGTTTTTATCGGGGGGCGTCGGTAACAAAGAGTACACTGTGCATATGTACCCGTTAGTACATGATTTTTAAAGTTCTTGCTTGATGGCATGTAAATACTGATAGATTCTCGGTATTTATTTACGAATTGAGCAATATTGTGTTTGCTGTAATAAGATGCCGATGCAAAATTCACTTGAAATTTAGTGCAATTGTGCGAGATTGATTTAAGAAATGATGACGTTTACTATAGGCAACTTTTCTTACACATTTTACGATTTTTCATGTTCTAATTCGTGTTCTAATTTTTTATTACCAAACGTATGTATAAACATAAAATTGTGCCTAGTTGAAGTCATAGAATAGTTAATTTATTGCTGATTCATATGGGAAACACGTGGTTTCCCCTGTTGCGTCCCTGAATACAACAAAAAAATAGAATAAATACGCAGTTCTGTTCGAAAGTAGCTCGCGAAATTCGTGCACAACTTTCGGAAAAAAAATGGCGGAAAAGACGAATTGCCGTCATCCATTTTTCCTAAACAACTTAAATGTCATAATATACATATAGTTTATATTTTAAACAAATGATAAAATATACATTATTATATTAATTGTTAAAATATACGTTTGAAACTTAAAAAGAAATCTGTTAGTACATTCTAATAAATCTACGAATGTTTGACAACCATAGAGAATCCAAAAACCGATTTGTCCAACTAACAATATTAACAAATACATATTTAGAGAGCGTCCAGTTAATAAAATGAGTGACAATCATGATTAAATAATTTACGATGACTCGCGAATAGTTATCTTTGATTACGTATTTCTATATACACTACGCTACGAAATAAATTAAATACAAATACACATTATTTTACATGTGGCAATGCATCAAGTTGCTCTAGAATACTTCTTTTCTGAAACTGAATCCGTACTGATCGCACTTGACGCGCAATATTCTCGCTAGTTGCGGTGGACCGCAATAGAACACGGTCACTTTTCCCTTTTTCTGGTCCAAAATCTGTTTGAACGTTTTGTCCCAGTTGGGCCTACCAGCATTTGTACGTGTCTTCAGACCTGTTATAAGATCACGTTTTTCCTAAAACAAAATTCATATTGAAATATTCACATAAAAAACAAACAAAAATTTGCATGCATGGTACCTTTTCATGTAATAAATCAAGTGCCAATTGTAAACCGACAGCTTTCATGTCGGTCTTCTGCAAGGCGCTGGTGATGTACATGTGCATATCGAGGAAACGTTCCATCGCGCCACCCAGCTCGGCCTGCTCAATCTCGAGCTGTGAGAGTAGATTCACGAACCATTCAAACGACCGCTGGTCACGATTGATCCAGAAGAAGTCCACCTGCTCGAGATTTCATCATTATAACCAACAATCGTTAAAACAACAATAAAACAACAATAAACCGAGCGGCAAGTGCCACATGCGGGTTTTGATCTAGATGATACTGTTATTTTATTGATTATTTTTTCTTTCTTAAATCGTAGCACGCACCTTTCGTAAGTTCATCACCGTTGGTGGTATTTCGCTGGCCCAGGAGAACTTGCACTTCGGGCACGAGTGGCGTGCCTTCCAGTACCGGTGCATAATCGATTGCAAGATCGAGGCGAACGGCGTCACGCCTATTCCGGTGGCGATGAGCACCGCATGCTGGGCGCGGAAGATGTGGCTCGATGGTGCTCCGTATGGACCATCCAAGTATATCTACAGCACAAATCAAGTGTGAAAAGACCGTGTTTAAACATCCCAAGATGCAAGATTACAAACAGAATTTTTGCGCGGTTAGCAATATCTTCTACAAAATATCGTTTTTAATGTTCCGAAATAAAAATACTTTCGTTTTAGATTCATCACGCATGAGCACACACGTAAATACAACATTCACGAAATACCTCCGTTCGTTTCGCCTACGGCGTCGACATCAATCTTCCGACTTTTATTCACGTCACATTCAAAAATTTAGTCGTAAAATATTTACTACACACAACTGATGAGTTATTACAGTTCGGAACGCTTTAACTTTCCACACTTCGTAAAACTCTATTAAAATTTGTGTGTTTCGGTAAAAGTATTCCAACTCACTTCTAAAGGTTTACCGACGGGATAATTCATCGGTTTGATGTTGCTCGGAGAAAACTCCTTTGGCATCACTCTGCCTTCTTCGGCGGCGCGTTCCGGGTTGGAAGAGATGCTCAAGGCGCTCATTTGACGGCCTAGACAGAAACCATACATGCATAAAATCTGATTTACATGCAGTCAATTTGAATAACGTTCATACCAACTGATCCGAATGAACTGGACGAATCCCTCTGTTCGCAGTTTTCAAGACTCGGCGTCTTGAACGCAATAATAGTCGGTTTATTCCGCATGTAACGGAAACTCTGCGCCAACGATTTATTCTGCGGACTGAGGTACGCTAAGCCCAGACTTTGTAGACGCGCACGACGGATTTGACATTCGTCAAAAGATTTTTCTGATTCGGATCGCATATATTCTCTTAAACTAGAAACAAATATAAACATTAAATATAACATTTAAAATTATGTAATATTACTTACGCTAATAAACGTTCTCTTTTCTTAGCTTTGTTTTGAATATCAGGCATTGATAAGGATTTTTCCAGAGGCGCTTTGTTAGTGAACAATAACTTGTGCAATTTCTTTTCGGGTGTCAACTTGCGTTTTGGGTAACTGGCCAATTCAGGATTACTACTGCATGAAGCCTTCTCATCTTTAGCAATGGCTTCGTCGTTTTTAAAAGCTTCATTAGCGAAACCCACTAATTGAATGCCATTACGCGAGTTAGGATCGCGATTAGAAAGAGTTCGTTTAATCGATGCTTGAATCTTTTTCATTGGATTCTGGTTGTTATTATCAATGCTACCCTTAGATAATCTTTTCTTTTCGCTGCCTAACGCGGGTATTTCACCATTGTGTAGTTTTTCTTGTTCTCGTTCAAAGTATTCATACAATCGGTTTGTCCATTGACCAACGCCACGTATATGCAACCACATGTAATCTATAAATTTTTAGTTTTTAATGTTAGAATTAATTTTACGGTTAAATTATACCTTCTTGTTCAGGAGCACTGCTGATTGTGAACGGATGCCACTCATATTTAGCAATCGCTGGTATATTGATGAACACATAATCGCCTGGATGGAAATCAAAGTGCAAAGGTCTCTTAATTACTAAATGCGTAACTCTAGATGGCAGCAGTAGTCCGGAACTGATGTAAGTTTTTCCACGTTCGGTACGCATCCATGCTAATCGTAACAAGCGTTCAATGGAGTACAAAATACCTGGCATAATAAACCATTTCCAAAAGTTAGGACCGTGGAAGACCAAGAGTATCCAGAAAGGTATGTACATTAAGTGAGTCCAGTAGAAGATCTAGTGCAGAAAGTGTTTCAAGATTAAAAGCTTAGTAGTCAGGAAACACATAAAAAAACTATTCTAATCGTACCTCGAAACATCCGCCACGTCGAACGAACGCTTGCGAACTTAAGAACATAATGAGCAAAATCGCAAATAGAGCAATTCCAGTAGGATTAGCAACACCACCCACTAAACCATAGAGGCCAGATTTTGAAGTAAACAACCATTCCGTAACCGTCAAGTTTTTAACATTTACTATTGGATCATTTACAATTTTATAACCTAAAATTTAAAATTACAGGTTAACTTAATATGTTTAGGTTAAAATACTCCACAACTCACTGAAATTGTAAATGTGCATGATGGTATGCAGAAAACTTAAACCAAAAATCAACATTCCAGTCAATTTGTGGAAATAAATATGCTGATCAAGTGGTAGGAAGGCACTCCAGCCTCGTGTGCGTAAAAATGTAATGCATTGGCGCAGCATAAGCACCAAAACAAACATACAATTAAAATTCAGCGCTTGTCCTAAAACACATTGTTTAAATAATTCCAAATAATTCAAATTCCGATGAATAGGTAAATTACCACAAGCTCTAGCTATTATAGTGCATATATTAGCACCCATTAAACTGTACTCGATCGCTCTACTAAGAAACAGCGCCATATTTACAAGCACAAAACCAGCCAGAAAAATTAAATAAACATAATTGTTTTTGACATAAGGCAAGGTGAATTGATAAGGTCGGTATTTCATGATTTTCCCAATGAATGAAGCCGGCGGTGCTTTTGGTTTCGGCGGCACTAACCACCTGTCAATACTAATTGATAAATTCTCTAATAACCCGCCATGTTTTTCCAGTTGGTATTTTAATGCTTCATATGTAATAGCACCGCGGTTTTTCGTATCTGCATCTTCAAACATCGCCACAGTCAAATCATCAATTTGATCCTCACTGAAACGCATGCCGTTTTCTTCCATGCACGCCCTCATCACATGCTGCAACTCTTTGTGTTGAATCAACCCATCGCCGTCAAGATCGTAAACTTTGAACAAGAAGCGAATTTTATCATCTGGTGATTGTCCTGCAAACTGATGCATCGCGTCGAGGAATTCTTGCAGGGAAATGGACCCGGAATTGTCTTTGTCGAAGATTTGAAAGACTCGCTCCGTGAAGAATGGCTACATTTGGTAGGCAACCCAATATACACAAAAATATGAGTAATAAGAAATCTAGTAAGATTAATATGTTTAATAGTACGTTTTTGGAAATGACGATTTTCTTAAAGTCCTCGCGTCGAATCTCCTTCTCGTTGCCAACGGTCTGCCGAAAGAGCTGCTCCAGCCAGGCGAGGCTGCTCTTGTCGAATCCGGTGCGTGGCCTGTGTGCTCACATAATTCAAGATTATTGCGTGTTCGTAGGTGGCGCGCGCGGCATCGCGCCGCACCGTGTAATTTGTGGATGACATGATTTATTCGTACCGTGCGTTTGTGATGCTCGCCAAGAAATCCATAATTTGTTCCGCGCTGACGCTACCAATATTCTCGAGGTCGATTAGCCTGTATAATTTGTCTACGATCTGAAAGATTTACGTCTTCATTAGCCCGTGCGCGCGGTTACTCGATTCGTAATTACCCCTTTCGCGTAAAAGATTTGATAAAACTGCTCCAGCTGAATCGGGTGGTCGCCACACAAGCAGTATGCGACCGATTCAATCTGTTCGGCGAAATCTATTTGCTTTTCATCGCTGAAAGCCGCAGTTGGATTTAAAGTAAAGTTTAGAATGTTTTATATTTAAAAATATTACTTACTGTAATCTTTCTTTTAAAAATTCGATCCAGCTTTCTTGAATGAGTTTTTGATCTCTGTCTTGGTCGAATAGCTTGAACAATTGTTCGAGTAAATCCTGCAAACAATGAATAATAATGTATTTAATTCTTTTGTATCTTAAAAGTAAGTGCGCAATCATTTTAATGCAGTTATTTGTATTTTATATATTCTTATCGAGAAGTTTTTTGTCGGTATTTTTTATTTAAATGTTTTTAAATTTTTTATTTATTTTGCTATTTATTTCTATTTTATGGATAGTGTTGGGTTGCAATTAATTTCTCATTTTTCGCATTAATGGCATTTTCACACGTTATAAAATGCATATAAACAATTATACCGTTTAGTGATTACTTTAACGTCATAAAAATCAATTTATTTTATTATGCGTAAAATTTGAGCAAGAAATACAAAAAATAACTTTAAAAATAAATAAAAACATAGAAGTAAATTGGATTCGGGCAAAACTTTTTTATTAAAAATGTTTAATAGTATAGTATTTTACATACAAAACCGTGAGTAAAGTACTTTATTTACGGGAATTATCTACGGGCGGAGCTTGCGCATGCGCATTTGCAGGTGTGCAGCATCAAACCATATGAAATGCGCTGCGACATCTATAACCTTACTTTTTAACTGCAACCATTTACAAAAAGTTTTCTAACCAATGTGAATCATACTTCCAAATTAAATTACCCAAGGCCCGCCGATTTCACGCAATGACACACTCAGTCAATCTGCATATGCACGCGCTGCCCAAAAGCGTATCATTGTCATGTGCGATTAAAATCCACTTTCACCGAACCCATTGGTCACCCTTCCACAATGCGCACGCGTTTGATTCACCATTAGCGTGCGTCGGCTTACTCTACATTCGAATCGCCCTGGAGCAATAAACTGATTCGCGTGCGTCATCGGTTCTTGAGCATCGACGCCTTGGTGTCTGAGGAGTACAAGTACGTAATAATTATACAATATCCACACATAGTGCTAGTCTGAGTTCTGCGGCTGCTCAAATATTTGAAATCGAAAAGTTTCCGATCGCCCCTGACATATTTACTCTAATTAAAATTCTTCTTAGACGGCGGTGTGTACGCGTACATACACATATGTGTGTATTACTAAAGACTTCCTCCGGCCCGTTAATTACACGCTCATAGTTTTCTCGACTTTTTAATTAATCTCCCATTAACGAACAGGCGTTTTGAACATGATTTTAATTAATAATTTTCTACGGTGATTAATGTTAAAGATCATAAAGATGGATTTACGCGCCTTTAACTCTTTAAAATGTCTATAAATGAATGATGATCAACATGAATGCCACCCTCGCATTATACGAATTCATCAGAAACAAAAACGCATTGTGTGGTACCTACAAGCAGACGCAAAGATGGCTGCCTGTTGCTGCGGCCCACGACAAAAGTGAATTTTTCGTGCCTGCGGGTGGCGCGCCGCTGACGAAATTATGAATGATGTTTTATTCATACGCGGAACGGTATATTATTACGAGCTGCAAGGGCCCGATGTAATTCGGACCGGTTACAATAATGATATTTTTACATTCGGATCGAAATTACCGCGTGCGTGCGTTTCGAATAAATCAATATGCGCACAAAAGCTATATTATATCATTCACATTATGACATCTCAGTAAAACGAGAGCACGCGAGACCCAGGGCCCAAAAATGTCTTGTTTCATTTAATGGCATTGGCTTCAAACAAAAAAAACTGACATTAGTCAGGTTTGCCAATCATGTGCCGTATTTAGGCAGCAAAGTTACACTTTATATTCGTAAACGTTTTGCTATGCTAATTGAGATTTCACCAAATTAAGCTTACAAGCGACTGTAACTGTGTACGTGTACAGTTATTACTTGATAGCTGTCAATTGATACATAGCATCGATCGTGTATCATGACTCGGACAATTAGTTAATAAATCTGTTTAATGCGCGTTGTAATACATAAATTGGCTGCGTGTGCCCAGCGAAGCGGAAAACTGCATGGTATTTACATCACGTGCTATGATTTAATTATGTTTGCTTGTATTTTACACTTGCGCACTGCTAATGATTCAATTACAGCGTGAGATTATAATTATATGACGAAAGGTGGATATTGTCGGAGTTATTAAACAGAAATATTTCTAATTTGTGAAATTTTATATTTCAACTTGTGTTATTGATTTATTAATTTTTGACTAGGTGCATGATAATTATTGAATTTATGTATCTATAATATAAAAATGAATCGCAAAATCTGTTGGAAAGCTCATAACTCCACAACGCCTAAACCAATTTGGCCAATTCTTTTTTTAATGTCTGTTAAAGTCCAAGGATGGTTTTTAGGCGAGAAAAATTGAAATAATTGACGGGAAAACCCGAAAGACAGCCCTTTTTTATAGGATTAAAGTTGGCATTGAGATTCAATCATAGTTATAGTTAAATAGTTGAATCCGAGATGGCGCGCTGAAGTGCATTATTAGCAATTCTTTATATAATTAATTTCTTTAAAATAAAATTGCGAATCGTATTCATAGAATTGACAGTATGTCCTAGAACAAGAGAGTAAAAACGAATTACATTTTTATTAAACACTACCGGGACGAAGTCGCGGGCAAAAGCTTGTATCCATATTGAACAAAGTCGTGTTAGGTACACCATTCATTACTCAAGAACGGCGGGATTAAACTTTATGATTTTTGTATTTTTGGATTTGTCTTCATTTAGAATATGATAATAAATATGAAGTGCACTAATAGTCGTATGCAATACATAGTGGAAGTAGTTACTAGTAGATCTTGAACAAGAAAATGAAATTTAATTTAATTTTTACTAAAAACTCCGTTGAGAAAGTCGTGGGCAAAGCTAATTATTATTATACTTATATTATATATTATTTATTAGTTATAATTTATTAAATTAATTATACGCAATTGTTTATATCAAATTATTTAATTAATTGAATAAATAAAATTATAATTTATGAAACCTTATCTTATTACAAAGATACGAATGCATAATATAATCCAATCTCGAGCAATTAAAATCGCTGTTTAACGATTTAGACGGCTGCACTTCTTAGTTAACCTTACCCTACTACTATTTCGATTGATTTTATTGATTCTTGTGGTTATTGTTACATAAAAAAGCAATAAAACTCCGATTTGAATTAAGTTGGTCTAAAAGTGTTTCGCTTGCAATTTAATTAATTTCGATATAGACTTATAAAGTCATTAAAACTTTTGTGTAGCTCTAACGCTTTTGTTAACATTCACATAATAATTGTGCAAGCGGCAACGAATCGATTACCAAAACGATAAATAATTCGCCAATTGAAAGTGAGCAGTGAGCAGCGCTCGCCTAATTAATTGTTGAAACTCCCAAAAATCACCGGTGTCCAAGCCATCGTGTAATATCCGATTTATCGCTCTCTAACTGTTCATTAAAACGCGCTCTCATGTATATATCACCTGTACAACACACACACACACACATGGCTTGCTATTTCATTATATCGTAATCGTAAACAATTTTAATTGCCGTACGCATTTACTTAACGGCGCGACGAATGAGTTTCGTAAATAAAAAGAAGGCAACGCGCGCGCAGTTGCTAAGCAAATCGGCGACATTAAATCAAGCCGAATTTTATTTATATTGTGACATAAATTGTGCTAATCGCATGATAAACGGCATAAATTATGTCTATATTAGTTAATATATATTTAATATCTTAATAGTGTGTGCTTAATTTCGCTTTTAAGTCGCATGTTTATTAAGTGGGCGCGTTTGCGACAAGTTGAAAACTTACCTGCGCACGATTGATAAGATGATGACGCTCTGACGAGATGTGGGCCAGTCTTATCGCGATGTAATTAAAAAAATATCGCGCCGAATTACATGTTTTGTAATTGCGCGTGCCTCGACACGCCTCAAAATCACCGTGTTGAATTGAGTGAAAATTACGGAAAATTGCTTCGGCGCCCACATGGGTGTAACTCGTTTCAACTCTAAACGCAAGTTTATTCAATCAGATATTGAAGTTTTTGTTGTAATTATTGCCTTTTACAGGCGTAAACTTGTTTGGAAGGCAATAACTTTGAAAGAGAGGTTCTTTAACCAATCTATTACTAGTTTTTTTTTTAACTTTTTTGTTGTTCACAATAGTTTTACTATGAAATTTATTTGAATATATTTTAAGGTTAAGTTAGCATTATGTGCAATTTTTTTCACGTATAATTGGTTGCATATACTTATTTACATACGTTTTACTAACATTTTTGACACACCAACCTTTGACCTTGAAATACCTTCAACCCTAAACTTTCACTTTGTTACCTCTGCCAATGCTGCCAACTTAAAAAAAACTGAGATGAAAATAACTGTAATACCATAACAATCAAACATATTAGGGGAGAGTAGCCATATTTGGACCATTTTTATATTTTTTGATTTATAGAGCCACATATAAACTGTCAATAAAAATTAAGTAGCGGAAAAGTAACTCACAAGGCTTACCAACAAAATGATATTTTTGCTTTAAGTAAAAATTATATTTATACCCCTCAAATTTCAATTTAAAAAAATTGTGTTTTTGGTCCAAATTAAGAAACCGGTTTCCTAAATTGGACCGCGAGGTTTCCTAAATTGGACCATGGTTTTTTAACGGCAATTGACACAATAGTAAATTTTAGTTTTAGCACTAACACAAGCACATTTTGTATAAACCAAAGTGCGGCATTTCATACAGTGGATCATTTCGAAGATTTGTGCTCGTCCACAAGCTTTTCTAGGAGGTCGAAAAAATGATATACGTTTTCCCTGTTAAAACCCCGGTGCCTGTCTTCGGTCCAACTTTGGCAACTTGAAGAATTTATATTTAATGATCAACGACAATTTTAATATAACATAACCTCTCAAAATTAATACTATAAATTATAGATAAATAAAGAAGCTTTCTGATGATAAAATAATAATCAGTAAAACTAACGTTTAAACGGCTTGACAGCTCTTGCACTTACGTCGTTATAATAGATTTGATAATCAATGATACACGAAGTTGTTGCCACGACGAAAGC